TCTCTTAATAGGGGTCTATAATAAGATTAACGTAAACCTCCTTCGTAGAGCCTCCTTTAACCCGCTACCCGGATAAGAAGTAGCGGACGCCTAACCGCCTATAATTAAGGTAGAAGGAGAGGACGAGTTCGAGGTTAAAGAGATATAGGCCGCGCGCTAGAAAAAGGTTAGTAAGGGGAAACGCTAGGAGGTCCTCGTTAAGTAGCGTAGGTATCTTAACCCTATATAGGAACCTATATATAAGTTTACGGGAACTATAGCCCTCGATAAGTTTAAAGCCTTATTTAAAATAGTAGATAAGAATAATAAACTAGCGGACTACCGATAGTAGCCTAGGCTAGGACTACGAAGTAAGTATAGCGGAGGGGGTAGTTACGGTAATATAGGTAATATAAGCGTAATAGTATAGGCAGAGATAAAAATAGCGTTTATTATAAGGCGGAGCCCTTAGACTACCTAGGCTTATTCCTTATTGTTATTATTATTATTATCTTCGTTATCGTTATCCTCGTTAGCCTCCTCCTTCTTATTAGCGGCGGCGGCGGTCTTTAAGGCGCTAAGGCGGCCCTCTAAGCCCGTAAGCTAGTCGGCGGCGGCGGCGGCTCCGGGGGTAGAGGGGCGGCGGCTAGCGGCGGCGGCAGGGGCAGCGGCGGTAGCGGAGGTAGGCACGGCTAAGGGGACCGCCGATAGGGCGATAGAGGCAGTATCCCTAGCGCCGGGTACGTTAGAGGCGGAAATAGGGAAGCGGAGGAATAGGACTTACTTAAGTATAAGGCCCTATCGCTTAAGGGCGCGGAGGTTACGGTAGGCGGCGGCGGCGGCGGTAAGGCGCTTCTTAGTAGCCCCCCGCGCCTACCTATACGAGCCGGCCTTCTAAGCCGACGCCGCAGCGAGTAGGATAGGAGGCGCCGCCTTATAGGCGCGGCCGGCTCGCGCGCACTAGTAGCAGCTGCCGCCGCGGCGGCGCCCGGCCTAGTTAGAGTAGTCGAGCTCCTACGACGTATAACGTATATAAGGGGCCGAGCGGGCGGCGCCGGCCTATACTTAGCGCTTATACTATAGGAGGTTAATAGATAATGTCTATTACGCTTACCTAACTATAGACTTATAGGGGTAGCGGAGATAGAGGTAGGGGCCGAGGGGCCGGGCGTTACGGGTAGCGGCGGGGACGGCGTCGTTACCCTAAGGGGCGACGTAAGAGCGAATAGCGTAGTAGAGGCAGCGGCGGCGGCGGTAGGAGCAGTGGTAGCGGCGTAGGTAGGAGCGGCGGTAGCGGCGGAGTTATCGTCGGCCGCGGCTAGTATAGCGTCGACGAACGACTCTATACGCTCCGAGAAGGAGGAGGTAGGAGAGGGAGAGGCGGATATATCTATCGCGGAAGTTAGCACGACGGAATACGGCCTCCTACTCTATAAGGCGCGGAACTTATTAGTTAGAGTTATTATTATTATTAGGGCTATTATTATTACTACCGCTACTACTATAAGTATACGTTAATAGAGCGGCCTATATAGCTAGGAACGGACTAACGCCTTAGGTAGAGCGGAACTTACCTATTAATACTACTACTACGGTTAAAGAAGGGAGAGAAGGAAGGGAAGGGGGAAGGAGGGGATGCCGCCTTATATACCCCTTAGTAGAGGATGCTGCCTAAGGTAGAGGGGACGGGCAACCTAAGGCTTACGTAGGTCCGACTAGCGGCTAGGGCGTATATAATAGGTTATGCCCCTATTTAAACGGCTAGCCGGCTAATAAGTATAGAGCTAGGTCCCGGCTGCCTAGGCTAACGGGCGCGGGGATAAGAGGGCTAGTAGGGCCGGCCCTATTAACGGGAAAGGGCAGGGAAGAGCCCGCGGTATAGACCTAATTATACGGGAGCCGTTAATAGGGCAGCGCTACGCCGCGCTTAAGGGAGGGCATTATATAAGAGTCTTTAACTATTATAGGTAATAGGCTTAGGCCGCGGCCTAAGCTATATAGTTACGTACGGAGGGCCGGATCCTATAAGTATAGGGGCGGGCTAGCCGTATATAAAAGAGCTCTATATAGCTTATTAATATTATCCTATAAACGGCACCTACGTATACGCCTTTACTTACTCTATAATACCTATATCTAAGAAAGAAATATAATAGTAATATTTATTATAAGTAAGCACTTTAATTAGCCCTTAAATATCTAATACTACTTTTTCTAAATAGGTATAAGACTTATATAAAGGTTATTTATTAACCTTATTTATTGCTTTAACTCTAATATATATTTTATATTATCTTATTTTATTTTCCTTTTCTAAAGGTATTTTTATATCCTTATTATATCTTTTTAATATTTCTAAAATAGCCTTACTATTTATATACCCTAAGCGTAAATACTAAGTATAAAAATCTATATCCTTTGCCTTTAAAGATATAATTAGGATTAATTAGCTTTTTAATAAAGGTTCTATAGGAATATAATATAATTTATTTCTAAGAAATCCTTTAGTAAGGACCTTAGCCTTATTATTTAATAAAAGGACTTTATTTCCTCCTATTAAGGCATAGGTATTATAAAAATTATATTAGGATAGTATATTTACCCTTAATTTAGGTATATAAAAGTAGTCTTAAAGGATATACCTTTTACTATTATATAGGAACTTAAATACTAAGTCCCCCTTTCCTTTTACTAATATAAAGGAAGCCTTTCCTTAGTAATCTTTAGACTTAATTTCTTTATAGTTAATAAGGAAATTCTTATTTAATACTATATACTTAGTAGCTCTAGTATTATAAATAAAATTAAAGATCCTTTTATTCGTATAACTAGGAAATCCTCTTTCTCTTACCTTTAAAACTAATTCCTTTATTCTAGGAATCGAGGCTTTTAAAGGTCCTAAAAGAAAGTCTTTATTAGCTTCTATTATAGGGGTATTTATAGAGGTTAAAATTACCTCTAAATCCTTAGACGTTTATATAGGGGTCGGAGCCCTAAAAAGGTCTATAAGGTCGATATCTAGGTCTATATTTTCTTATAAAGCTATATTTAAGACCTTATTACTATCGTCTAAATTAGACTCTAGCTCTATAATTCGAGCCTTCCTTCTTTTATTAGTAGTAGAAATACTACTAGAAGGGGATTTCTTCCTAAAAGAAGAAGATAAAAAAGAAGATTTTCTCTTCTTAGAAATTCGATTCCTATTATTCTTTTTTCCTTTATTTAAAACCTAATAAGAAGAAGCCTTATTTAAGTATAATTTATAGTAATTTACTATAAAATGCCCTAGTTATTTATATTCCTTATAATAAGGAGTATCTATAGAATTTTTATAGGATTTCTAAGGCTTCCTTTATATTAAGAAGGCTTTCTCCGAAGATTTATCTTATCCTTTATTCTTCTAGCTTCGTTTAAAAGACTAGCTATTAAGGATTTAAGGGTAAACGCTAAAGGATAACTTTTAGAATATCTATATTATAGGATTTTAAATCCTCTTAGATTTCCTTTACCTTATAAAGTTATTTCTCTAAATTAAAGCTTAAGGGACTAAGATTAAAGAGCTGCTTTATAGGTAAATAATTCAACGAAAAATTTAATGGATTATATAGCTTTATAAGCTTCTTATAAGTAGCTTTAGTATTTATTAAATGCTTAATTTATATTAAAGGGCTATCTTTAACTTAAAGAAAAATCTAGGATAAAGCTTCTATAGTCTTTATATAATTTTCTTACTCTAAGGTAGTAATAAGCTTTTCCTTAGTAAGGATAGCTATTATCCTTATAGTTTTAAGAGTATAATTTAAATTTCCCTTAAGTCTAGAGAATTTATATTCTTTCTATCTACCTATTTTATATAAATTCGGTATTATTTCGGTTATAGGGATCGAGAAGTCTAGATAGGAGTTTAAAAGCGTAGGAAGGTAGAAGAAGTTATTAGGGGGATTTTCGAAAGGAATTTAAATCGGGTATTTTAATAAGGAATTTTAAAGGTATAAGTTAATTTCCTAGCTTAAAAGGAGTAAGCCGGGCTTATAATCTCTTAAGGTATATAAGTAAAAGCGGAATTTTAGGATATTAAGGAATTATATAAGATTACGTAATAAAGGGGAAGAAGGAGTATAAGGTAGGATTTTTCATAGAATTTATTAGTAATATATTAGTATATAGAAAAGGTATTAAAGTTAATAATCCTCTCTTTATTTACTAGCGGATATACTATCTTCTATAGCCTGCCCATCGTGCACCCACACGGAATGCTCGGGCATCGAGTCGAGCGGATCCTCGTACTGCGTCCACGTCCACGGGAAGCACGGCAGACACATCGGTGCGTGTGCCTCCTGCCTGACCGAGTCCCGTCTCCTGCTTAGGCTTCCTGCTTAAGAATAGCAAAGATAATCTTGGATGCTTAGGTTGCGGTCAAAGTTGCGTCTGGGCACGGCCATCGACACTCACCCTGCGGCAACGGACAGAGGGAAACAGCAAATGAGCGAGCCAGCAAGGCGCAGGCACGACTTGTTTCCTTGAACAATGCGATTCAGCTCCAAACGCGCTTCGGTGCCCTCTTGGGGTTGGACTCTGGTCGTGACCGTTTACCTTGTTGGCCCGACACAAGCTCCCTTGATTCACAGCAACGGGTGGCAGCTGTCTGCGCCACCGGCCCTGTCATCTCCGCAAGCACACCAAACACTCCCCAAGCGAGTCCCAGCTTGGATCCAGCCGCATGACATATGACATTGTAAACCAGACGCCTCTCCCTAAATGGTCTAATGCTCGCTGACCAGCCACCTCCTGTTGCAGATAATGTACACGCGTGTTGCATGGGAGGAGAGAATCGTCCCGTCATCGTAACGCCAGCTCGAGGCCCCGCCATGGTCGGCTCTAGTAGTCCACCGCCTTGTTCCCACCCGGATTTTGTCGACCCAGTTGACTCCTGTGCCCTTCCCAACCGCCGTCCCGGCCTGATCGCTGGGGCGGTGTGGAACAGCGCCTCGCTTCTCGTACAGCTTCCCCGCTTCGAATCGTTACAGGCTCTCCTTCGGAGCCGCGGGTGTGGGGATGGGGAAGAAGGACCGCCGGGTGATCTGCAGATGGATGTAGTCAGCGCCTGCGTGAGTGGAAGCCGGAGAGGGCTTCGCGGCTTACCGTCCACACGCCAGCCACGGAGCTGATCATGGCGCCCGAAATCAACATGGGCCTGACCCCCCTGGTGCTCTTGAAGACGGCGCCGCTCAGGAAGCCGGCCAGGATGCTGTTCGCGGCGTCGTGCTGGCCGCGCAGGTAGCCGATGAGCGAGTTGATGCAGTTGTAGGTAATGGCAATGACGCCGGCCGAGTTGCCGAGAAAGGGCCCGCGGCGGGTGACGGCGTTGAGGACCGAGTTGAGACGCAGCTTGGGCGGCTGGCCGGCGGACCTGCGTAGGCCCTCCTGCAGGCCCCAGGCGCCGCCCATGGACAGGGCGGTGAGGTAGGTGATGCCGGTGCCGTAGCACAGGTCGTCTGTGAAGCCGCGCGACGGCAGCACCGACTGGCTGCCGGGCAGGTCGGAGAGGGCTGACTCGTCGAGGCTCAGGTACTCGAGGGCGTCCTTGTTGAGGCCGGCGAGGGGGTGCAGCTGCGAGGGGTCGGCAAACGACGAGTTCTGGAGGAAGGCCTCGACGCCCTGGCCCTCGGACGGGTCAAAGGCCGATGGCGAGGCAAAGGCCTGCGGTTGCTGCTGCACCATTTGCTGCGACGGCTGCTGCTGCTGCTGCTGGGGCTTGTTGCCCCCAGTGAGCGCGCTCCAGAGCGACGACATGATTGTTGATGGCGACGGGGGCCAGAGCCGGGATGGGTTGCTCTTGTAGGGTTATCACGGCGAAGACGAGGGCAAGGCGAAGATTGCGCTTCGGATAAGCTCGTAGCACGAATACGTCGTCTAAGAAAAAATTGGGGGATGGCGGCGCGAGCTGGTCCGTGCTCCGAGGGGTGGGCCCGTCCCTTTTTTTCTATCCAGGCAAAAGTTGCGTCACGTGCGTCCCCATTTGGACATGAAAATTCGGCATCTTGCCTGAGAGTTGAGACAGAGGCTCGGCGTAATACATAAATATAGATTGCCATGTTTGACGTACACGGGGTAGTGCATCGTTGCGAGACGGATGTGGATGGTAGGATGGCAGGCTCTTCTCCAGCGGTCTAGAAAACCAAGGGCCACGCTCACTCAACAAGATGGCCTCGGGAGCTCAGTCCAGCCGGCATGTCAAGTCAAGCATGGCGCATCTTGGAAAGGTTGTACTATGCCGCAATCACGGATCAAGGTTGTGAATGGCCGTGCACCAACGACGCCATTGACACCTCGGTGCATCATCTGTCGCCCTACTCGTGGACAAACTTCACCCAGTCTTGGTTCAACGGGAGGCGGAATCTACGCCGACGCAACGGCGTCATTTCATCCATATTCGCTCTACCAGGTACGTGCAGAAGTCATTGACTCAAGTAATTGATATGTCGAGACCACCCCACAGTCACAAACCTGTCGAGTCGACGTTCGCGGCTGGTAGGAAAGGCAGTCACAGTTTCTCTGGGAGGCCGGGAACGGAAGGAAACCCACGGGGAAAGTGAAGAGTGACCCTCAGCAAGCCGCTTTCGCGGAGCCGCCGTTTGGATATATTAAAACACTTGACGGTGTAGAAATAACCCTTACTGATGTGAAGAGGAAAGGGAGAAGAGGAGGAAGAGCGCGAGGCCGGAAAGCTTTTTATGCTCGCCGGACAGAGAATAGCGCTAGTCAGTATAAGGACTAGCTCTCTGGCCGTCGGATAGAGGTTAATCCGATCAACCCCTGCGGATAGACCAAGGGGCTATTATCCAGCAGGAAAGTTCATCTCGTGAATGGAGAAGCTAAGTTACTTGCTGTATTCCACAGAAAGTCGCTCTCTCTATGATGCACGTCATGTTTCCAGCTTTCAAGAGACAACCAACCAGTCTACTTTCCCCTTTTCCAATTCCAAACGCCAAACATCCCTGAGCGCCAGTCCATGTCCAGTTCGCCCATCCCATACGAGGAAGAAGAATCCCCCGTCAATTGCTCGTGTCGGATCGCTCAAGCAGCGGCCGATCCCAGCGCTCCTCACCGCGACTCGCCCCGTCTCGCCGCCCGTTCTGCTCGCGCGGCTGCCCCTGGCCGTTGTCGGTCCTGTAGGCAAAGTATTGCACAAAGACAGTCAAGTCCATCAGCAGTGTCACCAAGCTGCCCGCCAGCCAGCTCAAGTTGACGAGCATGTAGCGGCCGTACAGCTGCGCAGCCTCGCCCGGCGCGCAGGTCCTGCCTGGGCACTTGGGGTCGTAGGCAAAGATGGACAACACGTACGTCACGTTGCCCAAGCAGGCAAACAGGAAGAAGAGCATGCTCAGGCCATCGGTCGTCTTGCGGCGCCAGTTCAGGACGAGCTGCGGCATGCGCGACGCAATGTACGCGACGGCGCACAGGTATCCGAAGACCTGGCCCAGCACGTCGAGCTCGAGCCCGTCGTCTGCTCCTCGGTCGGATGAAGTGGCCCTGCCGCCCGTCGCGAGGAACCAGCCGAAGACGCCGGCGGCGCACACCATGGCGACAATAGTTGCATTCCACGCGGCCGACTGCAGTGCGCTCGGCGGCGCTCGCGGCTCCGGAGCCTCGGAGACGTGGTCAACGGCAGGCGAGAGGCCCGTCCAGTCTGATGCGCGGGGCTCGACGAGAGCGTCGCCGGGGAGAAGTGTAGTCCGCTCGTCGGGTTCCCTGGCGGCGGGCTTACGAGGAGATGGCGCCTCGTCGCGCCACGTGAATCCGCGGTAATAGAAGCATTGGCCCAGGAGCACAATGTCGGCCAGGGTATAGTATATTGCGAGGATGATCTAGGGGGTCGAGGGTCAGAGCGATTGGGCGAAGGGAGAAACCGGGAGAGGTGTCGGTACCATGGTAGGAAGGACTCCCTGCAGGACCGCTCCAGCAATGTTGAAGACATCTCCCAGCAGCCAGATGATGATGAATTGTATCGACAAGCCATCGGCGTTTCCCTGTCGAAACTGTTGAATGATCTGAGGCGAGAAGACGACAACTGTGGGAGGCGGTTAGTTTCAGACAGGCCCCGTCGGACGGAGGCATTCCAACTAACCCCAGCAGGCAATGGATATCGATCTGGGCGCGGCTCAGGTTAGCATGTTTCGAGAAGCACCAGCAGACTATCGAGGTGTCTTGCCCGCAAATGCCGGAGATGGCGTCGACGTCAAGGCCAAAGGTCGGCGCAGGGGGGGCCATGGCTGCGGCGATGCTGGCTCCTCGGGGAGCAAAGATGCGCCGGAGTCGATGCCGAGCGCTTCTGTCTGGCTCTGATTCGAGATTTCCGTGTGGAGACGCGCGATTCAGGCGTCGGTTTAGTTATACAGACACAGACAGGTGGCAACAGGAGCAAGAAGGAAAAGAGAAGAGCAGAGGGTCGGAAACTAGGCAGACGTCAGACTAGCGGCCGGTATTCGGAATATCATTAACAAAAAACTCTTTTTTTTAAGCCTTGGACGCGAATTCGCACGCAGCAAGGTCCAAGACTAAGAGAAAGTGGTTGTTAATAACTACTGCTAGCCCTGCCTATAGCGACGCCCGATCCACGGAGGCGAGCCCGAAAGCGGCAGCCGCTCCATCATGCCCGGGCTGTCTCGGTCTCGCTGGCGCGCTGAGCCGAGGCTCCAAAGTAGTGCCTGCAGGCACCGCCGGCCGGGCCATTCATTACCTCATCCAAGCTCCGCTTCCGTAGATGGACGAGGCAGCTCCGAGCCTCATATCCGCCACAACCTCCATCCTCTTCGACTGCTCGTCGCATATCATTCCGTTGATTCCCACACACCACCGTTCGCACCCCAAGGAACAGCCACTCTTCTCCAACATAATCCTCCGGCGAAACCCCCTCTTCCGCACATGTCCAGCTCGCCACCGCTCATGCCCGAGCCCCCGGCTCTCCACGCCGACGCCTCCATGCTCACCCGGCGCTTCGGCAAGGAAATCATAAACTACTACGCGGGCAGCCGCCTCAACCGCTACTCCTTCCTCCGCTCCGACGCCGTCTTCCTCGCCGCCGCCGCCGCCAGCCCCGCCGCCCGCTTCATCGTCCTCAGCAACCTCGCCCCGCTCGTCGCCGCCGGCAACCGCCATCTCGCCCACCTCCCCTTTGACCGCGTCAGGCCCCTGATAGGCCCCGACCCCTTTGCCTTGAGCGACGCCCGGGCCGTCGACTACTTTGACTCGTCGGCGCCGCCGAAGCCGCTGGTTGTCTTTCTCGGCACCGTCGAGGGCGGCCATGAGGCCGTTGACCTCGACACGTCCGACTTTGGCGTCGTTCGTGCCCAGCCCATTTTCGCCGTTGATGCGACGCCCAGGGGCGCCGGCGCCGGCGCCGCGGCGGCCTTTCTGAAGCAGCATGAGGCCGAGGGTCTTTCGCTGCAGACTGACGTGAGGAGCATGGTCCTCAACTCCGAAGCCGGTGAGTTCCCAGTCGTCCCGATGCCTCGTCTACATCACTGCTCACGCAGAGCACACAGCTTCCCTCTTTGCCCAAGCCAGGTCCATGATAGACTGGAACACCCGCAACCCCTTCTGCGCCGGCTGTGGCGGCCCCAACCTCTCCGTCGAGGCCGGCTACAAGCGCGTTTGCCCCCGGACGGACCGCAAGGGCGGCTCCGACGCCCAGCCCCGCGCCGACTGCCCCACGCGCCACGGCGTCTCCAACCTCTGCTTCCCCCGCTCCGACCCCACCATGATTGCCGCCGTCGTCTCCGCAGACGGCCAGCGCATCCTGCTCGGCCGCCAAGCTCGCTACCCGCCCGACTGGTACAGCACCCTCGCCGGCTTCCTCGAGCCCGGAGAGTCCGTTGAGGAGGCTGTGCGCCGTGAGGTCTGGGAAGAGGCCGGCGTCAGGGTCGGCAGGGTCGTCATCCACTCCACCCAGCCCTGGCCCTACCCGTCTACCCTCATGCTGGGTGCCGTCGCTCAGGCGTTGCCTGGCGAGGAGGAAATCACGCTCAACGACAAGGAACTCGAGAGCGCCAAGTGGTTCACCGTCGACGAGGTTCGAGAAGCCCTGAAGGAGACGGGCCTCCGGGGCGAGCCCGCGCCAGAGGGACACAGGGAGTCAAGATTGCGAGTGCCCCCGCCTCAGGCCATCGCCAATCGCCTCATGACTGCAGTAGTAGAGGGATATTTGACAGGAATCCCAAAGATATGAGAGCTTCTGGGCGTATACGTACAGGTGATGGGCTCACCTTGAAAATCATGCACGCCGGCCTTGATCCTCTTGACCCAGCTACCCTTGACTCCGCGGCATCCGCTCCATCTCGGCAAACTTGACGCCTTCCAGCTGGGGCGTTGGAAGAGCATCAACGTACCCTCGCTCGTACCTAACCAACCAGACTGCATCCGCGTTGATCGTCTCCAGAGCCTCCTTCACCCCGTCGTTACGTTCCAATGCGTCTGACAGCAGGTCCAGTATTTGGTCAAACATGTCCGCATCGACGTGAACAAAAGAGACAATGGACGTCAGTAGCTTCACGACCGCCTCCCATATTCTGGCGGGGGAAGAATGCTGCCCAAGGCTACCCGAGTGCAGACTTCGCGGTTCGAGCGCCGTTTCCTTGCCCTCGAGGCCGTCCGTCGATCGTATAGGAATCATAATCTTATCGCCTACGCCGGGATGCGACCTGCCCCCCTTGAAGTTCCTTGACCGGGTGAGGCTGCCCAAAGCTTGTTGCTGGGCCTTGCGACACCAGGCGTGCAGTCCATCGCCCCATTCGGTTTTGAATCGTGAGCTCAGGAAGTCGCCAGCTGCCTCGCACAGGCTCACTAGTGTATTGCATGCTTCTATCGTGATGAAGGCCTCGGGGTCGTATAATCTGCCGATCACGACGGGCCAGATCGCGTTGACGAGGGGCAAGAAGGAATCTTCATCCCCGGCCAAAGTCAATGAAGCTGTCGTGAGCAATTCCAATAACGACCTTCTCAATTTCGGCATGGGTGAAGTCAGGTAGTGCTGGGTGAGGGACGCAATGCGGAGCAGAAGCTGATACGTCGGTGAGTTGGGTGGCTTCTCGTCGCCATCCCCAGGCCCTGGTTGATTCTGCACGTCGTCGCTGCCCTCGTCAGCGGTAGCCTCGGTCTTCCACGGCTCATGCGGATGGCCTTTAATTGGCTCTCCGCCGGCGGCTTCGGCAGCGTCACGCGCTTCCCGTTCTGCGCGCTTATCCAGGAAATCGAGAAGGCTGTCCAACCCTTGCTCCTTTAGCGGTTTCTTTCTATGGTCCACGCGTGCTCGTTCTCGGTCTGTCAGCAGGTGCTGGTTCGTCCGTGACGCCTGATCAACAACTTCCTTCAAGACTGCGAATAAGCTTTCCACAAACGACTTGTATCCGTGGTAGTTGCCCAGGGCCGCGAATATAGAGTCGACAACATCGTCGAGAAAAGGTACCAGGCGGGGTCCTGCAAGGCGAATCATCATCAAAAGGACCTGCAGCGATGCCGGTGATATGTCCAGCGTGTTGAGCCTCAGAGCGACCGAGTTGACCATGTAGTCGACGTTGTCGACAATCAGGTCTGACACGTTCGAGTACTGAGCCGACGCTGCCACGCTATTCAGAGCAGCAACGGCGTGCTGCTGCAAGGCGTGGTTCTCGGACCCCAGGTACGTCGCGATTGGGAACAGCACGTCGATGAGCTCCGGCCGGAACGAGTGGCCGGATTTATGTGCGGCATAAGCAACGACTTCCAGCGACAGAGCCTCCGAGCACCACTCGCCAGAGGTCGAGTCCGCGCGAGACTCGAGAACCTGTACTGCAAAGTTGTAGAGGTCGCCAAAGATAGACTCTGTATCGTCTGATGGCCCGGCAAACAGAGACATGTCCAAGAAGGTGTCAGCATCGGTGATTGATGAATCTGCAGCCTTGATGAGCTCGAAGCAGAGCCACACGGCGGCAGTTTGGTCAACGGATGATGACTCTCGGACAGTCTCCAACAGGCTGGCCGCAAGCTTGGCTTTCTGAGACGCAGAGCCGAGTCGGTCAATGAGGCCCATCAGCTCACCTCTCAGCTCCTTTTGGCTTTCGCGAGCCAGGACTAGCGGCTGAAACGTTTGCTTGCTTGCAGCCGAGGTTCCCACCGACACTGTCCCGTCGTGCAGCTGAAGCTGCACTCCAGGATCGGCCTGTTGTGATGATGCCTGCAAGAGGGACACCATACTGTCCTTGAGCGCCGCGGACATGGAGTCATCAAGAGTTGCCGATTCGAGGCCCAGGTTCCGGAACAGATCGACGCCTTTTGACAGATTTCGAATCGCAATCTTCTTCAAGTCATCATCACCTGTCTGCATTACCCGGGGGAGGCTTGACATCCAGTTGTAAACAATCGTCTTGACTGTTTCTCCCAGCGTTGGATAAATGTTGACCAAGTGTCCTAAGCTGGTTTGAGTCGAGTTCGCTACACCAGCATCGCCATCAAGAACTATTGCAGTCTCCACTAGGATCGCTGTGCAGTTTGAAAGCGTGGTGTGGCATTCGTCAAGCAACGCCACGCAGAGCCTCTCCAGCGCCTCTCGGATCTGGTGCGCATCTAGCGTACGAAGCTTCATGATTGTCGACAAGGCCAGTTTCACCTGCAAAACTGTGGCCTTGAGCCACGCCGGGCTGAGGATCTTGCTCTTGTCGCCATCAGAGTCTTGTTCTTCCTGCCGCCCCTGAGCGAGAATCGACCTCGTCCTCAAATCGCCAAGCACGCGCGTCAATACGGTCCGCAAGGCCTCCAGGCTTTCCGCCAGCACTGCTGTCTTGTGCCGGTTGTGTAGAGAAAGGATCTTGGCGAGGGAGGAGACGGTCCCGGGAAGAAAGCTTGCCAAGGCTTCCTGCTCCCTGAGTGCGGAATACGCTCCTCGCAGACAGCGCAAGGCTTCTCGCTGGATCCATGGATTTGCACCGTCCACAGCGCCATCAAGCATCACAGTTATGCCGTGTCCCAGAACAGGGATCGCATTTTGCTCGGCAAGACCAAAGGCTGCAGCCGCCGAGGAAGCAGCGGCGCCGAGCAGAGCGGTCTGGGTACGGAAAGCTTCCAGCACGGTCTCTTCCGGGACCTCTCGCTTGTTTTGAGATCCAGGGACTCCGTCAATGATGAAGACGAGGAGACTGAAAATCTGCTGCACCAGTTTGGCGGATATTTTCGATTTCCAGCCGTAGGTGATGAGAAGACGAAGGCTCTTGATGCAGTTTTCGATCAGGGGCACCGGATACCGGTCCATCTGGCGGAAGATGTGATAGAGGGGGAAGAATACATACTCGGCGAGTTTCTCGTCGAGCGCGTCTGGGTTGGATTCGATCTGCGCCTCGATAATGTCCAGGACCTGGCTCGTATGCTCAACCAACTCTTGGGTAGCCGCGGGCCCGTCAGGGTCGCGGATAGCATGTTGGCTGATTTTGACACAAAATGGCTTCAGCTATTGGAGTGTTAGACCTCGATCCGCCATCAGAGTGGGTGATAGACGGGGGATCTCACTTTCTGGAAGAGCGCAGTTCGGTCCCGAGCTCCGGGCGTCGTGTCCATGGCCTCTAGAAGCAAAAGCCCCCGCGCGAAAGCTATATATGCATTGTATCCGCATTCAAGAGCTTCTTGCAATCGGGTCAACCGCTGAAACGGCACATGCGCCTGTGAGGCCGGTCGGAGGTATCACGAAAGGGTTGTGGCTGCGAGAATCTGGGCGATTGGTGCGAAGTAGACTTGTGGGTGTACAGTTTGAGAGGTCCAACAACACTGTGTTTTTTGCCGCTCGCTGACCGACCTCTTCCAAATCACGGCCATCCCAACCCCCAGCTTACAGATGATGGCACTGTAATATTTTCGCACTGTCAAGCTGCAGCGCTGTCGGCTGGAAATCCGCTCATCCAGCAATCGACGTCACCGGCTTCACTTTGGTCCGAATTTCACGACAACAACTTTGCCATCCTTTCTCTGACGAGTCGACGCTGTTTGGCGCAAACTTCCGCTTCAATTGCGTGCAAAACAACTTCGAGTTATCCGTCAACGCTCAGCAATGACGGCAGTCGAGGAACAATTCAAAGTGCTCGTGCACCCCTACCGCTCTCCCACCCGAGGCACTTGTGCCTATGAGATGGGAAACACATCCTCACGCAACGCCGTCATCTTCATCGGCGGCCTCTCAGATGGCCCTCATACGACGTCATATATCCGCACTGTGGCGCGACAGCTGGAGACGGCCATGGAGCTCAGCTACTCAGTTTTTGAGATCCGCATGAGGAGCAGCTTTGTTGGTTATGGAACGGCCAGCCTGAAGAGCGACGTCGACGACATATCCGCCCTCGTCAAGTATCTCCGCGCATTGGGGAGGGACAAAATTGTGCTGTTTGGCCATTCGACCGGCTGTCAAGTAGGTCGAGATGCCAGGCTCACCTCGCCATCCGACTTCTGACGGGCGGCTCTAGGACTGCATGGAATACACGCATTACGCCAAGCATAACTGCTCCCCAGTGGACGGCTTCGTCCTGCAGGCACCAGTGTCGGACCGGGAGTCTCTCGAGCTTACCTGGCCCGACCACAAGGCGAGCCTCGACCTTGCCGCCGAATGGATCGCTCAAGGAAAGGCGGACGACTGTCTCCCGAACGAGCTGGTTCCTGATGCGTTTGGCGTGCCCATGTCGGCCTACAGGATGCACTCGCTCTTTGCAAAGGGGTAGGGCAGGCCATGGGAATTGTCTTTGAAGGCTGTACTAACGCATGCCAGGGGCGATGACGACTACTTCTCCTCCGACCTGGACGATGAGACGGTGGCCCGGGTGTGGGGCCGGTTCAAGAAGCCGGTGCTGGTGTTGCACTCGGAGATGGATGAGTTCGTGCCAGACAATGTCGACCAGGCGGCGCTGAACAAGAAGTACCGCGACGCGAACCCTGTTGTGAGTCCACTGTCCGGGTTGATTCCGGGAGCAGGGCACACGGTCACGGGGGAGGAAGCTCGGGAATGGGTAGCCGGGCGAGTTGCCGAGTTTCTGCGCACGTTGAAGGCATGATGTGCAGCTCTGTGGATTCGGGTGCGAAGCAGACACCGCTCACAGATAGAACAGCATGGTTGTTAGTGGTTTGGAGCTGCTCACCAGGCAATCTGCGGCGTCCAGGGTAGGCTGCACGCGGAGCAATTCTGGCGATGCCTTCCAGTGCTTTGTGGGAAGTATACCGTCCGGTATCGGCATGGCCTGACGGAGGCTCCCTTGGCCAGTAGAAAAGGGGAACGACTTGGTAGGACCGACTATATCAAATACCATGCAAAGGCCTCCATCCGTAATCACATCAACGATGCAGTGCACGTAAATGACTTGAAATGACTTGAAATGACTTGCTATCTGCGATAAGTCCGACGCCGTTCTGGCGGGTTACATCCGATCCACCACAGCCAGAGTGGTTCGCGTTCGTCATCACAGCAGCTTGGGGCCAAGTGGGGTCAATGCATATTAGCGCCGCTAACTAAAAGTCCGCCGCTCTGCCTAAACCGTAGTCCAGCGCTTACAAAGCTTCCTCGCGACGCCATGTTTCCGACAATCCGTCCCAACGGTCCTCGACCACTGAGTTTTCATCCTCGTTACGGACCTTGAATCTTGCATCGTCGACTTCCATGTCTGGTGCTGGCGACCGCTCATCTGACCGCCGTGCCCGCTCCGCAGACGACTTCTGTTCACCGCCGATCACGCGAACACGCCTCGCCGACGACCCGAAGCGCTGAGTATGCCGTGACGTCGGCCCGCGCCGCCCACCGCCCTGCACTGTCCGCGACTTGAACAATGGACCAGTACAGCCAACAGCACGTCTTGCTGCGCACCGGCTCCTTCACGGGCTTCCGGCCGTCACAGGAGCTCGGAAGCAGCTATCTCGCCGCATCCTCGTCGTTCGAGCAGCCCCTGTGCGGCAACGCCGAAGGATGGGGTCCACTGAGCCCCTTTCGCTACGACTTTACGCCCTGCTTCATTGACGTCTGGGTCGCCACCGTGTCCGTGTATGCCCTCGTCTTTGGTCCACTTGCCATCTGGTGGCTGCTCGCCAAGAAGCCTCTCCAGGAGGGCGCCTCCAAGAACGTCCACTTCTGGACCAAGCAGGTCAGTAAACAGACGTCGCGTCCCTGTAGCAACCCGCAGCTGATGGCGCCTCGTTACAACAGACTCTTCTCGCAGCACTCATCGCCGACGTGGGCGTCCAGCTCGCCTTCCAGATAGTTAGCTACCCGCGCATATGGTATGGCGATTTCCGGACTTGGACCTCCGTCCTCGCCATCCTCTCCCTCCTGGTCATCTTCTCAATCCAGTGGATTGAGCACTCGCGCCTCAGGCACGCCAATGGTGTGGTGCTCTTTTACTGGCTGCTCCTCATCATCTCACTCGCAGTCAAGCTGCGCTCCCTCGTCTCGCAGCAAATCTACGACACGAATCTGCCATACTTCATTACCTACTGTGTCGGCTTCGGGCTAGCCGTAGCCGTGTTTGCCGTTGAATGGCTGTGGCCGCGAAACACCGCTCCAAGTGGCTACGAGGCCATCACTGAAGATGACGAATGCCCCGTAGAGTACGCCACCGTCTTTTCCAAGCTCACCTTTTCGTGGATGACGCCGATGATGAGGTATGGGTACAAGGTCTTTCTCACCGAGAGCGACCTCTGGGGGCTGGCCAAGCCGGACCAGACCAAGAACACGGGAGAGGCCTTTGACCAGGCTTGGCAGCACGAGCTCAAGTCCCGCAAAAAGGGGCCGTCTCTATGGCTCGCCCTCTTTAGAGCGTATGGTGGTCCTTATATGATTGGTGCCGTCTTCAAAGCTGGCAACGATATCGCGCAGTACATACAGCCCCAGCTCCTGCGCTTCCTCATTGACTTTGTGGCCTCGTACGGCCCGAATCGAGACCCGCAGCCCGTCATCAAGGGCGCCTCTATCGCACTGGCCATGTTTGCCTGTGCCGTCTTTCAAACCACCATGGTGGTGAGTATCTCGCCATGCTTGTAATCATGGATTGGCTGACAATGTCTTCAGCACCAATATTTCCAGCTTTCCTTTGAGACTGGAATGCGGATCAAGGGCGGCCTGGCTTCGAGCATTTACAGAAAGTCGCTCAGGCTCTCTAGTGAGGGTCGGGCGTCCAAGACGACGGGTGACATCGTCAACTACATGGCGGTGGATGCCCAGCGCCTCCAGGATCTCACCCAGTTTGCGCAACAGGCCTGGTCAGCCCCTTTCCAGATCATCATCTGCATGGTCTCGCTCTACAACCTTGTGGGGTGGTCCATGATGGCCGGCATCGTTGTCATGATCGTCATGATGCCTGTTCAGGGCTTTGTCGCAAGAATCATGAAGAATCTGCAAAAGGATCAGATGAAGAACAAGGACGCAAGGAGCAGGCTGATCAACGAGATCATCACCAACATGAAGAGCATTAAGCTGTACGCCTGGGGCTCTGCCTTCATGAACAAACTCAACTATGTCCGGAACGAGCAGGAACTCAAGAATCTCCGCAAGATTGGCGCCACGCAAGCCTTTGCCAACTTCACGTGGAACACGGCCCCGTTCTTCGTGTCCTGCTCGACCTTTGGCGTTTTCGTGCTCACTCAGAATCGCCCCTTAACCACGGATATCGTCTTCCCGGCTCTCGGTATGTATTGTTCACCCTCAACCCGGGAGAGTCTGTCACTGATTAGGGGCAGCGCTCTTTAACCTCCTGACCTTTCCCCTTGCGGTCCTGCCCATGGTCATCACCTCGATTGTCGAGGCTTCGGTTGCCGTTGGTCGGCTGACTGCTTTCCTCACTGCGGAGGAGCTCCAGCCCGACGCCATCACGGTCAAGCCAGCGCCCGAAGAACTCGGCGAGGAATCTGTTATTGTCCGCGACGCCACTCTATCCTGGAACCGCCACGAGGACAAGAACACGCTCAAGCGCATCAACTTCACGGCTTACAAGGGAGAGCTGTCTTGCATCGTTGGTAGGGTTGGCTCCGGCAAATCCTCTTTCCTCCAGGGCATTCTCGGAGACCTGTACAAGGTCAGCGGAAGCGTCGAAGTGAGGGGAACGGTCGCGTATGCCTCTCAGCAGACCTGGGTCCTGAACGCCACCGTCAAAGAGAACATTGTGTTTGGGTACCGCTACGATTCCGAGTTTTACGAGAAGACCGTCAAGGCCTGCGCCCTGTTGGACGACTTTGCCCAGCTTCCCGATGGCGACGAGACTGTCGTCGGAGAGCGCGGCATCTCGCTCAGCGGCGGACAGAAGGCTCGTGTGGCGTTGGCTCGTGCCGTTTATGCCCGCGCGGACATCTATCTCCTCGACGACGTCTTGTCTGCGGTCGACTCTCACGTCGGCAGGCACATCATCGACAATGTTCTTGGTCCCCGGGGCTTGCTCTCCTCCAAGACGCGGATTCTGGCAACCAACGCCATTACAGTTCTGCGCCAAGCCAGCTTCGTCACTCTTCTCAAAGAGGGTGAAATCATGGAGAAGGGCACATACAGCCAGCTTGCCTCGAGCAAGGGCATGGTGGCCGAGCTGCTCAAGACGGCAGGTCAGGAATCGAGCGGCAGCGGATCCAGCGGCCCCAGCTCGCCGCCTAGCGAAACCTCGACTGTCATTGAAGCCGAGGTTGGCCAGAACAAGGAGGAGATGGAGGAGGCCCTCGAGCATGTTTCCGAACTGGCGCCCATCAAAGCCGGGTCGTCGGCAGTGGACAAGCCTCGATCAAGCAGCATGGCAACTCTGCGGCGTGCAAGCACGGCCAGCTTCAGAGGTCCCCGGGGCAAGCTCACAGACGAAGAAGTCGCCGGAGGATCGCGGACCCGGCAAGCCAAGGAATTTGTCGAGCAGGGCAAGGTCAAGTGGTCGGTGTACGGCGAATATGCCCGAGAGAACAGCTTAGTGGCCGTGGCCATCTACATCCTGGCGTTGCTCGCTTCGCAAACTGCAAACATTGGTAAGGCTCCAACGGCTGATGCATTGTACGACTGCTAACTCGATTCCTCAGGGGGCTCCGTGTGGCTGAAAGAATGGTCGGAGAGGAACCAGTTGACGGGCTCAAACGACAGCATCGGAAAGTACATTGGCATCTACTTTGCGTTTGGCATTGGCTCCTCGGCCCTGACCGTCGTCCAAACACTGATCCTGTGGATCTTTTGCTCCATCGAGGTGCGAAGACCCATATGCAGGTGACTTTGCACAGCCATGCTGACGAGCTTGCAGGCATCGCGGAAGCTTCATGAGCGGATGGCCAACGCCATCTTCAGGTCACCCATGTCGTTCTTCGATACTACGCCTACGGGGAGGATCCTGAATCGATTTTCAAGGTTCGTTGGCCCACGGTGTAGCACGCTGCGCGAAGCTTGCGCTCACCATGGACAGTGACATTTACCGCGTCGACGAGGTCTTGGCTCGCACCTTTAACATGCTTTTCGTCAATGTGGCCAAGTCTGGCTTCACTCTGGTCGTCATCTCCGTGTCCACGCCGGCGTTTGTCGCCCTGATCATCCCGCTCAGCCTCACCTACTACTTCATCCAGCGGTACTACCTCCGGACATCGCGTGAGCTCAAGAGGCTGGACAGCGTCAGCCGCAGTCCCATCTACGCACACTTCCAGGAATCCCTCGGCGGCGTCACTACCATCCGGGCCTACCGGCAACAACAGAGATTTGAGCTCGAGAACGAGTGGCGGGTCGACGCCAATCTCCGCGCGTACTATCCTTCCATCAGCGCGAACCGCTGGCTGGCTGTCCGTCTCGAGTTTATCGGAGCCGTTGTCATTCTGGCAGCGGCCGGCTTTGCCATCATCTCGGTGGCGAACCACAGCGGCTTGAGCCCTGGCCTCGTCGGTCTCGCCATGTCATACGCGCTCCAGATTACGACGTCGCTCAACTGGATCGTGCGTCAGACTGTCGAAGTCGAAACGAACATTGTGTCCGTGGAACGAGTGCTCGAATACGCCAGACTGCCCAGCGAGGCGCCCGAGATCATCCCGGGCAAGCGACCGCCGGTGGCCTGGCCGGCAAAGGGAGAGGTGGCCTTCAAAAACTACAGCACGCGGTACCGCGAGGGGCTGGATCTCGTGCTGAAGAACATCAACCTCGACATCAAATCTCATGAGAAGATTGGAGTTGTCGGTCGAACCGGGGCTGGCAAGTCGTCGCTCACCCTTGCCTTGTTCCGGCTGATTGAGCCGGTGACGGGCCACATCGACATTGACAACCTCAACGCGTCGTCGATTGGGCTGCTGGATCTCCGACGTCGACTCGCCATCATCCCTCAAGATGCGGCTCTCTTTGAGGGAACAGTACGAGACAACCTCGACCCTGGCCATGTGCATGACGATACCGAGCTCTGGAGCGTTCTTGGTGCGTATTCAACGACTCCCAGTTCTTCCGCCCCCCCCTCGCACCGTTCCAGAAGCTGACGTCGCGGCAGACCATGCCCGCCTGAAGTCTCACGTCGCCAGCATGGAGGGCGGACTAGAGGCGAAGATCAACGAAGGGGGTAAGTAGAGACGTTGCCGCTTGGCCCATAGCATGGCTCCACCCCACGTGCCCCTCGGACAGCCAGACAGCCACACGGCTGCCTGAGTTTGTTTGACTTTATCCCTTGAGGTTGTGAGGTTGCGGGCCACTCCGGCCGCTAGATGCCATGTCTTCAAACGGCAACCCCATGACGACGACAGACTATTGCTAACACGCCCCTGCGCTAGGCTCAAACCTCTCCCAGGGCCAACGCCAGCTGGTGTCGCTTGCGCGCGCCATGCTGACCCCGACCAATATCCTGGTGCTGGACGAGGCGACGGCGGCCGTCGACGTGGAGACGGACGCCATGCTGCAGGCAACGCTCCGGTCTCCGCTCTTTGCCAACCGCACCATCATCACGGTCGCGCACCGGCTCAACACCATCCTCGATAGCGACCGCGTAGTCGTGCTAGACAAGGGCGAGGTGGTGGAGTTTGACACGCCTGCCGAGCTGAACAAGAAGCAGGGCGTTTTTTACGGGCTGATGAAGCAAGCGGGTCTGGAGCTCGAGTAAAGAAGGGACGGCTATTGGCATAGCTGAGAGTTTTGGTGTTTTTTATAGTGAATGCCTCTTTCTCATTCAAAAAGACCTAGAGACGGGGGTTTCCCTTGCAACTGTCATTTAAGCAGGTCGGAGTACTATAGATTGCAACGCATCTAGAGGAGATGGTTGAGACTGTTTTAAACCGCCCAAGGGTCCTACGCAGCGTCTATGCCACGCCGAATATCGAAACCCGTCTCTCTTAACAGGGCGCATTGGACGCCTCGGAGACGCGGTGGAGGGTCCGGCATTCGCAGGACCCGCAGCGCAAGGAGAGGCGAAGCTGAGAGGGAGCAGGCGCGTCTCGCGAGAGAGGAGTCGCTGCGGTTCGCACATGAGCAGGCCAGTTACACGGACGAAGGGATGGGGGGAAGAGGGCTGGCGCGGCTGACGGCGCATGTACGCGTCTGCAAGCCGAGCAGGATGGCGGCGGCGTGGCTTCGAGGACGGGGCGCTTGTGGGAGGGGATACGGACTATGCTGCACTGTAGTATACTTGTGTGCGTGTGTGCGTGCGTGTGTGTGTGTGTGTGTGTGTGTGTGTGTATTAGCCCCTGTGGAGGATATGCTTGGAGCTGGAAGGAGTCTTATTCGAGGACAAGGATAGGTTTCGAGTCGAGTCGAAGAAAGCACACTGGACGGATGGATGGATAGGCAGGTGGAAGCAAGCACTCGATGACGTACCCTCTCGAACTCGAGTCTAAAGGGGCTCTCCGACTGTGGCTGCCTGGTGGTAATTAGTCGGCGGTAGATCAAAGACAGGCAGGCTGATGCTGCTGCTAATGGCGGCCGACTAGTCCAAAGAGGCAGATAAGAGTCGAGCTATGCATGTGAGGACAGAAACCTGCCGCTGTCACGACTAGGACGGTATCCCGCGCCACGGCCTATACTCCACCGGGTAGGACAAAGGGCAGCATCTAGCCAAGCCATCTTGTCAGATGCAGACGGGCGTAGGGAGTACGTGTATGTACATACTATGTAGATCAGTAGGTATGTATGTATGTATGTAGGTATGTATGTATGTATGTATGTATGTATGTATGTATGTATGTATGTATGTATGTATGTATGTATGTATGTATGTACCTATGCATGTACCTATGCATGTACTACCCGTTCCCGTACTCGTACTTGGCCGTGAGGTATCGCAATGTATCCGTACTCTGTACCGCATGTACATGGACGGCATGTCGCGCTGCTCCCTGCAGACGGGGAGCGGCGGAAGACAGGGGCAGGGGGAGGATGGGGGAGGGGGAGGGGGCAGAGGGTCGGCCGGGGCGCCACGGCGGCGCCTCATGTGAAGCCCGGGGGAAAACAAGAGGAGGGGCGTCAATTCCCCTCCTCCTCCCCTCGGCCGTGCGCAGCAGCATTTGCTTGTCTGTCCCTGTGCGTCTGAACGTATGTACAGTACGAAGCATGTTTGGACCCAAATGGACCAAGAGGGAGATACGGGGGGGGGGGCAAGAGGATGGGGGCCGCGAGCCGTGACGTCTGCTTGGCTGACGAATTAGTGACGCAACCTCGTGTCCAGGCACACGGCACCAATCTCAACGTTGATTATAACGAATCTAAAAAAGCTGATTCTAATTTATAATCCTCCCGCAGCCCAGCTGGTGCCTCCATGCGGGGGATCCCAGCGTCTCGAGACATTGGGATGGATGGAAGTTGGAGCCCATGTCTCTCCCCCTGTCCATTTTTCCTTTTCTTCCCTGGCATGCTGGGCTTCTCTTTTTACCCGCGCCATTCCCCCATCTTGCACGCCTCTTTTCTTTCCTTCTTCCTATCCCCCTACAATTCGCGTCCCGTCCAATCAACCGTCCCCCCTCCCCCAAAGCTCGCAACATGTTCCGCAGCGACCGTGGAGGGGCGGAAAGACGAGAGGATCCCCTAGCAGACTGTCTTGCTTTTTGCTCTCTTACGCCGTCTTCCTCGTCGTCGTCCTCAAGTCGGTGGCATTGCTTCTGCTTGAGATGCAGTCAAAGCGAGCGCACGAGGGGACGGGACGGGACGGAGCGCCCACTTTTGTCTAATCATCGAGGCCATATCAGCCAGCCACCGCCTCCATACGAGTCAAACCACTGCGTAAATCTATTTCCATCCACCCACTCCGACTCGTTGATATACGGAGCACTTGGCACACCACCCAACCACACGACATGACTTTCAGCATCTGGACGTCCGATATGGGGGACATACGGCCCGTGGTTGGCGGTGCCATGTGCATAGCTCCGTGCCTTCGTATGCCCTGTGCGCGTATGCAATCGTATTCATTAGACGGTGATGCATGTGTGACATCTCCGTGGAACATCCATCATGCTGTCTGGGCAAAGAGACGACATGGGCGGCTTGAACAACCTTTAAGCGCCCACCCGTCTGCTTTCGCTAATTCTGTCGAGTCAGCTAGTAGCAGCTGCATTCGTACATGCGTGCCTCTTTCTCCGTCTGTACAGTACCTGTATGACACGAACCCCAACCCATATGCTTCGTTGGCGAACCGCCCTTTCTTTTCAACCCGGCTTTTTCTTCTTTCCATCCAAGCATGAGGCGCGGTGCTGCTGTGTTGGACAAGAAAACCCCCTTGGCGTCATTGAGGTGCGTCTCGCCAGGGTCGTCGTCACCCGGGAACCAGCCCGCCTGGTCCCCAGCAGCAACATAGCCCCGGGTGCCGTGAGCCTCGTGGCCCAGCTGCCAGTTCCTTTGGCCTCTTCCTAGACCCTTCCTAGCCCCTTCCTAGCCCCGAAAGCCAAACCAGTTCCATCAGGTTTGGGTTGCACCGTCTTGTCTTGACCGGAGCCCCGAGCAGGGTAAGGAACCTGTTTTGTCTCGTCCCCTTTTTCTTGGTTCCCTCTTGGCGTATATAGCCCAGTTGCATTCTTGAACGTAAAAGCAAGCAACAGGAAAAGAAAGGAGAGGCAAAAAAAAAAGGAAAGGTGCCCGTTCTTTGCAAAACACGGGACCGACAGCTCCAACGTGAGGTGGGGGCTTAGTCTGTATCCACTCACGAGGGAGAAAAGGAAAGGAAAAACGGAGCGGCTGTTGCTAGATTCGCCTGAGACGTCTATCATGGCGGTTCGGTCGGGCCGACAATCGAAGCCGCCAACGTCCCGAGCCGTCCGTCGTCGTGCCCCCAAACGGCTGCCATAGAGTTGGACACGCAAGCGAGACAAGTCCTCTTGTCGAGATAAAGGGGCCGCGCCTCTTTCAGCACAGGCGATGCATGCCGCTGGATCGAGCAGGCGCCAAGGCCGAATCCGGCCAACGGTTTCGGTCCTCGCTGCGCCGCGCGCGTGTGTTCGTGTGTGCGCGTGTGCGTGCGTGTGTGTGTGTGTGTGGCAGTGGAGAGCTTACTGTCCAGGGGACTGACTGTTGTCGGAGTTGTACTGTATATAATTACTCCGTACTGTAATTACATGACTTCGCAACTCGCTTGAAGCGGGCCGATTCTCCGTCCCATTCAATGGCAGCTGCACCCGGCTTAATAGGTACCTACCTAGGCACTCCGTAGGTACCTACGCAGTCCCTGATTCGAGACACGACTGAAGTACATTCAGTAGAGGTAGGGAAAGAAAGTCAGTCATCTATAAACATACGTCAACGAGGAAAGTGCTACGAATAGCTCGGATAGGAAGGTGTTTATGCAGTTTCGCTTACAATAGGCACCAAATAGGTAGCCGGGCAGGCATAGCTGCACGAACGCGGCACCTCCGAGCCTCAGTCAAAGACAGTACAGTGGTGGCTAGAGGTAGATAGCAAGAGGTAGGTAGCTAGAGGCAGCTAGAGGTAGGCACTATCCGTATCCGTACCAGCGTCGTCATGATTCATCTGGCTGACAGACTTCAACTTTGACAGTTACCCGCGTCTACGTAACTAGTAATATCGGATAGCGCCAACCTCGACGAGATAATCCCCTGCCAGATAGATACCTGCCTGCCTTGGCATCTCGCATCTTTGGCCATGTTGTAGTATGTGTGACCTATGCCAGCATGTTCATAACAAAGTAGCCATCACCGTCTCTACTGTATCCGTACGAAACTCAAGGCATGTACTGTAGGCCTCCAAATGCAGGCATGGTCTCTCCAGGCACCTACAACATATACAGCATAGACTCTGACTGGACGCACCGTCCAGAATCCCCATGCCGGTGCCGACGGCGCAACTCGCCAGGCCCACGGCCCGCGCCACGTCGCGGTGCAATCTGTCTCGCACCTACATACGCCAGCCGCGAGCGACCCAACGACCAGGCAGCACGGTACAGCGCCCGTAGGAGGCCTTTTCTCCGCCGGTGACTCGGGAACCTGAACATGCCAGCCTCGGGGTTGGCTCTTCAGCCGGCGGCTCACCATGCTCGTGCAACCTGCTGTTGCACAGGCGGCCGCACAAAGCCATGGCCGTCAACACTACATCGTTTACGCCGTGCCCAAATCAGATACCCAAGGAGACCCCTTGATTGGCCGCCCTAGCTTGCGAGCACGACATTGCGACTGGGCTTTGGCTTCGGAAGGGGGGAGGGGCAGGGAAAAAGAAAGCACACCACCAACCGTCCATCAAGAACCGTTGCGCGGCAAGGGAAAGAATCGGACTCGGCACGGTACGAGGGTCGGCAGTGTTCCGTTCCTTGCCATGATGCTGGTCGTCGGCCTGTCCGAAATCGCAGACGCAGCAACTGAAGCTCTGGCATTCGTCAGCGCCTTGTCCCAGAACGGCCTTCCGCTGCTATAGCTGTCTCGGAGCGCAGCACGGCAGAGTCGCTCGTGGTGGCTGGTGCCCGCTCCACTGTCCCGCCCGGTCCGTCAAAGCCTGCCCTGCACACGCCGGCCAGGGCAGACCCTGCCAGCTCCCTGACTTGCAGGCCCGGGGGAGCAGCCAGCGCGCTGAGTCCACGGATCCAGTATCCGTAGCGTGGGCATGGCTCTCTTTTTCCCTCCTTTCTTGCTTTGTCGCTAATGGTGCAGGGGTCCATCAACGGTCGACGTGCTGAGCTTTGGAGAAAGGCAGGCCATCGAGTAGGGCCGAGTCCAAGGGGTAGTTCTGCCCCGAGGGTTCGCAGTCAAGGTCCGGCCGGTCCTGCACCAATGTACAGTATGTACAGCCTGTGTGTATTCGTACATGTGCCACGACAAGTCGGGCGGAACGCTCCAAGGTGGGGGCGCTGAAGGGGAGACGACGGGGGGTTTGACAGCCTGTCTCGCCTTGGCCTGGATGACATGCTTGGCTGAAAGGCGATAGCAGCTTGGCGAGCCGGCAATTGGCAGTGGACGGCGAATGGACGAGATGAGGTTGGGAGGGTGTTGATCAGACATAAGCGAAGCCATTTTTGGGTCGTCGGCCAGCCTTGTCAGCAGCCCAAGCGTCCCGTCCGCAGAATGGCCGAGTCCTGCGAACCTCGACACGGGATGCATGTAATCGAGATGTCGCCGTCAAAGATTGAGGGCCTGCCAGGCGTCTCATGTGTGTAAGGTATGCAAGCGCGGCACGTGCGCCCTGGCCTACCGATCCAGGTGGGTGCAGTGCTGGCAGTGGGCAAACGCACCTGTGCTGGCCCGCTGGGTAAGCTACTGTACTGTACTGTAGGCTGTAGGTGAGCAGAGGCAGGCAGTCTCTCACCACCGTCGCTGCTGCCCGCATCTTGCACACCCCCTCCCCAGCAGAGATCTTCGCCTGTAGCTTTGGGCTAGCTCTGCCGACATTGCCTGGAAGGAGGCACGTGTAATTAAGGTCTGGTGGAATTGATGGTGCCAAGGCGCACCTGGGCCGCGGTACGTACCTCCCCATGCTCCCCATGCTCCCCATGCTCCCCATGCTCTCCATGGAGATAAGGACCGGCTGCCATCGTGGGTGGGGAACCGCGGGCCGCCGCCGGACCAGGTCCCGGACGAGCTTGGAAAGGCATCTGAAGCAACTCTTGGGCCCTGCCCGTTTGGTGCCCAGAGGGAAAACATGCATCATCATCACAATCATCACCATCATCATCACCATCATCATCACCATCATCATCATCACCCAAGGCTTTTGGCGGAGTATAGTACACCGCGCTGGCTTGGGTGCTCGGCCCGGCGCAAGAGACTGTTCCCGTTCCCGACCAGGCGGTGGCGGGACATGGCACGGGCGCTAATGTAGCCAGCTGCCAGACGAGACTTGTGCGTACGAGTACTTGTACGTAGATCTTCCAAGCCCCCACCCCAAGACAACGGGCCTAATTACCGTACGGTACTACCTAGGTAGTAGTAGTCGTCGTTGGCTTCCATAACGGGGCCATCGACTTTGCAGTACCTACTATCTGTACCTACCTAATGTAGTGGGCGACACAAAAGGCCCGCGGGTAGAGAGTGCATGTACAATGCTGTCTGTCCCTGGTCAAAGTCAAAGTCACGGTGCCTGCGCCGCACACAGCTGTGCAATCCATCTCCTTTTCTCGCTCGCTGCTCGAGGGCCGACCCGCTTCCGGCTTCACAGCATGTGTGACGGCGGCACGCACCGTCCATGGCAGGCAGCACAGTGCCTACAGACGTGCTGCTGCAGATAATGGGGAACGAACGGCATGGGGGCCCCGGGGTACAGGGTGCTCCGTGGGCGGGAAAGGTACCGATACCTTGTCAGCCAAGTCCCCCGAGAGGTCCCGCTACCTTCTTCTCGCTCGTCTCCGTGTCCTTGATCCAAGCTCCGAGGTACCTCTTCCCCTTCCTCTTCCCCAGTACGGCTGTATGTACATTCACGGCCTCCACCCACCACGACGACGACGACGAAGCTCTGCCGCCAACCACCACACACCTCCCTCCCCTCTCTTCCCTCTCCGCCTCTCTCCGCAACCTCCCTCTCAACCTGGCCGGGCCTCCCCCTCCTTTGCTCTTCGTCCCCTTTGCTCTTTATTTCTTTTTTGCTCTTACTCCCTCGTCGTCTCCCGTCTCCCACACCCGCCAGAGCTAAAGGGCACCTCAGCAGGGGGTGTGCTGCTCGCGTGGGAAATCCACCGCCTGCCCCCTTTGCTTTGCCTTGCTCTGCCTGGCTCTGCCTGGCTCTGCCTTGCTCTACTTGCTCTACTTGCCTCGAGACACCTGTATTTCCCGAGCTGCTGCTTCCGCGCCTGATGATCCAGGAGTCGCCTGCTGTTTTACAGAATAGTACTTTTAGGTACTTTTGGGGTCTTGCTGTCCCCTACCAGCGCCGGCGACAGCGCCCACCACCGTCACCGCTTCGCTCTCCTGCTGCCTCTTGTCCTCTTGCCTTGCCTTGCCCGTCTTGCCGTTGCTGCACACGCTTTTCCCTCCCAAGGGCTGCTTACATCCGCTGGCTGACTGGGGACGAGGCAAGCCATCGCCACCCGCCCAACGAATGCACCGCGAGTCACAGAACGCAGAGAGAGACATTCATCAGGTCCCGTGCGGGGGCTGCCTTTGCCTTGGTCTCATTCTTCGCCTAGCACAGGCCCAGACCTGGACCGATACCGACTCTCTGGCGCCGGCCCATCCCTCGCTCTCGTCCATCTAATAATACCTGCTCTCTCTCTCTCTCTCTCCCCCCCTCTCCCTCTCCCTCCTCGCTCCGGTAACTGCCTCCCCTGTGCCTCGCCAGCCGTTCCGCATCCCACCCCGACGCATTCTCACGGACCAACCGCCTGGACTCTCCTGTTCCATCGGCCCTTCGATTGTTCTGCACCACCTGGCCGCTCCCGACGAGCCCAGCTCTGTCCCACACTTGTCGCGACGCCACCTCGTCCGAGGCAGCCTATTACGAGACCGCTCCCGCCATTGCCGCCTTTGATTCGGCACCCCAGAGGCAACTGACGCTCGGACAAGCACATGCACATTGCTCAGCAAGCTTCTTTCTGCTGCATCGCACGACTGTAGCCAGGCCAACGCTGCTGCGGCTGGAGATTTATGAGCAACGCTGTCATCTGCTCCCGTTCGTACTGGAATCTGCCAGGCCCTCGAGCTCGCGTGTCAGGAAAAGCGGCCCGGATCGCGGGTTAGGCCACAAAGCTCTTCGGCGGCAGCTCAGAGTGGTCGCAAGGACCCGACGCACACACCCAACTGGTGGTACCGCTTGGTCCGGCCAACATTGTCCATCTGCCAAAGGGTCAACGCAGAAGTCTGGACCAACAGGACTTGGCTGACGCCTGTGCGACCACGACCCTCGCCAAGTTCAACCTCTGCCTTTTTGTCTGCCCACATCCGCCGTCTGGCTTCAGCCCGTCACGTCAACAACCCAGCTTCAAGGCCCGGCTCTGACTGCACAGCTACCAAGGTTGCCGTTGAGCGCTGACGTCGAGGCTGCGAATCGTTCAGGCACCTGGCAACGTCGCACAGCGTCTCTCGTTTCAGCAGCGAGCTTCGTAGTAGACGCTCACTCCTCACGCTGGCCCGTCCGCTGCAGCGCAAACACCTGCCCGGGCTAAGCCCTGCACGACATGCAACGCTAGCAGTGCCAACTTTTTGACCACCCACTTGTCGCCCAAGAGGCATCAGCCAGTTGAGCCGGGGGACACAGTATCGCCGTCCGTCTTCGTCAAATCACCCCCACGAGCGGCCTGTCACAAATTCCCTCAAGTACGGCCGTTCAGTCCTCTATACCGAGGGCTTTAGGGCTATTGCGGATCGCATATTTGAAGCAGATCCTGCCTTGCCTACCGTCCCAACATCAGACACAGTAAGCTTCTCCCCCCCTTGAGCGTGCAGAAGCTGATAAGAGTTCGAGTCTAGTTTCCCTCAGCCTTTGCTCCTTGGCCTCGCGCTCGTCATCTAGCCATGGTTCGAGACTGGCCGCGGGACCCGTTTCCACGGCAGCAGTCTTTCCAGCAGCAATGCTACCCACCCGCTACCCGTCACCCGTCGTTCCAGCATGAACGATTTGGGTCAGACAGCGCTCCGCGTGGAGATGCCTTCTCGCAGGAGCGCTATCCGGTCGAGGGGGGTGACGGCACCCGCTTCCAAGACCCGTACGACGTGCATCGTCGACAGCCGCCGATGGTGAGTCTCGTCATCCAACGGCTCATTGCGGGGGCAGACTACTAATGCAGGTGCTCCGTGAGGCACAGCAAATTGATGAGGCGTTGCGCTCACACTGTGGCATCGCGGCGAAGCAGTACTTTGTTGCCGCCATCACGGAGGAGGGCATTCCGATGACCTTCTTTAGCCCCGGCCAGAAGCTACACGACAACACCATTCGTCAATTCTTCGACGCCCACAAGTTTCAGCAGGTCATGCGCAGAATCGACTCCGGTCCGTGGAAGCCTACGAGTCCCCCCTACCGGCGCGCCGATGCTGACCGGTTTTTGCCAGGCGCCGATCCCATGCTCGACGAGGGGTTTGGATTTGAAGACGGCGCATACGGCCGCCCGGGGACGTTTACCAGGGTCCGAGCCGTCGAGCGGCGCCGAAGTTCTGTGTTTGACGACTGGGGAAGCCCGGCGCGGCAGGGTCGCAAGAGGCCAAGGGCCCGCCATCCCATCAACGAAGATGACGACATGCCGATGACTGTGTCTTCCCGCAAAGGAATCAAGGTTGGCGACTCGGAGGCCGTGTGGAGCTTTTACGAACAACGGTTCAAGAACTGTCAGCAGACGGCTTGCAAGCTGATAGCCAAGGCGTGGGTCAAGGCGGTTGAGCCTAAGAAGCAGTCGACCCATCCGTACACGGGCAGCGACGAAAAGGCACCAGACTGGTGGCCGAAGCCGTGGGGTCCGACCAAGGACGACAAGGTCCGGCATAAGGAGCCCGATCATTTGTACAAGCGAGGTAGGCTGGCGAGTGTTGGCGTCTACGGTCTGCCCCTTGCTGATCGTCATGGCCACAGAGCGCGTCCATCTACTCGCCCACATTTTGCGACTTGTCGTCGAGCCAAATGCGAAGCAACACCCGGACATACAGAAGCTCGCTTTAAACGTCAACAAACTCGAGGAAACAACCAACGAGGCACTGTCGGCCTTCTTCATGGACAACGAGACCAACGCGAAGAAGAGACCGTACCTGAATGAGATTTTCAAGATGGCGCGGCAAGAGGAACGTTTCAAGAATGGGGAGATTGGTAGGCCGGCGTCTAATCGGCGACAGTTCACAGAGGATAGACGTTGACTGGCGCCGCAGATGATACAACCGAAGTCTACGTCATGGCTGAGGACAAGCTACCCGAGAACTACGCCTCGGACAACGACGACGGCTCTTTCATCAAGGACGAGGAGCAGCAGCACGATTTGCAACGGTCCAAGCCCGCTACGACGCACTGTCTGGTACACACACCGACGACGGCCCCAGCGAATGGGCACAGTCTTCACGGAGGACCGGCCCCCTACATGGGTGACCTGCCGGTCCGAGGGACGCCATTCCATCCGCCCATGATACAGACGGAGATGGCGCCGCAGCAACACCCTTTCGTCGAGAACAGCGGCATACCCGTCAACGAGCAGTCGGCAGTCAGTGCTGGAGCCGGTCCGCTAGGCTTGGACCTTGTTACCAGCCCCCACGACACGAGCCGGCGGCCTTCGGTGTTCAGTGAATATACCAGTCCCGGCGGTGGTAGCATGTACTCGCAACAGTGGCAGCAGAGCTCGGCTGGATCCAACGCACCGTCCATGTACGCCTACACGGCACAGCAAGCCCCTACCCAGCAACCGGCGTTCGTCAACCAAACTGTCCAGATCAGCCCGGGACAGCCGTTCATGGCTAGTTCTTTCGAAGGCTCGCCGCGACCCGAGTACGACACGAATGGCAACGCCATGTTTCGGGCGGCAGACCTGCCACAGGCCTCTGTCAGCCAGCCGCAAGGTTACTATGTGCCGAGCGATGGGCGCGGTAACCTCCGCGTCATGACGCAGGTTGTCGACGGTGTGTCCCGGAATTCGGTCCAGCAACAGTAGCAACTACAAGTCTCCGGGCCGGGTCCGTTCTGGACCACGCGTGGCTTGCTGCCGGGTTACTCTTGCATCTCACAACACATACCCAAGCCACTCCTGCAAAGTATTTTGCACATCTGCCCTTTGTTTGTTCCAGCCGGATCGGCGCGCTATTCTACAGTTGAGCAAGTTACCCGCGTGCGGGAGTAACGGATGACGACAGCCTCTGATGTTGTGTCGGGTACCACGGCCCTGGGTTTGACAACACTGGCAAACATGTTGCAGTTTATTCAACGGCGCCGATGTTGGGTGAGACACTATTCGAACAAGGGTCGATGGCATTTTCCTCATGACGCACGAATGACTATCTGCTCAAAGCTCGGCCTGCCTTGTCAAGGGCTATCCCCTGGCGCCGTTTGTCTACCTTGACTGATTCGCCTTCACTCTTTGCTACACAGGGCAGCCGTGACTTTGTCGGCGTAAGGGGCGTAATTGTTGTACTTGGGAGCTGCTTGGGCGGTCTTTCCTTTCCTTGTTTCCCTGCAGCAAAAGTTGTCGGTTATTGCTGTATACCCATAGCATTTTGACGGCGAGCAATTGAACTGGGCGGCTTGGCCGATGCGTGTCGAAGGCGGCCGCAGCACTTGGCGCGTTGGTCTCGGTTCCCTGTTTGGCGCGGCGGATATTGGAGCGGCAAGGTTGTCTGCGATGCAATGTCTTCGCCTGGTGCTCTGCAATGTGGGCGTCAGCCAATGGCAAAGTTGCACGTTTGGCACGCATCATATGCATGCCTTGTCAATGCCGGGAATGGGAAGGCTCGGCGGAGGGCCTATCTCTCGGCTTAGCCTTGGGCTGCCAAGCATGAATGGCGGCCCTACCTCGAGGCCAGGGCAGCTTGCAGTGATACGTGACGAGTGAAGGGCTTGGGCTCGCACTCGGGCTGGGCGTGTGGATATCCCGGACAAGGACGTCGGGTACGGGTACGGGTACGGCTTTGAGATGGGAGGGAGCCGGCCGAGGCGGGAGGTCGCGGGAGGCCGGATGGGGAACGCATCTTCCTGGGCAAGCAAAGCGTTTGTTGGCGGCAAAGCAGCCACGGGCAGACGGACCGCGTAGTCAGGGACGAGGGTTACATGGATTGACTGGCAGAGCGTCGGGAGCCATTGGCATGGAGACTTGCATCCATCTGCCCCCACGCCATATATATGCGGCGTAGTCGCGTGCAACAATCCATGCCCCGGCTGCGGGCCGAGCCACGGCCGCACCGGAATACGGACAGGTTGGGCTGGGTAGGTGTACCGGGGCTACGGAGCACAGTGCATGATTCGAGATGTGCAGGTACAGTATATGGCGACGATGGCATCGCGCTCTTCCTCTGGTTCAATATCTATATAGTCTATATAGACCGACTGTCGAGGTCACCAGGCTATTCATTCGAGATAAAGCTGGGGAGATGTGCGTCATGGATCCGTGAGCACACTAGACTGCAAGTCGGTTGCATTCTTCCGTCATTGCTTCAACCATCTGGTCCGTCCGTGAGCCCCTCCCTCCTCCCTCGAGCGAGGAGGAAGACGCAGCCTGGGAGGGGGAAACGTGAAGGCGGGAGCGTCTCGCAAGCCACTAAACCCTCTCTCCTCTTCTGACGCCCCCGGGCAAACGTGCCGTTCTGTTTGAGGTAGATGGGAGGCGTCTGGGCCTGCGCGTACGCAGGCGGCAGGACAGTTTTGTGGCTACTGTGCTTTCTACATGCCGACTTTGTACGTACAGTAACTTACAGTACGCATGCTTGATTCCTCTGCCAGTATGAATAGCCTGCGCCGCGACTTACACGCTAGTAAGTACTATAAGTAGGTAGGTACTCTTCGCGTGGCGTCGCACGCCCAACAACCGGGAATGGGCGCCCTCGCGCGTTTGCCGGGATTAATGGCGGCCCCCCCCCCCCCTCCTTTTCTCTCTTTTTGAACTCCCGTGGGCGCTACGGTGCTCTCGCGGCGCATGGAGAGGGGGGGGGGATTTGGTAGATCGGTGCATGCGTACTATACTTACAGTAATACAGTGCTGTGCTCTGATAGGGACATGGATATTCTTGGTGATGGTATGTCGAGATGCTGTTAGTACGTAGCTCTGTTGTGGTAGGTACAGTACTGTGCCTACCTAGGTACCTACCTAGATTGCCTAGGTAGGTAGTTGGCTAGGATAGCAGCTAGGACACAGTGTGGCGCCGAGGCGCGGGGAACCAAGCTCCCCTCGGTTAGCAGTCCCCCCCCAGAAGCGGGGGTTGGAGGAATTCGCGAGGTCACGGGGCACGGCGGGTACGTACCGGTACGCCATGTTCCAATCTGGGTGCATCGCCTCCTTTCGCCCAGCCACTCAGGCCCGCGGGACGGACAACGTGCCCCGGGACGCGCATAAGTATGCCGCAGGGCGGGTGTCTATGCGTCTAGAGGGGCGCTGATGCATATACGGAGAGTCTTCACACCTGTCTCACACGGGCCTGCCAAACGCCGGGCAAGACGGCGAACAGCTCATGCCCCCCCCCCTCCCATGCTCGACATGCGTTGATGGCAAAGCCCGAGGCAGCCCGGGGACCTGGAGCGCAGTGCCGCACCAACGGCGCCTTTCTGCCGGTGCCGCTCGCCGCCCACATCCCACCGCCCCCCCGCGTCGTCGAGAGACAACTACCGTCTACGACTCTACGCATGACGCATTAGTACAGTAGGCTAACTATACCTGGACAGAATTCCTAGTTCAGTACGCACCGCATACTCGCGCTGCATATGGGGAACTCCTTGACCCTGGGTCTCAATCCCATCAAAAACTCACGTCTGCATCATTGCGCAGGCGCGGAGCTGCGCGCCGTGCTTCCGGGCCCATACTCGATATGTACAGTGCACGACGCACGGGAAACGCCAAACCGCCATGTCTGTATGGGACCCCATGAAAGAAGGAGCAGACGAGGCTTCGAGTCCTGCGGCAGCCGAGGGGTCGCTGTTTCGTAGCACGTGCCTGTATTTGAAGTCTGAGCCTGCCACGCCCCACGAGTCAAAGGCCCCACCCAAATAGGCCGAGCTTTGCTCGGCACTTGCAAGGCTGTCGTCATGATCCATCCCCGGATGCTTCAACGGCAAGTCCCACTTGAATTCCCAAAGCTATCATGCGCGTCTTCTGGGGCTTTTCACCCATATCCTCCATCTTCGGCTTGGCCCCGTCTGCTCAGCTGCCCATCCATTCATCCCTGCAAATCACTCTCCAACGCCCAAGGTACCATACATGCAGCTTGCGCGAGTCCAGAGGCCGGCGTATGCTCGGATTGAGCAGGAGCGAGACTCGGCGAGAGGGAGCGCAACCAGCCACCATCTCAAGGTTCAGATCCTCGAGTTTTTGAACCTGCCTGCCTGCATTTTCGAGAGAATAGAAAAATGGCAATCGATCCGTCCGTCGAGATTCGAGCCCAAGGTGATGCGGCCGAGCGGTACGGAAAAGTCGAGGCCGCCCCTTCGTCGGATAGGTATCAGACCTAGTTACGGGCCCCGTCGTCCATGCGATGGCATCAACTCGGGAATGTACCTGGCAGGTCAGGGGGAGGATAAGCGAGCGCTGCCGGCCCATGTTCCTAATTCGTCGGCGCGCTCGAGTTGTTCTCCTCCTTTGGCTGCGGCGGTTCGAGGCCGGCGTTTTGCGCAACCCGCTTCCACGTCTCTAGTTCCCTATATAGCCGCTCACACTCCTGCTTGAGCTTGTCGTTGGAAGCGCTGAGTTCCGTAATGGCCTGCTCCGTAAGCAGTTTCTCTAGCGTCCACTTCTCAATGTTCTGCTGCTCGTTCTCCTTGAGCTGCGAGATGAAGCTGACTGCGCGTTGCAGGATCGAGCCCTTGTTCTTCTCGCATCCCGGGACTATCTTGGCCAGCTCGTTGATGCCCTCGTTGATCGTCTCACGTCGTCGCCGTTCCACTTGAAGCGCACCGTCAGATGGTCTTGCACCTCAACGGAGCGGGGGAGCGCCACGTCTTACCTTCTTTGTGGTTGTCCTTGCGCATCTTGTGCCACTCTTCGGACCCAACGCTTGGTTTCGGGTTCGGTGTAGTCGACGAGGTAGAGTAGCGATGGCCCGGGGGCTGGACGCCGTTTGAAGCAGGCGGAGGCTGCTGTTGGTCCGGGCTCACGGCGGACGCGTCTAGTAAGCTCTCTGGCTGCGTCACCTCGGGATCAAACGAGTTTTCGTGTGCCTGATCCCCGTCGGTGCCCGACTGGGCGGCAAACTGCTCCTCCGTAGAGGCGGGCACGTGAAGAGTCGGGTACATGCCCAGGGCTGCCTGAGCCGTACTCGTCGCGTTGGAGGGGTCTGTCGGTTCCGAGTGCTCGGCGGCGGCAGCCTGTTGAAGGGCGCTGAAGTCGGCCACGTTGACGCCGCCAGCCGTCGCGGCTTGTGTCGCTTCGATGGCATTTTCAATAAAGGCAGCCGTGTCGGCCGACATGGCAGCCGGGGGGGCGGTGCGCTTAGCACGCTGGGCCTCAGGGCTTTCCGTGTCTCGCTTGCGCTTCTGACTGGGCGAGCCGGTGATGCTGGACAGATCGGGCTGCTCAGCCGCCGCCGCTGGATCGGACATTGTTTCGGACCGAACGACAGTTGCGGGGGAAGAGCCGAAGGTTGAAGCGTGACTAGTGTATTGAACGCCTGCCTCGACGCAAGGTTAAACCATGGGATGGGCCCTTGGCTTCCTTCGTGACACTATCTCAATGAATGGCTCGAGGATCCGTCGCAGATAATCCTGACGCCGCAGGGCTGACTCTGTTAGCGGGAGGACGCGCTCTGCTAGGGCGATGGAAGCAGCATACGCCCGACGTGCAGAAAAAGGAAGTGGTCGTCGCCGGGGGCAGACGAGGCCTGTAATGGCGGGGCGGCTGCTGGAGACGATGTATCGGCGAGCTCACCAGCTGCGAAGCGACGCCTCTCGGCTGAATTTTCCAGCTAGGTGGCATCGGCCCAGAAGCCTCGGATGAATCAAGCGCTTGCTTGGTCGTGGCCTGGCGCTTCAGACGTTGCGGAAGGCGAATGACTGTGCCAGGCGAGGAACGGCAACATCGGGACTGAGAGCGACGATGGTGAAGGGAAGACGTCGCGGCCATGTCACCACTTGCTCCACGGTCGCACTCACGACCGGCACAACCAGACAAATCGTATGCACGAATGAGGCGACGATTGGACGCGCGCATTGCATTAATCTGCGCAAAGAGAGAGGAAGAGGTGCGGGCGGGCGCGTCTCGTCGAGATGAATCAAGAGATTCGACCCTGATTGAGGCAACGTGTGCTCATTTTTTTTTCCTCGTCATGTCCAGCAGCGACGAGACTGAGGCGCGCGTAGGTTGAGGTGAAAAAAATTGCAAAAGACATCGCGAGTCGGAGACTGAAAGGAGATGCATGGACCGTACACACCTCGCAGATCATGTGCCCAGATCACGGGTTCGCGCTCTCACGTGTTTTGCGTGATCTATCTCGTGATATCGCGCCGTCGAGTGTAAGTTGCAGGCCAAGGACCCGCCAACGATGTCGTCGGGGAAAAGACGCGGAAAGAAGTCGAGAGGGGAGATGGAGCGGGCGGTCGACGGGTGAGAGAATTGGAATATCACGCGCTCTTTATCCTACGAGTCGATACGTTTGGGCGATGCCGTCGTCGCGCGCAAGGGCCGATGAGACGGATAAGAGGCGTGCGTTTGGGGGGGACGGCGGCAGGTCACGGGGTGGAGGAAGAGGTGGAACACGTGCAGGCGGGCGAGATGGGCGATAAATATGTACAAGGTGTTATGCCTGAGGCCACACACAGCCTGCCAATCACGTGTGCAGCCCTTGGACGAATGGGAGCAAGGCGCAGCTTCCTAGTCGACGGACAAGTCGCTGGAACCTTTGAGCGGTACCACTCTGCACCTGCGCTCTGATGTATCTAATACCTTACACCCACGTCCGGATACATCAGTTGTGACCTAGCCTGGCCATCCAGGTGTTTACTCGTTGCCGGTGCAGCCATGTACTATAGATAGCGCGGCCTCCGCCGCTCTTCCAGCTCTCGTTTGCACCGCGTCTCTCTCGTCGTCCTGCCACTCGCTTTGGTCTTTGGCTTGCTGGTGAATCGCCATCGGGGATGGCTTATGTGATCCAGACGCCATGCCACTTGCGGCACTGTGCATGTACAGAACCCTTCTCAGGAGGTACTCGGGTGCACCTGGCACTGACGACCACGAATCTGCATGGGAGGTTGGTTCCTCGCCTGTGTAAGGTACCAAGGTATCTAGGTGGTAGGTAAGGTACAGTATTATAGTACTTCCGTAGGTACTGTAATTACCTAGATACCTATTCGTCCCTACCTACGTTGAGTGCCTCGCACTGCTAGCCTTGAGCTGCTTACTAGTAGGTACCAGCTAAGATCACTACTGTACTCTACTATCAAATACTTCGCACTGTACTGTATGTATGGTGCGTACCTTCTAGCCCTCGTATTTGCTCGCCCACCAAGGTACATAGGTACTTACATCTCACCACGTGCCCCCCCGCCCCAGGGAGGTGCGGCACCATCGCGCTTGGGCTATGCATCTTCGCCAAAGTCACTTCCCTCCTCTCTCTCGCCGCCGCCGTCAGCTGATGGCGGCTGGAGCCGTCCATCAGGCAATCACTTGACAGGCTCATTTACCCGCGATGTGAAACATTTTCGTATTTCATTTGCTTACTTGCCGCACAGGGAGTCTGCTCTCGACAACCCGCCAACCTTGGACCTGCAAGGAACCGACAAGCGCTGCCGGTGTGCATGCGCAACAGCGCCAGAAACCAGCCACGGCTCATCTGGTGGCCTTCGGCAATCTGTCCACCCCCGACTTCATCGGGCCCACTCCTCTTGCGGATGAGCTTGTCACGGGCATGTCTGAGGCCCACATCAACCGTCTATGATTCTGCAAGTATGGCTGAATCGGGGCCTGCCATCGACAATGTTCCATGGTGAAGATGTGACTCCAGCGACACATCAGTTCCAGCCCCATAGCGGCAGTCCCAGGACACCATGGCCTGAGCTTCCATGATTAGCGCCGCTTGGGATGGCAGCTGACTTGACCTCCTCGCGTTCGACGGGTGCAATAGGACCCCCCCTTTCTGTCTGTGTCTAGCTCTCGGGACGGAACCGGTTTCCCGTTGGGCTTGGCCGCTCAGGTCGGACTTTGGGCAGGAACAGGTGGTGGCATGCCTCGCTTGAGACTCTCGTCTTTGTGGCCAGCAAGAGGTTGGCTGGATAAAGCATGGGCCTGACCTTGCAAAGCATGCGGTGATCCTACTTTCCGACGCGATATGGTTCATGACCCCGCCGTGTCACCCCACGCTTCGGGACTGCTGTTTACGGCGCGAGAGAAGACGTTATGGACGTGGGGGATTCCATATGCCAGTATTTTGATGGAGTTGGCTGCCCCAAGTCTCGACTTTTGCCGTCCTGTCGGGCTAGGCTGGGCCTACGTCGCCGATCGGGAAAGTGGTGCAGGCGGCGCGAGGTCCTCGTGAGCACGCCCGAAATCCTCACAAGGTCGGCCACGAGCGCTTTGATGGACTTTTCCCCTAGAGGCCGCCTAGGGGTTGCATCGGGCGCCGGTAGGCTTGAGAGGGTCGGGCCTCGGCTTGGTGTTGGTGCCCGTGACGTCGACAGATTTCATTCTCTGGCAGAGTGAGGGTCAGCGAGCATGACCTGTCAGAGTTGCTTGCAATGGGCGAGAGAGGCTGGCGAGTCGTTGGACGAGCGCCTCACTGTCGTTACCCAATCGCGGCCATATGGTAGACATGGTGAGGCGAGGGTCAGATTACTTGACTTGCGGGTGCCGAGTGAAGCTCTGGACCATAGAATGACCATAGAATGATGTTGTATAGGCGTATGCTTAGCCATTTGTTATTCAATAGAGTATGTGGCCTCGAGGCGCAATCGTAGGTTGTCCTTTGTCTCTGCGTACCAAGACTGTGCCTTTGATAAGCAAGCAACTTGGACTAGTGGCACTCGGCATGGCTTGCCCCTCAGCAGCATGTCCCGGTCCGAATATGTCCGATCCGACCGCAGCAGCTGCAGCCACCGACCTCGTCCAGCTGCTCTCCCGTCTTGCGGAAGAGACAATCATCAATGCTGCATGGCCGCACATGGCCACGTCTTATTTTCCGTTATAGCTCATCATAGCCACCTCTGTTCGCCATGGCCGACCACGAGCATGCCACGCTCAAGCACCACGAGCACCTACTCCTGGTAAGCTCTGCCTTCCTTCATCATGAAGACCAGATATCTAATCATCTTCTTCCCCATAGGACCAGCCGCTACTGCGTCTCCCCAACGAGCTCCTCCGCAAAAATTTCCGCTCCGCCCACTTCGTCATCGAAAAGGACACAACCGCCCTCAAGACGCTGCTCAAGGACTCGGCCACGTCGGCCGTCTCGGGCCGCGCCTCGCAGCAGGACGTGCTCAAGAACGTCGACGCCATGATTGCCCGCATGCGCGGCGTCAAGCGCAAGCTCACCGCGTGTGCCGAGGAGGAGTCACGCCTGCACACGCAGACAGCCTCCCGCATCTCCCATCTCAACGAGCTCTTCTTGATACACACGGTCGAGGACGTCAAGTACGAGGCCTGGAGTCGCCGCAGGCTGGACCGCCTGCTAGCCGACTACCTGCTGCGCCACGGCTTCATCCAGACTGCAGCCGACCTGGCCCGGGAGAGGAATATTGAGAACCTGGTCGATGTCGACACCTTTGTCAACATGAGTCGTATTCGCGAGGCACTCCTCCGTGGCAGCGTCGCCGAGGCACTTGCTTGGTGCACCGACAACAAGAAGGAACTGCGGAAAATGGAGGTGTGTGCAACTTGTCCACATTGCTTTCTGATCGAGCCGTCTACTTCTGCAGGTGGGCTGACAGTCGTGACTACAGAGCAAGCTCGAGTTCATGCTCCGATTCCAGCAGTACGTCGAGCTGATCCGCAATCGATCCGAGCCCAGGCCCACGGAGGCCGTCGCGCACGCCAAGAAGCATCTTGTCCCGTACGCGGCAACGTATCCCAAGGAAATCCAACAGGCCGGCGGCTTGCTCGCCATCCCCCCCAACAGCCCCGCGGCCTCTGTGTACTCGGATCTCTACAAACCGTCTCGCTGGGCAGAGTTGGCCGATCTCTTCACAAAAGCCCACAACAACCTCCTCTCCCTCCCCTCCGTGCCTCTGCTTCACATCGCCTTGTCCTCTGGCCTGTCGGCGCTCAAAACGCCTGCCTGTCACTCTTCTTCCCACCAGGGCGACGGGGCGTCTACGCTCGGCCATGGGGTGTGTCCCATATGCTCGACTGAACTCAATGAGCTGGCAAGAAACGTGCCCTATGCGCATCACACCAAAAGCCACGTCGAATATGATCTGATGCTGCTCCCCAACGGCAGGGTTTGTGGGAAGCAGCGGCTCACCGACCAAGCAAAGAAAGCCGGGCTGCCACAGAACCTGGTCAAGGATCCACGCACGGGCGAAGTGTTCGCCATGGACGTGCTCAAGAAGGTATACATCACTTAAAAGGTAGGCATTATCGGGGGCGTGTACCCCCTTCGCAGCAGCCGGCTTGCAAGTCTTGGTCGTGAGACCATCCCTCCGGCCAATGACCGTGTCGTATATCAGGTTCTGGCGGCAATTCATGAGTTATACCGTTTCGCTCGCTGGCGGACGATGCACATACCAGTGAGCGAGAAGGACATCGACGCTGGCCGTCAGGCTGCGTGCAGCCTTGCACTACGATGCAGCACATATCAGGCGGCTCGCACGCCAGAGGACACGCTCGCTACAAGAGGCGGGGGGCGAATAGCAGTTTTTTGAATTATATGGATTAGCGTTTTCAGGGGCGGAACGGGGCTGGCGTATAGGGAAGCGGGTTTCGGATCACGACCCAGCCTGTTTATTGATGCTCCCTTGATATTCGGTCCTTGTCGGACAAAACTGGTCTGAAGCGCAAACAAGCACGGTGTTGGCGGCGAATTATAAGTACTTGACCCTCTCTGCAGGTCTGCGATTTGATCAGGATTGTCCATGAATGCAGAAACACAAACTTGGTATGAGAATGGAGCATCAAGAGACAAGCAAGTCCAACAGCCGTGTATTTCCAAGCCCATCCACTCCACCCCCATCCCATTGACAAGAGCCGTCATCAAATCGTGCTGCTCCAGGTTCGAGAAAATTGCCATTTGTGTCTATGCCATCGCGCAAAGACGAGTAGTAATAAGTACACGAGCAGCGCAGCTCCAAGCCCCGTGCCTCTGCTCCCTGCTCCTCCGATAAAGACTGTAGAAGCCGCTCCGTCCACCATTGGCCCGCAAACACAGGCCCATCGAGAAAGCGTAAATTCACCAGGACGAGCCGCCCATGCCCCCTATTTCCTACCTACACCGAGCCCCCAGACCTTTTGCTTCACACTGGCCGAGGTTCAGCTTCGTCAAGCACCGGACGTAGACCGCTGGAGACGGCCCAGCTGTCAAGGGGATAAAGAGACGTCGTGTTTCCTTTTTGTCTCCTATCCAACCAGGGCAGCGGCCGCCGCTCGCAGAGCCCTACCTATTATTCCCTGCAAACGCAAAGTTGCCAAAGACACCGCCCCCGCCGCCGGGCGTCATGGGGCCCATGTTGGCGAGGCCGTTGGTGTTGTGGCTCTGCGCCGCGGGCGTGGTGACGAGGCCGACGCTGCCCGTATTAGGCGTGCTGGGGGCGCCGCCGTTCTGTGACGCGCCGTTGGCCTGGCCGGGAGCCTGTTGTTCGTTGCCGGCAGCAGCCGACTGGCTCATCATCGAGGCCATGATAAGGCCAATGTCGGGGATGCCCAGGCCCCAGACTTTGCCGACATGTTCGTCGGGAATGTCGCCGTTGAAGATCTTGTCGCGCATCTGGAAGAAGACCTTGCCAGTGAGGAGCGAGTCGGAGCCAGCCTGATGCGCCGACCCAATGCGCTTCACCTTGAGTGTCTCGGCAATGTTCTCCAGGCCCGACTTGTGCTCGAACTTTTGCAGAATCTCGGTGCTGTTGGGATCGCTCGGGGTCAAAAGGCCCGAGTTGTGCAGCTTGATGGCGTACTTCATCAGGTGTTTCACGTCGTACGTTGTGGGGAAGTAGAGCTTCATCTTGTGGTCAAAGTCGACCTCGTCATTGGGCAGGGGCATGCAAATGAGGAGCTTGGTGAGATATCCGAAATCGTAGCCGCCGTGGAAGGAGATCCACCGGACGTTGTCGAAGCACACCAGGCCCGAGGGAATCAGCAGAGAGGCGAAGTCGTGCGGGTCTATGCCGTCGCGCTCGAGGAGGTTGAAGTCGATGCCGGCTTGTTGCAAGGACTCAATCGACTTCTCGTTGTACATGTCGTCCTTGAGCGAAAACTTGAAGTTGAACTGCCACGAGTAAGGAAACGGCCCCTGGTTGGCGTTCCTCCTGCCCCCCAGCCCGGCCAAGTCGGGCGGTGGCCTAGCGGGCGGCGTCTCGCCATCCTCGTTGAAGAGTGTCAGGCCGATCTGTATGACCTTGAGCATATCGACGTTGGTCCGCAGGCATTGGTAGTGGTAGTCGCTCTTGCCCCGAAATCCGCCCATTGGTCTTGATACAACTCCGGGGAACTCGGTATCCTGTTGGCCAGAGTCAGCAAGCAACTGCGACCAAGCCGCGTCCGAGTCTCGGCGAGAGCCTACCATGGCAATGTAGGGATATTTGTCCACCAAGTCCCTGAGCACGGCCATTTCCTCGTGCAAGTTGTGTTTCCAGACCTCCCGTATCCTGCCTTTGTTGGGCTGCGTCCTCATTGTCGGGTGGTCGAGCAGGACGTTGTGCTGCACCTGGCCGCCGTGCTGGGGCTGCTGCAGGGCCGCGGCGCCGGCAGGACCATGCGCAAAGCCCATTCTCGCATTTTGGCTGCCGAAGCCCGAGTCGGCAAACCCAGCAGCCGCTCCGTTGAGCCCGGCAGCGCCAAATGAGTTACCGTTGGCAGCAGCAAAGGGATTCATCTGAGCGTTGGCACTGAGGTACTGGTTGCCGCCCATCGGGCCGCCTTGGGGCTGGCCATGGGAGGGAAAGCCGGGTTGATGGAAGGGAGCGCCCACGCCGGGCCCGGCGCCGAAGCCCCGGATCTGTGGCGGCATGGGAAGAGGCGAGTGCTGATTATCGGAGGGAGCGAAGCAGAGATGGCGGCCGGCGGGTGGAGGGAGGAGACGAGGGACGTCTCTAACGCGTCGAAGGAGGTGCGCAGCGTCGATTTGGAGGGCCTCGCCGGGCGTGCATTGAGTGTGAGGAACCAGCAGGAGTCGCGGGGGAGTCTGTCGCAGCTGGCAAGGCGCCCGGGCAGCTGTAGTGGATGGGTGCAAGGGTCGAGGCGGTCTCTCCGTCGTCACGAAGAGAGGACGATGTCGCTGCTCGAGGAACGGCGGCAGGCACGTGGCAGAAGAAGGCTCAAGGCCGGAGCAGGTCGGGCGACGATGCGCAGATGTAGAAGCCGCTGTCGACGGGGGAGGACGCAGTGCCAATCGTGTTGTTGCAGAGCAAGAGGAGAGTGCTTTGTCTTGAGCGATGGATCAGGTCTTTGTTCTCTCTTGTGCCTTGCTTCTGCTCTGCTCTGCTCTGCTCTGCGCTGCCTGGACGGAAGAGGGCAGGTGGTCCGTGCACCCGTGACCTTCGGAAGTGCTCCTCTACTTTATTCCGGTGCCACTTGCGCAGACAGGTACCGAGGTACTTACTGAGCATTCGACTACCTCTAGTACCTCACCTCTGCTCTCCTGTCAGTCTCTCTCCCCATCCCTCTCACTCAGGCCATTGCGTCCCTCGCCCGGCAGCGCAATGCTTCCTACAAGGTGTGTACGATTCGCCAATTCTCTCGCCTACTCGCCCATCACACTCGATGGCGGCACAAGAGCTGACACTTGGTCTCCCCCCCGCGACCCTTAGAGTCCTCCGCGCCGCCCGCGGGCCCAAGCCCAACATCACCGGCTTCAACATGCGAGCATTCAAAGAGGCCGCCGGCCAGCCCCGCTACGACCCCTGGGAGCGAGCGTCCGTTGCCTTTCCCTCTCCCGCCGCTCTCTAGAGAGCCCACCGACCACAGAGAGAGAGAGCCATTGCTGATGGTCCCCCGCAGGGAGGCCTGGAGATACACCGGCACTTTTTCCCGGCGGAACCGCTTCAAGGGCGCGCTCCCCGGCCTCGGCACTGCAACGGTTCTTTTCGCGGGATACTGCCTCTACGAACACTTCTTCCTCGACGACGAGCATCATCATGCCACGGCCCACGGCCAGGAGGAGCACCACTGAGAGGGCTCCTGTCGCGGCAAGGGGGGGCAGAAAGAGCGTGTCGAGGGAAAATGTACATGTCTATGATTTCCCTGCGGGAGACAAGGCGAGCGTATTTGATCATGGCTGTGACGTTTGTAGGCACAAACCTCGGGTCGTATCTCGTTGCGTGCCTTGCTGGCTATGGCTATCGAGCGCGCGAGCCGTCCTTGCGCTGCGTCGTGGCACCAAGTGGTGGTGTACCGCCAGCATCAGGTGCTCTTGTCGCTTCACCGAGGACAAGCTCTGCAATTTCGCCAGACAGAGGGCCAGGTACTTGTGTCTACGTGCCGAGCCAGCTCCAACGGTCACGCTCAACGTTGCCTTACAAGGGGTGTGCTATTGGTCCTGGTTCAATTTGCATTGGGGTATAATTAGTTGACAATGTTCCGGCGCCTCGACTCGCGTCGTTCTCTGCGCAATTCCCATATATCCATCTCAACCGTCCAGTCGAAGTGTAACATCCTTGTCTCCGGCTGCCAGCAAGGGAAAATCTACAAGCTTCCACCCAGGTACCTGACCTGGGACTGTCCGTGGTATATCACAGCCTGATGCCGTTGACCGCATCCAATGCTTCCTCGACTGCCTCCTCCAGCTCACCCACTCTCTTTTTGAGGCCTCTGTTCTCGTCTCTCAGGAGACTGGCCGTGTCCCAGGCAACGCTGGCGTCTTGGCCCTGGCAATTGCGGCAGCTACTAACACCCCGCACGTCATCTTCCTTTGGCGCCTCGCTCGACATGCCCTTGAAAAGCTTCTGAATAGTCGACATTTGTGACTGGGGCTGCTTTGGTGCGCGCGGCGTCCCCAGCATGGCTGGTTTGGTGTACGATGGCGGCGGCGGCGGCGGCATAGTCTCTGGGGAGCCGATATCTAACGTGCTGGCCGTGAGCGTGGGACTGCGAGATCGAGAGAAGACGCTAGCCTCCTCGACGCTGTCTTCGTCAGTGTCGGAGCTCAGGTCCGATTTGACCGTCAGACCACTCCTCCTCCGAGCGCTCCTCCGCTGGTCCTCTTCGGCGCCGAGATCCTCAGACCTCGTCGACATGCTGGACGAGATGCTGTTCTTCTCTCGAGCATGTTGTTCCGCTATTCTCAGCTTCTTCTCCTTGTTGAGTTCCTCCATCAAAGCTCGCATGGCGGCTTCATTGTCGGCCGCCTTTCGCGCCATGTCCTCGAGCTGCATCTTGAGATGGCGTGTCCTGGTTTCGAACTCGGACTTCTCGTCTTCTTGTGCCTCCTGCTCTGCCTCGAGTTCCCGGAAGGCCATGGTGCGATGCTGGTAAGCCGACTGAAACTTGCGCAAAAGCCCCGTCGCGTTCATGTGAAGGTTCTTGAAGGCGGCGGGAGAAAAGGCGTCTCCGTCGGCCGGTGCTCCCGAGGGGAAGAGAGCCGCTTCGATGTCGACGTTTGCGAGCTCGTCGTCTTGTGGCGCGGGGACAGGTGATGGCGTGACGCCCTTGAGGGCTGCCGATACGGACGACGAGAAGAAGGAGAAGCGAGCTGGTGACGACGGCTTGAGCCGACCAGGAGAGGTGGGCGCCGAGGTCCCAAGGGGGGAGCCGCGCATCTTTGTCGGTGTTGCATCGGCGCTCGCAGTCCGCTCGGCGGTGGGGGGGCTGCGCGGCGAGAACCAAGTGCCCACACGTCCCTGTCGACCGTCGTCTATCTTGTCGCCCGTCAAAGACATTTTGAGCGGACTCGGGCGTCTCCGCGTGCTGGTCCCCGGTGAAGACAGCCCCTCGTAGTCGGCGTAGTTGACAGAGAGGCGTGGGGAATGCTGTTGAAGCTTGGTACTGGATGCTGTTTCCTCGGCGGGCGACCAGACGGGCGAGCTTGAGCTTGAGCCGTCGACGTCAGGCGAGGCAGCTGGGGTTTGAAGCGTCGTGTTGTGTTGAGAAGAACAGTCGGCATTGTTCTGGGCTGGGGCGGACTGCCCGTCTGCCAAGGCTTGCATGTTTAATGCCCCGGGGTGGGTCTGGCTCACGTAGCAGGTTATGCGTCCCCGCCAGCTGACGCGCTTGTTGCACCTTGGCGGAGGATTAAGGCGGCGACGTTGGGTAAGGCCAGTCTCTCAAGGGGCCATCTGATGCGAGAGAGGGCCGAAGACGAGAAATGGAGGCGGGGCAAGGTTGAAGAATGTGATGGGCGTGGGATGGGAGTGGGAGGTGTGGTGACGCGCAGCGGCGACTGGTTGGAAAGGGTGTCGCAGTTTGAGACGGCGGCGCAGACGTGGGGGGGGGGCTTTAAGACGGCTGGACGATAGAACGGTTATCACGGGTCGGGTCCGCATCGAGAGGAAAGTCTGTCGAGGAAGCGGATCGAGTTGTCTTTCGCCGCCTGGCACTGGCATGCAGCGAGGGGGCGGGGGAGGGACGGCGAGGAATGCGCGCCGTCAATGCTCGAGGTCGGGAACGGTCGGGGACGGTGCGCAGGGGCCCGTCAGCCAGTAGAGGGCGAGAGCGGTAGGGCTATGTCTTGTCCAGGCAGCACCAAGGGGGCGATGAAGAGGCAATTCAGGCGTGAGGGTGAAACAGGCGGTTGCGAGGGAGAGCCCTGTTGGCCGCTGTCGATAGATGGGCTATAGCAGGGGACGCTAGCCAAGAGGGAGGGGACCTCGGTTTGCGAGGCGCAGACAGGGGGCGCTAATAATCACTAGCAGTTGGTCGGTGCAGCAAGGCGCACGGGCTGATGCCGCACGTTATCGGCGACGGGAGGGCTAATAATAAAGACGGGGTGGCGTTCCCGCAGAAGAAAAGGCCGTGTACTCACGGATGACGGGGGTGATTATTATTCATCTTCCAGGTTTCCTCGTCCAGCCTGATGATGGAGTCAAAAGGGCGCGCAACATTGGATCAGGGCGAGAGGAGAGCCGTTGGGCATACGGAGTATCCAGGCACAGGCACAGGCACAGGCACAGGCACAGGCACAAGGCAGAGAGAGATTGCTCGCGTCGTGGCACCAGTCAAGGAGCGGGACATGTGTGAGCTGGCTCGTCTTGGCTCTGCCTTTGCCTGCGGCTGCATCCGTCCAACGAGCTGCTGCTTGTTGCGACGGCATCGTGAAGGCCCACGGCCAAGAACCCCTTTTCGGTCCCTTTTTCGGGGCAAACTACAAACCACGCGGCTCGTTACTTGACACGGTAGAAGGTAGTGGTCGGTACCGGTATTGTATATTGTATATTGTACAGAGAAGTGCGGATGAATGCAACGGCTCGGCCGCATTGTCGACCCATGCCTCGCTAATCCAGAAGCGGGAATCACCTCGGTTCCGCCCGCACGTTACTTGGCAGCAAGCTGCTAGGCACGTTACATTCCCAGCCTGCGCAATCGACGAAAGCGTCGACCTTCCCTTGTCGCCTTGATGAACCACCAAGGGCGGTGACGGCAGCAGTCATCACGTGCGGCAACTGCTCCGATCGAAGGCAGCTTGTGGCTCTCTGGCTATCTGGCTCCGTAACTTAATAACCTGGCTAATCCACGGATACCCACCAAAGCGCGGAAGCTTCGCCTACCCGGTACTCACCCACGACCTGCCCTCACCACCTCCGTGCGACGGGCAGCAGGCTGAGCAAAGAAGCGCCTTTGAGCCGATGAAATGCTGAATGGTGGATTGTTTACGTTCTGTGGAAGGGGCAGAAGACGCGGATTGGTACTCGTTTCGTTTCGCGTATTGTGGGCCTACTCCGCGATAGTAGACTTCCAGCAGCTCAGCACGTCCTGTGCCCCGTCTCGGGGACCTGAGCGACCTAAAGGTCGCTGGACGGAAAATACAATAATAATAATAACACCACCTCCGTGCTCTATTCCCTCCGCCGCTGTGGCGTCATTTCGCTCTCGTCGGAGCACCAAGAGCAAGTCGTGATTGCCTCTGCCCCGAGTGACGACGTACCTTTTTGTCGTCCATGAATATGGCCGCCGTCACACTGACCGCCTTCCCGTCTTGTACTTGCCCAGTATCAAAGGCACTTGCACGAGCCATCCTTTGTATCCTGTGCCTCCAACGTAGCCTCCATTTCGTACAAGCGATTCCGTTTCAACGGGAAAGATCAATGAACTGTGCCATCTCCCCTCTAGGCTTCATTCTTCTTCTCCCCTCCCTCTCTCCCCTCTCTCCCCTCGCTCGCGACATCATCCCAATCTTCAGTCCATCACTACGCCGTCGACGACTGGCTCGCCGAGACACAGACCATAGTCCAAGGAGCAGCAAAGCCCGATAAGCATCGCCCAAACATTGCTCTCCCCGCCTTCTTTCGTCTTCTTCTCCTCTTTGCTCGCTCCCTCCTCTGCCATCTCCACCCCTTCTATCGTTGGACGCCAACAATGGAGTCCAAGGAGATCACGCCTCGTCCCAGTCGCTTCATCAAATTCACTCTCGGGACCCTCGTGACCATCCAATGTCTCCTCAATATTGTACTCTTCGTGGTCTCGTGCATGGCCTGGTCGGCCCTGCGGAGGCGGGCCAGGGAGTCAAGCTGCAACCTCTTGGCCAACCTTGATTGCGGTCTCGCCCGCTGGGCCCTCTACAGCCTCATCGCCGCCGCCGCCCTTGTCTGCGCCATCATCTTGGGTGTCGTGGCGGTCAGAACGTGGCTGGGCACCAAAGGCGCCTCCGTCGACACCCTGTACGTCTTTCGCGGTGTTATCTTCACTGTGCTCACCTTGGCACCTTTCATTTACTTCGGCTGGTCGAACCTGCAAATCGTCCTGCATGATCAGAGTCAGTTCCATGATCAGAGTCAGTTCCTCGACACCATCACTGGGGTAGCTGCTTGCGTAGCCGGAAAATGCGACCTCGACCAGATCGCCGAGATCCTCGGCTGCTCACCAGAAGATGACTGCTTTCCTGGCAGCATGGACTTGAGAGGCAGCTTCCGTGGTATTGGCGGCGCCTTCATTCTCGAGATTCTGGACAGCAGCTTCACAAGCGCAAGGGTTGCCTTCGGCTTGATCCATTTCAACGTGTAAGTGTGATACCTTGTCGCTCAAGTACCGAGCACTCTAACCCTGTTCCAGAATATTTGGCACCTTCGTTGCCGGCATCTCGGCAGCCTTGGCCCCGGTAACTGGCGTTCCCATCGGGGCTCAGGCGTTGACTGGGACGGCCTAAAGGACCGCTGCACCCGCTGGTTTTGCTTCACGTGTCGGACTCGCGAGCAGCACCCCGAGGAGGAGGAGTGGTGAGCTGCCCTTGGCCTGTCGCGTTCTGCTCTTTGTCCTTCGCGAACCAGTGGACAGGATGGAGGAGGCACAAGAAAATGGTGGGGTGCGCATTCGAACATGGGCTTAGCCTTGCTGGCTTCAAGGACCAAGAAGGGTGCCGCGGCCGACGAGTTGCACTTGGCAGATTGGACGGTCTGAATTGCGAGAATGAGGGCTGATGCCAGGCCTAGGCGGGTTTCCTTCCAAAAAACAGTGGGTAGTCAGAATAGGGTTAATGGTATCATTTCAAACAGTTGTCCTGCTTCAGAAGGTGACTGTTGGGTCGTTTGAAGGTGACGGTAACGTCCCCATTGTCGGAATCAAGGCGACGGCCCACTGTTATTGATGCTGGTCCTAAGAACTCTCATACAAATAGCCAGTGCAGCCCGCGATGCCCTTGGGTCGCAGCCCCTGAATGCAGTGCATGTTGGAAGCAAACGAGCCGTAGGTAGTGATAAAGAAAACACCATAACACCATCATGAGTCTCGTCTATACCCAACCGTTCTTGACCCCGGGAAGAAGAAGTAAATGCTGCGCCCGGTCCCGACTGCGTGCCTCCAGCAACGACCTCATGTGGGAGACACACAAGTACATGAGCGACGTCGCCCGGAGCCTCAACTTGCATAATCTTGATGGGGATAAAAAAGTTGCTCAAAGGCAGTCCCCGCCTCAGCTCAGCTCGACCGAGGGAAAGTAGCGCGGGCCGGCGAAGCCGCGGGCAATGACAGACTGGATGTCGATATTGCTGGCCGGCTTCTGCTGGGAGCCCCACATCTTGAGGAGGATGAAGCGGCCCGATACAGGGGGGTCGAAGCGGATGGTGCACTTGCTCTTCTTCTCCTCGATGAAAAAGCGGGCGTGCGGGGCGAGGAGCTCACCGCCGACGGCGCGGACGGCCTCCTGGGTGGCGTTTGCGTGGGCGTCCCAGGCCTCGGCCAGGGAGAGGCTGAGGCGCTCGGCGCGGTCGCGGTGGGGGTGCTGGTGCTGATGCTGGTGCTGGTGGTGGCGGGGCCGGCGGAGGGAGCCGTCGAGAAAGTCGTCGGAGCCAAAGGGGTTGGCGTCGTCCGAGTCCGAGTCGGGGTGCTCAAAGGGCAGGGAGCCGATGCGGTTGGGGGCGCGGCGGAAGACCTGCGACACGTCGTAGTCGTCGTCCTCGTCATCGCTGCACTCGGTCGTGACGCGCAGGTCCGGCAGGTTGTGGGAAAACTCCTGGGGCATCTGGGGCGTGCGGTGCTCCGAGTCTTCGTCGTCGCCGCGGAGGACGTACGACCTCCTCGCCCTGGAGCTGGTGGAACCGTCGTCGTGGCGCCGGATGGAGATGATGCGGCGAGAGTCGCGCTCGAGGGAGTGCCTGTCGCCGCCGCCTTGGCCGTGCCAGGAGCGATGGCGCGTCGTAGGCATGTACTGGATCTGGTACTGCGCCGTCCGGCTGAGCACGTCGTCTTGGTCCATGGCGATGAAGACCATGCCCTCTCGCACTCTGTGGCCCAGTCAGCAGATGTTCGCGCGAGCTGCAAGCGGCGCGGGAGCCCTCACGGGTCCGAGTAGTTCATGGACCCGGGAGCCTTGATGACCAGCTCGCGCAGAGTGAAGACGGTGGCTCCCCGGTGGCGCAGGACAATGTTGCAGCGGCTGCCCTTGGTGCAGTATACAGAGTTATCGTTTTTGAGAATGTTGTCGGCGGCGTACGACTCCTCGTTGGAGAACAGGCCACCGTCACAGCTCACAATCTCCATGTGCAGCTGACCCGGCTCGACCTGGCCGTACTTGCCGTATCGGAAGCCCTTGAAGCTCGGCACCAACCGGTCGGCATCCAGCTTGCGGCGTTTGCTCCTCCGGTTGTCGTCGGGGAAGTCGTGGGGCCGCAGAGTGGGCGAGAAGGTGGTGCGGATATATGGGGTCATGAGGTTGATATGGTTGGTCATGTCGAGCAGGGACCTGAGCTGCGTGTTGGCCTCGTCGAGGGTCTGATCCAACTCCTCAAAGTTGGGGCGCTGGTGGTCGACGGCGCGCGATCGGGGGTTGCGATGCGAGAGGCCAAGCCATGTCTGATGCACGGCGTGGTCCAAGTCTTCTAAGCTCAGGGACTGCTCGTCAAGAGAGTGGATGCGCTCGGCCCGCCGGGACGCCGTGGACCAGAATCGCCGTGACGGAGGGGGACCGGTGGTTGCGGGCGACGCGAGATCTCGGTCCCGGGGGGCGTGGATGTTGCGCAGAGGAGGTAGCCGGGGTGCGGAGAGCGGGGGGAAGTCGTCCGGGGGCTCTCTGGAGCGATGGCGGTTCGAGCCCGAGCTCGATCCCGGCCTGGAGGCCATGGTGGCGGGGGATCAGATGTGGTGATGCCGTGGTGTGGCGGGCAGAGGAGAGGACGCGAAAACACCGACGGCCACGAATGATAAAGGCACGGCCGTTGGAAGATGGGAGCAATCCGCAGACAGTTGGTCTAGGTGAGCCGAGGAAGTAGGGGATTCCGAGTCGAGCAACCGGTACAAGGCTCACAGCAGGCTCGGGGGAGACATATGCCGCAAAGGGCACTGTGTGGTAGTTGTTGGCGGGCGCCGCCGACCTTGGCGGCGGCGGGATGGAGGAGACTGTGTGTTAATCGTAGATGCGGGCGTCTTGGTAGTGCTCGCGCTTCATCGTGATACCGTCGTCTGCCGCGGGGCTGTCTGTGTCGTCTGTCCGGAACGGGTGTCTGAAGGAGGAGGCAGCGGACGCTGGGGGCCGTCTTGGCGGTGACGACTTGTGCCGCTCCTGTGGCGCGACAGGGGTGGGTGGTCCGGTCGGTCGTCGTGGCGGTCTTTGCGGGGGAAAAGCGGCGAGCAATCCGGATAGACGGCGCAGTGTCCGGCTGGGCTGGAGATGTCGGGTTGAAGTTGGCGAGTGCTCCGACACGAGCGAACGACGGGGGCCTTTGAGCGTTGTGGACGGCGATGGCTCAGGGCCCATTGCGGTAAGGAGGTATATTTCCGGGTACCTTCCAATGTTTACGGCTTAGCGCGTGCGGATACGGATTAGCACGTACAGTGCGTAACGCGAGCTGAGGGGTACTCTCGTCTGCAGATCCCAAGAAGGTTACATGCCGACTCAACTCAAAGTCGTCTCTGCTGATAGCTCGTCGTACAGTACATGTCGAGGTGCGTCGTCGCCTGCATTTCAGGTGCTGCCGCCGCGGCTTGAGCGTGCAGCGGCCAGAGTGAGGAGGTGCAAGACATTGTTGCTTATGCTGGCTTAGTCATTGCGGGACGGACTCGCAACAGAAGACGATTCGCGAAACTTTGTTTTCCTCCTTGAAAAGCAATAGACCGCGGTATGCGAGTGTTTGGAGCTCGCAGTGGGTGAAGCAAGTATCTGTCTCAGTTGAGTGGAAGAAAGCCTAGAGAGCGAGGCGGTTCAATGAGGTCTCGAGGCAGCATCTTTCCAGTCTTCACCGGACAACCCATTATCACTGGTGTGCCAAGTCTGCCCAAGGATGCTGTTTAGAGACAGGCTTTCTTCCTCTGACCTCACGCGTCGCCGAGGCAACTTTGGACTTAGACCTTGCAGGGCTTTCATCGTCAAATCCTTAAAAGCAAGTAAGAAGAGATGAAGCCTCGGCTTTGATGTGGTTAAAGACGAACCCAATGCGAAAGCTACTTAAACCAAGCCTGACCTAGCTGAGATTGCTAAGGGATACAAACTGGCATGGCCAAGCTGCCCCCGTGTAGACGTACCACTTTATCACATGCTCCGGCGCCAGCCATTACGTCAGCGGCATTTTCGCACTTCCCAGCGCAACGACTTCATCAAGCTTCATCAGGCCCTTTGTTGATACGAGCAAAACCAGTCGCCAGCTGTCCCGTCCACCCCCTCACCCCAGCCGACAGTTGCGATTCCGCGCGTGGATGAAGCTGCGCAAGGAGCAGCCTCGGGCGGGTTGCGCTCATTGGCCGTAGCCCAACAATCTCATCTGCCCGTGCACCCACCCATCTCGTCTCATCCATCTCGCCCCCGTCTGACCTCTCGCCGCAACGATTCCGTTCCTTCAAAGCACCCCTCGATACTCTGCCGCTTTGGCAGCCCGCCAACGCCTTCGATGGAGCAGCAGAAACATGACCAGCATAACACAGCCCCCTTGCCGTCTCCCGGCACCGATCCCCAAGGAGGCGCCATCCCGCCATTCAACCCGCATCTCCAGAACCAGGCAGACGCCGAGGCTATAGCCGCTGCCATGATGGTCGGCCAGCCCTTCCTGAAGGATCAGAACCTGGCCTCGATTCCCGTCGGGGACCCCAGCAGCGCACCCATACAGCTCCAGCCCGACAACAAGACTGTCTCTGCAGGTAAGCAGTCTTTCGTACCCTCAACTCCCCGGCTACTTGCTGACGCAGAAATCAGACGACGTTGCCCTGTATGATCGCCAGATCCGTCTCTGGGGCATGGCTGCCCAAGCCAAGATCCAAAACGCAAACATCCTCCTCATCACCATCAGAGCCCTGGCCAACGAGATCGCAAAGAACCTGGTCCTCGCCGGCATCGGCTCTCTCACCCTCCTCGATGGCTCGACCGTCGCCGAGGCAGACCTGGGGGCTCAGTTCTTCCTCGCCGAGAGCGGCGACAACGTTGTTGGCCAGAACCGCGCCGAGGCAGCCTGCGCAGGCCTTCGCAAGCTCAATCCGCGTGTCCAGATCCACGTAGATACCGAGGGCGTCACCGCCAAGGGACCCAGCTACTTTGCCGGGTACGATATTGTCATTGCGACGGATCTGGACCCGGATACCTTCAACATCATCAACACGGCCACGCGCATCAACGGCAAGGCCTTTTACGCTGCGGGCACCCACGGCATGTACGGCTTCATCTTCAGCGACCTCATCGAGCACGACTACGTCATCGAGCGAGTGGCTGGAAACGTGGCCACGGAGCCGATGCAAGAAACGCGGACCCGCTCCGTCGTCCACGTCAAGACGGAAAACGACAACGCCAAGACGGTCGAGTCTGTCACCAAGCGCGAGCTCTACTCGACGTGGTTCCTGGCCAGCGACCTCGCCGTGCTGCCCGGCGAGTACGTCAAGTCCAAGCGCAGACTCAAAAACGTGACGCCCGCCCTGCCCTGCCTCCGCGCCCTGTGGGAGTTTCAGCAGCTCAAGGGCGGTGCGCTGCCCAGCAACCGCGAGGACCTCAAGCTCTTTACGCAGATTGCCACGCAGAAGCACAAGGCCCTGAGCCTGCCCAGCGAGACGCTCAGGCCCGAGTTCCTGCGCAGCTTCCTGCAGAATCTGGGCGGCGAGCTTGCGCCCGTGGCGGCCATCCTCGGCGGCCAGCTGGCGCAGGACGTCATCAACGTGCTCGGGCAGACGCAGCAGCCCATCCAGAACATGGTCGTCTTTGACGGCGAAAGGATGGAGGCGGCAATGTTCCCGCTGCACCCGGAGGGCGCCCTGGGCGCGAGTCTGCTGTCGCTGGGGGCCAACGCCATGGCCTCCAACGGTGGCTCCATGATGATGGGTGGCATGCCTGGCCTCGACGAGATGGGCATGCCCACGGGCGGTCAAGGCTTGGATGCCGACGCATCCGGCATGGCTGTCCAAGGCGCCAGCAACAACGCTCAGCAGTCGACCGCCGCGCCGCCGCAGGACCAACCCTCTTCTGCACCGAGGCCTTCCATCTCGCGCGGCGGAGACGCGTCTGCTTTGTAATGAGCTCCCATTACGGCGTGCGTGCTGTTGCTGAGGCGTGAACGTGGATGACACGTGCACGGAGGGGTAACGACAAAGGTATAAGCTGCGGTGGAGGCCGCTCGGAGAGGCAATGGATGAGAGACTATGAATGAAGGGGTGATTAGGAATACCAGGGGTTGAATGTTCCAGGCATGAACTTGGAAAACGGGGTCAAAAACGGATCTCTGGGGGCCAGCCAGGGCTAGACAGGCGAGGCGGGCAGGTATTTCACTCGAGGCAACGATGAACGTGGCACTCTCCCATGGCGGTTCACACGATACGTGACGTGATGAGTGTCATCTCATTGTCTGCTCCTCTGTCGACTCCCGTTTTCCCCGTTGTCTACTCTGTACATGTATGTCGTGGCGCTCGACGACGGCCATTGAAGTTCGCGAAATGGGGTGTAAGGGGGAAGGGGGAAGGGGAAGGGGGGGGGGTATATATCCTTGAAAATGCCCGTGGCCATGCAATGCTCAAGGCCAGCAAGGGAAAAACCGGAAAAAGGGGGCCAAACGAGCACAGCATGTCAGATCGAAAGCGCGCAGGCAAAGGCAAGAAAAGCAAATGCGGAAAAAGCAGTCCCCCAACGCCCCTGTGGTGGTCCGTTGTGCGCGTGTATAGTGAGTAAGTCGCCCTGCGACCGAACCCCCCCCTTCCTAAACGCCGATGATGTGTGCAGTGCAGTCTCTCTGTGTGTTCACAGACGACCCTGATATCACACCCCCCTCCCTTCCTGAATCCCCGACTGAAATCACTTGTGCTCGTTGCGTCGTGTGCATGGAAGAAGGGAACTGCAGTGCTAATTTGCAGCCTTGTTTCCTTCTCCGTGGGTGCGAATATTTTTTTTTGGGGTTTCCCATCTTCTTGGTACTCTTCTCCTCTGTAATGTCCTCGGCGGTGAGTGCCATATCGAGAACTGGCGTAACATGAGCGTGGCTCAGTTCAGTTCCTGGCCCTGCGGGGGCGGAGGCGCTTCTTCAGGGGTCTCTCCGACTGGGAGTCGGCGGCAACCACGATACAAGGGTCGCCCTGATTGTTGTTGCTGTCATTGTTCCCGGAGCCTGCAGACTCAGCAGATCCAATGGTCGGGATCGCCCCAAAACCGAACATGGCCATGGATGCTATGTTGACCAAATCCGTCGGCATCGGCGCTGCCACCATCTTGGGGCCCGGGCGCGGGTGCGGCGTCGTCTCCCGCAGCGAGGGCATCCCGGGAGGCAGTGCGAATCGAACACATGGACGCTTGGGGATGGCTGGAATCGCGAAACTGGCCGAGGGAGCATCCTGATTCTATCGGGACTCCTCTCTGTCGTTTGCGTAATCCGCCTTGTCCTGTCTGCTGCGCTTGCGAGACTGGTTGACGTTCCAGCCCCGAATTTGGGTAGGCCCGGAATTGGGCAGGGCGGCAGACGCGCCCGTCTCCTTGTGGTCGTAGAAAATGGTCTTCAGCTCAGGCTTGTTGGACCAGGCTCGATGAGCGGGAACTGGCGCAGGCTGCAGCTTGCGGTATTTGCCGTTTGCGACATCGTTGGAAGGCGTCGCGCGGTGATGGAGCATGGGGACAGGTGCCACCTGCGGTGTGCCCGGAGGGCTCTGCTGGACCATCTGGCCAGCCATGGCTGGCGGGTTCCCGAACGTGGGAGACATTGCTTGGGGAGCTTGATGAGCGAAGCCCGGGGGAGGAGGCGACCCCATGTACGCTTGCTGTTGGGGTGGATGGTGGGGGCTGGGCAAGACTCGGTCGGGGCCCATGGGCTGCGATGCGGGATGAGGGGGCTCCGTATAGCCGCGGGGAAAGGCGGCGCGCGGAGGCGCAGGCGGATAGTACGGGTTCATGCCGGCGTGCATGCTGGAGCGCATCCTGGCATCGTGAACCGGCTCCTCGTGAAGAGCCTGGCTGCGGCTGCGAGGGGGGCGAAGAGGCGGCAGTGGCTCCGCGCTCGCATTGTGAGAAAACGGGATTCTCGGGTGCGGGGCGCCCGGAGGAACAGGCGGCGGTGGATATTGGTGCTGCACCGGAACGGCAGCTGGGGCGATGGGGGAGGGGCCTTGCTGTGGATGCTGGGGCCAGAAGACGAGGCCGCCAAAGGCTTGGGTAGGGGGAGGAGGCGCTTCGCTTCCATATCCTGCCATTCCGCGAGGATTGAAGCCCGGGTCGACGGGGCGGCCAGATGCCATGTGGGCATCGCGATGATTGGGCGTCGGATATCCAGGAGGAGGGTAATAGGCGTTTTGGTCCTGCAGCGGGTGGCCCTGTGGGGGGAGAGAGTGATGCTGGGGGAACTCGGTAAGCCTCGTCTGTGGGTAATGCTGCATGCCTGGGTCCTGCTGAACAGGATATGCGGACGGCTCCACGTTCGAGGCATGAACAGCACCAGCTGTCTGCAGAGGCACCGGCTCTCGCGGCTGGTTGTGCGTGAACAGGGCGGCCGATTGCTGACCAAGTCCCCGGCTGACGGAATCGTGTCCGTGAAGCACAACCGAAGGCGCCTCTTCGTACACCACGGCTCGAGAAACCTCCGAGTTTGGCATGAGAGCGGCCTGTGGTGCCTCGTCGACCTGGCGAGCAGAACCGGGGAGACGAGGCTTAACATTGCAGATCCGCGCAAGAAAGTTGAGGCCCAGAGTATCGTCATCGGGGAGCGGGGCGGGATCGGGTCTCGACGAGGTGAAAACGTCGCGGATCGCGTCGTAACGTGAGGTTTTGGAGGCAGAGGGCGTGGAGCGGGTTGCATCTTTGGCTTCCTCAAAGGCCGTGGCGTATGCGAGCATGGACAGAGCAGGCATGCCGCCACCGGGCTGCTCGGGAGTCTGGCCAACGGCAGCAGCTCCATCTCCTGCGTCGGTCTCCTCTCCTTCTTCTCCTCTTGCCGCCATCTCCTCCTGCACCACTTCTTGTGCCTCTTCCTCGCTCGAGGACATGGCGTCGAATTGAAAGGCGCTCGCTCTGATCTCCTCGTCCGCCGTCCCGAGAGACTTGGTGCGGATGTCTTGGTTGGATTCAAGGTATTCGGTGACGGCAACGTGCTCGGGTTCAACGTCTGCCCTCTTGCAGAAGCGACGGACCGCGGCGCTCATGTGGGCTCGCAGCGGCGCTTCATCGGCGCTGCGTTGAGCGGTCGTGCTTTGGAAAGAGCGTGACGCGTGAACCACACGGCCCGAAGGGTTGGCGATGAAGACAACAGGCTTGCCCGGCATGACGTATGGGTCAGCCTCGACGTACTCATTGACACCGCCGGGCAGACACATGCCATAGCGTGGGTGGAGGTTGTGTTTTTGGATAAGGTCCTGGTCAAAGTCGTCCGAAGTAAGGGTGGAGAAGTCGTAGTTAACGATTCTGTGGTCCAGGTGGATGGCGCTGCTATTTGGAGTGCCGGTGTACTTGTTGACTGACTTGACCTTTTGGCGAGACGGATCGTTTGTCGAGTCTCTGAAGCCGATTTCGTGGGATTCAAAGGCAAAGGAGCACGGCACGATAAATCGGTTGTGAAGCGTCTTGTCGGACGCCCTCTGGGTGTACATGCGGACACCATACTCGTCTGCTGGACCGGCATTTTTGGGCATATTTGGGCTCATGAGACCCTTGGGAGCGTCGACGTCGCCGTTGCGGGGGCTCGAGGCCTCTGGGGAAGTCGGGGCAGAACCCTCTTCGGCAGCCGGGGTGCCAGCTTCTGCTTCAGCGGCGGCTTCTTTAGCGGCAGCGAGCAGGCCCTTTGCCGGAAGAGGGGAGGAAATCTCTGCGGGCGGGAGAAGCTGGGCGTTGCGGGTGGAAGTGCGGGTCGCCTTCTTTGGAGTCGGCTGCCCTTCTGGCTGGCCCTGGGGCTTGCGTTTCGCCGCGGCGGTCCGTCCCTTGGTAGCCTTGACCTTTGCAGCAGCAGCGGCCTCCTTCTCGGCCTCGACCTCGGCCATCCTGGCCTGATTCTCTGCCCACCTCCTCGTACCCTCGACGAGGTGAGGGACGGGAACAAGATGGCCGTTTAGATACTCCCTATAGGGTCCAAAGTCGAAATCCAGATGATCATCATCGATTGCCTTGTACTCGAAGCGATCATCACGAACCTGTGGCAGAGCGTCAGTGAAGCTGAGGAAGGAAGGCTGGGGCGCGACGGGGGGGAGACAGAGCTATTCTTGACTTACATCGACGGGAAGGTTCTTCTCATGCAGCGAAGAAAGAATGCGGAGTCTGTTCAGAACTCCGTCATAATACTGTTCATAGAGGTCCTCGATGTTGTCCTGTACGCGTTGGTTAGTGACAAATGGTCCGATGACGGGACTCGGCCACGGACAGGATACGCCGGCAGGGCCAGGAGGGGAAGGAGGATAGATGGGATGGAAGCGAAGCAATAAAGAAGGGACCATACCTCGAAGCTCTGCTGAGCGATTTGGGTCTCAGCGTTGTGGCGGCGTTCGACGCCTTGTAGTTTATGGTGGAGGGCGGCGTCATGTTCGGCGATGACGGTGTCGTATCTTTGCTGGAGCTCAGCGGCCATGCGCACCATGTCGGGCGACTGGTTGTTGGGGTCATAGTTGTCGAGCAACTGATCGACCTGGCGAATACAGAGCTCCTCGAGGGCAGGCTTGACAGCGTTGGCAACCATCTGATAGGTGGCCTTGAGGTCGCGCTGGCGGTCATAGGCGGCCTGGACGCGCATGTCTGTGAAATTCTTGACTCTGCCACGGCGAGTCGGGGCGCGGCCAGACGAGTTGTTTGGCGTCTGCTTGGGCGTTGCCGAGTTTGAATTGCCTCCTCGGCCTCCTCCGCGGCCTCCTCGGCCGCCTCGACCACGGCCACTCCCTCTGCCGCCTCTGCCGCCACCGCGAGCATTGCCCGTGGCCGACTGGCGCGCAGCCGGCTGGGCCTCAGTTGCCATGGCGGATGAGAAGGACTGGTGACATGTATCTGTGCTTCTTTTCTTTTTCTTTGTGCTCTCTCGGGTGGACGTGTTTGCCAAGCAGGTTTTGGAGAGAAGGGTGGTTTTTTTTCCCTTGGTTGAAGTAAAGGGAGAAGAGAGAGGGGGAAAGGAGGATGGGAGTGCGAGTGCGAGTGCGAGAGAGCGATAGGGAGCGAGAGAAAAAGGGTGAGATGGAGAGGGAGAGAGGCGGTGATGGATTGTGAAGGTTCAAGACGGGGCGAGCGGATGGGGGGTGCGTAAAGGCGCGCGCTGTGCCGTGAGAGACGGCAGAACAAGGGCGTGCTTTGCAGGCAAACAAGAGACGAAATCAAGCCCACAGGCGGGTATGAGAGACGACAAAGGCGAGGCGTGACGACGACGAGGGCCCAGGCCGCGGGTTTGGGACAAAGGGGGGGAGGGAGAGAGCGGGAGTGTGCGAGTGGGAAAAGGCACCACGGTGAAGCGGCTCTCCTTTGGCCTTTGGTGCGTAAGTTCAGCGAGGTGTAATCAGAAGTTTTCGGCAGCCCGGCGACGCACGGAAAACAATAGGCAGAGGCCGACGGCCAAAGGGCAGCACGGTCAATGACGGCCACGCACGCAAGGGCCAATGCACCGAGGGCGCAGCACAATAGGTTGCACCGAGCGACGATGGATGGGCAGCAAGAGGCAACTTGTCGTCGTCGTCGTCGTCGTTTCGCGCTGCTGCAGAGGGAGAGAGAAAGTCCCTTTTCGGCACATGCAGCGATGCTCACGGTACCTCGACGCCCTGGCGCACGCCAGGTACCTGCGCGCGGGCTGTCGGGCGCACGGGACGCCCTGTCAAGGGAGCCACGGTACTTGTCCCAATGGGGCAGCGCTTGTACCTGCGGCTAGAAGAAACCTTGCGCCGGACAGCCCAAACACACACAACCTTGCCAAACACACATAACCTTGCCCGTCTCCTGGACGGACTGCCGCCCTTTTCTTTGCCTCGTGTAGTTAACTAACTATGTACTCGTGCACACTTTAGGATTTGCCGAGCAGCAAATCACCGCCGCGTCGCGTCATGCTCCCTTGGCGAGTGAGCCAGGCTTGAGTTAGTCCTACAGTACTTTTTTTACCCTTTGGTGTGCGACCCTCCCGTCTTGTCCTACCTACTACCTGGTACTGGTAGTACCCTCTGCGCATCATGTATGTACCCCGGGCAGGCAGGCAGACAGGCAGGCAGGCAGGCAGGCGGGCAGGCAGGCGGGCAGGCTCCAGGTCACTAAAAGGCTGGAACCGTCAGAGCACAACGGCCCTGTACGGGGGTTGCCCGCGCTGGGCTGGCCTAGGGCGACGGCAGCCGCCTGTGATTGGCTCTCGCGCTGCCACCTGTACTGAATCGGTAGGCACTCGCCCAGCAGCGGGCGCTGTGATTGGCGCGGAGCAGAGATATTCCGCCCGCTGCGATGGCGCTACCCCTGTCTCGACTTGGCACCCGGCAATGTACTGGTGACCTGCAGGCGAGCCAGAGTCTCTGGCGCCACGGAGCCATGACAAGTAAGCTTAGGCGGACGAGGCGGTCTGTCTGCCCTGCCGATCTAGGATGACGAGCAAGAGGGCCGCAGGCGCGAGCACACACTGCGCCGAGGTTCGGGTGAGTCAACCGACCTACAAGTTTACAGCCCTCCCGCGACCCGTTGAAGGATGGGCACACTACGCCCGCGGTTGTGACTGTCTGTCGACGGCGACGCGAGGCTCGGCGGCGTGATGGTGGTGCCAGCGGTAATACACGCCCGCGTACACGCCCGCGTACAGGCCACCCGCCAGGGCCAGAGCCTCATCGCTTCACAGACGTGCTGAATCCATTCACCAGCCATCAGCCAGACGCATCCCTGCCCGGCTGCCCATCGACATGCCAAAAAAGTATTTGCTGCGTGGGCTTTACGCAAGCGAGCCGGTACTTCCCACCTCGAACACGCAGCACCGCCATCACGCTGGCCTTGATGTCCGTCGAACCGGTTCACTGCACAGCCGCCGACGCAGTCGAGGGCTGGGCATCATGAGGGCCATGTTTGCTCTCGCCTCTGCTGTATGTGTCATGGGCGACACGAACGAGCACGCCGCCGTGAACCAATTCAAAGCGTCTTCATATTGCCTCAAAGCTGTCCTCGATTTCGCAGAGGGCCAAGATCCCAAGACCTTTTCCCTTTCGCTTCTCTATCCGTCGATGCAGTTGCTCGGGCAGCCGAGGCATTTACACGGAACAAGTGCCGGAGTATTGTTTTTCCGTCGCTGCCTCTTATTGCTTCCAGCGGCTGCCTTTGGCGCCTTTGGCATTATCACATGTGCCATGGAGAGACGTTGTGTTGGTGGAAGGAAATAACTTACATATCTAGCCATTGCCGTACAGGAACCCCCCTTCCCTCCCTGCATGACCATGGTGCTGCGGATTTCTCCCATTGGAAGAAAGCATACAGTACGAATGCGGCTTTGCTGCAAACATTGGCAGCACTGTACAGTACGTACGGAGTACCTCAAGCCACGTCCATTTCTGGGGCGCGGGGCGGGCCCTGTTAGGCCGCGCCAAGGGTCCAATCACAACGGGGAGCCCAGCTGATCCAGCAACACCTTAAAACCGAATATTTTAACCCTTTAGACTCCCGTTCCGCCCGCCGCCGCTCCGGTCGTCGATTGGCCGGATTGCCCGTCCCTGCCAGCAACGCGGCGGCACGTGAGATCTCCGCCGTGACCTCATCGCTCCCAAATTTTTTTTTTAATCTTTGCTCTCAGAGCTCACCGTGTCGACACCTCGTTTGCTGCAGCCCGCCGGTGCCCCTTGTCGACGCGGCTGCCCACCCCAATATTTACTCAGTCCGTGGGCTCCAAGTCACTCCCTTGCGTGACCCAATTGGCCCCTCCCCGGCCATGGCCAAGCGACGCAGGATCCAGGGCAAGGCTGTCAGGCCCAAGAGGCCGCCGAGTGCGGCGAGCAAGGCGCCGCCCAAGAACAAACCACCTCGCAAGCAGCGCAAGCAGCAGCAGCCGCAGCAGCAACCCACTATACCCTTTGAGCCCGCGGACCGCATCCTCCTCATTGGCGAGGGCGACTTGAGCTTTGCCGCCTCGGCCATCAAGCATCACGGCTGTGTCAACGTGACGGCCACCGTCTTGGAAAAGGATCACGCCGAGCTCGTGCAAAAGTACCCCGGCGTCGACGCCAACATTGCCGTCGTCCTCGGCGACGACGGTAAGGGGGATGAGGACGGCACAGTCGGTGGCGAGGATGATGAGGACGTCGAGGGGGAGGGCCGTGGCGAAAGCGACGCCCCTCGAAAACAACCGTCCCCGCACGGCCCCAAGAACAACAAGCTCCTCTACAACGTTGACGCCGCCAAGTTGCCCCCCTCGCTCTCCCGCCCCCCGCTGCACGACCACATCATCTTCAACTTCCCCCACGTCGGCGGCAAGTCCACCGACGTCAACCGCCAGGTCCGCCACAACCAGTCGCTCCTCGTCGCCTTCTTCGCCAGCGCGCTGCCCGCCCTCGCCCCGCGCGGCTCCATCGTCGTCACCCTCTTCGACGGCGAACCCTACACCCTGTGGAACGTCCGCGACCTCGCCCGCCACGCCGGCCTCGCCGTCGAGCGCAGCTTCGCCTTCCACGCCGCCGCGTACCCGGGCTACCGCCACGCTCGCACCGGCGGCGTCGTCACGAATCGCAGGGGCGAGGCCGGCGGCGGCTGGAGGGGCGAGCATAGACCCGCCCGGAGCTACGTCTTTCGGCGCAAGGGCGAGGTCGAGGCGCAGCCCGCGGCCAAGAAGAGGAGGAGGAGGGGCCAGGACGATGATTCCTCCGACGAGGATGAGGATGACTGAGTGAAAACCCCCCCGGTCGACGTCACTTGGCGACCTTTGTTTGTCGAGGTAAGGCATGGCATGGCATGGCGCATGGCGTTAGGAGTTCTGCAAAGGTCATAACAAACGCTTAAGTATTCTAGCCATGATATACATGTATATTCTATCCCCCAGTAAGGCTGAATTTCGTCGTCGGGACACGCGCGCCTTGACTGGCCGCGCTCCCTCCGTCCCGGAACACACAAAACCAAAAAAAAAGTCCACAGCAGTGAATGCGCACGGCACGCACAGACAGGTATTTGTCTGTCTGTCTCGGAAGCTCCCTCTCCCGCCTCTCGCCCGACGGCATATCGCCGAGGGGAATGACTTGCCGGTCACGCGACACCAGATGCCGTCCGCCCCGGCCAGTGGATGCTAAGCTCAGCCTGGCCCCGGCCTCTGCCCCGCCGCCCACTGAGGCTGTTGCAAGTGACCACTCGGTCCCGTTTCTCAACCACCGCCGGGAGCAATGCCACGGCGACGAGCGTTCGACGGAAGCCAGGGAGAAAAATGGGTGCGAGAGGATAGAAGAAAGAAAAATGCAAAGCAAAATGCCATATGGTACAGTGCCCTCAGTATTGGCCCCCTTCCCGGCTCGACCCCGAGAAGTATGAAAAATAAACGGCCGACCCCCCCGGGTCTTATATGCTCACGCAGCCCCCTCCTGGTAATAAGGTACAAACAACCGTTGTAGCGGACCCTCCATCTTCGTCTTCTATAGCCATAAACTCCAGGAATTTTTTTGCCTTGCCCCGCGCGTCGAGCATCACTATTCGCTTCAGCCTCCGAGTGGCCGCCCTGCTATCGATGCCCCAGCAAGGCGGCTTTGTCCGCTCAAACGGCCACTCGGGAAATGTCGCACCCACATCAAGCAGCCAGGGGTATGTCCTTGCATACTGCCTCGCCCGCGTCCTCCAGCATCTTGCTCTTGTTGGCTTCGTCTTCTAGCCTCTGCGCTTCCTCATTCTCTCGAACGAGGGCTTCTTCCTGCTCTCGGAAAGCTCGCTGCACGTCCGTCATCTCGTCTTCCGGGGCCGACTCGGGCGGCGGCGGTGGAGGGGGCGGAGGGCTCGCTTCCTCGTCCTTGAGTCTCTTCAGATCCCGGCTCTCAGATGGAGTCGCGTCCGTCGAGTCTGCCAAGTCTGGCTCGCGCTTTCGCTTGCGGTCCTGGCTGCCGGGTGAATCGGCGTCAACGTCGTCGAGAACAGCGTCATCGGCGGCATCCCCCGTTGTTACCCCCTCCTTGGGCGTCGAAGCGTCGCCCGCACTGCCGCTACTGGCGTCTGGGTCTGCCCGAGACATTTCGCCCCGTTCGCCGCCAGCACCTGCCCCCTCGTCCGAAGCTGCATTCTCCCTCGACGCCTTATTCTTTTTGTGGGCTTCGTACTTTTCGACTGCGCGATTCAAAAAATCCGACACGAACTTCTTGATCTTCAGCACCTGCTTCTCGGTGAGCTCGGCAGTCGGGTCCCCGACTCTCTTGTTCTTGTAATCCGACGCGACAAGCTTCTTGGCAATGTCTTTGCCCAGCCGCTTCAGCTCTTCCCTGGGAAGCTTCTTCAGGAATTTGTTCAGCACGTGTTTGACGGGAGGGAACACCTAGAACCCACGTTAGCCGAGAGAAGCTCGTTGCGTCTCGCCCAGCGGGCGATGCTTACAGTGTTCTCATAAATCTTCATCTGCTTGTCGAGCGGCAGAGACCGCCATTTCTCCTTTCTGGGCTCTACCGAAACCGTCTCAAGAGACTCTCTTGGCGGCGGAGCTGACGGCTTCGGCGTCCCTTCTTTGGTGACCTTGTCAATGATGCTCTGGATCGCAAGCTGTTCCTGCATGGCTTTCGACGGCCCCTTTTGCGTGGATTCAGAAGCTGCATGGCTCGGGCGCTGCCACGTAGTCTTGCCGGACTTGGTGTAGAAGTAGGTGTTGCCTCGCCCGTCCTTGGCAGCGAACCAGCCGTCCGGCAGAGGGGTGAACTGCCGACGTTGCCTCTGGTTGTTGAAGTAGAGAGAGTTGTTCCGTTGCGGGACGCTGCTGCGCGGGCCCTTTGGGGCATCAAGGGTGCGCGGCGACGCCGTCTTGGGCGTCGACTGCGCCGTCTCCTCCTCGCGAGCCTGACCTCCTCGGCGGTCTTCGTAGACGTTTTGCACGGGGGCGCTGGAGTCGACCTTGCGCCGTCGGATGCGGTAGGCCACCTCGAGCCTGCTCCAGTCGTCGAGCAACTTTTTCGACTTGGAGGCGACGTCCTCGTGCTCGGAGCCGGCCAAACCCTCAACCACGGCCTCGATGTTGGAGTCTTGGATCTTGTTTCTCGTCAGGCGCGGCAGCTTGTCCAAGATGTCAAGCACCTGCAACACCACGTTGTGGTCTTGGAGGAAGGTGTTGAGCGTCGTCCTGAGGATCTGATAGGCGTGCATGCGCATCACGCAATGGATCGCGCGCTCCTCGTCGCAGCGCTGGATGCGCTCCAGCAGCTTGACGGCGATCCACTTCTCCTTGCACTGCATGAGGGCAGCCATGACCTTGCGGGCGTCGTCCTCGTCCAAGTTACGCGGCTGGATGCTGTTGACATACTCCTCGTCATCCTCGTCGGGCCGCTTCTTGCGAGGCTTCTTGGCGACGGCCGTGTCCCAGCCATCAGCGTCGTCGATGCCAAGAGCCTCGACGGTAGCTGCGGGCAGCTTGGTGGCACGCTCGGTCTGGGTCTTGCCACCAATGAAGCCGACGCAGTTTGGCTCCCCGCAGTAGCACGGCTGGGGATCGGCCCCGTAGCGGTCGACGTTGTAGTTGAAGACGAGCTCCTCGCCGGCACGGACGGTGCGCAGGGCGAAGATGCCCATTCGGAGCTTGTCGCCCACCACCCACTTGTCCACGTAGCAGTTTGGGTTGCAGGAGTGGTTGCAGAAACGCCCGAGGTTGCCCTTTTTGGTGGCGTCGACGAACTCGTTCTTGTTGAGGGACATGAAGTAAAAGTGCTTGATGCCTTCGTGGTCGTACTGCAGCATGCGGCGGCGAAAGGTGGGCTCGTTGATGACCTCGCCGATGTACTCGTAGACGAAGTCGTGGGGGTGGAGGTCCGAGTCGGTGCGGAGGCCATAGCCCTTCTTGTCCGTCTTGATGACGGAGACGTTGGCCCATTGCTTGCGCTGGAATCGCTGGTTCTGGCAGCCGTTGCTGCAGTTGCCGGCGCTGGCACTGCACTCCATCTTGGTGGCGCGGTTGATGCAGTCGGAATCCTCGTCGCAGGCACAATTCTCACCGTCCCCTGCGGAGAGACGGGTTAGCGTGTGAGCGACGTGCAGGGACGGCAGAGGGAGTACGTACGCCATTCTTCTCTACAGTCACAGTCGAGAGCATCGTTGTCCGTGGAGCCCAGGTGCTTGGATCCGTAGAGGCAGTCGGGGATCACTTGGAAGGTCTCGCAAGACTGAGGGGTAGCGTCGGGCAGGTGGCTAAAGAGCAGAGACTCGCGGCCGGGCGCTTTCTGAGGGGCCTTGCGGGATGGACGGAGGGGCTTGGTCGAGCCAGGGGTCTCGACGCTGTCGCTGCGAGACTTGAGGCCGTCGAGCGACGTGTCGGGGGACGGAAAGGAGCCATTTTGCGCGTCGGGGGGTGCGGATTCGGCGGGTTGATGGGTGCCGGGGGGCGCGCCATTGATGGCGCTGTCATGGAGCTTTAACCTGCTCATCCTGCTCGGTGCGTGCTCGTCATCGTCCATCGAAGCATTGGATTCCGCAGACGGAGTCTTTTGTCGGGGCAGAGATCGGGGCGTTGTCGAGACGACAGGAGCGTGGAGAGCGAGATGGCGGAGGAAGCAGCTCAGCGGTGCTACAGCGGAAGGCGAGACGCAGCAGATGCGCAGGCGAGGAGCAGCGCATGTGGAGGCGGCGAGGGAAAAGGAGGCGCGAGGCAGAGGGAGCGGAGGACCGGGACGGGGCCGGTGAGGACGAAGTCGACGACGACGCGGCCGCGGAGGACGGGGAGACGGAGAAAGAGGGGGAAAAAGGAGAGGGGCGGGGCGAGGAGGAATGAAAAGCTAGGTTTCGGGGTGCATGTGGCCTTGCACCCGCGATGGAAAAGATGAGTTGAGTGGCAGATAGGTTGCTAATGGCGAGGCGAGGCCAAGGACGGAGCCTGTAGAGCGCATTTGTTGTACATTACGGAGTGGTCACTGGCGAGAGAGGGCTTATCGCGTGGCTAGTCCCTCGACGGGCAAAGTTGGCTGACGAGGGTACGGGTCGACCAATAGTGTGGTCGACCCAAACTACACCGTTCGTCGGCTCTGCGCCGAGGCTTCTCCTTGGCTTGCGCTGCTGCTCGCCGGGGGAAAAGCCCTAAAGGAGGAAGGGAAAAAAGCACACACTGCACCTCAGCACAACACGTCTCGTCCGGGGAGTGAACGGATAGCGGGATGATTGAATTTCAGGTGTTCCATGGCCAGGACGGAATACTCGTAGACTCACGGTTCCAGCCCCAGCATGCCGGCCGTCCATCTGCCTGTGGGGAGCCGATCAGCTCTGGTTTGGCTTCAGGGCAGATTTGGCAAGAAGGAGCCGGCGCGGGCATTCAATTTCCCGGGCTCTGCGAAGAGCTGCGGAGATGATCTGCTTATGTAACCTCATTTTACTGTGCAAGGTACCTAGATACCTACAGCACAGTGTACGGATTCGGAGTACGTACCTACCTACCTTACATACTGTACTTGGGTACCTACGTACACTGAGATCCCCCGGAGAGGCCCGGGTGGGTCCGTCAAACGAACGGCGTCTCTTCTCCCCACACAAAATACGAGATGACGAAGCGCGACCCCATCCGCGACGACACTCCTTGGCATCCAGCGACATGCCACCTTCGCCTCATACATCATACCTGCTGTATGTACTGTACGCTCGGCCTGCGCGGACGCCTCATGCATGTGATGCCGCCGCAACGCGAGGCGACCAAACGGCCCATCGGAGTCAGGCCGCCCAGAGCCAACGGTTCGCTTGCTATCCGTACTTGTACTCGAATCGTTCGCTGGCTATCAAAATCCACGGGCTAGCATTTTGATGGAAGTGGTTCCAATGTCATCGCGGAATCAGCCGACGTCCTCCCGTGCGTGCATCAGCTCGCGCCAAGCAATATCCCTCAATGATCCGCCCAATGCCTACGTCAAGCCCGGAGCCGGAGTGGGGAGACTGCAAGAATCCCGTTCAAGGGTGTTGTTTTGTGTGCGTCCAACAAGGGTTCTTCCTCCAACGGCATGCGCCGGCGACCGAGTTATTTTTGTCTGACGCCTCCGAGCTGAACCGGGGACAGTCGCCCAATGTCCAGCCGTATTCTCGGCCATTGTCGCACCTGCGGTCCACCGCAGAGTACGAACTATTCGTGAGCTCGTTCTGGCGCTGGCCTTGGAAGACACGTGTCAGCCTGGACGAAAAATGATTCCCGGTAAGCGCCCCATCTTTGACGGACCCAAGACAGGCTGCAGAGACCTCGTATTTCTCCCTCGGCTGCCGCTGGAAGCACGGTCCGGCCGATCGCTTCCAGAATTCCAAAACAGGGAGCCTTGACGTCGTCGACAACACAGGGAAGAGATAGGGAGGCCGCCGCCGCCTTGGGCCTGGATAGTCGCTGCGCCACGGGCCGAGACGCCACGGGCTGAGACGCCACGGGCTGAGATGGATTTGACTATCTGCCTTGGCCCGAGAGACCGGGCCGCTTACAGTTGCAGGCGCCTCAATTAAATGGCCAAAAGGCATCGACCCAACGTCCGGTCCAGCCCAGCCCAGACTTCTTTCTTGGTACGCACAATAACCAATCGCCATCTCGCCGACCCAGCCCCGCAAACGATACGCCCTCCGTTCCGCGATATATGACGTTTGCGCTCCTCTTTTTATAGTATTCCCTGCCCCGTAGTGGTCCGCGGCCGAGTGCGGGCTGCAAGCTGTAGATAGATGCCGGACCCTACCCCGGCGTGCCGCACCCCTTGTTTTCCCATTCTTTCCACTGCCACTCAGGTGGCTTCGTGTAGGCGCGCTGCAAAGCCAAGCCAGGGTCTTGCTTTTTCCTCGTATTGTCCGGCGCTCCGCCCACGCGCTGCCCGAGACCATTCGACGGCTGTATGAGCCGTGGGCAAAAGATATAAGAAGGCCCAGACTGCGCGCCGTTTGTGGGCTTGGATCTCATCCTCATCCTCATACTCATTTCAGCAAGCCAGCCTTGCACTTACACACAGCCCCTCTCACTCTACAACCCCCCTTCCCCCTCCCTCAACCAGTCTCGCCATCATGAAGCTGTCCACTGCCATCGCCTCTCTCGCCGTTGCCGGCTCCGCCGTCGCCGCCCCTCCGGCCGGGTCCAAGCCGTTCCAGATCATGTCCCTGCGCTCCGCCAGCCCGATCCATTTCGGTCAGGTCAGCGCCTCCAAGAGCAACATCTTCCTCAACGCGCAGAAGCAGGACGCCGTTTGCGAGGTCAAGGACAAGTCCAAGGCCCCGACCGAGGCCACCTTCTACATCAAGGACGAAGTCCTCTACTTGTACACCGGCAAGGGACCGGTCCAGAAGGCCTTTGTCGACCGGTCCGGCATGGGTACGTCTACCCCTTTTCTTATATTGGCTTCATGGTTGCTTGCTGACCACAGTGTTTTCTTCTAGGCCAGGGCAAGCTCGGCTATCTCAGCGGCAATGGCCCCCTGCCCCCTCGTTTCGAGGACAAGGGCTGGAAAGTCGACAAGGCGGGCGATCTGAACTTCAATGGCAAGAATCTCATTGCCTGCCCCGGCTCCAAGAACGGCCCCTGGACCGTCTGGGTTGCTACCGATAACCTCACCCCTGGCGGCAACAAAGGTTGCCTGGGCTTTTCCGCCCGCACCCTCCCGTCCGAGAACCCTGTTCGCTGCAGGTACAGTCAGTAGAGAGCGTGCCGTCGAAAAGAGTTTGGATTCTTCGTGACATGGTCATAGGACATAATCTACCAATGGGGGTCTCGGGGAAAAGTTCATTGCTTCGCTACTAGTGTTTAATACATGGGCGTTACCACCCCCGCCTTTCCCGTCTCGCAGGATTCCCACTTTGCAAAGACCATCTCATTCTCCTCTGCAGAATACTGGATACTTTCGCCAATAGTAAACGCACCTCCTCGGTAATAAAACCCATGCCCTCGAAGCAACCGGCCGGCGAAGCAACGCCGTAACTCGTAGGCAGACCACATCTAAGCCCCTGTTTATTCCTGGTCAAGTTACATCCCCGCCGCCTTTCGGTTCTCCTCAAGCTTGGCTCTGAGCGTCTTCTCCCTGCTCCGCAATTCCTGCGTAAAGCTGCCGCCCAGATCATCGCAATCGCCAATTCTGCGTACCACGAGTTCGCCTTGGGGAAAGGGAACTTTTTTCGCCCATGCCAGGGCTTCCTGGGCATCTTTTGTCTGGACGAGCCAGAAGCCGCACACATGGTCCTCCTTGGTGACATCAAACGGACCGTCGACAACCTCGGGCGGGGTACTCGAGCTGAACTTGACGCGGTAGCCGTCCACGGCTGTCGGACGGAAGCCCTCTGCGGCGAGGAGAATGCCCTGGGCGGCCATGTCCTCGTTGAACTTGGTCATGGTCTGGAAGACGTCGACGGGGATATGGGCTTGGACGGCCTCGGCCATGGCATCGGCTTTGATGAGAAACATGAAGCGAGGCATGATGACAGCTGAGAGACGGAACAGGAAGGATAAGGCTGACGCATCAACGGTTGGGTATCAGGGCGGTTGAGATGCGACGGATCATCTCTGCCACCTTGAGAGCCGTTGAGGCAGCTAGGAAGAACGAAGGAGCGGATTATATATGATTTCTGCACGCCTCAGCTTCTGCGTGAGGTTTGACTCACCATGAAGATGTCCAACCTTCAGCTTGCAGGCAGCAACGGCTAGGATGAAACGCCACTGACTAAAGAGCCGAAGTGTCATCCAATTGTGATGCTCACCACGCCGGGATTGGCAGGGAAGAAGAGAATGCTGAAAGGGTCTGGAAGTGCGGGGTCGGCTCGGCATTGTCTTATCCATGTCCGTGCTTCGTGATAGGCATCGGAACTTGGATCTGCATCGCCAGTTGTAGACATGGCCGAGTACAGTACGCCTAAGCGAGGACGACTGGCTCAGGCATTGAGGCTGGAGGGTGGTCGGCCAAGACGCAACCGTGAAGTGGTCCAATCTGAGCTTTGAGCCAGGCAGACTCGCATTCGCATGCAGGCGGTGTTTCTTGATGACCGATGCGTCTCTCTCTGCCAGCGTCATGTAACTGCGTCGCGAATGGAAGAGCGTGCTTGGCCTGTCATTGTCAGCTTCTACCGTCAAAGTCATTGAAGACGATGTCTTCTAAGCCCGCGCTTGAGGGAGGTTTCGTCCCGGATATTCTCCAATATGCGTCCGAAAGGAGTGGTCGCCGTATCGTCCGCGCATCGTGCATTGGTTTTCGTCAGTGGCCTGGATGAGGCGCCTTCGGGGTATTGATCTGGCAGCGACGCGGCGTTGAATTGGCTCCCTCGCGGTGGAACGGTGTCGTGCCGCACATCGGCATCAACCAAACGTCAGCGTCACGGATGGGTGATGACAGGAAAGCTCCTCGAGTCGGAGTGGTGACAGTTGATGGAGCGGGGTCTTCTGCCAACTCATAGTGCATAAATTTGAGGGCAGTTGCCTGGGAAGGAGCACTTGAAGAAGAGCCTAATACCGGCAAGAGGCTCCTGTTGAAAAGGGCGGTCAGGGCCTGACGGGCGATGGCCTCGCTTAGGCAGAAACAATCGGGTAATACAAAGACTTTGATCGCACTGATTTTGGCCTTGGCCTCTTCTTCTTCTTCTTCTTCTTTGGCTTCTTCTTTGGCTTCTTCTTTGGGTTATTACGTCTTCATTGGCCGACGGCACCTCCCCGCCCCGGGCCCGATGCCGCCACCGAACCGCAACGGGCCTCGCTCTCTTCTCTCCCTCTCCGCCGCCTCCAATTGAATTGGGCAACGAACATGTGGAGCGTCCTCGCTGCGCCTATCGGCGTTATTGTTGACAGCCACAGGTGTGGCGTGCCGTGCTCTGCGTCTTGCAGTGCAGACGCCGCCAGCTCGTCGAGCCAATTGGCGACATCAACTGCCATGGCATCAACGCCCGCACCGTCAGCGGCCTCGAGCCGTGTTAGTCCTCACCCAAGGTTCGACGAGCATCCTGATACGTCGGCCACCCCAGAGCGCAACGACGAGGCGGGAGAGACAAGAACGAGAACCCGTGCTCACAACGGAGGGCTGGTGAGACAAGGTCAGGCGATCCGGTGCCGCCACGGGATTGGCTGTCATGCGCGAGCCCACCCTCTCGCGGCTGCACACCAACTTACTGCTTGGCGTCAATGTCACTCTGGTCCGTCCGTCAACCACTATTCGAGCGGTTGTTGCGGTTGCGCAATTGTCTGCCGGGCGGCGTTCCGGCGACACATCCGGCGCTGCTGTCCAACCTCAGTTACCATCGTCATGGTCCGCCAGCCAAGGCGACATATGCCTTTTGCCGGTTCATACACCCTCGCCAAGAGCAGCTGCGAGCATGAGTGGGTGGCTATCAACCCGCCCGATGATCTTGGTCGGCGAGAAACACGGCTTGGAGGGAGAGGCTGCAAACCCTGGCACGGCCCTCACCATGCGTCAAGACGTTGCATTTTAGTGCCCACGCACTGCATTCTACGCTCCACAGGGATCAGATTTCGGACAGCCATGTTAGCTCTGGGGCAACAAGTGCCGCGAGCAAACGTCTCAGCAAGGCTTAGTTGCGTCGGCGTCACTGACCACGAGCCATCTTTCCCCGCTACTGCCCAGTAAGCGGCGCAACGGACTTGCTCGTTAGCCAACCATCTACGCATCTACACCAATATTGCCCCCTGAAGCCCCTATACCGATGCTGGGGCAATGGCCAAGTTTGGTACTGCTTTCCCTTCGTGTTCTCTGGAGCACGTCCAAACCTCCGTCACCGGGGATGAGCTGCCGTCAACGAGGCGAGGTAAGCAAGCAGGTGGACGGAAAAGGCCGAGGACGTTTCCACAAGCTGGCCTCGTGCCGCTGCCTCTCTGCTGCTTCCCGCTGTCACTTGCGCCACACCATCTTGGTACCAAGCCACGGACGAGTTCGTGTATCAAGTCCTCACGCAGTACTTGGTAGCTTCTATGCTGGTGTGGCGACTAACATCAGGTCGTTTGTCGGTTTGGCCTGCTCGCAGGCGGCATGAACCAAGTTCATTGACAGCAAGCCCATGCCCGGTGTAACCCTGGCCCCCAGCATCGAGCACCGCTACCGCCACTCGCTGCCGGAACGCCAGACGCATTACAGCCGTGCTGTAGGGAGAGACCTGGCACCCCAAACCACCGCGGGGCAAAGTCGACGACCCCGATCCTCGATGGCCGGAAGAGTAAGAAGTAAGCGTCTCCATCCCCTGTCTCCCTTGTCCGCCCAAGACTCAAAGCACACCTGACTCCCAGAGCCAGTGGCTGCTTAGGCAAGCTCGGAAACGTCGACAGGACTCCCCTTTGTACGCACAAGCAGGTTCTCCTATGCAATGCCTCGTCCGCGGCCTGCGTGTCGCAGATCGAGGTTGCACAGCGGTACACGGCCTTTGTCGCTCCCTGGTTGGTTTCCGAGTCCCGGCCGCTGCCCATCGTCGTACTCCCGGGGCCTTGTTGCGATTTGCCGCCAGGCCTGGTCTTTGGCAGCCTTTGGAGAAGCCGCGCGTCTGCGAGTCCGTCCAAGGGCGCGCAGCGTTTGAGAAAGGGAGCAGCGAGGCGTACCGGACCGTCAAAGTGGGATGGGCCTGCCTTGCGAACCAGGCTGCGAATCACAACTATCCACTTCGAATCACCTGCTTGCCTGCTGCTGCTGCTGGTTGCCACCTGTCCTGCCGTTTGGACGCTCCTCTGTCATCCGACACTCCTCGCCTCCATATGCCTAAGACACATCCTTGACTTGCTCACCTCACGACTCGACGAGACGGGGAAAATAATAGACGCTCGCCGGATTCAACGTCATCGGCGCATATCAAATGAGTAGGTGCGAGTGCGGCCTCTTCTCCCCCTTCTCCGGGCTCGTCGCTTCGCATCTCTTCTTGCGCTCGCTACCTTTGCACTGGTCGGCACCGTCTCGCATCTCCCACCGTGCACGCGATACTTGGCATGGACCATGGACCCTCCGCCCTTTACTGCCGACGAAAAGGTGATTCCCACCAAGTTTTCTACCCGCCCCCCAACAATAATTATTTCCATGCTGACTTGGTCGCCTTGTCCAGCGCTTCGTCCTAGCCGAAATCGTCAAATCTAGCGCTGTCGACATCGACACTTTGATCATCTTCATCCAAACCAACAACATTTCTCCCGACTGGATGCAAATGCAGCTCCCTCACGGTACGTGTGCCTGGTTCGATTCTCTCATCATCACACTAGAGCCTGCCGATTAACATCTTCGAGGCCGCAACATGAGTCAGTGCATGCAAGTCTTCAAGCAGTTGTCCATTCATCCAGGGGCTTGGAGCGGCCAGTCGACCAGCGGTCAAGGCGAACCTGCTTCGAGCCATACCGGAGGCGCCACGACAACCCCAGAGCGAGACGCGCCATATATGCCCGCTGTGACCAAGAACAGGCTCCTCATGCCCAAGCAATTTGCTCCCATTGCCCCGCGGCCCGTTGACGCAAAGCTCGAGAGCCAGGATCGAGGCCAGCCGGTCTCTTCTCTACCCGGAAGCCAGAAGCCGTCGAGGAAAAGAGGACGCCCTTCCAAGGCAGACATGGCCAAGCGTGATCTCAAGCCGATCCTCCCCAAGCCTATCGCTCCGCGGCCGCCTCCTCAGAAGGGAGCTTACGGTACGGGCCCGGGGGCTCCTAGCCATCCTCGAGAAACCACACAGACTGCCTCGCCCGAAACGACGCCTGCGACTCTCCGGCCGACATCGACGGAAGACACAGAGGACACGAAGCGGCGTCGTTTAACAACGCCGGCGTCTTGATATCTTTTTGTTTCTTCTTATCACGCCTATCTCTTTTCGATATCCAATCTTGTCTTTTACTATTTTCGCAGGTGGTAATCGTTTATTTCTTGATGAGTCGTACGCGGCCATGGCAGTAATGTCTCGCCGAGGTCTTTTCTGAGCCATGAGTTGTATTGGTCGAAAGAAATCTGTATGAGTCATGGATGATGAGTCGAGATTCACTGCCGGCAACGAGGGGGGGCCATATAGAACTGCTGGCGCTTTAAGGGCTCGGGATCAAGAACGGGGTGGCCGGTCATGGTAGAGCTTGGCTCGGGTGTTTGTTTCCCAAAATAATAACTCTGAAGGGACTACTGCATCATAATCAAGCGCATGCCGTGCCGAATCGCCATCCACGGTAATAGGTTACAAAGTCAAGAATCTTCTTCAGCGCTAGTGTGCCGAGACATCACATCGGTGCAGCCGCGAACCCATCGACATCATCAAGATGCTCAGTCCCGTCCACATGATAATCTCCGCGTATTACCAGAAGCCAATCTGCCCCTGTTCCAGTATGCAACGCATTTCAAAGAGTATGCTAAGTGATCTATTAAAGACATCACAACAATCGTGCGCAAATACCCTCACCTCAAATCACCCGTGAGTCGGCGACAACCTCCATTGCAACTTGGCGGCCTCGCCGTTGGAAAACTCGCTTTTGGCTCGCTCACCGCTCTCGGGGCCTTTACAGAGCCTTGACAATCTTCTCCAGCGCCTCGACCAGGATGTCGGCGTGGTGCTGCTGGAAGATCAGCATGGGGCGCAGGCGCACGGCGCTGGTGCCGCTGCCACCAATGTTGATGCCAAACGTCTTAGCCTTTGCGAGGAAGGCGTCTCGCTTGGGGTTGTCGAATGCGATAAAGGTACCCTGGCCCTTGCCGCGCAGGTTCCGGAAGTGGTCGGGATACTGCTTAGCCAGACCCTCAATCTTGCCGTAGAGATAGTCGCCGACCTTTGCGGTGTGGTTGACGAGGTCGAGACGCTCAATCTCGTTAATGATGCCGCGGAAGAGCAGCGCCTTGGCAGGATCGCCCATCCACGTGTTGAACTGGCGGTAGGGCTTGTTGGGCCGCATGTCCTTTGTGCGGTAGTAGTAGCCGGCAGTCTGGGCCTTCTTGGAGAAAGTGACCATGTCGGGAGGATCTTGCAAATTCCAGTGGTCGTGGGCCCAGAACTTGCCAGTGGCGCCGACGCCTGTCTGGACCTCGTCGACAATCAGCAGGACGTTGTGCTTCTTGGTAAGGGCGCGGAGCTTTCGGAAAAAGGATGGAGGGGCGTGGTTGTCACCGCCCTCGCTCTGAATGGGCTCGACAACAACAGCGACCGGAGGGAGGCGCCACGTCTTGATGAGGTGCTCAACCTCGTCGAGGCTGGCCTGCTCGGCCTTCTCATTTTCCTCAACGTGCTGGTCCATGGGATATTTGCACTGCGGAAAGGTGGCCTGGGGCCAGTCGAAGGCCGGGATGTCGAGCTTGTGGATGGGCTTGGAACGGGTGGTGGAGAGGGAGCCGAAGAGGCGGCCGTGGAAGCCCTGCTTGAAGGACAGGATGGAGAGCTGGGGGGACCCGGGGGCCTCGTTCCTCATGGCCGACTCCAACTCCTCAGGGGTGAATTCGGCGTCGGGGCCACCACGCTCGAGCTGGCGGCGGTACATGAAGGCGGCCTTGTACGCGATCTCGTTGGCGTCGGAGCCGGCCATGGCGGTGTAGACGTTGTCGAGGCCCTTTGGCGCGACCTTGAGGACACCCGTTTTGAGAAGGGAAGCCCACGTGTGGGAGGGAAAGTTGCCCAGGGCCGGCCTGTTGATGATGGCGCAGACCATCTCGGGGGATTGGGCGACCTCGGCCAGGGCCGCGTTATTGTAGCCGACGGGAATCGATGCAATCTGGGCATAGCTGGAAGGGGCCGAGGAGGAAGCCGAGGAGTCAGCAAACACGTGGGAGGAGAAGGCGAGGTGAGGGCTTACACGTCGAGCAAGAGGTTGCCATCGGGATCAGCAACGTAGTTTCCCACGCTCTTGGTGTAGTCGACCATCATATTGACGCTCCGCGTCTCAAACGACTTGTTGAGGTCGTCGATGTAGCGGGTGCTCTCAGGACCGGGGATGGATTTGGTCTTGAGGACGGGCGCCTGGGGCTCGTCCTTGTGGAAAGGCTGGGCGGCCTTGCGCACAGCGCCAGCACTGCTGAAGGACCGCGACGAGGCCACCGAGCCCGCCGCAACAGAAGGCCGCAGGGCGTTGGCGGCGCCAGCAGCACGGAGGGCTGCCATGGCGAAGACGGGCGGCGGCGGCGGCAAATGGGGGGTCTGGATTGGGAGGGGGCTTTGCGAGGGGCCTGTTCGTCTGTTTTCTTGTGTGCAGCTGCTCTCCGGAAGAAGAGGGAGGATGGTTCTGGACGACGAGGCGCGAATAACGGTAGTCGGTGAGTCGAGCTGGAATTGAGAGTGTTGGTGGGAAAGGCAGGGTGCAAGTACAATGTGGGCAGGAGGGGGAGCTTGACTGATACGGCAGGAAGCCGGGACCTTTTATCGTCGGATTGCAATGGGCATTGAGCCTTTGCCAAGAGCACTCGAGTAGCGGGTACGAGCCGGGAACCCGGCAGCGGAGACAGGGAGCTGGCTACGGTACGCCCAAGACTAACAAGCTGAGCCAGGGCGGTGTTGGTGCAGATTGCGGGGGAGGCTCTGGCCCGCCCACCCCTAACCCAGCCAGCTACAGCGCCGCCCAGCTCGCCTTACCCCTACGGCTGCAGGGGTCCCACGCAGGTGCAGCAAGTATCGGCGGGCTAGCGCTGCACGTCGACGCCTAGTACTCGCTACCTCGATGGAGAATTCTCCAACTTTCGCGACACAGTGCTCTCTCTGCCGATCTTCAGGTACTGTGTGCTGTACTGTATCGGGTAGGATGCCAGCGGCCGTTACGTAAGAGACCGACAAGACTTTGTCTTTCGCCATGTCGTTCAACGGCGAGAGAGCAAAGCATGTTCATCCCTCCTCCGTAGAGGCATTGCAGGCTCACAGAGTGTCCTTCTCACGTCTGCCCAGCCAAGCTTCCCCGGGACGGAGCAGAACAGAAGACGGAGCTGAGGTGGGTAAGGTGTCGTCGCGCAGGTAGGTGCGTGCTGGTACAGCCCTCAAGGATCACAAAGACCCCAGCAGGTACAAGCCTCATAGCTAGCTGTACAGTGGCCTATGAGGCTTGTACCTGCTGGGGTCTTTGTGATCCTAGTGGGCTGTACTGGTACCCCCTGTAAGGTCCCCCGCTTTTTTTTCTCGCGGGGCTTATCGATCCGACCCCACGTCTCCTATCGCCCCGACCTCGGCGGGTCTGGCAGCGACCTACAGCACCTCTCTACAGTGCAAATAGCAGGCCTATAAACAGGCCTGTAGCGCGAGCCGCCCTCTGCGCCTTCGCTCAAGATGCATGTACAGTGCATGCATGGCCTGATACCCCCGGGACTAAGCGCCGTCCCCTCAAAACTGCCAAGGCGAGAAGCCTAACAATAGCGCATCCATGGATACAGTACAGTATATATATGCTTCTACAGTACGCACATTGCTTGTACAGCACATGCGCAACCACTGCTACTGCAGCCGTCACTCGACTCCAACTCCTGCAGACCAGTGATTACAACCGTCTCCAATCACACACACCCTTCGTACCTGGCTTTTATACTGCATGTTCGGGGCATCTCACTCGCCATTACCCAACCAAGGCTCCTCCCTGCATGCACGGTACAACGTGGCCGGGCTCCGTGGAGCCCGAAGTCCTCTTTGCCCTCCTCCGGCCTCGGCCGCCCAAACTCCGCCGTTTCACCATCGTCAGCCGCTGCTGTCCCAGCCTCATCCCACGCCATGTCCTCCACGACAGCCATCTCACACACGCCTCAGCCCAATTCTCAGTCTTGATGGTCAATTTCGGGCCCGCGGATTCCAGCCGCCTTCACCTTCTTCTATTCGTACATCTCAGGTGCTGCCGAATCCAGGCTCCCAAGCAATGCCGCCTTGGCCAATGCAATAATACAATAACGCGATGCTGGCAAATCCCCCGCCCTACCATGCTTGAATCGCCAGCCATCTAAACATGAAAAACAGTCTTATGCCCACGATACGGCTTGACCGGGCAACGTCGTCAAAATCAAACTCCTTCTCCCTGGCAGCAGGCCTCGCCACAGCTCCGGCTTCATTCCTCCGCCTCCTCCAGTTGTCTCATGTACTTGGCAAACGTCTTCTTGTGTGTCTAGATGCAACATCAGCACAGCGCTCCGGCACGCTCACAGACGCCACTTACCATGCCGGCATATTTGCCGTCCTTCAAAACGCATATGTACCTGAGCCCCAGCTTTACAAAACACTCATACACGAGATCCATGGGCGACCTAATGTCGAGAGCAACTGGCGCCTACCACGGCTGTCAGCAAGGTTTTCTTTTCCGTAGCAAGCTCGCCCGACAAACTCACGGGGTCAATGTATTGTGTGAAGTCGGTCGGGTCGGGCTCTTCGTGATCGTCTTCGTCAATGCTCGGCACCCGATCCATCAGGCACAAGCTTGTCTGCTCATCTTCGAGTCGATCCAACGCGTACTCAAGGTCTGGAGCTGGAATGAGCCCGACTAAGACGTCATGTCGAACGATGGGAAGCCCCCCGTCGAGTTCGCCAGCACGATGCAAAGCCTCCAGCTTGGCTCGGAGACTCGACGCCGAGACAAGAGGCGAGTTGGTAATGTCAATGACTCGCGCCCGACGCAAGCGTGGCACAATATCCTCCAAGTCGCCGGTAAAGACGGGTTTGTGCTTGTTGTCGAGGAAAGGATAAGAGTTCATGCTTGTGAGAAGATCCTGCGAGTACGTCAGCCAGCAAGCTCGCGGTGAATGGCGCACACCAAGGCAACTCACGTAGATGCTGCGTGGTTCTATCGCATCTGCGGTCCACTTGGCAACAAGAATGGAAAGGGAAAACGGGAGCACGTAGTCGAGGCTGCCCGTCAGCTCAAACAGAATCACGGCCAACGTCACCGACAGCCTGGTCGTTCCGCACATGGTCGCGCCAGCTGCAATTAGCCCATACACGCCGGGCTGCACACATGTGCCATCCCTCGCGGCACAGTCGCCAAAGATGGGCCAGTGGGGTGCTACCAGTACCAGCCATTGCACCAAGTGGCCAACTATCCGGCCCAACAGACCGCCCACCACCATGGACGGGATATAGATTCCCGAAGGCACTTTCTGCAAGGGACAATAAGTCGGTGATTGCTTGCTTGAGAATGGTGCAGGACAGAACTCACAATGCCAAACGTGATGACCGTCAGGAACCCCTTGATGAGGAATGCGATAAACAGCTGGGAGATGATGGGCGGGATGTGATCCACGGAGCTGGGGCACAAGCCCAGCTCGCCCCGGTTGCCGTCGCTGAAGTCGTCGCACGGGGACGCCAGGTTCAAGAGCAGCTTGGCCACCGGGAGCTTGGTCAGAACGTTCCAGTAGCTCATGAGTCCCGTGACGACTGCGACGAGAAAGACTTCGAGCATCGGATAAGTCTTGATCAGTCTAATGCGACGAAAACTCTGGGCCCAAAGCTTGTGTGCCTTGATGAAGAGCGCTCCGATGGCGCCGCCGAGTACGCCGACAAACATGTAGCCCAGAAGCTCAAAGAATTCCCAGTCGACCAGATAGCGGACTTCAAACATGACGATCTTGTGGGTGCCATATGGGTTCAAGAACTTGAGCGACAGGGCGGCGATGATGCAGCAGAAGAAAGTCCTAAAGAGGGTCTTGGCCGGGAAGAAGTACGCCACCTCCTCGAGGCCGAACAAAACGCCCCCCAGAGGTGCGCCAAAGGCAACGGCAACACCGGCCGCGGCAGCCGCGGACAGAGCCTCTCGTCTCTTGGCGTCGTTTTGGTCATACTTTGGAAATAGACGGCAAGCGATGTTGCCGACGCATGTTGCCATGTGCACATACGGCCCTTCTTTGCCGAGACTGAGGCCCGAGGACACGCTGAAGATGAGCGAGACCATCTTGATGACCAATGTTTTGAACCCCAGGAATCCATGCAGGACGAAGCCGCTGAGAATGACGCGGACCTCGGCAACTCCGCTGCCGGCCGCTGAGTAGTACACCATTGGCGCACCTTGTTGCTTCGAATCTTCCCGCTGGCCAGGGCTGGCGCATTCGTCGGTCTGCACGTCATCGAGCTTGGGTAGATCTTCGGCTGCGAGATTCTCATCCAGCGTGGTCAGGCGATACGCCGATGGCACGACCGTCTTGGTCCACAACGCAAGCCAGCAGGAGAATACGGAGAAGCCAACGACACAGAGCATATAGACGGAAAAATTGGTCCCTTGCTTTCCAAATGGATGAGTATGGAATACCTCGGCCCAGGTCTTCCAGTCCTGGCACTCGCCATGGGGGCAGCATCTCTGTGAATACCGCGCGTCAAGGAATGTCCAGTCAAGCAAGACGCTCAGGAGATGCTCACCTCTTCGCCCAGATACCATGCCCTCGTGCAGTAGCCATCTTTGTAATCGAAGACTGTGATCTCGGCCACATCGACGGAATAGGCAATGAGCGCGACGATGAATCCCGAAAGGGCACTGAGAATCCATCCCTGTACCCCGTCGAAGAGAACACGGATGCGACCCCAAAGGTCCTGTCTGCTGCGCAGTGCCTTGACACGGTGGGAATCGGCAATGGTGTCGTGCACCCAGTCGGTGCTGGTAAATTGGTCGTACCAGACTCGCTCGTCGGGGAAATTGGAACGCTTAGAATCGACCGTGGATCCACGCCTCTCGGAGAGGGCGGTGATGAGCCTTGAGCTCCACGAGCCATGTCGGCTGTGATGTCGCGGGCCGGGGGCGGTGCCTGAAGTCCGGACCAAAGTTAGCCTCAGATGGGCGCCCAAGCAGATATGGAGCCGGCTTGCCTATGTAGCTCTGGTTACGGGACAGATGCGGTAGGCGGGGAGAGTTGGCACCGCTGTGTATGCGCACTCGGGATCTTGTTGAGACTGTCAGTAGCGGCGACCGCTCATCCGGCTCGCTGCTTGAGTGGCTTCGGCGCATCAAGGGAGGTCGGCGCGTTGTGCGAGGGGACGGTGGCTGAGAGTTGGAGTCCTCGGGCTCCCGGTCAGCCGTGGCGCCGGCCGATCGTGCCATGGCAGGCGGCAAGACGTCGAAAGGGATGGAATTCGGCAAGGACGGCTAGGTGGTGCGGTCGTGAAGGGAGGACTGGTGGCCGGGGTTGACATGTGCCGGGCGCCGAAGCTGCTCAACGAGGCGACTCGAGGCTAGCAGCTTGGTGTCGGACGACAGAGACAAGGCGATGATCGGGCTCTAGGGTTGATGGGAGCAGGTTTGTTTGGGCGCTCGCCGTCTTTTGCGTCGGGGAAACTGGGGACGGCAACTGCGAGGCGAGAGATGGAGGTCTGGACCGAGTCCCGTTGTTTCTGCTGCTGCTGCTGCTACTACTTCTTGCCTCGTTTCCCGCGTCGGCGAAGGCACATGCTGTGTGATGTCTCGTGCGACTTGTTTCCTGACGTCGAGAGGACGGGGGAGAAGGACGGGGTGGGATCCCGGGCTCATGTGGGCCCTGGCTGGTGTTGGATGTCTTGAGCCTTGACGTTGCTGACCCCTGCGGGCCCCTGTGACCACCCACAGCCAGCTCGTGGCACCTCAGCCTCATCAAATGACGACCTTGGCTATGTACGTAGACTTGCGAGCCGCCAGAGCAGCGAGCCGACGGAGAGGGAGAAAGAGGGAGATGCGGATTTGACATGGGAAGACGCAAAAGGGATTCTCGCCGGGTCGCTGCAACCCTACAACGGTCAACGGCAGGAGGGAGGAGGGGCTTCCTGCAGCGTGACCTGCTGAAGAGGCCCGGGTGACGGGTAAGGTACCTCTACTTTTCAATAGGCACTGGGTTCCTGAGGGGGGAGGTGTCTTCTACCTGGTGAGATTGCCTCTGGAGGTACCAGGTACCAGTCATCGTCGAAGGGGTCGGTTCGGCAGTGGAAACAATGGAGGTAGGCCTGCGACTTTCTGGAATCTGGGGGATGCACGGAGTCTCTATTTCTAGGCCGCTAGGCTGGATCCATCGTGGCTTGCGTCAGATTCGGAGGTGGCCGGGCTGCTGCAGTCATTAAGGGTGATCGGGTGGATGAAGATTGGGTCAGTGCTGCTGCTCAGCAGGCAGTGTCTCTCCTTGCTTTGCAATCCATTTTCCGTAACACTTGGTACATAAGGTATCTGTAGATGCATATGTACATCCTATGCTTGCTCGTCTGCCCACTAGCTGCGGGACCGCGTTTCTGGAATACTCCGAGTAGCTTGCATGAGTCGATGCATCGTGTGTTTGTTATCCGTTGCTCATCACTCCCCGACGTCAACAATGCAGTAAAATGGGCCTGTGATCGCCGGAGTCTGCGTCTGCAGTGCAACGTAGCTCCTTTGCTTGGCCTCTCTCTCCGCATTCGTCGCCCCCGTCACCCGTCATCTCGTACGAGTACAGACCGGAGCTGACGTCGGCCCAGACGGAAGCGGCAGCACGTAATTCCGTTATCTTATCGCACCGTGAAATTTCCAGACGCAACGGGAGCGCCCCGCTAAAACTTCTTGCGATAAAGAATCTGCACTAAAAAAGCCTACGCTGCTCTCCGCCACAGTCCAGTTCTAGCTCAGGTTCTGACACCGCGGAAAAGGATAACCACACCACCATGGGAAAGAAGAGAAAGGCTTCCGGCCGTGTCGCCGAGCCCAAGGGGTCGGGAGAGCTTGACCCGGCAGAGGCTCGGCTCGGGCCAATTTCGACGTTTGAGGATGTCGCCAATTCCGAAGACGAACACTTTCTGAACCGAGACAAGATCATGCTCGACGACGAACCGGGCTCGAAACGTAGGAAACGAGAGGATGAAACGTTAGAGCTCTCAGACGAAGAAATCTTTGGCTATCAAGATTCAGACTCGGACTCGGACGACAGCGACGACCCCGGCAAATCGACCAAAGCCTCTGGCAATGCTCTTGATGAAGACGGCGCCGAGGAAGAGGGGCAAGAATCGGGGTGGTGGGGCTCCTCCAAGCAGGCATACTACAACGCAGACAATATTGAAACCGAAGCCGACGCTCTCGAGGAAGAGGCCGAGGCGAAGCGTTTGCAGCAAAAGAAGCTGTCAAAGATGAAGGAGGAAGACTTTGTCTTTGACGGCGACGAATGGTTGGCCGGAGAGTCCGATGCAGAGGAAAACGACGAGACCGTCACCGAGGTCCTCAAGGACATCGACATCACCGACGAGATGGGACCAGAGGAAATGTCCAAACTGCTTGCAACGAGATACCCCGAGTTTGGATTTTTGGTGGACGAATTCCAGGAGCTTCACCCAGTCCTGGCAAGCCTCGAGGTCCAAGCACGGAGCAAGCCGGGCCCAACTCTGGAGGCGGCCAAGTACTGGGTGCTGGGATGCTATGTCGCGGCCTTGGCTAGCTACTTGGCCGTCCTGACCTCTCCGGCACGAGATGGCGCCAAGGTGCAGAAGCCGCTGGCCCCGTCGGAGCTGCGAGATCACGACGTCATGGATACTTTGATGTCCTGTCGCAAGGCCTGGGAAAAAGTCAAGCACGTGAAACGCCTCGGACAGGCGGGCCATCTGCCCCCGTCAGAGATGGAGATTGACGTTGACGGGGTGGATACTACAAGAGAGCAAGTCGAAAAGCTGGAGAAGAAGGCACAGAAAAAGAAGGACAAGGCCGCCGTAGCCAAGCAAGCACGGAAACTGGCAAGGGCCAAGGCCATTGAAGACGACGTCGCCGATCTATACGATCTCCCCTTGGGTGCTGGCAAACCAGGCAAGAGGGAGGAGATATCAGTCCAGCATGACGACGACAACTCGGACTTTGGCGAGGAGGACGCTCTGGACGCCCGGGCTGCTGCAGACAAGGCAGCACGCAGGAAGAGCCTCAAGTTCTACACGTCACAGATTGTGCAAAAGGCAAGTCGGCGTGCCGGCGCCGGACGAGACGCGGGAGGAGACATGGACATTCCACACCGAGAGCGGCTCCGCGATCGTCAGGCTCGCCTTGTTGCCGAGGCGGAGAAACGAGGCAAAAAGGGCTCCAAGCACGGCGCCGATCTTGGCGACGACAGCGACGAGGAAGATGGTAAGACGGCCAACGCCATACGCGAAGATGAGGACGGCTACTACGACATGGTGGCACATTCCGCAAAGAACAAGCGGGACGACAAGGCCGCGCGATACGCCGCCTATGCGGCAGCAAGCAAGGCCGACAGGGTGGTTGAGAATGAAGAGATTGGCGAGGATGGCAAGAGAAAGGTGACGTACGCTATTGAGAAGAACAAGGGCCTGACGCCCAAGAGGAGCAAGGATGTGCGGAACCCGAGAGTCAAGAGGAGAAAGCAGTACGACGCCAAGCAGAAGAAGCTGAGGAGCATGAGGCCTGTTTGGAAGGGAGGCGAGCCCAAGGGCGGCTATCGGGGCGAGCTCGCTGGCATCAACACTGCAGTCATCAAGAGTACAAAGCTGTAGGGGAAAGGGCTTGCTTAATAAATATTGCTGCAATCTGGCGGGCTGCGTTGACTTTCTTGGACTTGTTCCTTTTTTTTCCCTTTGAAGCGTTGGCGTAGAGCAGATGCAACCCAGAAAAATGTCCAAATGCCCCACCTGGAAATTCCACATCACCGTCTTTCGACTCCACGCATCTCCAGGCCCCGAGCTTGCTGGCATATGCGTTGACCGCCGAAGTCGACACCAAACGCGGCAAACAAGACGCACGTTGGATACTTGATCGCGTGCAGCTTCAACTTCCATCGCCGCCGCAATGGCTTCCGTTCCTGATCCGTCGACGTTCACGTCGTCGGCCCAGATCTTCTCGGCAAAGCACACCCTCCCGCAGATCCGCTCCATGCACAACGCGCTCAGTGTCCAGATCGAAGAGAAGGCGAGCCGTCTGCGCTCACAGGTCGGCGGCTCGTATCGCGAGCTGCTCGGCACCGCCGATACGATTGTCCAGATGCGAGGCGACAACGACCGAGTCCAGGAACTGCTGGGCAATATGGGCGGGCGCTGCGGCCGAAGCGTCGTTTCCGCAAAGGCCAAGGGGCTGGCGGAGTTCGTGGTCAGTGGCCATAATCCGGATACAGGCATAGCCGTGAGGTTGCAGCTGCTGGACGCGTGCGGGCTCATGGTTGGCAGGATACTCAAGGGACAGGGTGGCGTCGACGACGGGGTCAAGAGGGGGCAAAGACTGGTGTTGGCGACCAAGGTGTGGGTTCTGGGCCGCTTGCTGATCAAGAGCCTGGGCGAAGAAACATCCGACGAGAGCGTAAAGCGTCGCCTGGAAACGGCACGCAGGGCCATGGCCACCATGCGTCGCCGCCTCCTGAGCTGTGTGCGCAAGATTCTGGACAAGGCAGACGACGGCACCGAGAGGGATGACGTGCTCAAAGCGCTCTGCGCCTACAGTCTTGTGACCAGCTCGGGGGCGAGGGACGTCCTGCGATATTTTCTTTCCGCCAGGGAGGAGGCCATGGCGCTGGCGTTTATACGAGACGAGGGCATGCCCTCTCCGACCACGGAAGACGTCATTCACAGCTTGAGTCTTTACACGGGAACTATCCTCGAAGTCCAATTTCTGGTTCCGGGCAAGCTGTCACCGGCGCTAGGCAACCTGAAGAGCCATCCACTACTGGATGATTCGTCTCTCAGGGGGCTCGAGGGTCTTCACCTCGACGTGTCTGCAACTTGGTGCAGCGAAGAAATCAGATACTTTATGCCTTTCGTCCGCCATGACGACCTGGACGGGAAGCTGGCCAGGGACAAGCTTGCCGAGTGGGCTGACAAGGGCGGCCAGATCATTCTCGAGGGCTTGAAGAAGACGCTTGAGCGGATGACGGAGCTCAAGTCGATCCTGGACCTCCGCACTCGGGTGCTACAGCTCTGGATCCGAGAGGGGGGCAGGGCCAAGGGGTTTGATCCGCTGGAGATGCAAGACGACTTGCGAGATGCCATCAACTCACGCATGCTCGCTGTGCTAGAGACCAAGGTGACGAAACTGCGCCTGGTCGGGTCAGAAGTCAAGGCGACGCTCGAGGCGTGGCAGCAGGGGGTTACGGATCAGGTCCCCGGGCTGTGGGACGAGGATGGCTACGACGCGGCGCTGTCCAAGGGTGCTGCGCCGTTTGTGCAGGAGGTCGTGTCTCGGCTGTACGGCCGCAGCGACCCCGTTTCTAAGGCGGTACACAGCTACAGCTCGTGGGTTCATGTCATTGACGACGTCAGGGACGCCGTGGAGCAGCTGAGACGGCAGCGGTGGGACAATGACTACGACGAGATTGAGGACGAGGAAACCATTGAAGCGAGACAGCAGGTCTTGAGCAATGACGACCCCCGCAAGCTCCAAGAGAAGCTCGACGCAGCCCTAGACACGGCATTCCAAGAGCTCGAGGAGCAGCTCGGCAAGCTGTGGCGAGAAAGTTCAGAGGGACCAGCGAACGGCCCCATCGCCATGTACATGATTCGGATCCTCCGCGACGTCCGCGCCCAGCTGCCCGAGCGCCCGGCCATCAAAGACTTTGGGCTCGCCCTCGTCCCCAGCCTACACAGCAGCGTCGTGGCCCACGTATCGGCGACGGCCCTGGACGACTTCGCGGCTACTTTCTTGTCCGACAGAGAGTTGACGGGGAGGCTCCTGTGGGAGGGGGAGCCGCCGCTGCCGAACCAGCCTTCGCCGGGCATCTTCCGATTTCTCCAGACGCTCTCTCTGGCGATGGCGGATGCGGGGATCGACCTGTGGAGCGCGGAGGCGGTGACGGCGTTGAAGAGGCATACGTGTGGACGCCTGCGCGATGTGTGGCAGAGAGAGCTGTCTGGCCTGTCGTCCAGCAAGATGGCAGACACGGGCAAAGACGACGGCATGACGAGTGAAGATCAGGAATGTAGCCAGAAAGATGGCGACACAGAGCACAAAAGCGAGGCCCAGGAAGATGGAAAGGGAGACACAGAGGCCGAGGCGAGGGAGCAAGGCGCTGTGCTAAGCGCCAGTCAGGTCCGTGACATTGCCGTCCAATGGCATTTTGACGTCTCTTTCTTACTATGCTGCGTCGGAAACATATCTGGATCGGCGTCCGAGGACCTCAGATCCATCGAATCGAACATGGTTGAGCAGTCAGGCCTCGAAGACGGGCCCTCCCGGCAGCGCGTTGTCAGGGCTTCGCAGGACTATTGGCAGCGCACAAGCTTGCTCTTTGGACTGTTGGCATGAAGGGGCGAGCAGGTGAGCAGGGGTCTACCGCTGTTCAAGGCTGCCTCAAGTGTCCTCGGCGATAGGGAGGCAGTCAATCTACATGACACACTATTCTCAGACATGAGACGAATCGCGCCGACAGGCGGCCGAAATCACAGCTTATGTCTCTTCTCGCCGCTGGCGAGCTTGCGGAATTCTTCCTGGGGGATGCCCTTGACGAAGCGGTCGATGCCGGCAAAGACCTCGTGGACGTTTTGCGAGTGAATGAGGTTCATTTCCGGGCCCCGGATAAGCTTCTTGATGCCCAGCATGCTCTCACCATTAAGATGGTCGCCCAGCCTCTCGTCGACCTCGTGCAAGACCTTGGCCCTGAAGGCGGCATCGTCGCCCTTGTCAAAGGGGAAAATCTGGTTGACGAAGCCGCAGGTCTCGAGCTCGCGGGCAGTGAGGCGTTTGCTCATGATGAGGGCCTCGTTTGCCCTTGCGGGGCCGAGGCGGTGGACCATTGCGCGCGAGGCGCCGCCCTCTGCGACGAGGCCGATGGAGGAGAAGGGGGTAAGCAGGAAGGCGTGGGGCACGGCGTAGATGAAGTCGGCAAAGGAGATGAGGGCGGCGGAGAGGCCGATAACGGGGCCGTTGAGGCCGACGACGAGGATCTTTGGGTGAGTGGCAAAGGCATGGGTGATGTTGAGGTTGAAGGCGGCGAAGGTGGTGAGCCAGAGGCGGTGGGAGTCGTCGGGGGAGTCGGAGGCGGCTCGGGAGATGCTGACGTCGGCACCGCTGAGGAGAAGACGGCTAGGTCAGTTTCATGCCTTGATTCGTCTACTCGTGCCCGTCGAATGCAGCCGAGGAAGAAGAGGGGGGATGGGGGGGGACCATACGCGGAAAAGTAGCGGCCCTTTGCCAGGATGACGGTGACAAAGACGTCGTCGCGCGTCGAGACCAGGTGCAGCTTGCGGGCCAGGTCGTAGTACTGCGGCTGGGTGAGGGCGTTGAGCTTGCTGTCGTTGTCGATGGTGATGACGGCGACGCGTCCGCGGTACTCGAGGCTGATGACGGAGTCACCGGGCTGCTGTGCCATGGTGGGTTATTGTTGCCTGTCTTGCCTTGATTCCTCGTTTTCTTGCCTGTCTCGACTCTCTCTCTCTCTCTCTCACACACACACACACACACACCGGTTTTGTACTGCACGGAGGCCTGTTGATGGGGTGGCTTCGAGATGCTTGATTCCGCCGCCGTCGTCGTCAGGGCTGAAGCAACGCACCTGGCAGGCCGGAACGGGAGAGGGGCCGTTCGTTCTCGGGCGTTCGTGCAATGGCTTTGAATGGAAGCACAAGTAATATTATGGAGCAGCACAGAACAGATATGGCGGTCAATGGGTGGAAGCAGTGGTATTTGCTGCACGGGAAAGCTTCTTAACTACCCCGAATGCGCAGATGGACGAGCCGAGGTCTGGCGGCAAGGCACGGAAAGGCAACTAATCAGTTACAAGACATCGTGAGGGTTCTTGCTTGTATTCTAGGTACCGATTTTGGTGCTGTCAAACCTGCCCAGCTGCAGCCAATTATTCAGCAAGCTCCCCTCAGGCCGGTTTGCGTGCCCGGGATCCTCGGCCCGGTGTTTGGGTACGGGATTCAACGTGTCTCCCACCTTCCTCCTCACCTCTGCCTTGCTATGGTGGGAAAATTAGACCGACGGCATCTGCAAAGCGCAGTGACACCGGGGCCGCTCGCATCAGCGCAGGCCGCCCGCTGGCAATTCCATCCGTTCTCTGAAGGTGGGGCGCCTGTCTTCGGCCCACGTTCCCTGTGGTCCCTCGCTGGTCATACCGAGCCCGGACGGAACTGGATCCCATGGTACTTTTTAACCTTTTTCAGATGACGGCAGTGGACGGAGAGTCGATGCCCAAGCGAGCAAGGTAAGAGGGCCTTGCAGCATGAGCCAGCCGGTCGAGTCCCGGCCCGTCTCGCAGTAGGGTACTGTCAGGGTCGTCAACGGCGGGCGTTGTTGCGGAAGCTGCCGCGAGGGACTCGGCTGAGGCGTCACTCCCGGAGCTGCGAATCGGCTGGTGATACCCAACAGTCGTGGGTGAACCTTTGTTGTCCAGCTCCTTTGCCCGCCGCTCGTCATGCCGGTCCCTGCAAGACGCCAGATATGGAACGCGCATCCCTCTCTCTCGTATAGCCGTCAAGCTCGTCCGCGGCCCCTGGACACGGGCACAGACTCGGCCCACGTCTCGCGGACCACGTCTCGCTTGGGCCGAGCGACAGTCCTCGGCTTGGGCTCCCGGCTCGCCAGGCACGGCTTGGGCCCGCTGAACAAGTCGCCCGTGCCGTTCCAGAGCTGCTCGCTGCACCACCTCTCCGTGCCGACACACTCTTCGGCCCGCGGGTTGGCGCACCGCCGCTCGGCGACGTCGAACGGCGCCGGGTCCCGCCACGGCTTCCGTCGTCGGCTGGCCAGGCATGTCTCGGGGCCGTCGAACTCGCCCGCGGCGTACAGCCTGCCGAGGCACCACTCGGCCGTGCCCTGGCAGCCCTCGGTGAGGTAGCGCGGGTTCGACTCGGACATCATGGTCCCGCAGAGGCGCTCAAACTCGCGATCGCTTAGGGCTCCTGCCGGCGGCATCCATGGCTTGAAGTCGGTCCCTGGTGGTTGTCTATTAGCGTCTGGGGTTGGACAGCCGGGGGCAAGGGGGGCATACCGCCGGTCAGGGGCTTCTGCCCTTGCAGCTGCGCGGCGGGAGCTACACCCACGAGGAATGCGAGGCCGGGGAGGAGCTTCATGGTCGAGGTTATCGTCGATTGCTGTCGAGCAGTGATTCCACGCAAGAGTGGAGAGGTGCATAGCTATCTTGCAGAGATGAAGAGACAGTTTCTAGCGACGAGGGGAACGCGGCCTTTTGAGGAACCTGTGAAAAAGAAGTTCGCTCAAGCTTGTTGGCCATTGTTGGAGAGAGAGGGGCTGGAATGATATTATAGATAGCTGACGCCAGCCATGCGGGCCGCCGACGTGGCGAGTCAGGACTCACGCGCAGCGAAACTTCACCTGGCGACCCGCGAAGGACAGCCCAATCATGGGACGATGAACCGCAAGGGTTTCCAGGGCGGCGCCGCCGAGTCAGACGTGGGGAGCTGAGTAGCGCAGCGTCCCACGACATTCTACCTGCCGTCCCAGGAACCAGTTGCGGGCCATGGGATGAAATGGCGGCGGTCGGGAACCCCCAACCATGTCTCCACCGCCCACCGCAATGCCGACGAAGCCAAGGCCTCTACCAAAGCGTCGAGCGCCGAGAGACGGGTGCGCGGCCTTGTTCGTCATCAGCTAACCCATCGTTCGACCTTTTCTTTCTCTCTCTCTCTCTCTCTCTCACACACACACACTCTCTCTCTCACACTCTCTCTCTCTCACACACACTCTCTCTCTCTCACTCTCTCTCTCTCTCTCTCACACACACATCATCGGTCTCTTTCGTCTTGTTCTTTCATGATTGCATCTTCATCTTCACTCATGCGCCCCCTTCTTCTCCTCTTATTTTGCTCGCCAGCACACAGCACGACAGAGGCGTCCGCATGAACGATGGGCGCGCATTAGAAACGTGGGCATGATTCGCGGCCCACATTTCGTCCTTGCCTGTCATACACGCGAAGGGGGGTCTCGATTGGCCTGACAGAGGGCGTTTTAATTCTTCGTTGATGCAAAATCTACTTTCTGTCAACGAGGAATCGAACCCATTCAATGACAGGAGCCCTGACTGTCAAGAGTCTTTTTTTCGGGCCCTTGCGGCAGCTGTTCCCCCTTTTGCCGCCTGGCAATAAAAAAAGCTGCGACGCCAAGGATGGCTCCGTGTCATTTCAATTGCCCTGTTTACGAGAAGAAGCCAGTTTATAAGTCATGATGCTCCGTTTTCAGCTACTTCCATATTCATCATCAACCACCATGTCGGCGTGCAACAACAGCGGCACAACACAATCAGCCTCGTCGTAGACGCTGGCGCCTGTAGTCATCGCTCTATCTATGGCAAATGCTCAGCAACGTTGGTTTCCCGGGAACACGGCGGTTCAGGCCTCAGGCTCGTCGCAGGCTCACCTCGTCCCGTCCACAGCTATCTTCTCCCACTCTACCGCCGTCGTGGAGCAATCCGTCTCTGCTTGGGGAAGTCCAACGGCAACTCGAGTTTTGCCACACACCACGACTGCCCCAGTTCCTTGTTGTTGATTCGCTTGACTCGTCCGCCAACCTCGTGGAAGTATTGGTTCATTTCCCTATCCTCGCCCAGTTTCAGGTCCTCCCGCAACTCCTTTGTGCACACCTCAAAGTTATCGACAATAAAAGCAAAGGCGCAGCAATGTGTGATGAGCAGGTCGACGTGGAACTTCCTCAACGTTCCCGCGTCCGAGAATTTGCGCCGAATGTTCTCAATCACGGCGTCGGGTATCCCTGCCATCAGCTCACGGAGTTTGTCCGGAGACGGCACTCGCCTGGTCCCCCTTTGCCTCCCTTCCTTGGAAAAGAAGAAAAATCGTAGCACCAGATCGAGGTATCGCAGCACTCGCAGTCGAGTGATGGTGTCATCATCAACCGCAAGGGCGTTGATTCTCGTGGCAACGAACCGCGACGGGACCTGGACCCCTTCTTTGCGACGTGCCTTTTCTTGCCACTCCCGGATGGGAACAAGGCTGAGGATGTCGCCCCCGATGATGACTTCTGGATCGTAGACGTCGCTTGCACTGGTCGCCTCGAGGTTTGCCTTGGGCACGGGCTTGGCCTCGTCGACGGCTGTCTGCAGTTCCTCGCGCGTGGCCATCAGGGAAGTGACTGCGCCGACGGAGCTGAGCATGGCGCGGGAGGCGTTGTCAATCTTTGTCATGGTTGCGTCTCCCGCCTTCTTGAGCGGAGCGATGGCATTAAGCACGTTCTCGCGGATAGCCTTCTTGGCCTTTTTGGTACCGAATGTCTGTCCGAGATCCGTCTTGCGCTCCATGGCACTCTGTAGCAGGCGATGATATTAGCCCTCGCGAGTCGAAACCGCGGGATTCAACATGTAAACTCACCTGCTTGGCCTCGTTCTCCTTGGCAGATACAGCCGCCTCTTGCCTTGAGCGCACCTGGCCACGGACCACCATCTTCTTGGCTTCAATCACCTCCAGCTTCCCGGTGCTCGGATCGTAGATGCCCAGATAGTGATTGAGCAGAGGTTTTGATCCTCGTGGCGCCTCCTCTGTCCCGGTGTATTCCAGGCTATGATGTGCGGTGGAATGGAGTAACAGCTCCTGGGCATCGGTCTGTTTGCCGTGCTTCGACTTGGCTTTGGGATCGGCTCTGGGTTGATAGGAACGGAAAAGCAGCTTCTGCGGGAGCTCAATGCCCGGTGTAGTGGCTAGAAAGTGTCAGCATTCGGACCCTGACGACGATGAATCAACGGCCAGCCGTACCAATCACGGGCGGACAGAGCTTCGGCCGCAAGATGGACGAGACGGTCGCTGTTGACGGGGGCGCATCCAGGACGACCTTCTTCTTGGGCTTGCCGGATGCTTCGCCATCCCTCTTGCGCTTCTTGCTGCCCGCCTCGGCCATTGTTTGTGGGAGTATGTGTTGTGCTTGGTTGGTGACGAAGCCAGCTGTGATGCGCTGCTAGTTTCGATTGTTCTGCGGGAAAAATTTGGGTTCTGCCGGTTTGTCAGTGGAGGTGGAGAGAGTGGAGGGTGGGAGAGTTGGTACTGTACCTGAGGTGGGGGCGGTGAGAGACAGGGAGCCACCATAACTACGGCCGGTTTACAGGCGGCTCGGTATCCGCGAGCAGAGACACTATGGCGGCTGCTATACAAGAAGGATGAGGGGTATTACATGCCAAACAATCTTGGGCACTACTCCGACGAGCTCCATGGGAAAAGAAAAGCAGCCCGAGACAACGACGGCGCGAGCCATCTGCAGGGTCCTCTCTGGCATCGCTGGGCTTGTGTGAACCGAGGTCAAATGTTCTCCACCGCGAGTAGCTCACAAGAGGTCATGCTTGAGCTTCAAGAGCAGTCGATTTTCCACGACCTCAACCTCATTATTGGTCTAGGCGTGAAGAAATTTCCCCCAATCTCCACAAGTGCCTGTATTCGACGGCGGTGTAACATTCAAGGGTGTGTCATGTCATTCGAGGCATTGAAAGCTCGTTGGCGAAGCAAAGGCCTGCATTTCATTGTCAAACGGTGCCTATTACAGGTTCCCAACGTGCGCCGTCCGTGGCAGCTTGCTCCGCGCCTCGAGGGCGATCAAAAAAAAACCCCCAATTCTAACCCGACCGATAGCTTGTCCATTGCCCATCTCTCACCGCGGCCATCGTGTCCTACACCAGGGCTGCGCAAGCCACCAAGACCTAGTCCCCCAGCGACGACGCCATTGCTGCAAGTAAATGTAATCAATGGCCCATCCGAGAGACTCCTGGTAGCTGTGCTGTTCGATTCCCGGCTTCGTGCGTTTCAGGCGCGTGGCATCGCAAACTCATGAAAGATGCGTCCAAGTCAGGTTGAAGTTTGGGCGTTTACTTGCTGTGGGGTTGTCAGCGATCAATGCAACGGTCAACAGCAGATGTCGAGAGCACTCACGATCTGGCTCTCATCTTTCTTCTCTTGCGCTTGAGGCGACGAACGCGCTTCTTCCTCCATTTGGCTCTCATCTTGAACGATTGAGCTGCTTATTCGTTAGCGCAGCCATGGCAAGGAAATCGGAGGCATCTGACTATGCTGCAGGATTGCATACATAGTCAATTGCCTTCCATCGAGGCCCCTCGCCCGGAGGCAAGGGGAGGCGGCACTCACTTGTTCGTGGATGAGAATCGTGTTTGGATGAAGGGCAATTGGGAGGAAGCGGGGAGAAGAGCTACGAGGTAAAGGCAAATATCCTGGGACGTAGGGCACGAAACCCCCGAAGGTCACGTGCGCCAAGACACATCAAACTGCCGACCACGAGGCCCGTGCGCGGAGACGATCAGACAGTAATACTATTACCGCACTGTACAATAACACTGTGGCTTCTGTAATGGGCCAGGCACCCGGCGTGTAATTGCCAGAAAGCGTGATGCCGTCTGCCTCTGGTTAACAAACATTTCCGCAGAGTTTTGGGCATCGCTTGTCATGTCGCCGCCATCAGCATTTATTTCTCTTCGCCTCTTCTCGAGAAGCAGCTGCGCCAAGGACCGCATCGTCGCTCTCTAAGCATCTCCTTCGGTTGGCATCTTCATCCGTTCCACCGCGTCGCTTACACGGCAGTGGTGAGCCAAGAAGCACTGCGCTCGAGCAGCATGGCGTCTCCACCCATGGTCGATCAACCCGGTCAGGAAACAAGTGGGAACAGGAAACTGCCAGATAGATGTCTGCTTCTGAGTGACAGCCGCATCGGAGAGGAGTATCAAGGTACGAATTTCAATGCAGCTCCCAACTGCTGCTCACGCTCTGGATCCCTGCTGATCGTCCCTTTTCAGAGCTTGTTCCCATCTGGGACAATGGCATTGTCAGGATTGGACGTGATCCACAGTCGAGGTGCGTTGTCAGAGAAGCCTCGTGTCGCAATCTCCTGACGAGCAGTGCAGCTTGTTTATCAAGAACGACCTCGGCAACGTCGTCTCGCGCGACCACTGCGAGGTTTACGTCGTCGTGTACGACGAGGCAGTCAGCCATGTGTACGTCCGAGACCGGAAGTCCTCCAACGGAACATTTGTCAATAACATTCGCATCGGAACCGAGTCTGAGGTTTCGCCGGGCTACCTGTTAGAGGACGGCGATGCCATCGAAATCCACCCGCACTGGACCTTCACGTTTTGCGACAATCGAAGTCCAACACTTCATCCACTAACCCCCATCCAGGAAGCGGAAAGCAAGGTACGCTGTCTCTTCTCCTCCACTTGATCCGTAGAGGACTTTGTTGACAGTCATTAAGCTCTTCGAAGACAAGTATCAGATCGGCCCGCGCTGTCTCGGGCAAGGGGCAGACGGCGTCGTTTATCTAGCCACAGAGATCGAGACGAAGAAGCAGCTGGTCTGCAAAGTGGTTGACCTCAAGAAGATCAGAGGCAGGAATGCCCCGGAGGAGCTGCGACGTAAGTTGCAGGAAGCTGATGTTTTGAGGCAGCTCCAGCATGTACGTGTCGCCCACGCTAGACTGTTCTTTATGCTGCGGCTAACGGCCCCACAGCCAAACATTCTGCCCTACGTCGACGCGATAGCTTCGCCGCACTCCCTGTATGTCGTCTTTGCCGCTTCCCTAGCTTGGTCGACGGCCTAACATCCCAGGTTCACTCTTACAGAGCTAGCAACAGGAGGCGACTTGTGGTCCTTTCTATATCAACGAGATGTGGTAGGTGAGCTCGAGACTCGAGTCATCATCCGTCAGGTGCTTCACGCCCTCGACTACATCCACACAAAAGGCGTGGTTCATCGCGACTTGAAGCCCGAAAACATCCTTCTGGCGTTTTCACCGAGCATCACCTGCCATCGGGTGATGCTTTCAGACTTCGGGGCCTGTGCTGTTCCTCGTCGAAGCCGAATGCTCACGCATACTGGCACTGTCCATTACCAGGCACCGTGAGTTGGGGCAAACATGGCATGCGCCTAGTCTGCTGGATAGGTCGGCTAACGAGCTGCAGAGAAATACAGGGTCAACCCCAGCTCCAGACTGCTGCCGTCGACGTGTGGTCCCTGGGCATTGTTGCTCTCACCCTGCTCACACACCACATGGACGTACGCCTAGTTGGCCTCGATCGAATGAACCAGCAACAGCTTGACGTATTTCTCGAGCAGAACATACTGCAAGTACCAGGGCAATTCTCCCCAAACTGCGAGAGTTTTATAAGGCATTGCCTCCAGGTCTCCCCCCCTGATCGTATCAGCGCTTCGGGGGCTCTTTGCCACGATTGGCTCTGTACCCCAGAGACGCACCTCGCATACTTTGAGGAACTAGAACGCAGGTCGTCGAGTAGCTGGAAACCACAGAGGCACTTGCGGCCCATACCGCTTCACCTTCCCGACGTGACGGATGAGCACCTTTCACTATCCGAGTCGCAACAGGGGCTTCGCCTAGGCGGCCGGCTCGCTCCATGGTGGGAGGGCTCTCAAACGCAGGATGAGAACTCGGAGTATTTTGATGGCCCAGTGAATCTCAAAGCCGGCGCTTCTTCTGGACAAGTTGCCGAGAGGACCTCGCTCTTGCCCCATCGGTATTCAACCCTGGATTCATTTCCAAACAGCTCCGTTACCGAAACAAGCTTGATCGAGCCACGCCCATGCTCTTCTGCCAATGGCAACGAAAATCGAGTGAGGCAGGTCGGGCAAGTCGCAGGTTCCACGGCAGCTCAGTCGTCCGTACTTGGACCAAGAAAGTCCAAGATGAAGATTCAGGATACCGCTCTTCTCCCTTTGACAAATCTTGAAAAGCACCACAACTCAGGCGACAAACCTGCCAACGATCAGAGAGAAAAGGTACTCGAGGAGCTGAGGCGGACGCATGCCAAGTTTGTGCCTGATATATCGGCGTTTTCGTCGACCCTGGCGGCGTTGGAGGGAAAGAGGACGGGCGCTCAAGCACGGCAGAAGAGCGGCCAACAGTCCACAAGCGTCAGCTCTCCTCCGCTATTCCGGTAGCGACACTATTGGTGACTAGTCTGAACGCTTCAACTGCAGGGCGGAAAGTACGAAAATCTTGAGGCTCTGGAATTCGTTTCATTTGCTTTCGACTCCTGGAACCCCTTTATTCACTTGGAACCCATAGTATGATCAGTTGGTTGGTAAGTCGGTACTCGGTAGAATGATGGGATGGGAAAGGCAGCTGCGATAAGCGTCGGGGTTGGGAACCGGGACAGGATGGCTACTGCTTGCTAATTATCATATGCCGGGGGTGTATCAGGAGTTTTTGTTTTTGCATTTCGCGCCTCGGGAGGCGTTTCTCACATGCCAGATCCAAGCGGGAGTTTGTTGCTTGCTTGCCTGCTTGTCGCAATATTATTCAAAACCGAGGCGATAGGGTCGAGTCTGGGACACGGCGATTCCCTCGTGCGCTTACCTGATGCTTACTCGCGACGCTTGACAACGCTTCTCCATGGGGAAGAGGCGCGGGCATCAAGGTTGTCCTAGGCGAAGGACATTGTATGCCTGGATGCCGCCCTGACCGTGCCTGACAAACTTGAGAGGAACCAGCTCAGGCAGATGTGTGCAGGTGCTAGGATTGTGGCCCATCAATGGCCGCAGCATTGCCCGAACCTGCTGGGCCTGCTCCAGAGCATCCTCAAACTGGTTGAGCTTCTGAAGGTCATCCAGGGCAATCTTGACCTCGTCCTGCGTCAGAGGCCTCTCCCGTTCCCTCAGCAGCGCCGCGGCCACGCCCCCGCCCCCGGCCATGCGCTCATCTGGCCCTCTCTCTTCGCCGTACGCCACCAAGTTTCCCCGCCGGACGACGAGGACCTGGTCAGCGACGGCCGACTGGTCCAGAAAGGTGGTGGTATCAACCAGGCCGGCATACGACTCGTCGTGGACGCGAACGGGGGTAAGGCGTACAGGCAGGGCGCGAGACTGGCCCTCGGGGAGGCGCGCGTGGAAGCGCAGCAGGATGCCGAGGCGGCTCAGGGCGGCGGGGACGGCGAGGACGAGCACCTCGACGCGGAAGCCGGCGCGGCGGAAGACGAGGGCGAGCTGGGCAAAGTCGTCTGGGTGGCGGCATGCGCTCTCGACGAGGACGTCGAGGCGGCGCGCGGCGACGTGGCGGACGGCCATGGCGAGCCAGCGGCGGGCGTCGGGGCCGGTGGCGGCGGAGGCGAGGTGCGGCGCCGTGGACATGAGGTGTGAAAAGGACGGGTGGTGTGTCTTGAAGGTGTCGGCGATGAGGTGCGCCGTCGACGACGCGGCATCGGGAGCGGAGGCGAGATGGGCATGGCGACGGCGCAGGGCGGGGAGCAGGGCCCGGGAGAGGACGCTTTTGCCGGCGCCGGTCTGGCCGACGGTTAGGAGGGCGAGGGGCGGCGACGACGACTCGTGCTGGTGGGGAAGAGGAGATGCCGTCGTTGCGGGCGGTAGCTCGGCGGGGAGGATGTCCGAGGCAAAGATGCGCGAGGATTCCTGGTCCGAGAGGAGGTAGGCCGAGAGGTCTGTCGGGGGCGGGGGCATGATTTACGGGGCGGCTTGGCTGTTCGGAACTGCTTGGCTGCGGCCCGCGGACGGAAGATGGGCGGAAAAGGGTGGCAGAGGTCTGGGGATGCCCTCAATCTCACCGGGGGGGTTGACGAGTGAGTCTCAATGACGCTGCTGCAGCGAGCTTACCGAGCACACCCCTCCGCCCACCCCCGCGTCATAAGCAGTCGGACTTCACCACCTCACACCTTACATCTCACCTCACCTCACCTCACCTCACCTCACCTCACCTCACCTCACCTCACTCTCATCTCTCCCTAATTACCCCCCACCCCCTCCACCTCCTCCTCACGCCGCCTCCTCACCGGCACATCCCACCAGAGAGGCAGCGCAAACCCCGCCGCCCCGGCCCGCCGTCCGTCACCGCCCTCGCGGTCCAGCACCGCCCTCACCAGCCGCTCCCGCCTGCGCTCTGCGTCGTCGTCGTCGGCGGCGGCGGCGGCAGCCGTTTTGCCGGCGAGCTCCACGAGTCGCCACGCAGTCGCGCTGGTCTTGCTCGTCTTTGCATCATGGCTCCGAGGAGGAGGTGGACATGACGGAAACGCCTCTTCGTCCCGAGCCGGCACAAGACATGCCTCCTCGCCGTTGCGCTCACACCGCCGACACGCGCCGCCGCCCCCAACCCCCGCCGCCACCGTCGTCCGCGAACACGCCAGCTTCTTGGCCACGCACTGCAGACACGCGCCCAAGCCCGGCCGCCGCGCCGCCGTCTCGCGCGCCGGCGGCAGGAAGATGGGCGGGCGCAGCGCCTCGCGCGCCGGCAGGCCGTCGACGTAGCGCCGCTCCGCGCCCACGATGCGCTCCTCGTTGTCGATCCACAGCCTCTGCACGCGCCTCTCGAGCGCCCCGAGCCGCGCCCTCCACGCGCCGCCCGCCTCGCCCGGCCCCCGGCCCAGCGCGCCCTTGCCCCCCAGCCTCGCCGTCCGTGCCGCCTCGTCGTCGACGGCCGCCCACACGCGCTCGTCCACCTCGCCGCGCGAGAGCCCGTTGCGCCCCCGCTCCCGCTCCCGCCGCCGCCCCGCCGCCTCCTCGTGGTGCCGCCGCTGCAGCCGCGCCAGCGCCGCGTTGGCCGTCTGCGCCGCGAGCTCCGCCTCCAGCAGCCGCCGGTACGCCGGCGCCCGCACCGACGCCCAGTGCCTCTGCTCCGACGCCCGCGCCCGCCGCCTGGCCGCCGCCCTGGCCACCGTCTTCCGCTGCCGCGCCAGCCGCAGCACCCCGTCGAGGAGCGGCGTCTCCTCGGGCGCCTGCGGCTCGGCCCCGGCCCGGGCCGGCTTGGTTGACGCGCGCCCTTCGACCTCGTGTCTCGCTCCGTCCCCGTGGTGTCTGTTGCGTCCCTGGTCCATGACAAATCACCAAGTGTTTTTAGTTGGCGAATGTTTGCGATCCCAGAAAGGGGCCGTCGTCACTTCACCAAGCGTGTAATTACTGTAGTTCTGGCTTGTCGGCAGCCGACGAGGTTGACTTTGCCTCGTCGTCCAGGTTCACGCCGACAAGTCGGGACCAGGGCAAACAAAGACTCCAGTGACCTGTACAGCAGCCGTTTGCCTGCCCTGCCCTCTCCGTTCACCGACCGTACATCATCTCGTTTTCTCGCTCGCCCGGGCATCCTTGCGCATAACCCGGAAAGTCGCCTAAATGGCAGTACTAGTATTGGTATCATCGCGGACGAGGCCACTCCACGGTACAGCAATCTATCACATACATTCTCCGGGAGCAGGTGTTCCTTTTGGCCGCCTCCGCCACTGCCATTCAGCCGCCGTTTCCAAACGCGACGTTTCTTCCCAACCCGCCTCAATTCTCAAAGGACCGTAGACCCAATGCATGTTGAAGAAAGAAAAGCATCCGCTGCCCCCGTTGGACCAGCCTTGACGGGTAGGTAGATCCTACCCTGCACTCTGCCATCGCTTGGCACGGATTACGCCTTGATTGCCTGCCCTTTGCCCGTCGCTGCCCAAAATTCACACTTTGAATTTCATGAACGCCTCAAATGAGTCCAATGCCCCGTTCCTCTTTGGCCGCCGTGTAGTCAAGCCGAGAGGACAGGAGAAAAGGGGAGGAAATGCTCAACACTCGCCCCTTTGCACCCTGGGCAATGAGCGACCGTCTTTCGGCTGTTTTCTGTACCCATGCAGCCCTAGATTCTGCAAACGCCGCTGGAGCCGGGCCCGGAAGGGGCAACGAAATAATGATAGAAACCCACTGGAAACAATAAAATTAGGAAAACCAAGCCGCGGGACGGTGAGTAAACCATGCACGAGGGAGGCCAGGGCACTGTCGTTCGCGTCCGCCGTTCATAGCGATAGCTCCGGCGTCTTGTTAGCTCTCAGCTTGAGCCATGCGTGGGGACGCTGCGGGGCGTCACGTCGCCGCTTCGTCGGCGCGCCATTTGCAGTTGGGCCTGCTGCTCCTTGCTGTTCGCCTCGGCAATCATTTGCTGCTTCTTGGTCACGGATGCGAGTCTCCCGGTAATCATCTTGATCACTGGGAATACGTCAACACGGCGCCACCTGGCCAACTCCACGAGCCTCGACTTACTTTTTCGCACGTGGGCCTCCTCGTCCATGTCGAGGTCCCCGGCGTTTTCCTTGGAGCCCGCCCGAACGGGCTCCTTGCCGTTTGACAGCATCCGGGCCGTCGAATCGTCATCGCCCTCCAAAACCGACTCGAGCATGCGGATGGCCGTGACGTATGAAATTTTGCAGCCCGGCAGATTCTCGTTGGTGACCTCGTCGATGGCGGCCGCACGACTCATTTCGAGCGCGCGGTCGTACATGAGCTTCTCGGCGCTGATTCCCGCCGTCAGGTACACCTGCTTGAACCCTGAGCCCGACGACGAGGCGACCGAGTCTTGCCCGTGGTTAGAGGGATGGCTCGGATGGTCCTCCGGCAGCAGCTTTTGCGCCTCGACCAGTTTCAGGCGCACAACCTCGGATTTCTCCAGGACCTCGTTGAAGCGCTGTCGCACCCACTGCACAATGGCGTTGATCTTCTGGGCGACATGTTCTGAGACGGCCGTGGAAACGCCGCTGCCCGTCGCCGACCTGCTCTTCTTCGACCACCATACGCTGGCAATGTCCATGGCCCGAGCGAGTAGGGTCAGAGACTTGACGTAGAGAACCAGGGCTTCCTCCGACAAGGAGACAATCGCTTCCGCCGTCAGCCCGCCGTCGTCGGCCAACTGCTCCGCCGTGATGCCGCCGAGCCCCCGGTCCATGGACGGGGCCATGGGGACCAGCTGCTCGTACTTGACCTCGGCAAAGCCGTAGACGCAGTCACTCCTCTCGGCGTACTCCTCCATGGCCTCCCTGGCCCGAATATCCTCGTCAGCCGATTGACTACTCTTGCCGTCGCCGAGTAGACCGGCAGGCGCAATCGGGGTCGGGTAGGCAGGGAAAGGCTGATACATGGGAGGCGAATGGCCCTTGGCGCCTCGCACAGGTGCCATCTTGAAGCCAAATAGTCGGAGACTAGCGTCCTGAATGGCTTTTGTGATGGCGCTCGAGGCTGACCCGGGGCTCGCGGAGAGGGCCTTTTCGTAGGATGCTCGTCGGTCCTGACCCGGCCGGCCTTGGGCCACGAGCGCAGTCTGGGATGCTGGCGTGGGCACTGCTCCGGTCGTAGATGTTGGGACTCCCTGCTGTGTACTCCGCCGAACCATTTGGCTTGCCCTGTGTCCCGCGGAGCCCTGCGACGCCATCCTCTCGTTGGCCGCCAGCTCGTCGGCAAGGGCATTGACCTCGACGTGTCTTCGTTCGACGACGACGTAATCCCGTTCAAACATGACATCCTGTGCCGCCTTTTCCTCCTCTGCGTGCTGTCGACTGCTGGGAGCTGCCCGCGGTCTCCGAGTCTCGGGAGTCAACTGGCCCTGGGCCGCTACTTGATCGCGGGCTGCCCTGGCGGCCAGCTGGGTGTAGTTGGGTGCAGAAGCGGCGTGATGAGGCGCCGGGCGCTGGATGCCCAAGCCCTCCATGCCGTCGCGAGGAGAGTTGCCGGTTCGGTGAATGTCACCGGTCGGCCGTCGAGGTCGGCCCTCCCCATGGCCCTCGACTTGGGGTGACCGGGGCATCAACTCTCGTGGGGACCTCGAGGAGCCGCCTTCTCGGGCGGCGGTGGACAAGGGCGCCACTTGGCGCGTGGGCCTGGACTGCGGCGACGAGGAAATTGGCTCGCCTTGGGGAATCCTCTCGAGCTCGCGCTTGACTGGTTTGGGGACGTCATCCTCCACCAGGCCGGGTATGTCGCTCGTCACGGCTGGGTGGGTAAAGAAATTTTCGAAGCTGATCCTTTCCACCGGGCTTCTCTTGAGGAGGGCGCGCGTGAGGGCCTTGAGTTCGGGGCTGATGACGACTTCTCGGGGAAACTTGATGACGTCCTCGGCAGCTTCTATTTTTCTCAGCAATTCGACGTGGTTCCTCGCGCGAAACGGAGGTCGGCCGGTGATCATCTCGTACAAGACTGTGCCGACGGACCATAAGTCTGCCTTGGCATCATACCGCTCGTAACGGAGAATCTCGGGGGCCATGTACAGCGGCGAGCCGCAGAGGGTGTCGGCCAGTGACGTCGACGGCAGCACGCGGGCGAAGCCAAAATCGGCTAGCTTCAGCATAGGCAGCGAGGACAGGCCGGCGACGGGGATGAGCGAATCCTGACTTGCAGACATGATGTGGAAGGCCCGCTGATCTCTAAAGGATCGGGATGGAAGCAGGAGGAGATTCTGTGGCTTGACGTCGCGGTGCACGTAGTTTTTGCTGCGGAGGAATTCCAGTGCACTGCTCAACTGCTTGAGGAAGTGGCGGATGACGACCTCGTGCAGGCCCGAGTTGGGAGCGACGGGGTATTTGCGGGCCATTTCGTGAGTGGCCGGGTGGGTGATGAGCTTCTCGCGCTTCTTGATGAAGAGGGAGAGGTCGCCCAGCTCGCAGTATTCCATGACGAGGTTGATGTGGGTGGACGACTCGACGCAGTCGTGAAGGGCAACGATGTGAGGATGCCGGAGAGCCTTGAGGATGTGGATCTCACCGTAGAGGTTCTCCTTGAGCTTCTTGTTCAGCCGAGCCAACTCGACCGACTTGATTGCGACGGCGGCCTTGGTCTTCTGCTTGTCCAGAACGCACAAGGAAAAGCAGTCAGCAGATGACGAGTGAGGGCGAATGAGCGGGAGAGGAGGAGAGGGGGAGATGTGTAGCCATCGTCGGCGTGCGGCCGGACCAGGACTGGAGGGACAAACATACCGTGTGCCAGCCCATATAGACCTGGGCAAAGCTGCCCTTGCCTATTTCCTTGTCAATGTCGAACTGGCCGATGGTCTGCGCACCCGATTTCCGGGAGACGGAAGACGACGGCGCATCCTGTCGACTGGCCATGGCTTCCTGGAGGGGAGGGGGGCGTTGTCGGTGGCAGGAAGAGAGCCGTGTTCGGCCAGAGCCCGTGGGCCTATAAGATGCGAAAGGCGGAAGCAGCGGTTCGAGTCTTCATGTAAACGACGGTACGGGATTACGGGATCGACGGCAGTTGGACGGATGGATAAAAGAGGAGGTGGTTGATAGGCAACAGCGGACGCGAAGGGCAGTAGGATGAGCGAATGAGGTTGAAGGGGTGCGGTGGTAGTTGTGGCGGCAGGCCCCAGGACGGATGTCGGCGCGTTCTAGCGAGGCGGGCGGCAGGTATCCGATAGGCTGCTAGGCAGGCAGAGGAGAGGCTGCAAGGAGGATGAGAGGAGAGGTCAGTGGATGAAAGGACGGTTTGATGGGATGGAGTCGTCGAGGGATGGCAGTGGACGGAGAGAGAGAGTGTGCAAGCTTTGCGACGACAGGGGAGCTGGGGCAGAGAGCTCCGAGGCGTTGCTTTTGGAAGCTTTGCGAAGGGTTTGGGGTCAGCAAGAGGACAGGGCCTGACCTGAGACAAAGAGGCCGAGCCGATGGCTATCGACAAGAAGCAAGTGCCTAGGCGGAATGCGGCAGGGGCTTGTGTCAGTTGGCGTGCGGCCGACGTCGAAGCTTGCGAACACGAGGTGACGGCGCAGAGGACGAGAGGCGCTGTTGTCGTCGTCTTTGGCGGTCCCAAGCGACAGGCACCTTGATGGCGAAGGAAGTCGAGTCACGGCGACGGAGTGATGGGGTGGGTGGGCGCAGGCGAGAGGGAGCGATGGGTGGCAGAATGGACGGGGCGTAAACGAGGCGTCACCGTCTGTGGCCAAGAGAGGTAGGCGGTCGAAGCGGATGGATGGGGTGGATGGAGGGATGTGGAGCAGCAGAGGAGGGTGGATGGATGGGCGGGGACCTGACTGACTAGCCGGATGGCTGAGGCGATGGGTAATAATATGCTATGCTTATGTTGTTGACCAGGGACGGAGGAGAGATGAAGGGACAGACGATGGGGACAGGCGATGAGGAGGACAGGACGATGAGGACAGGCGATGAGGACAGACGATGAGGAGACAGAGAGAAGGAGAGAGAAGGAAGAAGAGGAGCAAGCAGGTGAGGAGCGAGCAATTAGGAGACGAGGAGCGCGCGAAAGAGAGAAATGGGGGGGGACGAGGGGAGCCTGAGAAGATACCGGGGGCGGGGGGGCGAGGGCGAGACGAGACAGGTTGAGCGAGATGGGGAGCGAGCGAGATAGCAGAGGCGAGAGAGAGAGAAGGGGACGGTGATGGATGATGATGGGCTGGTCACTCACCGTTGTCGGGTGTCACTTTTGGGGGGGGGGTGATGCAGCGCAGCGACAGGCGGTCCACTCCCCCCCGAGGTACAGTAGCCGTGCTGCTGCACCACCCAGCGCCGTGGCCGCAGCGCGAGGCGGGCGAGGCTGTACCGGCGAGGTACTTACCCCACAGAGCAGTCGGCCGCTTCAGCGACCCGACCCGATCGTGAGGAATCGGGGGAGCGGCCAAGTCCCGCTGCAGTCGCGGGGCCTGCCGTTTTATGCGCATCGACTACGCCGGGGGTACCTGCGCCTGCCGGGGCCGGGCACGCGTGCGGGACTGCACGCCGCCATGTACTCTGCAAGTCGCCCTGTTATGCGCCCTTTTTCTTCTTCCTGCTGTCGCCATCGATGACTCCACCGGCTGCGATAACGGGCGCGCGCGATGAAGAAGCAGATGATGGCTCTCTTTGTCGTCCGTCCGGCACCCAGAAGGACTTGCTCGACACGGGCGCATGAACGAGGCCCAGAAAGACAGAGAGCGGGGCCGAGCCAGCGGGGAATGGCAAGATGGAGGGGAAATCTGTCGATTCTGATTAATGCCTCCCTTTTTCCCTTGTTGTTTGACGCCGTACACAGCCGCTGCTTTTCGGTAACTACTGTTAGGTACTTACTGTATGTACTCTACAGTACTCGACCAGGCAGCAGGAAAAGAAGAAGAAGAAGGGAAAAAAGGCACGCGGCTGTCGTTGCAGCATCATCCGCCCATCCTTGCCCGCATCTCGCCATCATCCATCCATTCGTCTTTGCCGAGTGACTCTTGCTTTCTTGGCCCTTTCTTTCCGAGGCAAGATCGCGCCTCATGGCGCAAGCAGTGCACGTTCTTTCGCGATACGGGCGGGCCTCGTCTGGCGCGACCCTTGTTGGGCCCTTTTTACACTTTTGTCCCGGAAGAAAAGAAGCTTCTCTGCCCCGGCAATCAACAAACGCCAGCCAGCCAGCCAGCCAACCAACCTTGATCCATCCCTTGGGGGTGGTGGTGTTTCTACACTTTGGTAGCCAGCTGCACATGCATCCGCCTGCCGTGTCCATTGGCCAACCGCGGGGCCTTTTCCCTCGGGCGGCGGCATGCATGCGGGCTACAGTGCAGTACGGGGGGGGAAGCCTAACACGCCCGGAGCGTGCACACACACACACATACACACGCACACACGCACATGTCGGCTATGAGTGTGTGCGTGCATGTGTTTGTGTGTAAGTTACTGTATGTGTATGTGTGCGTGTGTGTGTGTGTGTGTGTGTGTGTGTGTGTGTGTGTTGTGTGTGCCTGGCTGGATACGTGGGATGGCTTGATTTGGCTTTCAACACCAACGCCCACGTCTTGTTCCCCTCTTCTCTCCTCACTTCTACACCATTCCGCCTCCGCCGCCTCCTCCTCGTCCTCCTCTCCCCTCTCTTCCTCGCCTCGCCTCGCCTCGCCTCGCCTCGCCTCGCCTCGCCTCTCCCGCCCCGCCCCAACAATCTACACTCACTCTGTTTTGCGCCACCCCTGTTGTTGACAAAAACAGGAACCCCCCTTCTCCCCGCGCTGCTTGTTGGCACCCGCTAGCGATATGACACTCCGCATCTAGGGAAGCCTTGGCCTGGCACGTGGTCCGCGACCCCGTGCAAGGCGCATGCTTTCCTCACAGGGCAGCAGTCATCCTCTGCTCTTTTCATCGGGGCCGTTCCCGAGGATACCAGCCGCCCCAACCACGTCCCCCACCGGCAGCAGCGTCGTCCGCGTCCTGACATATACCACCAGATGACGCCTCCGTCGCCTCCTACTGCTGCTGACATGACAAGCGCCGCTGCTCCCATCATCTGGTCCCCCCCCCCCCTTACCCCCTTCTCCGTCTCGGCAGACGGGCAGGGCAATTCGAGACAGACCGGCACAACAAAGCCAGTCTTAGCTCCTTTGCTTAGCTTCACCACGTGTGTGTGTCCGTCTCCTGGATGGCGCCATCTAACCAACCCTCCCTACCTTTGCGGCTCTGAGCCCCCGTAGGAAACAACGGTGACGTCTTGCTCGAGATGCTCGCTCCTATTTGGACGTTGGAAATCGTCCATACGAAGCGACGAGTCTGGATCGGACGGGCACGGATCACCACTCTTTTCCCGTCAACTCGGTCGGAACCTAAAAAGGTCGTGTGACACCCTAGCACGCGACTGCCGACCATCATGACGCCAACATGTCGTATCTGGCCATTATCGTCTTGCCACCCAGTGACGGGAATCTTTCGTGGGTCCGGAACAGTCAATATGAATGTTGGACATGCTCATCGAGGCCACCTCATCAATCAAACACTACGCGAGGCAAAAACTCCTTTCCCGGCTCGCCATATACGCAACAAGGATACCCAAAATAACATTCTCATTGCCTCACTGCCTATTGCGACGAAAGAGGCACAAGGCCAAGCAGCACATGTCGATCCCGACGCGCACGCCCGGTAGACGAGCCCGCAGCTCTCCCTTTCGCCCTCCTGTGCAGATACCGTGTGCCCTCGCGTGCAGATGCCGCGTTCCCTCTTTGCAGATGCCGTGTGTCTTCCCGTGCAGATGCCGTGTGCCCTCCTGTGCAGAATGCTCTGTATGCCTCGAGAGCCCCATGCCACCCAAGATGTTGAAAAAGAAAGCTACTCGACTCCGCTCATGGCGATGGAAACAAAAAAACAAAACAAAATTCCGGCAGCACATGAGGCCGACCAGCCCATAATCCCAGGGGTATCTGTGTTGCGACGAAAACCATGGTGTGAACAAAGACTATCGTTCATCATGACATCCCGGAGCTTGCGCTCACGTGCGCTCACGTGTGTCCAGACAATGAAAAACACGCCGGCTATCTACTCCCGCGTCAGTGGCCGGCGGCCTTTTCGGCAGTGGGCAGCTCCTTGATGGCCTCGGCGATGATGTTGAGGCCCTTCCTCAGCTCCGTCTCCGTGATGACCAGCGGAGGGGCGAACCGGATGATGTCTCCGTGCGTGGGCTTGGCCTGCGATGGCGAGGCAGGCGTCAGCATGAGGCCAAAGCGAGGCATGGCATTCGACTCACCAGTAGACCCTTCTTCTTCAGCAGCAAGCACAGGTCCCACGCCGTCCGGCCCGAGGTGGCCGACTCGTCAATGACCATGGCGTTGAGCAGGCCCTTGCCTCGAATCGCCTTGATGACGGGGCTCTTGAGCGCCGCAAGGCCATCGCGGAACATGTTGCCCAGGCGCTCGGCATTGCCAATCATGTTCTCCTCCTCAATCAGCTCCAGGGCGCGGATGGACACGGCGCAGCCGAGCGGGTTCCCGCCGTAGGTGGAGCCGTGGGTGCCGGGCTCGACCACCAGCATCACCTCCTTGCTGCTCATGACGGCGCTGACGGGGTACATGCCGCCCGAGATGGCCTTGCCCAGCGTCACCACGTCGGGCTTGATGCCGGACCACTCCGAGCACAGCATGCGGCCGGTGCGGCCAATGCCCGTCTGGACCTCGTCGCAGATGAGCAGCACCTTGTGCTTCTTGCAGAGGGCGTGGACCTTGGCGAGGTAGTCGTCGTCAGGGACAACGACGCCGGCCTCGCCCTGGATGGGCTCGACGAGGAAGGCGGCCGTGTCTTTGCCGTGGGCCTCGAGCACTTCCTCGAGGTCGGCGACGTTGTTGAAGCGGATTGGCTTGCCGGTCGAGGGGCTGGAGGCGCCAATGTTTGGCACATAGGGGCCGTAGTTTTCCTTGGACTCGGGGTCCGTCGAGAGGGTGATGGCCGTCATCTAGCACCGGGTCAGCTCGGATCGGCCGGGGCGGCGAGGGAGACGAGGGCCTACCGATCGGCCGTGAAAGTTGTCGGCAACGCACAAGACGAGGGCCTTGTCCTGCTCGACGCCCTTGACCTTGTAGGCCCACTTGCGGGCAATCTTGACGGCCGTCTCGACGGCCTCGACGCCCGTGTTCATGGGCAGGACCATTTCGTAGCCAAAGACTTGACGGATCTTCTCGGCCCACTTGGGGAAGACGTCATTGTGGAAGGCGCGGGAGCTGAGGGTCAGGCGGCCGGCCTGGTCGACGAGGGCCTTGACGAGCTCCGGGTGGCAGTGGCCCTGGTTGACGGCGCTGTAGGCGGAGAGGAAGTCGAGGTAGTGGCGGCCCTCGGGGTCCCAGACGTCGACGCCCTTTGCCTCTGCGAAGACGACGGGCAGCGGGTGGTAGTTGTGGGCGGCGTGCTCCGCCTCGGAGGCGATGGCGGCGGCCGTCGACGCGGCGTGGAGGCGCGAGGGGGCGGTGCCGGAGCCGGTGCCGGCGGAGCGGGCGGCGACGTCGTTGGCGTGGGGAGCCATTGTGCTCTCGTCGAGGGTTCTTGGCGACGGCGAGGGGGGCGGCGGTGGTGGTCCGTCAATGTGGTGTGCTTGTCTCGGATGGCAAAGATTGAAGTCGCTTCTGCGTCTGGAACAGTCGTGGTTGAGAAGAGGGAACGTTTGGGGAGGCAGGATGCGTGTCTGTGGGGAGGAGGGGAGCGGGAGGGGAGCGGGAGGGGAGAGGCAGAATGAGGGGGGTTGTGAGGTGGGAAAGGGAGGGGGGCCTAGGACTCGGTCCCCGTTGCCATTTATACTCTGGGGCCGAGACCGAGACAGAGACGGAGGCGGAGCGCCGCTATACCCCTAAGTGCAAGTGGACGGCGAGACCGGGGCGGCCTTTCGGTGCTGGCTGTTGGTCGGCCGGAGGGCAATGTGCATGTGTGCATGTGTGCATGCAGTATGTAGTATGTAGTATGTACGGATACCCACCGTGGCAGGCATGGAGCTTCAATCGTCGACGGCCTCTGTGTCTCGTTTCTCGTTTGCCATGTACAAAGCATGTCTGCGCGGGTGCCTGATTGGCGATGCAGACGAACCGCCGCCGTGTCACCACCAAACACCTGCCCCCCTTGCTTGGCCCTCGCACACCGCACCGTTGCGCTCGGCGTGCCAGGCGTTTTCCGAGTTTCGAGTTTTCTCGGTGCAATCGAGCGAGCTCTTTGTTGCCTGCTCCAGTGGTGACTTACTATCCACCTTGGGTAACTACCCGGCATGTAGATGTACGGATGTTGCACCCGCTGAAGCCGAGGCCAGCCGTCGGCCAGGCGCCCCCGAAGAACGGGATGGGGGTTGCATTTGCTCACGTGGCGTGGTCACGCACGGTACCCGCCATGTACCATCTCGCTTGGCCCTGTTGGATGCCGTTTTGCACGCCAAGCCTCGGACATGTAGGAGATGCGTCACAGCTTACTCGGTACAGTATACTGTAAATGCGGAGTGCCTATTCCAGCAGGTGCCCGACCAAGCGCAGCAGAGCGACGACGACGACGACTCCCGAGCGGCCGGCAGACCGGGGGGAAGGGGGGAGGGGAGAGGGCAGCAACTTGCACGGTACGGTACAGGGACCGGCGCCCACCCCTGCGCGGCGGCCACATGACAGCCCGCCAATGGCAGCCAGGCCATTACGTACAGTCCCCTGTACCGTAGAGATGCCATCTGGCGATCCGCGTCGCACCGCATTGATAAGACGTTTTCCCTTTTGATAGCGCCGGCCCTCGTCGCCTGTGCGCGTGCCTGCTGGAGCGCGGGATGCAACGCCACCCGGCGCCGTCGCAGTGCAGCCCGCGCAGCTCACGGGTCTGCTCGTGTTTCCCCCGTCGTCGTCGAGACGGCGAGCTCGACGCGGGCAGGCCGTATCTTCCAAGCCTGCACAGCCAAAGCCGCGGCATGCACCCGGGCCAAGTGTCGGCGCGGCTCGGCGGGGCCTTGAAAATTTAAAAAACCGTCGGTGAGACCGGCCGTCGGTGCCGACACCGGCTTGACCGGCCGTCGGTGCCGACACCGGCTTGACCGGCCAGCGCCGGCCCCCAAAAGGGAACATTACGTAATCAGACCTCGCTGGCGAAACGGGGCACTGGAATTACTGTCCAGTGCGTGCTTGCATGCTCCCGCCGGCCAATCAGCAGCAGCTTCGGCTGAGCATCATCTCGAGCTCAATCCCCGAAGGGCGTCCCATCACGACAAGCCTCTCATCACGACAACCATCACCACCCGGTGCATCGTCGCCCTCGGAGCCCCAGACAAACTCATCACCGGACCTAGTCCCGGCATAAGTCACACGCCCGTCTCAATGGCCTGTCCCTCGAGCCCGTCCACCAGACCCTGAGGAGCACCACTCTCCTCCGTCTCGGCGGCGGCATCCAGCAGCAAACAAGGCACCCTGTCGTGTTGACGGCCCGCCATGGCTTCCTCCCAGCCATCCCCATCGTCTTCCTCGGCATCCCTGTCATCGGCAACTTCCCCCACCGCCCGCGACAGGCGCAACCGCCCAGCCTTTCTCCGCCGCATCATCGTCATCCGCCTCATCAACGCCTGGTGCATTTCCACCTTTTTCCAGCCCGATGAGTACTTCCAGGCCCTCGAACCCGCCTGGCGCCTCGCCTTTGGGCCGCAAAGCCGCGCATGGCTCACCTGGGTGAGTCTCTCCCCGCCATCCATCCATCCCCTTTTCCAAACCCCGCCGCAATGCTGACCTCGAGTTCAGGAGTGGCATCGCCAGCTGAGGTCCTCGCTTCACCCGGCTCTCTTCTCCCTCGCCTACCTGCTCGCAGACAATCTCTCCTCCTGGCTGCCCGCCGGCCACGCCCTGCGCACCGCCGTCATCATGGCCGCGCCCAAGGCACTGCAGGCCCTCATCGCTGCCCTGGGCGACTGGTACACCTGGCGGCTCGCCGTCGACATCTACGGCGCAGATACCAACTATTCCTTCTTTGTGGTGTGCCCGCCTCTCTCCTTTCCCCAGAAACAGCAACCGAGGATGGTGAGGGACTAACCTCTTCCCCCAGCTGTTCCTCCAACTCCTCAGCCCCTGGCAGTGGTATGTCTCGACGCGCACCTTTTCAAACTCCCTCGAGACAACCCTCACCGCCATGGCCCTATACTACTGGCCCTGGAACCTCCTCGCCCCCGCCGCGCCCGCCCCGGCAAAGGATAAGCCCAAGCCGCCCAAGCCGCTCACCCACCCGTGGCGCCTGCGCGCCTCCCTCTGTCTGGCCGCCCTCGCCGTTGTTCTCCGGCCCACCAACGTCCTCATCTGGGCCACCGTCGTCGGCCTCACCCTGACGAGGCTGTCTCTTCGCGGCCTCTCCCCCCTGACCCGGCCTTGCATCGTTGCCCTCTTCAGGGACGCGGCGCTTTGCGGCGGCCTCGTCGCCGCCCTCTCACTCGTGTCGGATCGTCTGTACTTTGGCTTCTGGACCTTTCCCCCGCTCAACTGGCTCAATTTCAATATTTCAAAGTCCCTCGCCGTCTTCTACGGCCGCAACCCCTGGCACTACTACCTCCTCCAGGGCATCCCCCTCCTCTGCACCACCAGCCTCCCCTTTGCCCTCTGGGGCCTCGTTAAGCCCGTGGCTTCGTCCGCCGCCAAGGAAAACACGCTCAAGACTCTGTCCTACACCGTCCTCACCACCGTCGGGGCCCTCTCCCTCATCTCCCACAAGGAAGTCCGCTTCATCTACCCCCTCCTCCCGGCCCTCAACATCCTCGCCGCGCCTCGGGTCGCCTCCTTCTTCACGTCTGCCCCCTCGCCGTCCTCAAAGTCCGCCAGGCCTCGCCCCCGGCTTCGCAACAAGTCCTATCTCCTCGCCGCCCTCGCCGTCAACCTCTGCCTCGCCGGCTACCTCTCCTTCTTCCACCAGGCCGCACCTTTGACCGTCCTGTCCCATCTCCGCCGCCAGTACGAGCACATCCACCCGGCCTCTGTCCGACTCGCCCACGGCTCGCCATCTGCCCCAGACGAGCTCTTCGCCCTCTTCCTCACCCCCTGCCACTCCACCCCCTGGCGCTCCCACCTCGTCCACCAGGGCCTCGACGCCTACGCCCTGTCCTGCGAGCCGCCCCTGCATACCGAACCCGGCTCCCCCGAGCGCGCCGCCTACCGCGACGAGGCCGACCGCTTCTACGACGACCCCCTGCGCTTCCTCCGCACCGAGCTCTTCCGCCCCGGCGGCCTGCGCGCCCCCCGCTACATTGTCGGCTTTGAGGGCATCGAGCCCTGGCTGCGCCGCTTCCTCGCCACCGACGAGGCCGCCGCCCTCGGCCTCGGCCGCCTCGACAAGGTCTGGGCAGGCTTCAATGGCCTCTTCAGCGACGACTGGCGCCGCGCCGGCAGGTTGCTTGTCTGGGACACGGGCGTCTACGACGACGCGCCGCCGCCCAACAAGGTTGGAGCCTAGGCTCGCACGGCGCCCACGCCCGTCCTCGGCCGCTGTCGTGCGCATTGTACTACCTCTACTCGAGAGGCACACCGCGTAACCCGACACGGCATGTTGATGGATGGAGCATCAAGGGAAGTCGTGTTTCTCCAACTAAATGCAGAGGCGACCCTCCTTTTCTGACATTGGTGGAGCACCTCCCCAAGACGTTGATTCGTCCTCGTTGCACACGAGACAGCTACGACAAACTGTACGAGACAGATTTTGTATCATCTCTTTAGCTTCCGTACATTACATGAACACATCATCCGATCCGTCCGATTGCCATGTCTCCCTCGTCTCCATCCCTGCCCTCTTTTAGAGGACAAGGGATAAACAAGTCGCGTGTGATGCGAGGCGCGTACGCGACGTCACCGAACGCTCGGAAAGGTAATTAGATAAGAGCAAACCGAAACCCCCGATGCCAGTCTCCGCCGTGGTAAAACACAAACGGAGGAAACCGGGAAGATGGGTACCCCATCGCGGTATCGCCAAAAACCAACCAACCAAAACGCGTTGCGCACTAAACGCCTACCGGGATGGTCTGCTCGCTCTGTGGCGATGGAAGAAACAAGCGCTGATGCCTCGGAAATCATCGAATTCGGCAACGCGTAGAGATCAAGCCTTGACCGGCTCCGGGCTCCAGATTTCAAGCCCCAGTTCCCCAGCCGAGGTTTTACTCGTTCCTGGGCGGTTCGGTAGGGGCTTGAGCCTCCGTCATGGTCGCGGGGGCTGGTTCGGGTTGAGCTGCAGGCGGCGGCTCAGCTCGGGGCTCTTCTGACGCCTCCGTGGAAGCTTCCTTTGACGCGTCCACTGCAATATGCTTCTGGGTCTCGGCGTGTGCTCCTGACGATGCCGCCGCAGCAGCTGCCACAGGGGTCCTGAGCGTGGCCTCCTTCAGAGCCGGCGGCTCATGGACCTCTTTCTCGGCAATGGCCTCCCTCTCCGGCTGCCTCTCGTCGACCCTGTCGCATTTCAGATCCAGGCTCCTCCCACGTGAGAGAAAGGCGGCACCGAGTGCCTGGCGGTCCGCGGGTGGCGACTTGTTCCGTCTCTGCTCAGCGCTTTCTTTGGCTTCGCGATATTTGTTTCTGATCCAGCCTATCGGCCCCTTGGCGTCGTCTTTGCCGTTGTCCCTTCCCCCCTCCTGGCTCGTCTGGCCTTCCACGCTGGCCAAGGTCGTGGGCTCTGAGCCCTCATTCGTAACGCTGTTGCGTGGCTTGCTGACGCCGCTGCCTATAGACGTGGTGCTGATCTCTGCATTATCGTTGGTGCCGATGTTGAGGTGCGGGGGCGTCGCCAAAGAACTCGTGGAGCCGTTGTCTTCCTTTCTGCTTCTCGATAGTCTCCAGCGCTTCTTCTTTTCTCTTTCTGAGTTTTCGGACAACGGCGCCGGCATATCATCCGTCGATTGGTCCAGGTCTGATCCCTCGTTGAACGACGAGTGGACGGACGTTGGCGGAGACTTCTTCCCACGCAACAGATTGTCGGGGTGCAGATTGCTGTTGGCCGGAACGTAAGATGCGCGGGGAGTGTGATCAGATGATCTCTCGCCTGCCTGCTGAGCTGCAAGAGAGTTCTGCACTGCTTCCATCTCTGGTACAGTCGGCGAGGGATATGCATGGCCCCGTTGCACGGCTAGCGCCGCGGCGGTAGCCTGTGAAGTGGAAGGCGAGGGTTCCGTGGCAAGCTGCGAGGGTGCATCTGGCGCCGGCAGCGAAACGGGTTCCGGAATGGGCTGCATCGTTTCCATCGGGTTCGCCGCCTCGACCGCCGGGGACACGGCATTTGAGTGAACCAACGAGGCGCTGGAGCTTTGGGCGCTAATGTTCATGCCTGATATCCGCTTCTTCTTGAGCTTGTTCGGCTGCCTCCTCTCGCCGCCTTCCCCAGGCGATCGCTGGAACAAGCTCTGCAGATTCCGCTCCTTTCCTTGCGGAGTCGATGTTTCCTGGGGCACCTCCAGAAGCCTCTCTTGACTCAGCCCAGACGCCGAGCCAAGGGCGAGTGGAAGGCTTGCAGCACCAAGAGTGGCGGGCGTCGGGCTCGACCGCTGGGAGTGATTCGCGCGCTGCGCTGGGCGAACAGGGGTCATGGGCTCGAGGTAGCCGGGCGATTGGTGACCAGGGCCATCGTTTCTCTTGAACTTGGCTCCGGCCAGAGCGGGCGACTTTTTGGACGGGACGGTGTTGCTCCTACCTAGACCGCCCGTGGGGGTTGTCGCCAGCGAGGGACTGCTTGGCGTTGCGTTGCCCTCCTGCCGGGAGTGGCGCGAAGAAACAGATCTATTCCTGCGAACCTTGCCATCGCGCCGAACGCTCGTGGCACCTGCGCTGGCGTTGGATGACGACCTGTCGAGGCCCGAGGTCCTATTGGGGTTGGGAGTCAAGGGTCCTGTCGGGGTGCCCGAGGCCACCTCCTTCATGGTCTTTTCGTCGGCGGCTGTGCCTTGCATGCCAATGAGGAAGTGGTCCTGGTTTTCAATCAGGAAGATGAGAACACATTGGTTCAGTCTATACTCCTCGGGCGCCATGGCGTGCGTGGGATGGGACAGCATGCCAGGCTGGAAAATGGCCGCCAGGTTCTGCGAATTCATGCGGTTCTCATCCGACTTGGCGGCAAAGACGGCGAGGAGATCGAGGATGTAGAGGAGAAGCTGCCTGTTAAGCGGGGGCAGCTCCGTGATGAGCTTTTGGTACTTTTCGATGGCGGCCTTCTCGTCAAAGTTGTCCACGAACTGGGGGCCTTCAGCATCCCCAACGGCCTGCTTGGTTGCCCCACGCAACGGATCGCGGAACTTTTCGTACAGATCCAGGGGCACGACGGGCTCTGGGAGGTCATTGAGATATCGGCGGAGGACGTTGGCCGCATCGTGAACAGTATAGCCGTCCCAGACGAGCCCCTTGCCGTAGCGGTCGGGAGAGTCAAAGATGTGCTTGAGCTCCTTGATGCGCTTCTCAGAACCGCTCAACCGGAAAATGCCCTCGATTCCAGTAGCTGCAACGCCGATTAATAAAAGACGCGAGCGGGAGGGGACTGCTCCCACGAACCTTTCTCCTTGAGAAAAACGCCACACTTGGCCACGACGATAGGAACGTATCCGTAAATGTAGCTCTGGCCATTTTCGTCGATGAGGGATATGGCGACGTTGGCGTAGGTAATGCTCTGCCGCAGCGGAACCCCAAAGATGCCGGGCGCTTTAGATTCTGCTATGGCCGAGGTCAGCAAGTCCGCGCAGACATGGCCCGAGCATGATGTGACAGGGGGAACAGCCGAGGGTGGCTCAGGTGTCTAGAACAAAGCGTGGTCGGCGACATGTCCTGCTTCAGCGACCACGGCTGAAATGGGGCGACAGCCAGTCGGCTAATGACGACGCCATGGTGCCTAGCCGCAAAATGCGACGGAAGGACAGACGGGGGGCGCGGGAGCGATGACAAGGATCGGCAGCGCCATGCCGGGGCAGAAGGGAAAAGCCTACCTGAGGGCTCTTGATGCTTTGAGGGCAGCTTGAAGCTCTTCCACCACGACTTGAGATCGCGCTTGTTCGGAGGCGAGGCAGGAGTGGCACCAGGCGGCGGAGCCTGATTATTGGCCCGGTGCGCTGTAGGGATAGCAGAGGCCATGGTAGATGAAGGCGCTCTCGAGCGACGGGAAACGATGTTTCGGACGACGACCAAGGACCCGAGGGGGCGTTCCGACTCGGGAGACCTCGTCTCGACGCCGGGCAAGCGCACGACAGGGCTTGGCGCGGGTCCTGGGCCACGAAGATTCAATGGCCCGTCGGCTGCGACTCACGGGTGATGTTTTCCGTCGGCTCTCGATGATGAGGGGAGGTGAGCTAGTTGACGGACGCGATGCGACAAAGGCGGGCGGGCGGGCGGATCGCAAGCAGGGTGCAAGCGTCCGAGGGTAGCTTTGTTTGGAGTCGGGCTGGGAGCAGGTTCTAACGTCGAAGCGGCGGCCAGTCGTCTGTCCTGGAGCTCGACGGCATGAGGGGGGAATGGCGGACGATGACGGCGCAGGGCGTCAGGCGAGAGGAAGAAGGAGCGTCGGAGGAAACTGCGCACGCCTCCAGAAAGAGGTGCTGGACGAGTAGGGAGGGCGGTGCAGCGAAGTAGGCGGCTGCAGTGGTGGTGGTGGCGTGGTGGTTGTGTTGTGGTTGGGCGACCAGCCTGTTGACATTGAGATGTTAGGTGCAGCTTACAGGGAGTCGAAGCACCGCAGAGAGGAGTGGAGGGCAGCTGGCCACGATCTGGCAGTGCCGGAACAGAGGGGGCTCGGCGGAGGTGCAGGTACTTGAGGAGGGACGGGCAGCAGGTGGGGGGAGAGGTACCCAGCTTACCTGCTTTAGGCCTTGGGCTGTGTTGGCAGTGGTGTTGGCCGGGCGGTCGTGGCGGCGACAGGTGGGCCACGTTGTGAGCGCCTGTGTACTGTACTTGTTTTGTGTGCCCAAGCCGGGGATGATGCGGCATCAGTCGGTGGAGCAGCTTGGGGCGCGAAGCGTGGGCTGGCTAGCCAGCCGGCGTCGGGTGGAGAGAGAGAGAGGCTGCCGGGGGTGATGGATGGGGCGGTGCGCGCAAGGCCGACGAGGAGCAGAGGGGAATAGCGTCGCCGAGTGATAGGAGAGAGGGGAAGAGACGGGAGGGAGGGAGAGAGAGGCGGGAGGGAGAGGGGGGAAGAGGGGGATGCAGCGCTGAGTCCTGCCCTGTAGGCGGCCTGCCTGGGGGCCGAGCCAGTAAATGCGAGAAGGACGGCGGGCGAATGACGTTGAAACAGGCTGCGCCGGGTTAATGTTGGGCGAGCCAGGATCGGCGAGAGAAGAAGGCGAGCGTGAGCGTCGGAATCGCCCCAGACTGCTGCCGAGGGTTTCTTCTTGTCTCTTTTTCTGTTGCTTCCCACCTTTCCTCGCCCAAAGTCAACTCGGGCCAGGTCCAAGATGTTTGTTGTATACATACCTGCACCCAAGGGACCCCAAGTCTTGAAGGAACGTTGCTGTCGAACGAGTGAAAACAACAACAGATGTTCTCTCTTCCTGTCTTATGCAGGCAAGAGAAGGGCAAGAAACACGCGAGGCCAAAGGAGAGAAGTGGACAATGACGGGGGGGGGAAGCGAGCGTGGATGGGAAAGAAACCATGAGGGATGCGGCGGCGGCGGCTTGCGAGGGAATAAGACTCGCTCTCTCGTGTCCTCGGTGGCCGTCTTCAGCGAACAAGCCCGGGAGCACAAAAGCTTAACCGAAGGGGTCCTGGGGGCTGTGGGCTGCGGGCTGTGGGCTGTGAGCTGTGGGGAGGAAGCATCCATCGTCAGTCCCGTCCCACCTACGTACCCACGACCGTGGTACTTGCTACTGTACTTCGTATTGCGAACCTCAGCGACGCTTATACTGCATGGTGATGCAGGCAATTATTATTAGGTCGGTGGCTCATCGAGGCATCAAGAACATTCCTTGTCCAGTTGGATGAATTTAGCGCCATGCTCTGTAGCATTGCCTGTGCTGTCTCCCTGGCCTAGATGGCTAGCCGCTGCGCTAAAGCAAGGTTGGTTCCTGTCCTGGCGGCTCTGTGTGGCACGGCCCTGAATCCGGTGCAGCAGAACCGACGATAGACGCTGTCTGCGATGCATTCGATAAAGACCTGTCCTTGCTCGTGGGCTATCCTTCATTGTACGCGGACAAGCCGTTGGCCAGTGACATGGACTGAGCTGACAGAGGGGCCACGGAGATGAGGAAGTGCTTCTGAAAAATCACTGCTGCTAGCAGCTGCCCTGCGCAAGCCACTGCTGAAGCTTACCGGAGCTCGCACTCCTCTGTACCCCGGGGCCACTGCAGTTCACCAGGCGCTGTAGTGCCTCGACCAGCAACAATTGACAACAACCTGCCTGACAGTAATAAATCTGCGGGAAGCTCTCCCTGCCCTGCCCTGCCCTGCCCTGGGACTGCACACCATCACTGCAAGCCCGCAGGCTCAACCCGAAGAGGAGAAAGGCCAAGAAGAAGGAGCAGCCCCTGCAGGCCACAGTCTCCCGAGCAAGGGGGGACCGCGGCCCCATCGCCGATCAGTCCCCATGGGGCGAGCCGGAGCCATCGACGCCAAAACTTCACCCTCGTGCTGACGTCTGCGACTCGAGATGAGAGTAGAGGCACTTACTGTAAGCATACACAGCCGCACGTGGGCTCTGCCATGAGCACGCGAGGTCGTACTCCGAAATCCCACAGAACTGGCGGCCAGGTGAGCCTCTCCATCACCTCGGACCTCATACTCTGGCATGAGGCTGTCCGCCGTGGCGGAAACCATGAATGGCGGGCGGGGCCGTCTACCAAGCACCCTGCCTGCCCACCAACCCAAAAACCATGCACAAATATTCCCGCCTGCCCTGGCACGCGTCTCGAAGTGGCTCTTGTCAAGCAAGGCCATCAAAATGCCCCGAAAATACATGGACTTGGGCGTGAGCAATACAGCCATGCCGGCGTCTTGTAGCGCCCACTTGTCCAAGCAGCCCTACAGCATCCATCCAATTTTGGAACCCAAATCCACCACCACTCGCGCACCGTCTAAACCATATGCCTGGCAAGACGTCCGTTCCCTGGTCACAAGCGAATCTGCTTTGTTGATGGCTCCATTCGACTGCGAAGCTCCGTGCCTGTGGACTCTATGTGGATAGTTTATCCGTGCCGCGAACCGAGCACTGGCGGAGAGAAACAGCTCCGGCCAGGTACCTGGTACCTTGAGCTCATTGTCTTACGTAACCAAGGCATCGGCAAGGAAGCTCAACGTCAAAATTCGGACTTTGATGATTCCATCCACCATCAAAAGCCACATCCTCCCGCCGACGACGACAAGCCCGCCCGCCATGGATATGTACGCCTCCGCCTTCCAACTCTCCCAATAGTCTTTGACCCACTGACCACTCCTCGCCATTTCCTTAGGTTATCGTCCACCGAGCAGCGCCAGCTGGAGCAGCGCATGCAAAAGCGCCAGGTCAAGGAGTTTATGGGCGTGCGTTTTCCCTCTCCCTTCCGAACAATCACACCCTCAAAGGGAAATATGCAGCTAGATATAACAAAGAAGAAAGCACGGCGTTAGAAGACAAAAACAACCCGCTGACTTGCGAGGCCCTCGCTTAGGCCTTTGGCGGACTCGTCGAGCACTGCTTCGTGAGCTGCGTCGACGACTTCACCTCAAAGGCCCTCGCTTCGCGCGAGACGGGCTGCATCAACCGCTGTGTCCTCAAATGGATGGCCACCCAGCAGCGCGTCAGCGACCGTTTCCAGGAGCACAACGCCCAGATCACCCAGCAGATGCAGAACAAATGATTCCAAGCCCGATGTCATTTTGCAAGGGAGGACGCGCGTCTTCTAAGCGCGATATATACACACATCTCTCCGCCTTGTTGTCTCATCCGCTGCAGCCCTCTCGCCGTCGCGCGCTGTTCTGCGGTCGAATTGATATTTCTTGAGGGTACCTTGTATGGGATTTCCCCCGTTGTTGGTGGGAGGTCGCTGGGCGGCTTCTTGAATGCGGTTGCCGTCTTCCGCTACTGGTCGACGCTTTGTACTTGTACGACGGACTTGAAAAATGGCCAAAAGCATATCAGATGGAATGGTCCATCCATCCATCAAGCGCTCATCCTCGATTCCACACTCCCGCACGATAACCTCCTGCGTATTCTACAGGCCAAGGCCACTCGAGTCCGTCAAAGACTGCATACCGGCCATCAATGCGGCACTTGGGCGTAAATGAGGTGCAGGGCGGTACATTCCGCTTTCCAACGCCTGATCCCAATTCAACCATCTAATGCACCCAAGAGCTTCTCTCAGCCCACGCCCTGACTGGCGAAATCCTACGACCAGGAAATGCTCACAGCCGTCAGCCTTCGAGCTCGTCGCTCAACACGTCTCGCACTGTCTCGAGTTGAGAGACAGCCTTCTGCTCCAGCAAGTTATCAGGTCCTCCCGCATCGGCCGCCACTTTTGTGTTTCTCCATTCCATTTCACGCGAGCCCAACGGTAGCAGCCGTTCCTTGAGTAGCCTCTTGCTGGAAAGCCAAAAGTCGACATTTTCCAGCAGCCCATTTGAATCCCACTCGACGGCGGGGATGTCGCGGCTGTTGCTGGCGCGTAAAGCTGCGAGGATGCGCGTGAGCAACGCCAATGAGTGAATCTCGGACGTCGCCAGCAAGGTCAGGTAGTGCGGCGTAGAATTGGACCTTGTTCGGCTTGCTCCTGGGGGCTCGAATCGATCCACACTCGTCTCCAGCAGGTGGGAAAACTGATTCAGCACGTACGCCATCTCTGGTGCGAGCGTCGCGCCGAGAGAAGCCAACAGGTTGAGCATGAGCGGCAAAAGGCCCTTGGCCCAGATGGAGTAGCATCGTTGCGCGACCGGGGCATCCGCATACGGCGAAATGTTGGCCTTGAGCATGTACTTGGCCAGATTGGCCGACAGCAGGTTGCTGAGGATGCCGTCGCAGGCCAGTTGTTCCGCCAACAGGGGAAGGCTTGAAAGCTCCAGCAAGAACAGGATACTGAGTTCGCCGTACACGGGGTCTCCTTGTATTGACAGTTGGTCGGCCCACGAAAAGAGTGAAGTCGCGGCATTCATGACGTCGTGTGAAGCCATAATGTTCAGTACTTGCGTCTGCGACTGGTCAATGGTGGGGAGACTCAGGCACGCCTGCATGATGGCAGTCAACAGAGCAAGATCCTCGGGTAAAACATCTGTGTCCCTGTCGTGGATGAGGCTGACGAGGGTCCGGAAGCCTCGGCCGACGACGTGATCCAGCACATTGAGTATTGTTTGCGCAACATTCACCGCCGGCCCTTCCTGGTCGGCGTACGAGTCGGGGGCCGCTTTGCTGTCGACGAGTTGGTAGGCGCGAAGCGTGACGAACAATGCCTTCAGCAACGTACGGTTGTACGTGACGGACTGCTTTGTAAATGGTTCCTCGGCGTCGTGGATCGTGGCGACGAGAGTGGTCAGAAGATGGTTGATATCCTTGACGTCAATCGACGACTTGACAAGGCGCTGGACCAAGATGAGAGCCAGGTTCGCCCGCGCGTCAACCAGCTTCAGAAAGATGCTTTCCGGGCCCGGCGCCCCTTGGTTGGCGTTTAGACACTGGTGCACCACCTGCAACATCTGTCTGGTAACTGTCTGGTCCGACGGCAGGCAGGTACTGAGCTCGACCAGTAAAACCTCCCACGCATGAAAGAGGGCCTGCAAACTGTTAGCGACGGCGTCGACTTTGGTCGCTCCCGGAAGTCTCACTATCTGAGCATCGACCAAAGACAGGTTCGCATTGGCAAGCTCCATCTCGTTCTTGAAGCCATCGTCTCTCCGCCCGAGCCATCCTGGATCAAACCCCAACATGTCATTGGCACGGTCAAGGTTATAGTAATAGTTACTGCCGAGCTCCCGGTGCTCCAGGGGCGTCCGTTTGAAGAGCTCGATGGAGCATCCGAAATATTTGTTGGCAAAGTTCTTTGCAAAGTTGTTGTGCAGCGACTTGTTGTAGCCCGCAATCTCGACGCCATCGCGGAGATAGTAGTCGAGATCTGCCACGAGACTCTTGGCGAGCGGGCCAGCCGTGCCCTGGTGGCGCGAGTGATACAGCTGCATCGCCAGAGTCTCGGCAACGTACGCTGCGACCCTGGCGTCGACGCTGGTGCCGATAGCGTCCGACTTAACAGTCAGGTGAGACGGCTTCAAGTCGCGTACGTACGCCCGTAAGCCGTCAATGTATGACGTATCTTTCAACAGTGTGAAAATCGTCCAGGGCCAGTAGTTCTGCGCAGACGCGACAAAGTCCAGGATAGCTAGGGCCTCGACGTTGTCAAGGTCCTTTAGCCCCTTCAGCTTCGCCAGGGCACAGGCAAAGACAGAGTCGGCCGACAGCTCGCCCTTCTTGCTGCCCTCCTTCATGGCCTCTCGTGGCGTCTGCCCCGTTAAGAGACAGTTGGACATCCACTGTTGCCGGTTTCTCAGGATTGACGAGAAGAATGTCCAAGTGATTTTCGCGTCATGTGTCAGCGCAAAAGGCTTTCCCAGATTGGAGAGCGATTGCAAGAAAGACTTGGATATCTGAGGCCCCAGGTAGCCGAGCAGCGACGGCGGCTCAGCGGTAGATTTGGCCGCGTTGACCACAAGCGACTCGAGGAGACGGATGACTGGGGAGCGGACAGGGTCCGACAACGCCGAAAGCCGGGCCAGTAGGGTTGAGCTCTTGAAGAGGTACGTCTCAAGCATGGCGGAAGATCGGGCGAGATAGTCTGCCGTCCGGAGCAGCGTCGTGCAGAATTTGACGACCGAGTTGAGCTGATTTCGAACAATCATGGTGCGCTTCCGATACAGGGTGGCGTCGGGCAACATTAACGCAGCGCCGAAAGACGTGAGCATGGGTCCAAATCGTAACGTGCCGGTCGATGGGGCCATGAAGCAGTCGACCACGTAGGAGGCTGCAGGTCTGAGGCTGGACGTGAGATTCTCGGAGCTCGGCGATTCGCCCGTGCTGTAGCTGTACAAAACGAGCTTGTCGAGGACGGGAACGACGTTGCTGATCAGCTGCAAGCGGCTCGTCTCCGAATCGAAGCGCCAGGTCGAAGTGCTCTCGAGGACGTCGACAGAGGCCTGTGCGACAGACAAGCTGACTCTGGTCAGCACTTTGTCGGCGGTCCCCAGCCACGGGTTCGACTCAGGTTTCTGTCTGTAGGCGAGTTTGTTGCTTGCCCGGCGCTGAACCGCAGAACACATGGCGGTGTCTATAAGCCTTGAGAAGAAGGAAAGCGACGACATGAGGAGGTCGAATCTCTCCGAGACTAAATCAAGGGTCCCGGTGATTTTGGCCAGTTTTCCCGCCCTGGAATCCGAGCTGAGCAGTTCGCTCCGGGCCAAATACGACCAGACCCGACTTGGCTGTATGGGAAGCATGGCATCCAGAAACGTGACGCAGGCGGTGAGGATGTGGACGGCAGCATCTTCAGCCCTTGTCGGCTCGTCTTGCATGAAGTAGTCCATGGTCTCGCAGACGATGGAGACGAGGTCTTTGCCGCCGCTGATGTGTTTGCTGGCCTCCTGCAAAAGGTCGCTCTCGCGGTGAGCCGCTATGCTGTCGTTGCTCGTCTTTGCTATCCTCAAATACTCCATGCGGAAGAGCGTGGAGAATAAGGAAATGACTTGGGCAACTTCGCTCGGCTGCAGCATTCCCAACTCGGAGCGATAGCCCTCTTTAGTGAGATTGATCTCGAGCTGCCGTCCAAGCAACGATAGGGTGGAGTGTGGATATTCCACCAAGACAACCCGGCCCGTGTCTGTAATGAAACGTCCATAGGTCCCAGCTGGTAGCCGGTAGGCATCGTCTTCGATACACCTCCTGCTCCACGATGAGGACAATGATATCAGGGGAATTTCTTCCACCAGGCAGAAGGAGTTGGTATTCTCGTCTTCTTGGACGAGCTCGTACCCCGAAAACGCGTTTGGAAGAGTAAATGCCAGGGAAGGCGTTTTTCTCAGGAGCCTGACGATCAAGTCAGACCTGTCGTCGTCCGTGGCCATGGTGGCAGTGCAAAGTCGCTTGCACAGCGTGATGAAGGGCAGAAACTCGTACGGGAAGCGATCGAGAGACTGCTGAAAGTAGAACTCCATGGCATGGTCGTCGTGTATCATGCACGCGAGGACGTCGTGGGAGGTCGAGAGAGCGTTTTCCGCCGATATATCCCAATAGTCTCGTCCAGGGGCCAGGAGCGAAAGAAGCGAGCTGACCGTCTCAGATTGGTATCCAACCACGGGATAAGAGACCTTCAGGAGCTCTAAAAAGGCAACCCTGATGCGTGAGCTGAGCAGCGGCGACATGCTGCCTTCGGCCGAGGGCCCTAGCGAGGTGGCCATGTTGGCAATGACATCAAAGACTTGCCCGTGGGCCGTGACGCCGGCGGCTAGTTGCTCCACCAGCTGTAGATCCTTGGGAGTTGTTCCGCTTTCGAGGAAGCCATCGAACTTGGACGACTCGATGGAAAAGATGCTCCCGGCCGAGTTGCGCCTGGCCACGGTGGGGCGGATGACGCCCCCCAGCTCAAAATTCTCCCTGGCGTTTTGCTGTAGCAGGTTGTCTCGCTTCTCCGTCCGGTTCTGGTAGGACACGTTCATGCGATGAAGTAGCAGAGTCCAGGCGAAAATGACTGGGCTGGCACTTTCGCAATCCGCGCTGGCCGCGTCGAGAATGCACTTGTGGATTTGCTCCAAGACATCTGACAAGAGCAAATACGAGTCGTATGAGTCGTCGGGGAGCGCCGGATCGTCCTCCCTTTCGGCGAGAAAGGTCAGAGATCGAGCAAGCTTGAGCAGGCTAATCGAAACTGCCGAGGAAAGCGTCTTGAGAGGGAGAATGAGCTCAGTAATCGTTGGGTGGATCTGGCAATTGGTCAGTGCATCTGTACGTGACTGGGAGGAGGGGGCGGCGAACGGGCTGGATCGAGTCGAAAAAGTTGTAGAGATTCATCAAAGAGAACCACTGATTGATGGCGCCCGAGGGGGGAAAGTCGCTTCCCAGACTGTCCGCGATCTGGAACACGACCGACAATGCGTGAATGATCTCGGTCAGGAGGCTTCTCAGCCAATCCAGCTCAATGTCGTCGATCAAAAGCAAACTTTCGTCTGTCAAAGACCTAAACCCCGCCTCGATGTTGGCCATGCGGCCAGAGACGATTTTCAGGTAGGCGGGGAGCAACGAGGCTGTTTCATCCTGGGCATGAGCCGGCCCGTTGAGTTTGTAGAGGAGCGCCAAGTTTTCGTCGGTTGACGCGAAAACCGGTAGCCGACCGTAGAGCTTGATTGCGTGCAAATAGTCCATTGTCATCATAAAGGAACGCCGCTCAGCCAGAAGCGTGTCGAAAAGTCGTCGCCTTCTCGAGTCGGTCCTTTCAAAGTCGGCCGCAATTTCGTCCGAGTCAAGGGCCGATGATGCGCCCAGGTCGGATAAGAAGGAGGCTCCTTGGCCATTTTGAAGGCCAGCGGCTTCTTGTAGATTTGCGGCGTCTTGAGAGGAGAGCGGTCCCATCAGGTGCCTGAATGGGCGGGACTGGAACTCGACGATGACGACGCGCAGCGCAGCGACGAGGTTGATCTTTGCGTTTTGACTGAGCCATTCCGCATCTGACTTCAAGGTCTTGACGTCGTGGTCTGAGGCCGAGGCCGAGGTCACGTTGACGGGAGCCGTCTTGGTGTCAAAGTCCTTTTTGGCAGCTTCGTTGGGCGGCGCAAACACGGCCGAAGGGTCTCTGAGCAATGAATGGACATGGTCGTCGGCGAGGAACCTTGTAACAGCTGGGCACGTCTGTCGCTGGCCGGATTGGTCCGAAAGCGCGGTCGATATGTGCCTCCAGGAGCTGGAGGGAAGTCAGTCGCAAGCATCTCACAATGGAGGGGAGAAAGAAGCTCACAGAAGCACGCGCTCCCCGGACAAGCACTCCTCCAGCGAGGGGAAGTAACTGCTATCCGACACTGGCGCCATGGCCGCAAGCGTCAGTCAAGAGGTGGCGGCAGGCGATGCATCCCTTGGCGAGGGTTTGGCGCAGGCGAGTTGTTGCGTTGACGCGCTTGAGCAGCAGCGTCGGTCGTCGAGCTACTTGAGCTCAGTCAAGGGACTTTTTTTCTTGAGTCGAGCTCTCCTGGGCCGATGTTTAGCCGGCCGGCCACGCGCGGGATCCATGCACGGTGTGCGCACTGTAGACTGTGCACGATTTAGCGTGTGTCGACACCGTATGCCGAGTTATCTATTGGTGTCGCCAAGTCGTTCCGATTCTCATTGCCTTGAGTCACGTCCCGGCGAATTGAGCGTTTTCTCTCCCATTTCCTTCTCGGCGCCTCCTCTCAGCTCGCCATTCACACTCTAAGCCATCAGGACATTGTTGCAAAATCTTGGAAAATGCCGTCGGCCCTCGGGATCATCGATCACTCACCCCATCAGCCCGAACCCTCGGCCCCCATCCCGACAGCCTCCAACCTCATCCTCATCGACAACTACGACTCCTTTACCTGGAACATTTACCAGTATCTCGTTCTCGAGGGCGCCACCGTCCATGTGTTCCGCAACGATCAGATAGGCCTGGAGGAGCTCATCCAGAAGAACCCTACCCAGCTCATCATCAGCCCTGGCCCGGGGCATCCCGCAACCGACTCTGGCATCAGCCGAGATGCCATTCGCCATTTCGCCGGCAAGGTCCCCATCTTCGGTGTTTGCATGGGCCTGTAAGCCTTCTCATGGCGTCTCTCCCCGTACTGGTCTGGTTGGCTCACGCTCCCCAGGCAATGCATCTTTGACGTCTACGGCGGAGATGTCAACTCGGCTGGGGAGTGGCTGCACGGCAAGACGTCCCCTTTGGTCCATGACTCCAAGGGTGTCTTTGCCGACCTTGAGCAGAACCTCCCTGTGACGAGATATCATTCTTTGGCTGGAAACCACGTCACCCTGCCCGAGTGCCTCGAGATTACTTCTTGGGTAGCCAACGCTGACGGCTCGCCCGGCATCATCCAAGGCATTCGTCACAAGGATTTTGCCATGGAGGGAGTGCAGTTTCACCCTGAGAGCATACTAACAGCCCACGGCCGCAAGATGATCAAGAACTTTTTGCACATGCAGGGTGGTACCTGGGAGGTAAACTCCCGGCTGCAAAAGGCGATGTCAGTCAACGCCGCTGCCGCTGCGCCGGCGAAGCCCAAGGGCAACAACATCCTTCAGCGAATCTATGCCAGCCGCAGGGCTGCTGTTGCGATTCAGAAAGAGATTCCCTCCCAGAGAATGGCCGACTTGCAAGCTGCCTACGATCTCAACGCGGCCCCTCCACTCGTCCCGCTTGTCAGTCGCCTGCGCCAGACACCCTTTGACGTGGCTCTCATGGCCGAGATCAAGCGTGCCTCTCCTTCCAAGGGCGTCTTTGCGCTCGGCATCAACGCACCTACGCAAGCGCGCAAGTATGCCCTGGCGGGCGCCAGCGTCATCTCGGTTCTCACAGAACCAGAGTGGTTCAAGGGAAGCCTCGAAGACTTGCGAGCCGTGCGCCAGGTCCTGGACGGAATGCCCAACAGGCCCGTCGTTCTGCGCAAGGAGTTTATCTTTGACGAGTACCAGATCCTGGAGGCAAGACTAGCAGGCGCCGACACGGTTCTGCTGATTGTCAAGATGCTGGATCTCGAGCTGCTTGAACGGTTGTACAAGTACTCGCTCTCGCTGGGGATGGAGCCACTGGTGGAGGTCCAAAACGCCGAGGAAATGACGACGGCCGTGAAGCTGGGCTCCAGGGTTATTGGTGTCAACAACCGGAACTTGGAGAACTTTGAAGTGGACCTGGACACGACGGGCCGATTGAGACGCATGGTCCCCGAGAGCACGCTCATCTGCGCCCTCAGCGGCATCAACACCCACGACGACGTGCTGATGAACAAGAATGACGGGGTCAATGCCGTGCTCGTGGGAGAGGCCATTATGCGGGCGCCAGACGCGAGCGTCTTTATCAGTGAGCTCTGCTCGGGCTCAGAGCCGGCAACTGAGAGGCCGCAGCCTCGGCCGCTCTATGTCAAGATATGCGGGACTCGCTCGGTCGAGGCCGCCCAGGCAGCCGTCAAGTCAAAGGCCGACTTTGTGGGCATTTGCCTGGTGCCTGGCGCCAAGCGCTGCATCACGCACGAGACGGCGCTGGCAATATCCAACGCAGTGCACTCGCAACCTGGCGCGCTCGACGCCAGAGGCGAGCGGCACATGTCCAGCAGCGGCGCCACAGACTACTTTGAAGCCGCCGCTTCACGGCTCCAGAGCTCGCGGACCCGGCTGGTGGGCATCTTCCAGAACCAGCCGCTTGCAGAGGTCTTGGAGATGCAGCGGCTCTACGACCTGGATCTCGTCCAGCTCCATGGCGATGAGCCGATTGAGTGGGCCAAGGCCATCCCGGTGCCCGTAATTCGGTGCTTCAAGCCCGGCCAGGTCGGGCTCGGGCTGCGCGGATACCACACGATACCGCTCCTCGACTCGGGATCCGGGTCGGGGAAGCTTCTCGACGTGTCGAACGTCAGGGCCGCGTTGGAGAAGGATGCGGACCTCCGGGTCTTTTTGGCCGGCGGCCTGAACCCGGACAACGTGGCCGCGGCGGTCGACGCCCTGGGCGGACTGAGCGATCGGGTCCTTGGAGTCGACGTGAGCAGCGGGGTCGAGGAGGACGGGAAGCAGAGCTTGAGCAAGATTGCGGCTTTTGTCGAGGCTGCGAAGGGTATCAGATAAGTGCCTTGGCAGCGTATCGAAGATGATTTTCCACTTCCCAAATAGATGCCTCGCTGGTCCGTTGGGGCGTTGGGTTCGTAAGCTTCCCGCTGCTCCGATGTGGACAGAAGCCCACTAAGCACGCCTCTTGAGCAGCCAGATCAATCAGTATCCCCTCGAGAGCATGGTCAGGGCTCCTGAAGGAGACTTGTCCCTTGAGAACGGACACGAGGTAGAGGGACACTTTGGGCTGCCCGTAGTCTTGCTTGTCTAGCTCTCGCACAGCAACGGCCCGTGTGCGTGTTTTCTCTGCTCGGCATGGGATGCAACTTCAACTGCCCTCTCCCCGTTCTGAAGCAGCCCCCCTGTATCTGAACTGGCTTGTTCAGCCCAACTCACACTCTTCAATCCTACCTCTCCACACCTTGGTCCCCGACATCTAGACATCAAGTCCTCGAACCAACTCCTCAAGGCTTCTGCGTTCTCGCCCTTTTGAGGAGCTTTATCCGCCCCATCATCCACGCAACCTCTCCGCCTCGCCTCATGCCTCGCCAAATCTTCCGAGACCGCGTCATCGCAGCCGCCGGCCCGCTACCCGGCCAGCTCACCGTCGACAACCTCCGGCACTGGACGAGCCTGCGGCGGGGCAAGTTCAGCGACGACTTTGACGACGCCGTGACGCATCTGCTGTGCACGCCGGAGCAGTTCCGCCAACGGGTTCCGCGAGGTAAGCCCCGTGGCGCCGTTGATCGTCGTTGACGGCACACGCTGCTCAACGCCTCAGCTGGACGGTGGGAAATGAGCTTACACGCCAGCGCCAGTCAAGGAAGCCCTGAAGCGGGTCAAGCGCTGCTACATTGTCCACTACGACTGGTTCGAGCTTTCGACCGTGGGGGAGAAGAGGGAGCCCGAGAGGGAGTACTCGATGAGACACCGCCTGGCCAAGCAGAATGCAGCGAAGCGCGAGCAGGCCAGGATCGAGAGGGGCAAGAAGGAAGGCGAGAAGTTTGTCAACACTAGTAGGTTATGTCCTGAGCCCTGTCACATCCTCTGAGGCGGCTGTCGACTTCCTCTGACATGCAGACCAGACCTCTACCACATATACCAGGACAGGGAGTACTTCCCGTACCAAATCGACATTACGCGAGACGGCAACGAGAACGGCAACGAGAATGGCGAGCCCGGCCAGCGCTATACCCTCAGTGTAAGACGCTCTCCCCGTGTCCTGGCGCAGTCGCGTGTACTCGTCCTGACAGCGTGCAGCTGTGGGAGTCCAACGCCAAGCCACACCTATACTGGTTCACGGCAAAGTTCCTCAAAAGAAGGGGCGACAGTCAGCCCAGCTTTCACCGGCCCAGCCGCTGCTCGGGCAAGTGGCGTCGTGAAATGGACTTGTTTATGGGATTTTTCCGCGTCAAAACGGGCATCGAGTGGCAGGACCGTGTACTGAGAGAGAAGACGATGTCGAGCTCCTTCTTTCATTACACTCCGCCGGTAAGTCTCATGAGTCGCCAAACAGCCCATCCAGCTCCAAGCCAAGCATGGCTAACGCAGCAGACAGACAGGAGGGAAGCCCGTTGGGCGACGGCTTCGGTTCTGCCTCGACCACTGCCGTCAGGTGAACGCCGAGATTAGGGGGCTCCCGTGGCCGCCCGTTGAAAGCGCTGTCACCGATCCGGAAGACGCCAAGATGGACGCCAAGGCCGAGAGTGCCGAAAACGGCGCCAAAAGCTCGGCTTCTGAGCTCGGGGCTGATGATGGCGAAAACCAGGCTGTGGCTGCTTGCGAACAAGGCTCTCCAGAGCGCACACTCGCGGTGGAGGGTGTCGAAAGCTCGGCTGAAGGCGGAATCTCTGAAAAGTGATTCGATCCGAGACGCGCGGATCAGGGGGTGGCCTAACTCGTCTTGCGCAATGCTTCTGGGGCGTCAACGCGGCTTCCAAGTTGAGTAATGGAGGGAACGGGGCCCGAGGACGGATTGAAGAGGGCGACTCGGATGGTCCGAACAAATGACGAATGACACAAGTCGGGGATCCAAGCACTACCGGTAGTTGTCGTGAATGGACGTGCGTAAAGGGCTTGTCGTGCCCCAAGTTTTGGCCTAAAAGCGAAGCTTGGGCAGCACAAACACAATCAGCAGCAGCGCCACCATCAAGCCATACACCCACGCGTAGAGCATCAACCTCCCCCACCAGCCCTTGCCCTCTGTCATCTTCCGCAGCGCGCCCATGCGGCCTCGTGCCGCATCCATGCCACGCTCCGTCTTGTCTATGCCCTCGCCTGCGCGGCTGACGACGTCCTTGTCGACCTCGAGCGACGACGAGAAGCGCTGCGAGCTTGCCTTGAGGGCGCTCGCCATCTGGAGGATGGAGCCCGAGAGGGAGTCCTGCTCGGCGCGCTGCTGGTCGAGGATGGCCTCGGCGGTGGCGGTCGACGTCTGTGGCGCGGCGGGCTCGCGGCGGTTGGCGAATAGGGCGGCGCGGGCGGTGCTGTGGGAGACGTCTGCGGAGACGGAGGGCTGCGACTGGATGGAGGAACGGCCGCGGAGAGACTGGGTGGTTTGCGTGGGATCCTGCGCGGGAAATACGGGCGTGGTGGGTGAGATGTTTTCGAGGAGATGCGCCGGAGTGGCCGGGGGGTCTAGGATGGTGGCGAGCTGCGGAGTGGGGGAGGCTGGTATCGCGTCCCGTGCCGTGTCCTCTTGTCGCGATTCGGCCGATGTAGACGGAGCGCTTTCGCTCGGAGTTGGCACGATGTCTCCCAACAAATCCTCCTCGTCGGAGTCTTGGTCCTCGTCCAAGGCAAGCTAGGGGGCAAGTAAGCTGGTGAGGTCCCAGTCAGAGCTTCTGGGGCACCCACCTGCCTCAGGTCTTCCATGCGATCCAGTAGCGTCTCCAGCGTCTCCCTCGTGGCGTGCAGGGCGTCTTGTCTCTCGAGCTTCCGCGCCGGCACCGTGATACGCGCCGCATCTTGTTCTAGGCGCCCGAGTAGCGATAAGGCATATTCCAGGTTCTACAATACGCCCAGTCAGAATATACGCTACCGCGGGATGCGATCGCACAGGCATACCGCTTCAACTCTGGCCCTCTCGTACTCGCTGGTCCGCAGTCTGCGCTCCCGTTCGGGCGTGGGATGGAGGACATTTTGCTGCAGCCGAGAGACAAGCTGTGACAGTTGGACAAACAATGCGTCGTGGGACTTTTCGGTGGTCCGATCCGCGGTATGGGTGTGCGCCACGCGCGCCATGCCGTGAGGTGCTCGTAGGTGGTGATGGTGTCGTGCCGATTGCGAAGTGCTGGTGACATGTTGTCGTTTCTTGGAGCTTTATCGATAACTCCCAGGGCAAAGCGGGGCCTTAGGTGAAGCACGTGATCGGTATCTACTTGCTAAGTACCTAGGTGCCTACCTATATACCTAAGGTAGGTACCTAGGCGGGCAGTTGATGATACAGTGTGACACGTACGGAGTACCTTTTCTCTCTCTGCACACAACCCACCCACAACCCACTCACACAGCAGTACCAGCGCCTCGCGGCATCGAGACCAGCCTCAGTCCCACCAAACAGGTCGAGCAGAAGCAAGTTGCCAAAAAAAGAAAGGGACAAGACCATGCTGGCAGATGAGCGTCAGGGAGCACGCACGTATGCTGCCAAAAGGGCAGAGTGGCAGGAAATTCTGCTGCGGCAATACACGAAGCTGCGAATGCTGTTTGCAATCGATCGAATCATGGGGCAAATCCTGAACCAGCTTCTTGTCGAAAGCATCGCGATGGACAACAACAGCGAAGCCTCGATGAATCGGATCAGGAAGCTGGAGGGGTTCAAAGCCCGCATGAAGCAAAGCAGGAAGCTTCTCAGAGATGCGAGAAAGGTTCTCAACGCCGCGAAGAAGGTTCTGGCGCTCATCGACTCTGGAGCTTACGGCGATGCTGTGCAAGGCGCTTGAGGCTGCTCCTTCAGCATCCTCCCTTTCATTGGGTTGCGGCGATGGGGGTTTTAATGGCGGGAGGAATGAGTGACACGCAAGACGCGTGACCCACGGGCAGAGAGGGGACTAGGACACAGTACGGGAGCATACGGAATACATCAGTCATCTCTGCACCACTAGTGCCGGTACATGAGCCTGCGTTTAGGGTAGGCCCATGGCGTGAAATCGCGTTTGCCAGGACGTGACACTGGCGAGAATGTTTTCAAAACGCATCAAGCAACTTGCGCGAGCCGAACTCGATACCGCACAGCTACGGGCAAACGCTGAAAATCATGTCTTGATTTGTCCTTTGCTGCTGCTCAGCTGCCCAAAGACATCACCCAGGTGGCCAAGGCCTTCGCTTCTGGCTCACATCTTGATCGCCCCCTGGAGCCTTAAAGCTCTGTATGACTTGACCAGAAAGACTCATGGCGTCTTCATGTTGCCCGTGTTCCCTACCTCAGCGTACTGACCACCGCTTCTCTCTAACCCTTTGTAGTCTCACGTGTGGTCCTCACTCGAGTATCCCGACAAGGACAAAAGCTGGGCCCGCCCAGTCCTTATATCGGCGGGTTGCCTTTTCCAGGCACCACTCGGCGCAGCCTGGTTCGAGACGGGCCGGCGCCCATTGCCGTCTGATGGCCCCGTCAGGCAGTGAGAAGAGGGCGAGCGGCTGGATCAACGCCGTCATCCATTGGCGGTAGAGAGTCGCCCGTGCATGGCTGCAATGCAATGCCCAGCGTGTCGCGGGCCTAGTCCTTGGCTTCCCTTTCATTGTCCAAGGCGCCGCGCAGTCTCTCCTCCTGCTTTTTCCAGTGACTGCCTTCTTCGTAGTTGGAGCTGATCTTGAGAGCCTTTCTCAGCCGCTCGCTCTCTTGAATCTTGGCGTCTGCCATCTCGTGAACCTGGTGCTCTTTGAATGTCCTGCGGGACGCGCCACCCTTGTCCCCCGACTTGGACTCTGCGCTCAGTTTCTGGCGAAGCTCGTCGCAGCGGCGCTCAATCTCGTCCTCGTCGACCCTGTGGCAAAAGTCAGCAAAGGAGGATGCGCAAAGGGTGAATGGCGCCTACTCTTCCCCCTCGAGCTGGTCCCGTAGCTCAAACACCTTGACCTCAATCTGGCGCTTGCGGTCGTGCTCGAGGATATCCTTGTCCGGCTGCCGCTGCCTGTGCCGCAGGCTGTCGAGGTCCTTGGGGTATGGGGCGCCGTAGTCGCGAGGCCTCATTTGCGCTAGGTTGCGCTGTACGTACCCTGAGGTTCCGCTGCCCCGGGGGGTGGAGAGGCCGACGTTGTCTGACATTGCGGGGATGAAGAGCAGTCGTGGGTATTTGAAATCGAGGTGTTTACTAGACAAAAGTGTAGTCTCTGCGATGACGGCCTTGAGAGTTGAGACGGGGGATGACGCTGGTTGGAGTCCCCTTTCGAGCAGGCGGTGAGATGCATATTTGCGATAGGAAGCGGCAGAATTGATAAGCGTTGATCTGACGCAAATTCCCGGCTTCAACCCCAAGTCGACGACCAAGAGTGAGTCAAGCTCATTCGAAAGCAGCATTACAAGAAATATAAGACCCATTGCTTTGTGGTTTCCCTTGACTTGACTTCTTCTTGCAGTTGCCTCACAATTCATCTACTTTCAGGTGGCGGCGATATACCACTTCTTCAAAAGTGCCACCATGCCTCACCTCCCGTCTGTCGACGACGCCCAGGACGAACGGGAGCTCGTGTTCCCGCCCGTCACCAAAGACCACATCCAAAACTGCTCGTACGACGCGTGGTTCCCCAAGTACCGGAGCTCATGCCTCAAGTCGCGCATCATCCCGCTGCCCCCCAGCGTCGTGTCCTATCTCCAGGAGGACGGCATCGTCTTGGCGGACGAGGACGGCGGCGGCACGTTGTCACAGGAGGAGGAGGAATGGCACCCGTCTACCATCAGTGGTCCTCTACAAGCACGTCACGAAGAGCAAGACTCGTCATCAGACGAGGACGAGGCGCCTCGACTACCCCCCAACAAGAGGTTCCCCGATACGCACCAGCTGATCAAGGACACTATTGCCGAGCTCGGGGGCGCCGTGGCTCCGAAGCTGAACTGGTCGTCGCCTCAGGATGCCAAGTGGATATCGCCGCACCAAAACACGCTCAAGTGCACGTCGCCCAACGACGTCTACCTCCTGCTGAAGTCGTCGTCGTTTGCCTCGCACGACCTCGCCCACGCCTTTGACGGCTGCACGGCGGCCCCTCCGTCGCGGCCCCCGGCGCCGGTCCTCGTGCTGCGGCCCTTTTTCATGCCGCACGTGGCCCTCGAGTTCCGCTGCTTCGTCAAGCACCGGTCGCTCATTGCCATTACACAGCGGGACCTCAACTACTACGCCTTCCTCGACGGGCTGCGGCCGCACATCTGGAGCAAGATCTGGTCCTTTTTCAGGGCAAAGCTGAGGCTCACGTTCCCCGACGCCAGCTTTGCTTTTGACGTCTACATACCCGAGGACCCGCTGGCGGATGGCGGGCTCGGCAGGGTGCGGCTAATGGACATTAACCCGTGGGCGCCGCGGACCGACACGCTACTGTTTTCGTGGAAGGAGCTGTTGGGCATGGAGGTGGCGTCCCCGCTATACGGGTCGTCGGAGGCTGGATTGGATGGCAGCGGAGACGAGGAGGAGGGAGGGGACACGGGGGCGGAGGATGCCGACAGTCAGGACGGAATGCCGGAGCTGCGGCTGGTGGAACGAGACGACCCGGCGGCCTACAACTTTAGCTCGGCGCAGTTCTCGGCGCACAAGCTGCCCAAGGAGGTGGTGGACGCGGGCATGTCGGGCGAGGGCGGGCTGCGCGAGTTTGCGCGGCAGTGGAAGGAAATCACCGAGGGGAGAGGCGGCGACGTGTGGGATAACGTGCCAGAGCGTAATGCCTGAATGCTCGGAGCCTGGGAAACACTTGACGATGACACTGATGGCCACTGCTTCCTTTCTTTTTTCAATAGCGATGAATGCAACGCCGCGATGAACACATCAAAAGAAGCATGTAGCAATAATCAATGGCTCTTGCGGTAAGTAAGTCAATAGGAGAAGCTCTTGAAAGGCGCTGACCATATCGGCGCTATAGCTCTTTGCCGCCGTTCGAAAGCCGGCCTATTGTGCGCACGCCGCCTCGCATTGTGTGCGAGTGAGCGTCTCAGATATGGTCAAATGCCCATTCTGCTCACCACGTCTATTGTGCCTTGATATTCACCTCGGCATTGGCCAATCATGATGGCACAGCAGTCGGCCGCCGTCGAGAACAAGAGCCCGAGTTTGGGAGAGATAAAATGCCATGTAAACCGCCAGCTCGTCGTCCGTCTCATCTCACGATATTCAAACACACACGCACTTCCTTACAGTTCAGTCACTTCACGCACTTGCCAGACACTGCGAAGCAGGTGTATCCAGCTGCCCTCATCGCCGAGCATCATCATCGTCAAGGTGAATCACTGCCCTGCCTCGACTTACACGCCATATATCAGCCAGCCTCGCTGCCATCTCGGGAAGATGATGACGGGACGTGGCGGCGGCAAGGAGCCCGGGGGAAACAGGCCCAAGAGGGCTGCTTCACCCGGCTCGCCTCCCTCGGGCGAGCAGTCCGAGGCCAAGAGGGCCAAGCTGGCGCACGACTCTCCAGCCTCTCCTGCTCCCGCGAGCGCGGATGCAGACGACCATGCGCAGCAGCCGCAGCAGCAGGATCCTCATCACTTCTATGCTCAGGAGCCCTGGATGCCCGATTTCTTCGCTCCCGTAAATGCTCCCAGCGGCAGTGGCAGCTACAACATTGGCGGCGATGGCGACGGAGGAGCTGATGACTCGGTCGAAGGGGCCCTCCAACTGGCTCTCGGTGGCGGTGTTGACGACTTTGACGCTGTTTTTGGAGACTTGGTCGATCTGGATGGGGCGGCGGCGGCGGCGGCGGCGTCTACTTCGTCGCATACTCAGCCTGCTTCCCCGTATGCGTCTGCATTTTCGTCTTCTCCGACTTCGCATGGGGCCGTGGCGGGCCAGCAACAGCGGTTTCAGGGGCAGGCTCCGATTCAGCATCAGCAGCAGCAGCAGATTCCGGAGCAGGCTCCGACTCAGCAGCTTCAGCATCAGTCCCAGCAGCCGGTTCAGCAGCAGCCGGCGCTTCATCTTCCTGCCCAGCCCATGCAGCGGCCGGCTCCTCCTCAGCAGCAACTTCACCTCCCGGCCCAACCTGTTCAGCAGCAGTTCCATGTCGCTCCTCAGCAGCTTCTCCTCTCGGCCCAGCCTGACCAGCAGCCGGCTCCTCAGCAGCAGCAACTTCATCTCTCTCCTCAGCAGCTTCTCCTCTCGGCCCAGCCTGCCCAGCAGCCCGCTCCTCAACAGCCCGCTCCTCAGCAGCAGCTTCAGCTCTCTCCCCAACAGCCTCTCCTCCCGGCCCAGCCTGTCCAGCAGCCCGCTCCCCAGCAGCCGGCCCCCGTCGCTGCCCAGCAACCGCAGCAGCCCGACAACAGCACCCTGACCGGCGAGCAGGTCGTCCAGGCCGCCTACGGCAACGGCGTCCGCATCGACAGCGTGCTGTGCAGGCGCCTGGCCGGCGAGCCGGCCCAGCGCGAGCCCGTCCAGCGCCGCGCCGCACAGAGGCTCAACATTGAGCGCCGCAGCAACGTCGAGGCCCTCCTGGCCCACGTCACTGGCCAAGTGGCGGCCCAGCCCTGCAAGAACTGCCACAAGGGCCACGGGCCCTGGACCCAGTGCGTCGTCTATGACGGCCAGATGTGTGGCAGCTGTTCGAATTGCTGGTTCAACGCGAGCGGTTCGAGGTGTACGTTTCATGGTAAGTTCCCCCCTCTCTTCTCCTCTCTTCTCTTTTCCCCTTTTCCTTTGCCTCTTTCTTCACAACAACAACAACAACAACAACAACAACTGCCCTACACACAACACTCCACCTCCAACACACCACACACAACACACTCTTCACCCTCATCATCGTCGTCAACGCACAAGACGCAGCTATGGGACTGACTCTTCCAATCCCAGAGAACAATAATCCTCAGCCGCAGCAGCACATGCACCAGCAGCAGCAGCAACCTCTCCCTGCCACCCCCCAGCACCCTGCGCCCGTCCAGCAGCAGCTGCCCCAGCAGCAGCTTCAGCAGCTGGCGAATCCCTACCAGCAGCCTGCTCAGCAGCAGCAGCAGCATGTGCACCCATACCAGCAGCATCTTCCGCATCAGCAGCAACAGCTGGTGAACCCATACCAGCAGCAGCCTCTCCAGCATCAACAGCAGCAGCTGGTGAGCCCATACCAGCAGCAGCCTCTCCAGTATCATCCCGCCGTCGCCGCAACGGCCTCTCCCACCCCCTCATCCCATTACCGCCATCGTCGCTCCCAGGGCCCGGCACACTTTGCCAACGGCGTCAACCTCAGCCACCTCAGCGCCAACGACATTGCCCAGTGGCGCTTGGCCGATGCGGCCAGACGCGCCGTCGCCCGCGGCATGGACAGCACTCGGATTGTCTCTCGCCGACTGCGACTCATTGCAAGGATCGAGGCCGCTGCCGAGGAGCTCGGCATGCGCATTACAGAGTACGACGAGTACGCCCGCAGCCCCGAGGGCATCGCCGAGGGCGACGGGAGCGTTTCTTCCGATGTTGCCGCCCAGCAGCAGCACGATGACGACGACAACGCCTCGGTGGGCCAGTACGAGCCTCCTCCTCATCGCTCGCCCTCGCCTCCCTCTCACCACTCTCATGACCGTGTCCATGAGGATGCCTAGGCGTGGCACGTCCATCGTCGATTGTCGCGCCACGACTTCGATTCATCTGGGATGAGCGCTCTTGCTGGCGTCGACAGCTTTTGCCGGCCCTGCAGCCTCCTTTCGTCAACGACTTTACGCGCATTGATTCATGGTCCTTTGTTTTTTCACCACCTCGTTCTTCAGCTTGTTTCTGCTTTCGCGACTCCCAGCTGTTCGAGCTCGCAGCTGCCAGCCGACAGCTCCCCCGATTCCACACGCTCCCAGAGCGTGGCACGACCAACGGTCAGGCCCCAGCCAAGATCTTCTCAGCAGGCCAACAAACAGCGACGGCAGGACCGGCTAACTCTGGCACTACTACAGACTGTGAAGACATCACCTCTGAAATGACCATTTCCCCTTTTCATACATGGCGAAACGCCTTGCGCTCCGGGAACAAAAGGCTGGCTCCTTTTCTTTGCCCAGGGATCGCGCCCTTGTTTTGTTTTTACACTCCAGAGCTTGTTGGCATTGGCCCAGCAACCACACAGTACAGACAGCCAGCGATTCCGCAACCACCACCACCCGCGCCAAACTCATCCTCTCTGCTTGCCCGTCTTTGCATATCCCAGCTGGTCTCGGGCTATCCAAACGCACAAGACGCGGCATGGAAGGAAACTTGGATTCTGGGGGAAATGGACATGGACATGGCTCACTCATTGTTTTTGATTTCACTGTTCTTCTCTTCCGTCCCTTTCTCTTTATCGCGTCCGAATCGACAACAGAGCTTCGTGCAAGAGTCTGCAAGTCGACTTGGCAGCGGCGGATATTGGCGACGAAAGGGGGACATGCAACGCTGGCTTTCATCTGGTGCGACGGCACAGTCTTGTGAGATAGAGCTCAATGCTACTGCCCCCGTCTAGACCAAAACACTACAGAACGACAGTTGACCATGCAAGCCGTGTTCCAATGTGCCGACGTAGTCGTGTGCACTCTGATGCTAGAGAACTCGATATTCGATTCCAGGTTGACGTTTTTGCGCAGCTCCAGACATCCCCTCAACCCATTGGGACTTCACGGGAACGAATATCAACATGGGCAGAATGGTCTCTTGGCGTGGCTTCATCTAGCAACAACCCGACGACGCAGCACAAGCCCAGCTTCTCTCATCCTTCGCTGCCCCGTCGCCATCCCTCAATCAGCAACTATGTACCAGAAGGTCAACTCAAAGTAGAGCACGCTGCAGAACGACAAACGAGGGCAACAGGGGAAATAAGGGAGTCTTTCGTAATTAAACAAGGTAGATGACCGTTGCCATCCTGTGGCCTTGCAGACGCGGCACTTCCTACCCTGGCCGCCTGGCATCCTGCTCGCTCTTCTGGCCCGCTGCCGCCGTGCAGTGGGCCCTTCTTCCCTCTTCCGTGAAATCATCTTGTAGTACAGCGTGCCTCACCTGTCCCCGGCCGTGACGCGATAGCCAACATACCGTGCTCTTGGAACCAAGAGCCGCGTTTCGGCGTACCGATGCCGAGCTCGTGGGACCAGGGCGCACCAAAAGAGACCCTCCCGCTCCCGGTTTTCCCCGTGGCGCTGATAGGTGTACAATGAAAAATTCATGAGCCATGTGTCTGTGGCTCTTCCGGGTGGTCGTTACCGAGATGGAGGGTATTCGTGGTTAACAGGAAACAAAAAAAGACTGAAAAGGGAACACGTTCAAATCAGACCGCACAATCTGAGGTTTTCTTGGATGATGATGTCTGCGACCAAGTTAGCAAAAGATCTCTTGACGAGCTCCAAGACCACTGACCATTCACTGCCGCCATCACGAAGCGTATCTGGGTGGTATCGGTGGCGCACGTGAAGTGAGTGTAGATTTGCTTCGTCTCATGCTGGTTGAGGCTGACGAATCGGTTGAGGATATAGTCGCAGGCGGCGGCATAGTCGTCACCGCCTTCGTAGTCGGGAAAGTAGTTCTTCATCGGGCTGACGGGCAGCTTCTCCTTGAACCGGTCGATCTTGTTAAGGAACAGGATGATGGACGTCTTGATGAACCACCTCGAGTTACAGATGGAATCAAACAGCGTCAGCGCCTCTTGCATACGATTGACCGTCTCATCCTCGAACAGCAACTGGTCGTACTCGGAGATGGCGACGAGAAAAAGGATGGTGGTGACGTTTTCGAAGCAGTGAATCCACTTCTTACGCTCCGACCGCTGTCCACCGACGTCGAACATTCGGTACGTGAGATCGCCGATGATGAATGTCGTCTCCGTGATGCCCGTCGTCTTGACACGCGAGCGCAGAACGTCCTGGTCGTTGGGCATGTAGTCGGGGGCGGCAATGCGGCTGATGTTGTCAAAGTAGCTGCCAAGGTCAGCAGGGTGACACGGGTTCTGTGCGACAAGAGCGCTTACTATCGTGCAGAGTCGTTGAGCTGGTACTCGCGGGATCGCTTGAAGCACTCTTGGACGCCACGGTCCTTCCACAAGGCCTCGATGGCGCCGCCGACTTCGGGAGGGAGGACGTCGCCTTCGATCTGGGCGGGCTGCATGAAGATGGTCTGCACGTGGTACTCCATGCGCTGGTCCTCGAGCGGCAGTTCGAGCGACTCCATGGCCTCGAGGATGACGCGCATCGACTGCACCGTGTTGCTGAAGATAATTTCTTTGAACGATTCCCGCTCGTCGCGCGAGTAGCCGCCCTCGTGGATGAGCTTCATCTGCTTGAGGATGGTGGACTTGCCGGATTCACCGGCACCTGCATGGCATCGGGTTAGCAAGTGATTGAGGTCGAGTGCAGCTCTCGTTATTGCCAATCGTGAAGGGCGCTGGGCCATGACATACCAAGAAGGAGCATCTTGATCTCGTTGCGCTGCATCATCTTGTCCCGCTTCAGCTGGTTCTCGATCTCCTCGTTGCGGGCCTTGCCCTCCTTCTCCTCCGTACTCATTCCACAACCCATTTTGGCGGACGGGCGATGGCCGAGTCAGATACCGAGGTAATCAATGTCTGCCCGAGAAACACGGCTGGCGTGCGCAGATGGAGACTCGGGTCGCTGTCGAAGTGCTGCGAGCGTTGCCTGGTTAGCAACAGGGGTAGACGAAGGCGAGGCCCGTCGCGGCCACGACGGTTTGAGGGGACTGCGCAAAGAGAGGGGAGGAGAGACAGATGCAGAAAATAAAATAAAACAAAAAGGAGAAGTCGGGGCTTCGTGGCGTGACGGGACTTTGGGGGCCAAGGGCAGGAGGGCGGTTGGGAGATGACAGTTTGTCGTGCAAGGAGCATGCGAGGCTGCGCGCTGCTTTCTGGGCAAGGGGAGGCATCGACTTACCCGTTAAAGCTCTACTTGCCGCCAATCGAGGACCGATACCAGATGGAGAGGCGGAGAGGCGGAGAGGCGGAGGGAGAGTCGAATCGAGTGAGATGAAATGCCAGGCGATGGCGAAAGGCGGCGTTGGCGTGGAACCGTCCTCGGGCGACAAGGAGACGGGGGGTGCGGAGGAGGGAAAAGAGAGGGAGAGAGGGCTTGGGAAAAGTGAGTGCCAGGTTCCGGTACGATTACGGCCTAGTCGCCATTCGGGAGATGGAGGTACCGGCCTTGCCTGAGGTGGGATGGTGGGCGCTGGGTGCGGAGAGGTAGCCCGCATCGAGGTGTACCGCGACGACGGGGCAGACGGGGGAGGGGGACGGGTCGCCGGAGATGGATGGTACCTGCCTGGGGAGGTGCAGCTGTCCGACGAGCGAGAGGTGTTGCCCGACAGGTACCCACGGCAGTGCGCGAGTAATAAGTAATACTGGCAAAGGCAGGGAACTCCCCTGCGCATGGGGATTATTTCTAGCGGCGGCTCGGACTGGAGGCTCCCGGCACAATACTTTCCGACCACTACGGTACTACTGAAGACCAGGCATCGCAGCTGGCGTGCAGTGCTGGCGGTAGGTACATGCAAGCCCGGGCACCCGGTGCGCTACTGGGCGCTGGCCGAAGGCCCCCCGCTGGCTTTTGGTTCTTTTAGACCGCTACCGGAACCACTGCAGTCGGTCGCACTGTGACGGGACATTTCCTCAGCGAGAGCCTGCTGTGCCTGGCACGACGGCCAATCAGCGGAATCAGCGGTCCCCAGCCAGTGAGCGGCGGCCGAACATCTGCAGCCTGCCAGAAGCCCGGCGCTCTTATGCACTAGGGCGCCTAGGCAGGTGGAGGAAATCTCGTTGGTCGGGAACCGTCGTGTAGCCTCCCTCACCTTGGACCCCGTGTTGGCCGGGAAAAGTGGTTTCTGGTCTGCTGCTGATGATGCTCACTCGCTCGCTCGATCCTTCTATCCGCCGCCAGAATCCCTCAGCGGATTAGGGCAGGGTTCCGTTGCGGGCTGCCAATTGCACGGGGGACCTGGTCTCGGGGCCGACAGAGGTAGCCGCCCGCACAACATGTGCGTGCCAGTACGGCCCCGAGCAGATGCGCCCTGTAGCGGCTGCTGACGGGGTACCCGAACCTCCCCCCCCACCCTGGCTGTCAAAGACCCACCTCATCTCTCGTCGAGCTTGCTGCTTTCTTTTCTTGGCCCCAAGCTGCCAAATGACGATGGCTGCTGATCGTCAGCTTGGTGGTCTGTCCTCAATCCTCGCCTTGACGTGCATCTACAGCCCTGGAGCCTGGGCACCGTACGGATACAGATGCATGCTTGGTGCACGTCCGGATCTCGTCACGGCCCTAGGGATCCTACAGTACATCAACGGAATCCTACATCAAGGCACAATAGCCGCGCGGGTTTTGCTCCTGCACTGGCGCCGACGTCGTTTGCTTGGGGGGGCATCCTAAAAGGGGCAACGGAGCGTGCGTGCGCTCGAAGCTCTGGCAGGGTCTCGGAGACAATCGCAAGGGGGACCTGTTTGGCGGTCGTGTCTCGGGCCGCTGCTGGCCCAGCAGATTTGGCCCAGCAGATTTGGCCCGGCGACGTGATCAGTGCTCCACGTCCGGCCCTGTCCGGAGCTTGTTCTGGCGAAGCACATGGCGCCCTGTGACATTACCAGGCGGCCGGCTGAGCTTGCCCGCGCCGGAACTGCCAGTTGCAGAAAAGGCCGCCGATGGCATGACTACCTACACCTTCAGCGCATGCAGGATGGGGATGAACGAAGGCGAGAGAGCCTCATCACGCGACCTGGTACGGAGTACTTCCCTCCACTGATGAATGTACGTACATACATACAGTATACGGCGACCAAATCACCGTCGTTTTTCGGCAACCAGATTCGCGGGCAATGTTATTTTTAGCAGCCTGTTTTCCTTATGCACGCATCTTATCCGTACTGCCTCTCCAGTCCCCCTCTCAAACCTAGACAGACGTCCTATCTTCTACCGTGTCTGATCGGTTTGCCGTCGTCCGTGCCGATGGGACAGTGTGAACAACGCGCCTCTGCACGGAGAGATCTGCTTCCCCAAGGCACAGGAGGGTTAGGTTCCCCGTACCCAAGGTAACGCTAGACCACGCCTTAATTTCCCGGCTCTGCCGCCCTGCATCGCGAAATGCCCTCGAGCTCCAGCAGCTGATTCTGTTCCATCCGAGGTCGACGCTCGAATCCTCCACCGCAGATCCTTTCCGTGCATTTCGAGCCCCCGCTGCCACCGGTCGGCCTGTCTGCGGGCCTCGAGATGCGGGCCTCGAGATGCGGGCCTCGAGAGGCGGACCTCTCCCCTGACAGGGATCCTGCATTGCAGTCCCTGGCGTGCGGCCGAGATGCAAACGCAACGCCACGAGGACAGAAGCGCTCTAGAAGGCAACGAAGAATGTTTCGAGTCTGGGCATGAAACGCCCACAGTCGGATCCCGACGATGGTTCAAGCAAACTCTATCCGTTTCTCTGCCCTACGCCTTGCCTTGCCCACGTCTCGGCGTGCGACATTGCCTGGACCTCGGCGAGGCCTGCCACTGCGGCCCGGGGAGATGTGTCATTCTGGCCGTCGTGGCTTGCGCCAACGCTCCATCGGACGTTTCGGAGCTCGGAGAGGCCAGACTTTGGGTCGACACGCGTACGAATACGCGCCCGCAATACAAGACGTGCAGATGAAGCCAAATTTCCTGTCGTGCTTGGCGTTGTCGACATGTTCCTTTTCCAGGTATCGATGCCAGTGCTTCCGTGGACATGACCGTTGCTGAGACCAAGGACGATTGCATCGCTTCCTGTGATGACGATCCCCCTCAGCTCCAGAATCTGCTCGGGCCCAAGTTTTCTGGAAGGCGCTTTCGAAGCAATGGTCTTTGTGATGGCTGTCTCCCTGGTCTGGCTGGATGCAAGGAAATCCCCTGCGCCCCACGTCTGGGCTAGCCGAAGGCTCACGTCTCAGCCGAAAGGATCCAGCCGGTGCTGTCTTGGACGCGTTGCCGTCATCGGCCTAGACAAATGAGAAGCTCAAGCAGGCGTAGACGAGGACCTGCCATTGGTATAATTAGAGCATCGAGAGTGATGTCTTAATTCGGCAAAGCAAGGGAGTCGCGGTGTCTTGTGAGTGTCCCACCCAGGCTGGTGCTTTTGGTCAGTCTCAAAGACAACCCGAGCGATGAAGCGCCTCGGCTAATTATCCACTGCAGCATCCACTGTCTCTGCTGGTCTTTGCAAATGCTACCACCTACTGTACGTACAGAACACCTCTAGTTGCCGCCCATAATGTAGTCGCCACCTCAGGTGCCGTCAACTGACTTCATTGTCTTGTCCAGCAGCATACTACTGTTACGTCGCCTGCATGGCGTTCCTCAGCCTTTGCGGAGGCGGCTCTGGCGCCGGCTCTTCGGCCTTGCGCTTGGGAATAATCGTCCTAATCGTGACAACGGCCTTTGTCGTGAAGTGTCTCAGGGTCGCCACGGCGGCCGGCCTCTCGCCTCATACTCGTGAATCTTGCCCTTGTGTTGAGGACCCTCACCGAGAGATTGCGGGAAGAACTCTTCGATTTCGTCCGCGTAGAAAAGGGCATCGGTCTCTCTCTCTACTCTGCAGACATCAACTCTCATGACAGAGTCTGAGACGCTGCCGATTCTGGCCGTGAGCCTCTCCTCGGAGCCGGGCGGGACGTTGCCGCTCCCCAGGTAAAGTACGCCGGGTTCACGACTGGCACGCAGGCGAACTCGCAAGCGGCGTTGTAGATGAGGTCCCAAAGGGCGCCGCGCGGTCGACTGCGATTGCTAAAAGCGTGCTGGCCATGATAAGTTTGCAAGATAACCTGTCGAACGTTGGCATCCCCGTCGACGACGTTAAACTTTGGTCGCTCTTCGAACATCTTTTCTTTGACGTCCAGGTACAGGAACCGGACGGTTAAGCCCTGTCGGGGGGGCCTTGACCGAATCGTCGAATGTATGGTTCCCGACGGTTATGATGATTCGGTAATTCTGCGTTACCATTTGCGAAAAGTCTACGCAGACTCGTCGAATCTCAAACCAGTCCTGGAAGAGCGCGATCCAGACTGGGCCTCTGTTGTGAGGCTCCTTGTCGGTTCTTCTTCGCAAGTGCCTTGATCGGGACCAGACTCTGATTTGGACACAGGGGCGTTGCCAGCAGATTCACGCACAGGGTCAGGGGCGACTGAGCCTTCGTCCATGAGTTCGATGACATCGGTGTTAACCCCCCTCGGACGGTGAGCAGCCGACGAGATCGATGGCCTCGCGGGCGGCGGTGTGGGAAGACTGTCCCGTGGCTGGGGCCTTCTTCACCGAAGGACGCTCAGCCTTGGACGAAGCAGAGCTGGCCGAGGCGGGCGTCAGGAAGGAAAGGATCGAAGATTGCTTCTTCTTCATGCCTGTCAAATATATACCGATAGTTGGTGTACGTGTGCTAGTACCAGCAGAGACAGAATTTCCAACCGATACGCGAAAAAACTGCTTCTTGATGATGATTGTGTCATTGTCAAGCTGATAAAAAACTGCTACCACACCAGGCAAGATAGGGGCATCCCCATTAGGGATATTATTATTGCGTATTATAAGTCTTTCTCTGCTCTGGTTCACGTTACTTCAGGAGTCATATCGATGCTAAGAACACAAGCCCGAGATGCTCCAGGCCAGAGTCGCACGGTTGACAAGGCGGCCCCGGGGAAAAAGGATCATTCACAATCTCAATGGCCGATGGAAATTGGCCATTAACGTCGGCCAAAAGTACATGGCAAAACGAGACGCGCGCCAGTAATAATCCAGAATAATGCGCTTTCGAGCAATATAGACGCCGCCATGGCTGCCCAAGGCGTCAACTTTCCGCGCTCCCATCTCACTTTCCATCAGTCAAGCAAACTCGAGACAAAAGCTCGCATCAGCGCCGTGTATGGGTTTACCAACAAGCTGTTGCGCAACGACAGGGAAGAGCAGACGGAGGAGCTAATCGAGGTGCAAAGTCGAGGCTCGGGTTGGACAAGCTGGCAGGCATGGGGCTTTGAAGTCATCGACGGCCAGCGCTATCATGTGCGCCGTGCTGTTTTGCAGAAAGAAACAGAGTTTCAAGCGCTGGCAGACGAGCCTGTGGGTGCAGTGTCATGGTGCGGTAGAAGAGCCAGAATGGGAAATCTTCAGCATACTCGGGGGGTTGACTAGCAGGGGTCCGCAAGGCCCCCCCCTCTCCTACGGAGAGGGGGTCACAAAACTTGTTTCTTTGACGGTCGTGTTTCCCTCTATCGCAACTTCAATCTACCGCCACGCCGTCAATTGATGCTATCAAGTCTCAAAACTTTCGCAATATCGTTAACCATACTTCATTTCCATGATGCCAAATTTTCAGCCTGATCAGAGCTTGCGTGCGGCGAATGCGGCGCGAGAATATCTTGACGGCGACTCGCTAACGCGTACAACACGCGCAAATCCGCGCCTCCGCGCGTCTTGACAATCAACGAGCTCGCAGTGATACACAAGACCAATGAAGGCCTCGTAAAGAAGTATATCAGGCTTCTTCGCGCCAATCTGGCTCTTCCAAGCGGGGAAAGGAGGCGCCCTACTGCTCTTACCGATGCTGAAGAGAAGAGTCTACTCTCATACGCAAGACTCGTCGAAGGCGGCACTTTCGCACTCACGGAGGCATGCCTCATCAATAAGGCCAACTTTATCCGCCATCATCGCCGTCAGGGCTTAACTTCTCAGGTGTCGAGATCGTGGCTTACTCGCTTTAAACGGCGGCATCCAGAGCTTGCCATCAGGAGGCTAGGATCCAGGAGATCACTCGCGCCGGCGCCGAGCTTGAGGTTGACGAGCTTGAGGCTTGGTTCCACGAATATCAGGCCGTTATCAAGGAGCTCAGAATAACGCCAGAAAATCTATGGAATTTCGACGAAACCCCTCTTCAGCTTGGGTGGATGAAGGGCTCCCTAAAGCTAGTGTCATTACGGATGAAGAGGAGCAGAAGGCCCGTCTTCTTCCAGCCTGGGAATAAGGAGTCGTTAACATCAGTGGATGCCATCAGTGCCGCCGGGAAAGCCATTCCTTCTTTCCTTATCCTTAGTGCAAAGTCCCTCCTTGAAGAATACACGATGGCTACAATTAGCGACGACGTTGTCGTTACATATACAACAACAGGATATAACAATAGCCAGCGGGCGTTCCAGTGGCTTCAGCACTTCAACCGCTACTCCTTTGCTAGGAGTAGCTCCTTTAAAACCATACTATCGAGAACTGGTTCGGCTACCCGGCTACAATCACACGGGAAGGCTGGGATAAGAGCAATGGGAACGGCGTACATTCTACACTCAGAAGACGAAGACGGTCTTCCGGCTGCTCGTTATGGATGGATTTGCTGCACGAGGACCCTGAATTTATCTGGTATTGCGAGATGTTCGAGATCGTACCGTTCAAGCTACCATCGCATACAAGCCACCTCCTACAACCTCTTGACGTTGGCGTCTATCAACATCTCAAACGTGCACAACAAGGAGCCTTAAAAAGTTCGTTATCGGTGGCGGCACACGCATCTCGAGATTCGACTTTCTCTGCCAATGGAATGAGCTATTCAGCGCCGCGTTTAAGGCTTGTTATATCTTTGTGGGCTTTGAACAGTCCGGGCTATGGCCTCCTGATCCTGAAGTGGTGCTAGGTCCATTACGAGCTGCCTCTAAAGACCGACAGGAGCCTATTTTCCACAGCTTTTAGCGAGGAATTTGGTGACACCACGTAAGGTAAAGAGTGATCTTGAAGCCAGTCGGAAAAACTCGGTATCCTAAGCAGCCCGACGAGAGATCGTTAATAACGCGTCAGCCTGTCTTGATCTTGCGATTTTAACACAATCGGCTCATACACAGTTTATACAGCATCAGCAAGACCGTATCCAGCGAGAGGCGCAGAACCAAGACCCTACGCCGAATCCGAGGCGTTGACGATGGCGCCTTTACGATACAGCAACTACGAGAAAGCGGCCGCCCGGCAGCAAGAAGACCAAGAGGCTAGTGCCAAGCGTGCTCTTAAGGATAGCGAGACTCAATTTCGACATCTCCGTGCTATGGATGCCGCACAAACAGCGTCACAGCCTCGTCTACGCGGTGGAGCCGCCGTGGCGGCGAAAGCAGTAGAAGAGGCCAAGTACAGGACATACATTCAACAACTCGTGACCCCGGAAGAAGCTGTCGCTCGCGAGGCTCTTCAAGAGCGCTGGACTACGGCTACGGAGGGCTACCGGTATTTCCTATGGGCAACACACCCTAAAGGCGATCTCACAGCTCTTCCTGATATCGTGGCCTGGTCACAAGCTCAGGAGGAGGCGCGGGCACAAGCTGCTGCCAACGTGGCCGACGAAGACTCTGATATCGATCATGACTATATATCTATGCTGCTTTCTTCAGAGCCGGATCTCGCGCCTAATAGCGACGATGATGAGGATGACATTCAGATCATAACAACACAGCGCCAACGCCCGCGTATTGCGAGACCACCACTATCGCAGCTTCCACTCGAGCAGCTTCCGCCACGGCAGCCGGTGCAATTGAACGAAGAAGACGAGGCGGCGATCCAGGCCGAGCTCAAGGAGGAACGCGTTATCGTGGGTGTATACAGCGACGAGGATAATGAAGAAGAGGATGAGCCGGAGGTTGTTATATATGGTAGACGAATTGCTGTACCAAAGACGCGCGTGCGTCAGGCCTAGAGCATTAGATTTGTAATTTACTAGTAACACCAACGACTGAACCAATTCTCACGAGACTTGACACCTAAATTCTATAGTACCTAATAGACACTGTATCTTTGTTTCAATCCCTAAGAAGCCCAATTGACGGCGTGGCGGTAGATTGAAGTTGCGATAGAGGGAAACACGACCGTCAAAGAAACAAGTTTTGTGACCCCCTCTCCGTAGGAGAGGGGGGGGCCTTGCGGACCCCTGCTAGTCAACCCCCCGAGTACTAATGGATGTGGGTAATTCGTCAATCACGCAAAAAGGCACGCGATGAGTTGAGGCAACTATTCGTGACATAGTCTGCCTGAAGGAAAGTTACATAACTGCCACCGTTCGCAAGAGGAGAACGCTCCAGCAGCTGCAACGCTACCCAGTAGAGCAGGTTATAGGTGTTACGGGGTCAGCACTGTTGGCACAGGTGCTGGGCGTAATTGATGTAAATTGAGCTACAAAGAGTGTAAAGGGGAGACGTGTCTACATCGCTCCCTTTAGGAGTCGTGTCCGTGGCGCTCGCACGTGACTAGTCTGGCCATGCCAGATCTACACATCGGGGCGTAGCCCACATTAACCCCTACTCCTCTCTGGCGCTGGTGCCCTTTTTCCTGTTCCTGGTCCCTCTACAACGATCGTAGGGCCGTCGTCTATAGGGTCTGGTGCCGTTACTATCGACGGGGCGTCGCCATTAGTCCTAGCCCGTAGTGGTCCGCGTATTCTCTTGCCCTGTATCTGCAGCTGTGGTTGTATTCCTTCGACTTGCCCCTGGATTTGGGCCGGCTGTGCTTCCGTTGCCACTCGTCGGTGCTGGTATGGTCCATCGTTTTCGAGAGCCGGGCCGTATCTCTGTTCGTACTTATCCAAGGCCGCTGTCTGTTGCATATTGTCTAAAGAGGTCCAGGTCGGGTCTTGCCAACCTTGCCAGCGTACAAGGACTTCCCGCCTACGGCCGCGGCCGGTTCTCTTCCACCTAGCGCATAGTATTTCCTCTACTACTTGGTGAGCCTCCCCGTCTACTTGGATAGATGGGGTTGAGCGTCTGTGCGTTGCTGACCAGGCATTGGGTCCGTCCCCGCTCTCCGGAGTTGGTCGACGTGGAACCTATTATAGCAGCCCCTCGGGAGGTCTGCTAGTTCAACCGTGTACGGGTCGAGTACCTTGCTTATCGTATACTTAGCGTGCAGCCAGTCGAACTTCTTCTTAGGTCGCTCTGACGCGTAGTTCCGTAAGTCAAGCCAAACCTTATCGCCTACTTCGAAGCGTTCTGCCGCGTTCCGTCGTCTGTTAGCGAAGCGTTCTTGTTGCTGCGTAGCTGTCGCCATTGATGCTTGGCAGAGGTCCGTAATCTGTTGTAGTTTGGTAACAAATTTCTTTGCCCTGGTTTCTGGCGAATGCTGAGGATACTCTTCCGCATATGCTTCCGTAACGAGGGGAACTGGTGACTTCGGCTCATAGCCGTGTATAGCGAAGAATGGGGACATCCTATAGAGGTATTGACCCGACCGTTTAACGCCATCTGAGCCGCGGGAACCCACTTATCCCAGTCGTTCTGGTTCTGGTTAATCACGGCGCGGAGGTATGCCTGTACTTCTTGGTTCATCCTCTCAGGGCCTCCGTCGGTTTGGGGGTGGTACGCCGTGCTTAGCTGCTGGTCGATCCCCAGTAACTTGCACATGTGCCTCCAAAGCGGCCTACCCAATTCGAGCCCCTATCGCTCGTTATAGCGTCGGGCCACCAGTGGTAGCGGGCGAAGCACCATAGAAAACGCTCTGCACATGCTTCCGCTTCCATCGTTGGCATCGGTTCGAGTATAACTTCCTTACTTAGCCGGTCCTTGATAACCCAGAGGCAGCGGTTACCGTTCGCAAGGGGGAGGTCCGTAATAAAGTCCATCTGTATCTGGCGGAAGAAGCGGTCCGGTACGGGTAGCGGTCTAAGTAGACCCCTTTTATGCTCGCGCCATATCTTCGTACGGCCGCAGACATCGCAGTTACGCAAGAAACGTCGGATATGCTGTTGCATTAGCGGCCAGTAGAAGTCCCTGGATACGGCTTCTATCGTCCCTTCCCGTCCCGGGTGGCCTACTACATGGGAGTCATGAACCTTCTGGATTAAGGAGCCCGTAATTCGTTTAGCGACTCCTGCTCTAGCGGTGCTGCCTTGGCTGCTGCTTCTGTCGTGATCGGTGCGCCTGGCACCCATAAGCGGCCACGTAGTCGTAGGTGCCCCGAGGATCAATAAAGCACTCGGCGACTTGTACCTTCAGCTTAAGCTTGGGGTCGAGGACCGAGATCCGTTTCGTACCGCGTTATAAACGCTTGTAAAGACTGGATCCTGGTTTGCCGTTTGCTGCCATAATTGTTGTAGCTCTGGGTCGTGGAAAACCGTGTGTTCTTCTTCGCCTTCTCCCGCTTGAGTCGACGTTACTCCGACGTAGGTACGTAGGGCTGCTTCTGGAATAAGCTGCATATCTCGTGCTTCGTGATCCGCTTCGTTTGGTCGGTCCTGTTCGCGGCGAGAGCGCGTCTGGCACCACTGCTTCCGTCCCGGACGGTACTGGAGCTGGAAGTTAAAACGCGAGAGATATTCAGCCCAACGTGCCTGCCTTTCCGAGAGCTGTTGGCGCGTCATGAAATACTCGAGGTTCTTATGGTCGGTAAGGATAACGAAGTTATCACAGCTTCGTAGCTCGGCTGACCATTGTTCGAGACAACGAATAATAGCGAGCATTTCCTTATCATGGATTGGGTAGTTGCGCTCAGCCGGTGATAGCTTCTGCGAGTGGAACGCTACTGGCTTGCGTTGTCCGTCGACTTCCTGCGTAAGTGTGCCCCCAAGCGCCCAGCCGCTACAGTCTGCTTCTACGAAGGTTGGCCTCTCGAAATCCCATTGAGTAAGAATAGGGGCGTTCGTAAATAGCGTCTTTAGTGTCTGGAACGCCATATCGTGCTCGTCCGTCCACTTGAACTTAGTCCCCTTTCCTGTTAGTGCTGTTAGGGTGCAGTTATTTCCGAGGCTTGCGGTATAAATATCCGGTAGTAGTTAACGAATCCTAGAAAACTGCGCACCCCTTCTGGGTAACGGGGACTGCCCACTCGACTATTGCTCGTATCTTGTCGGGATCTGCCTGAATGCCAATTCCTGCGTGAATAATGAATCCTAGGTACTTAATCCGCTTGACTCCAAATTCGCATTTCTCCGGGTCTAGGTGTAGTCCATGCTCGGCGAGGCGTTCTAAAACTAACCGTACCTTCCGGAAATGGTCTTCTCTGCTCCCGCTCGAATAGATAAGTATATCGTCCATATAAGCAGAGGCGAACTCGTCGAGGTAGTCTCGTAGGATACCGTTAATATACCGCTGGAAGGTTGCTGGCGCGCCACTTAGCCCGAACGGGGTAACCATCCATTCGAAGAGACCGTACCGGGTGCGGAACGCTGTCTTCCACTCGTCTCCTTCTGCAACCCGTACTTTATGGAACGCTTGTACCACGTCGACCTTAGTGAACCACTTCGCATCTTTTAGGTTGCGAAGTGTGTCCCTATTAGAGGAAGGGGTAACGGTCCGACTTAGTGATTGCGTTCAACGCTCTGTAGTCACAACAGAATCGCAGCCCGCCACCTGGTTTCCTCACAAACAGGACTGGAGCTGCTGCTTCTGAACTGCTTGCACGGATAAATCCTTTATCCACTAGGTCTCGTAGAGTCTTCTTAAGAACCAGGAGTTCCTCTCGTGACATACCGTATAGTGCTCCATACGGTAGTGGTAACTGCTGGCCATTCAGGTCCTCCTTGATTCTGATTTCGTGGTCTATGCCTGGCTTATGAGGATTCAGCTTATCAGCTTCCTTCTTCATAAATAGAGGCAGTAAATCGTGGAACCGCTGGGGTATCGTTCGGCGTAGCTCTGCTTCTGACATGGGTTTCTTTGGTGATAACGCCCTTTCGATATCCTTCATGCTGATAGCGAAAATCGCCGTGGCAGCTGCCTCTCTTCCTTCCTGCTTGCGGATCCTTTCAAAGTAACCCACAAAGGTACTGGCTAGTACGTGCTTTGCTTCTTCGAACTCCTTGGCTTTCGCAGAATATTCTCCTTCCCCGAGGTGATCTACCCAGTCTTGTGTAGGTTCATGCCATAGTCGTTTCTCGTGGGGCACTGAGTACGACTTTGTGTGGCATAACCAGGGTTTTCCTAGGATTAGGGAATTCCGATCTGGGCACCACGTAGGCACAGATCGTCTGTATGTGGCCGTTGACCTCCATTGATAGCCATACGAGGCCCCTAATCGTTGCTCCTTCCATTGCCCCTGATGCTCCTGTAATAGCTCGCGGTGCTATTTCCACTATAGGAACTTCCAACTTTTCGACGACTTCTTCGTCAACCGCGGCGTAGCACTGGCATCCCTCGTCTACGAGTGAGGAGAAGAGATTGGTCCTATTGATAATGCTTCGAATTATTGTAGGACCAACTTCCATTTTCCTGAGAACTTCTCTTCTTTTGCCACTGCTCCGTTCTTTGGCCTCGAGACCCGTCTTTGTTTCGAGGCTACGCATTTCCGAGAGGATGGGGTCTCGCTAAGTCCTGACTCTTCCTCACTAGAGTCGTTACCATCATCTTCCAGCAAGGGCATGATCCTAGCGGTGCGGACTTTTACATCCCTCGACCGGCTAGGGTCCTGTCCTGGCGAGTAGGGGCAAGCGGCAATGAAATGGGTGTTGTCGCCGCAGCGGAGACAACGACCCTCGTCACGGCGTTTATTCCGTTCGTCCTCGGATACCCACCTCGCCCGTTGCTTCCGTCCTGACCTAGGCTGGAAGCGAACCGTCTTGCTCGTTCCACTTGACCCCTGGCCGTTCGCCCGTCCTCTCTGACCCTGCCCCTGAGTGCGTGTAACCGTCATTATTACGTCGCCGTCATGGTCGCGTGCGTCACGTGCGTTCTGCTCGGCGGGTAACGTTGCTGACGGTGCCGGGGTGTTGTCGTTACCGGCGACCTGGATGTTGCCGATGCCTGATGCCTGCCCTTGGTCACGTTGCCCGCGGAGCCCTGCTTCCTCTGCAACGCCTTAAACTTCGCGGTGTGCTCGAACGCCCAAGCAATCAGGTGTAGACGTTGGATGTACTCGTTGTAGTCCTTCGGCATGATAACCGGGACTAGTTGCTCACGGAGAGCAGGAGAGATCGAGTTCCGTAGCCATGCGAGCTTGGAAGCATTATCCCAGCTCGCGCCGCCCGCTTTGGTCAATGTTTCCTCGAATTCAGGAGGAACTTCCCAAACTCTTGGCTGTCTCGTTGAATGAGGTGCGCAGCCTGTCCTGCGCCCTCTCTGTCTGCTGCACGCTGCCGAACGTCTGGGCTAGGTGCGAGAAGAATTTCCGGGGGTCTGGGTTGCCCTTCGCGCTCTCTTGCCTCCAAAAACCCTCGACTCTCCTCATCATCTGATCCGGCAAGGTCTGCAGGATCTCGTACCACACGACGTTGTTATTGCCGTTTAGGCCCTCCTCTTCGTCGGTATTGTACTTAAATACCAGACGGTCGAGGTAGAAGTGGAAGGACTCAGGTTGACCGTTCCACTTCGGCCAAGTCATCGGCTTGCGCTTCTTGCCACGGTCCATTTCTGGGCTGCTTCCGGCCTCGGTTCGACAGGTAAGATCGCCGGGGTACTGAGCACCCCGGGCTGGGTGTCAACGGTGGCGCTGCTAGGCTAGCCCGGTGAACATCTTCCGCAGTTCTTCGTCTCCCGCGATCCCAGATAAGATCTGCAAGAGCTCTTGCTCCTTCCCTCCATCGGCTCGTTGCGCCGCCGGTCGCGGTGCCCTGCATAACTACTATTGTCCTCCATCTTGTTCGTCCGTCTCGTCGTCCGATCGATCGTCCGTCTCGTCGTTTAGCCTATCGCCTGTCTTGCTGTCTGTCCTGCTGACTGTCCTGCTGTCTGTCCTGCTGTCTGTCCTGCTGTCTGTCCTGCTGTCTGTCCTGCTGTCTGTCCTGCTGTCTGTCCTGCTGTCTGTCCTGCTGTCTGTCCTGCTGTCTGTCCTGCTGTCTGTCCTGCTGTCTGTCCTTCTGTCTGTCCTGTCTTTTGTTAACTGGTAGCTCAATATGTTACGGGGTCAGCACTGTTGGCACAGGTGCTGGGCGTAATTGATGTAAATTGAGCTACAAAGAGTGTAAAGGGGAGACGTGTCTACATCGCTCCCTTTAGGAGTCGTGTCCGTGGCGCTCGCACGTGACTAGTCTGGCCATGCCAGATCTACACATCGGGGCGTAGCCCCTTACAATAGGGCATACTTTCATGTCGGAAACTTACCAAATTCTCCATCTTAGGAGCGGCAACCCTCGCAAATGACTAGTTCACACAAGCGTTCGGTTGGCCGCAGCCGAGGGCCTTCGAAATCTGACTTGGTCTATGGACATGACCTTGTGGCTATTATAGTTCCTTTCTGCCTCAGTCACAACCGCTGTTCTTGCTAGCTCTGAAATCCCGTCTTCGAGAAAGCCTGCCGTGCCCAAAGACGCTTAAGTGAATCATATCATCTCAGACCGAATCGGTCATTTGCTGACCTTTGTCCTTTTTCGTCTTCTTGTCGCGCCTCTTGAACAACCCCTCCTGCGCAACCAATCCATACCGGTCAGCAGTGCTAAACCGATGATATCCGAGGTAGACAAAAACGCCGAGTACAATAAACTCGGGCAAAAGGGCCATGAGCGAAAAGAGTGCCGCGTTGCCAAACATCGGACTCCATATCGAGGTGAGAAAACCTTTGCCCGCGGCCTCGAACACGCTGATGATTCCGAATACAGCCCGGATGCAGAGGATGGGGGATGCGATCAGCAGCCACTTGATGTACTGAGGTTGAGTGTCAGTCTTGTAGGACTGGAGTTTCGGGTTGAAAAAGCACTTTATACATACGATGATCTGACCGTCCTGGATTTGGTCACGAGCCCAAAAGTATAGCCAAGTAGCCATGCCCAAGAGCGCGAGAAGAACAAAAGTGAACTCAAAATACGCAATCTTGGATAACGTCGACTGAGTCTCGACCCGATCCGGTTTTCCACATAAACCGCCAGCAACAGATAGGAGCATAACAGATATCAGAAGCAGGAACCTGGTAACTTTGAGGAACATGTTCTTTCTCCCATGGTCTGGGAAGTTTGCGTGCAGTCTGTTGACGCAACCAAGGCGTTAGATGGATACTCCTAGGACAGAATGCAGGGTCTCCGACTTACACGACACGAGTCAGGGCATGAAATGGCATAATAAGCGGGATCAGGCCGATGTTGAGCAGGATAATGGTAGTGGTAAGCAGACCTGTATTCTTGGGGTCGTTTTGGCTCGCAAGGACGAGAGCCCCCCCGTAAGTCGGGCTGCATCTCGATAGTAACAGTGAAGCCCGGTTTGAGTCAAGTCAGAGCCAGTCGTGCCCTACCACATGCAAACACCATGGCAGGATACCACGCCAGGCGAGGCCCATGCTTCCAGGCGCGGACACCCACGTACAGGGCCACGGGGACCGGAGGTGCGTAAAAGACAATCTGCGCAATGGCAGACGCCCTGTGTGCACTGTCCATGGACGACGACGCCGACGGGACCGTCCCAACCCGACTAGCGAGTCTCGGCACAACAGAGTGTAGTCTTTAGGATGCGGAAGCCGCGAGGGCGGCAGTTGCGGACAAGGGAGGTAATCTGACGTTGGTATCCGGTACGAACAAGCCGAGACTGGACGTGGAAACGGATCCATGTGCATCTGCATGCATGATGCACCTCGTTCACACAGCAACTACAGTCCCGGTAGTCGTACGTAACCCCTGGTCGTCTTGGTAGGTTTCCATTCCACTCAGGCCCCCGGCTGACGTCTGATCCCTTCTAAATCTCACCGACACTCGATGCTCGCCGGGTTCTTCACGCGACGACAACATGGTGGGCGTGCCCGGCAGGTCAAAAGCTTGCCACAACTACAGGCACAGGGAAAGCAGGCCAAACAGCACAGGATAGATGGCGGACAAGCAGCTGATGAAATCATGCTGTCTGCTCCCATCGGTCCGTAATATCCCTTGGAGAAGACGCATTCGGCCATCTTTGTCGTCGTCGACGCGTAGAGCTTGTCTGGCTCCTGCTGGCGTTTATAGTCGGCCAGGGCGCCGGACCAAACACCATTTTCGTCAATGACTTGCTCGCAGGAACCGATAACAATAGGCCGGCCACAATGCATGGACAGGGAAGACCATCATCGAACTGGGTTGATTGCAGACACCACACTGGGCCTTGGTTGTAAAAGGCTGCGCGGTCCCCGGCATTCGCTCCTGAGCATCCTCAGATCATCAGGGGTTTTTATGAATAAAATCGCCCACGGCCCACGAAGTCTCCAAGATCGTGATCGGCAGCTCGTCCGGCATTGTCCTCGGAATTTCAAGTGATTCAGGCCTTTTAAATCCCCCCAAGCATAAAGCCTGCGACAACATTTCCAGGCAGCTTTGGACAGGCCGAAGGGTAGCATTCTTATTATGCCGACCACTTATAATCGTGCCTCATTGGCTGCAGCGTAAAAGAGTGCCCTATCGGTTGGATTCCCTGAGGGTTCCAGAACACCTGCCTGGGGTCCAGCTCCGCCTTAATCCTCTGCAACCGTGGCACATTGTTTCCCCAATACAGCCTTGCCGCGGTTTCGGCATCCTGTTCGGTGTCTATATAGTTTGCGTACATTCCCCAGCGTCCTTCTGCCATGGAACCTGTGACGCTCTCCCGAATCGCCCCAAGGAGCGAGAAACCCTCCTCGGGGTAGTGGCCACCGACTCCTCCGTCAAACAACTGGAAGAGGAGCAGCTTATCACGGTGGACGTATGCGGTGGCAGATGGAGAGACATCAGCAACGGCCGAGTTGTTGCCGCCGTGTGCTTCCACGCTCAGGTACAGGGAATCGTGGGCAGAAAGATTGCTGGTATTAGTAAAGAGGGCCGCCGCGAGCGACTGGGCTTGGCCTACAGTGAGGGCACTGGTCATGAAACTGGTTGCATAGAACGTGTCATGCTGGGGGAAGCTGTTAGCTCTTGACTTTCTCTGATGACACTCACAGGCCGAGACGACATACCGGCTCGTGGGGATCTAACGGGGGAAGGTCATCGAAGTGCATGAGTGCCTCGATCCATCCTATCGTCCTCGCAGCCGAGAAGTTTCCAGCAACACCATCTAGGAGTGGCCGCAGCGCCTCGTTTGCGTCGGTCTGATCTCCGTAATACACGCCCGAGATGGTTTTAGTGGTTGGCGTTATGTCAAGCATCAAGTTTAGTTCTTTAGGAGCAGAGGCTGCGAATCTTTGCAGAGCTCCGATCACCGCAACCGCACTGGCTTGGTCCCAGGACAGCTCGACGTCGAAGGGAGTGACTTTGTCAGGCGCAGCGAAGGTCTCGAATTCGAATTCAGCAACGATGCCAAAGGATGACCCAGCCCCGCGAAGGGCCCAGAAGAGGTCTTTATTCTCGGTAGCCGAACAATGAAGGACTGAGCCATCGGCGAGAATGACGGTGGCCCCGATCAGCCAGTCCAGTGCGAGGCCATGGGTTCGCGAGGCAAAGCCAAAGCCACCATGTAGGACGTGTCCTGCGATGCCGACCCTATATGGCTGATCAGCTTACCATTCTCCAGGGGAGGAAGAACTGGCCCAACCCTAGGCATGAGCCGTGGGAAATGGCCCTGCGTCCTTGACTGTAGAGTTCAGTTGCAACGTCTAGCAACCTCGCACCAGGCTGAATCTTGGCAGTGTTGTCGTCCTTCAGCGTAATCTGGCGCATGTGACAGAGCTCAATCACGAGATGCCCATCCTCACCACCGAGCCCGAATGATCCAAAGCTGTGGCCGCCGCCCTTGGCGCTGACACGCACGTGGTTCTTGATGCCACACGAGACAGCAGCCTGGATCTGATTGATAGATTGAGGGACGGCAACCGCGGCAGGCGTGCAGTTTAGCCGGATATTGTATGAACTGATCTCACGGGTCCATTCGACGGAGTTTGGGGCCAGGAATGGGACGTCTGAATGGGCAAGACACGATGTAAGAGTATCGGGGCAAGTGTGAGGTATTCCGGCAAAAGATAATGCCCAAAAGGCGCACAAGACCAACCAAACCGCCATGATAACTACTTGCCAAGTCGAGAGGCATCAAGCATGATCCCATATCTCAGCTGTTGATCCTATTTATAAGTGAGGCAGTATTAAATGCCCTTCGGACTGGAGCATCCTGCAACTCCTGGCCAGTGGTGTGATACTGCCCCGAGTGTCTTACGTGATATCAGCCATGAAAGATCGGACGCAGAACCGACTTGGCAGGACCACGTCAAGAGTCAAGACATGATCGTCGAGAGTCAAGACATGATCGAATGAGGCGCCTGTTGGCTGGCTGTTGAACCGGGGGCGGACGGCCGGGGCAGGGGTATATGCATCAGTACCTGCCAGCTGCCACCAGCACTTTTGCCCGCCCAACACAGTGGTTTCCTCGCAGTAATACCGTGTCCATCCGGATAGAGCAACGAAGTGTGCGACGTGAGAGAGCAATAAGCCCCACCCGTCTCACGCACCCTTTCAACACCATACACTTACAGTACTAACGTAAACAGCTTCGACTTCGACGACTGTAAGGCGCAAAAGCATCACGAAACAGAGAGTGAAGAACGGGGGCCAATGAAGGTGTACCAAACCGTCATTAGCTTTGCGTCCAGGCCATATTGGAACTTACCTCCAAATCTTCAAAGAGGGTCTGTAGCGCTCAAATGAGTCTCATTTTGCTGTCTTCCTCATCGTTAATTGCTTCATCGATTATGTCGTCTGCCATGTCACTATTTTCATCCATTTTGGCCATCGACGGTCTCCTTGCTAACGGTAGCGTTGGATGGCGACTTGAGGGAGATCTCACAGTTCATCTTTCGGGCAAAGAAGGCGTTGAGGTTGATCGACTCCCGCCCGTTAGAATGGTATATCAGTATTTGTGTACCATCCAGTCGTCGGGATTGAGATAGATGTAGCCGGCGGTCTTCCTTGCTGAACCATCGTCCCATCTATAGCCCTAGTTGCTGTAGGCATGTCCCGTTTCCTCTGTCAAACCACTGCACCGTGCAGGAAAAAAGTAGAGTGCGCATCCCGTGTGTCGTGGAACTCGTGGCGCAAGTATTTGCTGCAGTGTACGGTTGGACGGATGGTTGGATTTCATTTCGCCCGGAGGGAAGTCTTTATAAGTGTTGGATAAAGGACAGCTATCCGAGACATTGCGGAGGAGAAGCCGCGAGAAATCGGAGGGCGTTGATGTATAGAAGAAGCATATTTGTTTGAGCCAGAGAGCCAACAACGAGGCAATACAACAATTCTCTCACCCACCATGACAGTGCAGTTGATTTTAAAGGCCGCAAGCTCGACTGGAATGGACTCTGTGAAGCCGCTGATGGCCCACTTGCTAGAGTTATAGAAGGAAGCGGCAGGGAAGCCACCCCAGCTGGCGATAGAGCCGAAGTTGGCGATTACGCTGCATGGTTGGGCTCGGAGGTAAGATATAACGGCGTGGGCGACTTTGATGGCGCCGAAAACGTTGGTGTTGAATTGGTCGAAGACTTCCTTCTTGCTATTTCGTGGTCAATAGGCAGGTCAGCGGAGAATCAAATTCAACCGGGCGTGTTACTCACGAGGCCTCTTCGCAAGTGCCCTCGAGAACAAAATCCCGCGTTGATGACGTGAGCCAGCTTTCCATAGGTTCTATGGGCCGGCCTCCTTGATCATGGCACCAAGAACATCGTCTGAAGCTGTTACATCCAGTTCCAAGAGAGCAGCGCCTGGGTCTTTCAGTTTGGAGATGGAGGCAGAGTGGCGGACGTATGCAACGATTTTGTGTTCGCGAGACAGCGCCTCAAGTACAGTGGCTTGACCGAAGCCAGAGCTGGCGCGAACGACAAGCCAGACCGGCGATGAGGAAATGGTGAAGCTAGGTATTTTGACTTGAGGGGATTATTCCAACTGCAGGATGAACGCATGGAGTGGAAACTGTCAGCAGGATAAAGACTTATAAACTATACCAATAACACCTCCACATGGGGGTGCCCCTATTTTGCTGGTGGTCAAGTGGGTATTTGCTATATTTGATAGAAACCGAGGTATATCTGAGATCGTCTTCTAAGAAACGGGTAGCGTCATTCTAGTGTTCTATCTTTCTAAAATGGACGCCCGGAATGGACAGAAAGCCAGGTGGCGTAAGAGCGTGAGAGGGCAGAGCAACGACCGTAGGCGGCTTAGCTAGGATAAACTACTCCGTACGTCTCTCCCGGCACCTCTTAGCTCGTTATTTTACTTCGCAACCATTTCGTGTCTGGGACTGCCATGGGCCTCAGCGTCTACATGTAGAAACGTGCCTAATTAATGCTCGACGGTGCTTAAGAGGTACGTGTACGTGGTCGGGGGCCACGGACCTTTAATTAGGGTCTACTCCCCGTTGCGAAAAGCGAGCTTTCTTACTTTTTCTGTCTCATCACCCTTCTGAAATCGTCCAAGGAGTGGCCAAGACCTTTCCTCTTTCGACCGGCTTTCACTACTTAGTCCTTATGCGGCAAAGTAGCTAAAGCCTATCACTGCAGATTCAGATTTCGGCAAATACGTACGGAGGAGCGTTTCAATAGCCCTTGCTGGCTGGCGCTAACATGACCTCTACAAAGAAAATAAAAATAAAGGAATACTGCGTGTAAATTTATACTAAATTGTCTTCTCATATACTCCTCGTTCTATAGAGTGTTATAACCTGGATATTAACTGTTACGTTAGAGGCGGCTAATATAAATCCTAGCGTCTTCTTTGGTGTGGCAGGTGACCCGATCTTGATGCTATTGCCCTGCTAGCCTTGGATTAAGAGAACCACTGCAAAGAAAGGCGCCCCGAAGAGCCAGGAGCTAATTACGCTTTGGAGGCAGCTTGGAAGGGGCTACCGCAAAAGACACAGGCTTTAATAAAGCGATTTCCTCGGTACATGCAAACGGTTATTAAGTTGGAAGATGGCAATAAGTATTGAGAGGGAGATGGTATTAGTAGGGAATAGAGTCAAAGAAATTTGGTACGTTTTCTTCTTCCTTTTCTTTAAAGGGGTCATATTTAGCGCCAGCAAGGACTATCGAAACGCTCCGCCGTACATGCTTCGGCTGCAGTATTACGAGATGAGCCCTCTCAGTGTACTTGCAACCTGCCTGGACGTTTGGCGGGTTCGTTAGAACAGACTCCTACGAAGCAAGCCATTGTTATCACGAAGATAAGAGTACAATGACAGTGTTGCGTCTCTGGTATGTCTCCTTGACATCCAATCCAGGAGTTGAAATAGGCATCAGCAATGCCGATTTTTTTTTACCGAGCTGTGCCTCGTTGTGTTGTGTGGTCTAGAACCCCGAGCCCAGAGAGCCGAGCCCAGAGAGCCGAGCCCAGAGAGCCGAGCCCAGGGGGCCCAAGAGCCGGCAAAAGGGTCTGCAGGGCCAAGATGCAATAGCGAAAACTGAGAATAATACTGTGAATATTAAAGGTAATAATGTAAATAAACTGGGTACAGCAAACTTTGTGTCTATTCCTGGCAGAGGGATGTGCGGATGTCGTCTTAATACCTACCCTCTTTGGCTAGTTGTTTGTGGTATCTGTACCTATATAAGGCCCCTCTCTTGCGCCGATAGATCACTAAATTCACCTAGTTGAGACCCCTATACCTTTCACTGTATGTAAAAGCCACCGCTTGAGACAATCATAAAGTTAATTCGTAGAGGCTCCAGTTTGGCCGCTGAATGCGCGCCTAATCACTCCGCGCGTGTGCTATGAGCGACCCTCCAGCACTGGTTTTGCTGGTGACGGCGAACCGAAGTCCAAAACAAAAGCGGGAGAGTCACCTTATGGCTCGCAATGCACTGAAGTCATCGCCCTGCGCGGGCCCATTCGGTGAAGTCGCCTTTAATGACTGAGGCAGCAGGCGGCTTGCGGGAGCCCGGAAGACTACACGAGCTTCACAAATGAGTTTCCATTCGGATGACAGCTTACTTCCGCTTGCTCGGCGGCCTTCCGCGTACAATAGCCCGCGTGCCATGACTTGCCTGGCCGAATTCGTAGCGACAGTGGCCGGATAGGGTTCAGAGAGGTGACTTGGGCAAAAAGGAACCAAGGGAAGCCGGCCCCATGCATTCAAAACCGACACAGCCGGCTCGAGAAAACTCCGGCTCTGAAAGCTTACCAAGAGACCCGGGGTCGGCCCGCATGCCGGGAAGCTTCGTAAGAAATCAACATGCCGCGGGCAGGGTCCGTGTGGACTGCTGCCTCGCCTTCCGCCCTCGACTAGATGGATCCAAGATAGGAAGCAGGAAGCTCCTTAGACCCCTAGCTACATTTCATGACAACTTCTCGCTCAGCCGGTTGTCAGTATACTCAGCTGGACCGTTCACCGGATCCGGCCCAGGAAGACTTGGCTACCACCACGTCGGGCTGATTGTGGGCGGGGGTTGCTTGAGCGCGAACTCTAAGCCTGCCATGTTGAGAAATAAAAGGGCAGCCAAGAGTCTGTCTGGGACTGCAGCAATCTATCCCCAAGCAGCAGTCATGGAAAGACCGACAAAGCACGCCAAGCTTGACCGCGCCAAGGCTCCCAACCTACAGGAGCTTCGGCAAGCCGTTCCGCATTATTGCTTCCAGCCATCTGCTATTGTCTCACTATCATACATATTGCTTGACCTCACTCTTACTATTTCTCTGTTTACTCTAATGCTTTACATTCGCAGTATCGAATCGCAATTCGCTCGTGGCATCGCGTGGTTAGCGTCTGGCTTTCTCCAGGGCCTCGTCTTCATGGCCATTTGGGTTCTTGGCCATGAGTGCGGCCATGGAGCGCTCTTCCGTTCTCGCCGACTCAACCATGTTTTCGGCTTCGTGTTGCATAGTATGCTCCTCGTCCCTTATTTTTCCTTCAAATTCAGCCATGCACGCCACCACCGCTTCACGAACCACATCGATAAGGATACAGTCTTCGTCCCTAGCAGAGACAGGCCATACACACTGCGCTGCATTATTCAGAATTTTTATACGGCTTTAGGTCATGCCGAAGACAGCCCCCTTGTCAGTCTGCTGCAACTCTTGAGCCAGCAGCTCGTGGCATGGCCGTTGTACATCACGTTCTATCTTGGCGGGGGGGCAAGGAGTGAGCCTGTGACACGGAATTCCCTGGTGAAGAGCCACTTCAATCCGGTGAGCGGCTTGTTCTCTCGGTCGGAGCAGCCATACATACTTTTGTCCGACGCCGGGGTCCTACTCATGCTGCTAGGACTATGGAAGGCTACGACAGTGCTAGGCTATTCTACGATATTGCTGGCCTACGGAATCCCCTGGCTATGGATTAATCACTGGCTGAGTATGTTAAATGCCCACCCTTTGTTGCGATTGCTTGCTAAATACCCTCGTACGGGTAGTTGCGGTCGCCTTCATGAACCACACGCACCCTTCTCTTCTTCATTACAATGACTCGAGCTGGACATTTATAGATGGGGCTCTATCAACGATCGATAGGCATTGCGGGCTCATTGGCCTCCACATGTTTCACGGGCTTCTTGACTATCATGTCATTCACCACTTGTTCCCGTATGTAAATGGCTTCTTTTAAACAGCTCCATATATCCCCCTCTGGCGCAGGCTGGATCACTGATTGACACGTTTTGCAGGCGTATTCCTTTTTATCACGCAGAAGAGGCCACAATGGCAATCAAGCCATTGCTTGGAGCGAGGTATATCGAGGAAACTCAGCCAATCTATAAGGCTCTCTGGGACACATTTGTGAAGTGCGAATATGTTAAAGAGAGGGAAGATCGTCAGGGAGTCCTGGGGTGGGTGGGCCGGGAAACGAAGCTATCAAGCTGGCTTGCACAACGACAGCATTCGCCAACCGAAAGTCAGGATCCTACTAGTCCAATCAATCCGCCTTGACGCCTCAGACCGCTCATTTATTTAGTCCGTCTAACTTCACCAAACTTGACCGGCAGTCCGCCTGAGTTTGGTCAAGCCAGACTGGCAGTCTACCTGAGACGATCTCTTGCGCAGAAAGTATGCAATGCTTGGAGGCACGAAGAGACGAAAGAATCTTTATTGCTAGTTATTAAGTCTCTGCATTAAGAGAGAGTGTGTGTATTGCGCTGTCCTTCCTGAAAGAGAGGGTCCGCGGGTGTGGCTATTATGTATAGTGTATACCATGTGCGGGGACCAACAGGTTTCCCTACTAATCCATCAAAAAAACAAACTTCTTTAAATCTGCTTTAGAGGTAATCATCAATACACAACCATCATTTGCATGAGGAGGATATGATACGCCGCTGTTATATTCAATGGGTGAGTTCGCCTACTCGATGTTGTGGAGGAAATGACGAAGCTTACTTGCGTGCTCGTTGCAGGCTGGGGCCAACAGACCAGCTACGTTATTGCCTTCTCTGCTGAAGGCGCCACGGATGTAACACGACGATACGTCCGCAGAGAAAGATGCGGAAACGTTCGGAATCGCTGCCCAGAGCCCGTTTTGGTCTACATACTCGATGAGATCAACCGCTTGCGGCAGGGGCAGCTAGATGTGGCCGCCAGAAACCGTCTGAAACTGGAAGCTCTCCGAGAGCAGCAGGAGCTTCAAGAGTCGATTGTATCTGCCATTACCGCTGACTTCCTCTCGTCCCAACGAGAACCCGCAGCCCGTGGAGCGAGAGCTGGAGAGCCAGGACCCAAGATTCCCGAGGTAGAAACATGGTCGGTTGGAGGAACATCACTTGCGGAGGGGGAGACGCCCCCCCGGGCTGACTTCAATTCAAGTTGCGCTTAGGGCTGCAACTGGGTTACTTGGAATGAAATCGCCTGTAACCTTACTTGGCTTGAAATGACTCCTTGCAGTACACAACACAGGCGCAGACGCACGATCGGTCCAATGAGGCCCAACAGGTGCACTTGGGCTTTGATATAAACTCACCTACAGTCGTCTGCAAACAGCTCCCGTGCATATTGGCACGGCAAGCAATGCAAGTACCAAGTTTGTCACGGATGGCACTCGACTTTGCAGCCATGTATGATATAACCAATGTCTGCTGATTGTACTCTACTACTCCGTAAGCGTCTTGTCTAAGCAGTAGGCCGAGTAGTTGATCCTGTGAAGCCGGTAAAATACCGCTTACACCAGGCAAAATAGGGCTCCCCCTTGGGAGGTGTTACTAACGCGTATTTTCAAGTCCTTTTCTGCTCCGACAGATCCCTACTGAAGCGGACTTGGGCGTACGTCATCGGCATGTGCCAGGGATTTGGCTTCGGGCGGGCACCGGTTAGGCTTTGGACGCCCTTCTAAATATCTCGGCGCCGCAGAAGAAAAGACCAACCTCGAGCCGGCTTGACGTCTGATACCGCCTTGAAGAGTGCCTCTTGCGGCACCCACCTCGTCCACGTCGGGGAGAGCTCTGTCTGTCTGTAGGCTTCCAGCAAAGTCACCAAGGCACCCGGGGCATCGCCTCGTTTGTCGGCACGTCTTATCCGCAGACACTCGGCCAGGCCGGTTCGGGATCCGGCAGCATCGGCCGTGCGCCGGAAGCGATTGGTGCGCAGGGGATGCGCTTGATGCGCTTCTTCCGTGTACAGGACGGGGGGTAGTTGATTCTCCCCTCAGCCACACACGACGTGATTCGCCCCTGCCACAAGGCACGCACCAACAAAGGCGGGCGCCGGTGCGTCCGGACGCGTGCCCGCAAAGCCACACTGAGGCTGTGGAGGCCCTGTTGCTGCTGCCTCGCCGAACCGTCAGCCCTAGCGTGCCGCGAGCCGACAAGTCAAAGCAAACAGAAGTCCAGGCAGGCCTTGCGCATTCATGTTGCGTATAAGGCACTGTCGACCCGGATGACTCGATCCTGGGAAGTGAAGCCTGGCTTTGTCGCTGGGTGCCAGTTCTCCGACGCCGGTTGATCACTCATCAGGACTGTCTAGACGCCTGTCTTTGTCTCGAAGCCGCCCCACGAGACGAGCAGCTGCAAAACATCGGCTTGCATCCAGCAGTCGTCGGACGACAGAGACGCTCCCGGCAAAGTCCGCTCCAGCAGCCATGGGCCGACCGCTGGACGCCTACGATGACATCGCCATCGCCACCATCGTCATCTACGCCGTCTTCCTCGCCGGCGCCGTCGCCCTCTGCTTCAAGCACGGCCTCGCCCGCTCCTCGGGCTGGCGCTTCCTCATCATCCTCGCCCTCGCCCGCCTGATCGGCTCCGCCTTCCGCCTCGCCACCGTCTCCGCCCCGGCCGACGCCGGCCTCTACGTCGGCTGGCTGACCCTCAACGGCCTCGGCCTGGCGCCCCTGATCCTCATGCTGCTCGGGCTCCTCGGTCGCGTCTTCGACTCCACCAACCGCAGCGGCCACGACGTCGTCAAGCCCGCCCACCGCCGCCTCGTCGAGATCCTGATGCTCGTCGCCATCATCCTCGTCATCGTCGGCGGCACACAGTCTGCCGTTACCGTCCAGGGGGGCGTGCCCAAGATTGCCTACTCGTCCACCAGCAAGGCCGGCACCGCCATAATGGTTGCCGTCCTGGCCCTGCTCTGCCTCGAGCTGCTCCTCGCCTTTCGCAAACGAGGCCACGTCGCCCGGGGCGAGCGCCGCATCATCGTCGGCGTCGGCCTCTCCATTCCCTTTGTCATCGTCCGCCTCGTCTACTCGTGCCTCGTCGTCTTTGGCGGCGTCTCGTCCAACGTCTGGCTCTACCTCGGCATGCTCGTCATCATGGAGATGATCGTCGTCATCATCTGCCAAGTGCTGGGCTTTTCGCTCGACAAGGCCCCCCCTGCTGCTGCCAAGGACGACCAGGAGCAGGTCCGGGCCGGGCAATGAGATGGTGGCAAATAAATAGAAATAGACTGGTATGCCCTGTATCATCTATGTGTCAATATCCAGATGGGTTCCTCCTTGAAATCCGTTCAAATACCCCAAGATGACCATCTTGTGCGCCGACCAAGAGGAGCCTGATTTCCCATCTGAGATGTAGCCGTAGTAGTCCCTGTATCCAAGAGCAAGCAACCGCGCGCCAGAATCCAAGCAGGCGACGTAACCGCGGAAAGAGGTTTACATGACGACGCAGCAGACCTTTTCCAGTTTGCGCAGCACCCGCGGCAGCACCTTTTCCAAAAACTGGGCCGTCTCGTCCTGCTGTCCGTGCGGCGGCTGCGGGTGCGGTTGCGGGTGCGGGTGCTGCTGCTGTCCGTGTCCTCCGGGGTGCTGCTGCGGAGGGAGCGGCTCGCCGCCCTGCAGATTAATGTAGATCCTCCCCGCGTTCTCCTCGGTCCGGCACTTGAGCCCCAGCTCGCTGCACAGCGCCTCGACCTTGGGCTTGATCTTCTGGACGTGCCCGGCCGAGTGGTTGCCCTTGCCGACAATGGCGTGCAGGTGCGTCTGGCCGCGCGCCTGGTCCGCGCGGATGCGCTCCTCGAGGATGCGCTCGGCCTCGTCGACAAACTGCCCGTGCAGGTCGATGGAGTCCGGCTCGACCTTGCCCGGCGCGTTGTTCTCGCGGAAGATGTAGTCGGACGCCTGCCGGTTGTACTCGTGCACCTTGGCGTCGTGCTTCTTGCCCTGGTTCGAGAGCTCCTTGGCGGCGGCGCCGTCGCCCGACTGGTACGCCTGGCGGGACTGAGCAGGTCCGTCAGTATGTCCTGTCAAGTGCGACGCGCCGGCACAGAGGGAAGCGGCCGTACTCGATCAAAGCACGAGCCGCGCTTGTCGGCCTCGGCGCGCGCCAGGTCGCGCAAGCGGTCGTATTCGCGCTCGACTTGGTCATTGTCGCCAGAGTGCAGGGCTGTACGCGCCGTGTCAGCCGGTGCGCATCTCGAGGGATTGGACGAGCCTGCATACCTCGGCCGCCCAGCCTGGTCATGGGAATCGCCATCTTGGCAGGTGCTTGCGCCGCGGATGTATGGTAAGGATCAGGTCGGATTGATGAGTCGGTCGGGTCAGGCGAGGAGGTCGGTGCGACGCGGTTGTCCCCCTCCGCTAGACAACCAGTTGGGCGCCCCAAGTGTGGTGGATCCTAGAGCCGCGCTTCTCGCCGCGGCCGCGGGAGGCCGACAATCCAAGACAGCTCGACATGGTGTTGAAGCTTGGAAACTTGGCACAGTCATGGTCGAGCGTGGTCATGAATTGGGAAATTGAGAGGCCAATAACAGGCTCCACCTCCGTACTTGGTAAGGATCCTGCAATGCCTGCAGTCAGGCAGGTTCCCATGCACTTACCCGGCGGCTCTTGAGTGCGCCCACAGAGAAGATGAGCGCATTTGTCAAGAGCATGACATTAGTCGACGAATGACGGTCGCTGAAGAACAATGGACGGTCTATACCAGAGAAACTGGGTAGTAGTATCCGTATTCCTGCCTATTCAATTTCACACGAGAACTTGCCCTTTTTCTTTAGGAGGAAACGCCCTCACCATCCTTCCCCTGTGCTCCAAGCCACTGCTTGAGGAGTAAGTACCTTAAAGGATTCAAATATACAGTGCAATCTTTAATAATACATTGACATACCCCTTCGATGTGCAGAAACAGCTGAAAAAATTCAGCTAGAGGATTTAAACCCACTAAGGCAATCATTAATCTGTCTACTACGCATGCAAGGGCACATATAATACCAGTGGAGGCAGTATATGCGCGCTCCAGTTCCGTGGCTCCTGTTCACGGGACAGGCAAAAAACGACACCTGCAGGATTCGAACCTGCGCGGGCGAACCCATCAGCTTCCTAGGGCGGAATCGATCTTCACAGATCATTCCTATTCTAGCAGGCTGACCCATTAACCGCTCTGGCAAAGTGTCCAGAGTTTGTTAGAATTTTTCCAAATCTTTTGAGTATATATACGAAAAACTGATGTTTTAATCTTCTTTTTCACAAAATTTCTCGGTTTAATACTACAGGCTTCCTAACAGACTCAGGCCTCATCGAGGCGGGCGATATTGGACAAAGTTGAATGGGAAGGTGGACCCTCAGGGGCACCAGCCCTCTCTCGCTGCACGTGGGCGAATTCCCCTGATGTTGTCTTTACAGGCGAGGCCCTGTAAGGGGCTACGCCCCGATGTGTAGATCTGGCATGGCCAGACTAGTCACGTGCGAGCGCCACGGACACGACTCCTAAAGGGAGCGATGTAGACACGTCTCCCCTTTACACTCTTTGTAGCTCAATTTACATCAATTACGCCCAGCACCTGTGCTAACAGTGCTGACCCGTAACATATTGAGCTACCAGTTAACAAAAGACAGGACAGACAGAAGGACAGACAGCAGGACAGACAGCAGGACAGACAGCAGGACAGACAGCAGGACAGACAGCAGGACAGTCAGCAGGACAGACAGCAAGACAGGCGATAGGCTAAACGACGAGACGGACGATCGATCGGACGACGAGACGGACGAACAAGATGGAGGACAATAGTAGTTATGCAGGGGCACCGCGACCGGCGGCGCAACGAGCCGATGGAGGGAAGGAGCAAGAGCTCTTGCAGATCTTATCTGGGATCGCGGGAGACGAAGAACTGCGGAAGATGTTCACCGGGCTAGGCCTAGCAGCGCCACCGTTGACACCCAGCCCGGGGGTGCTCAGTACCCCGGCGATCTTACCCGTCGAACCGAGGCCGGAAGCAGCCCAGGAAATGGACCGTGGCAAGAAGCGCAAGCCGATGACTTGGCCGAAGTGGAACGGTCAACCCGAGTCCTTCCACTTCTACCTCGACCGTCTGGTATTTAAGTACAATACCGACGAAGAGGAGGGCCTAAACGGCAATAACAACGTCGTGTGGTACGAGATCCTGCAGACCTTGCCGGATCAGATGATGAGGAGAGTCGAGGGTTTTTGGAGGCAAGAGAGCGCGAAGGGCAACCCAGACCCCCGGAAATTCTTCTCGCACCTAGCCCAGACGTTCGGCAGCGTGCAGCAGACAGAGAGGGCGCAGGACAGGCTGCGCACCTCATTCAACGAGACAGCCAAGAGTTTGGGAAGTTCCTCCCTGAATTCGAGGAAACATTGACCAAAGCGGGCGGCGCGAGCTGGGATAATGCTTCCAAGCTCGCATGGCTACGGAACTCGATCTCTCCTGCTCTCCGTGAGCAACTAGTCCCGGTTATCATGCCGAAGGACTACAACGAGTACATCCAACGTCTACACCGATTGCTTGGGCGTTCGAGCACACCGCGAAGTTTAAGGCGTTGCAGAGGAAGCAGGGCTCCGCGGGCAACGTGACCAAGGGCAGGCATCAGGCATCGGCAACATCCAGGTCGCCGGTAACGACAACACCCCGGCACCGTCAGCAACGTTACCCGCCGAGCAGAACGCACGTGACGCACGCGACCATGACGGCGACGTAATAATGACGGTTACACGCACTCAGGGGCAGGGTCAGAGAGGACGGGCGAACGGCCAGGGTCAAGTGGAACGAGCAAGACGGTTCGCTTCCAGCCTAGGTCAGGACGGAAGCAACGGGCGAGGTGGGTATCCGAGGACGAACGGAATAAACGCCGTGACGAGGGTCGTTGTCTCCGCTGCGGCGACAACACCCATTTCATTGCCGCTTGCCCCTACTCGCCAGGACAGGACCCTAGCCGGTCGAGGGATGTAAAGTCCGCACCGCTAGGATCATGCCCTTGCTGGAAGATGATGGTAACGACTCTAGTGAGGAAGAGTCAGGACTTAGCGAGACCCCATCCCTCTCGGGAAATGCGTAGCCTCGAAACAAAGACGGGTCTCGAGGCCAAAGAACGGAGCAGTGGCAAAAGAAGAGAAGTTCTCAGGAAAAATGGAAGTTGGTCCTACAATAATTCGAAGCATTATCAATAGGACCAATCTCTTCTCCTCACTCGTAGACGAGGGATGCCAGTGCTACGCCGCGGTTGACGAAGAAGTCGTCGAAAAGTTGGAAGTTCCTATAGTGGAAATAGCACCGCGAGCTATTACAGGAGCATCAGGGGCAATGGAAGGAGCAACGATTAGGGGCCTCGTATGGCTATCAATGGAGGTCAACGGCCACATACAGACGATCTGTGCCTACGTGGTGCCCCGATTGGAATTCCCCCTAATCCTAGGAAAACCCTGGTTATGCCACACAAAGTCGTACTCAGTGCCCCACGAGAAACGACTATGGCATGAACCTACACAAGACTGGGTAGATCACCTCGGGAAGGAGAATATTCTGCGAAAGCCAAGGAGTTCGAAGAAGCAAAGCACGTACTAGCCAGTACCTTTGTGGGTTACTTTGAAAGGATCCGCAAGCAGGAAGGAAGAGAGGCAGCTGCCACGGCGATTTTCGCTATCAGCATGAAGGATATCGAAAGGGCGTTATCACCAAAGAAACCCATGTCAGAAGCAGAGCTACGCCGAACGATACCCCAGCGGTTCCACGATTTACTGCCTCTATTTATGAAGAAGGAAGCTGATAAGCTGAATCCTCATAAGCCAGGCATAGACCACGAAATCAGAATCAAGGAGGACCCGAATGGCCAGCAGTTACCACTACCGTATGGAGCACTATACGGTATGTCACGAGAGGAACTCCTGGTTCTTAAGAAGACTCTACGAGACCTAGTGGATAAAGGATTTATCCGTGCAAGCAGTTCAGAAGCAGCAGCTCCAGTCCTGTTTGTGAGGAAACCAGGTGGCGGGCTGCGATTCTGTTGTGACTACAGAGCGTTGAACGCAATCACTAAGTCGGACCGTTACCCCTTCCTCTAATAGGGACACTTCGCAACCTAAAAGATGCGAAGTGGTTCACTAAGGTCGACGTGGTACAAGCGTTCCATAAAGTACGGGTTGCAGAAGGAGACGAGTGGAAGACAGCGTTCCGCACCCGGTACGGTCTCTTCGAATGGATGGTTACCCCGTTCGGGCTAAGTGGCGCGCCAGCAACCTTCCAGCGGTATATTAACGGTATCCTACGAGACTACCTCGACGAGTTCGCCTCTGCTTATATGGACGATATACTTATCTATTCGAGCGGGAGCAGAGAAGACCATTTCCGGAAGGTACGGTTAGTTTTAGAACGCCTCGCCGAGCATGGACTACACCTAGACCCGGAGAAATGCGAATTTGGAGTCAAGCGGATTAAGTACCTAGGATTCATTATTCACGCAGGAATTGGCATTCAGGCAGATCCCGACAAGATACGAGCAATAGTCGAGTGGGCAGTCCCCGTTACCCAGAAGGGGTGCGCAGTTTTCTAGGATTCGTTAACTACTACCGGATATTTATACCGCAAGCCTCGGAAATAACTGCACCTAACAGCACTAACAGGAAAGGGGACTAAGTTCAAGTGGACGGACGAGCACGATATGGCGTTCCAGACACTAAAGACGCTATTTACGAACGCCCCTATTCTTACTCAATGGGATTTCGAGAGGCCAACCTTCGTAGAAGCAGACTGTAGCGGCTGGGCGCTTGGGGCACTTACGCAGGAAGTCGACGGACAACGCAAGCCAGTAGCGTTCCACTCGCAGAAGCTATCACCGGCTGAGCGCAACTACCCAATCCATGATAAGGAAATGCTCGCTATTATTCGTTGTCTCGAACAATGGTCAGCCGAGCTACGAAGCTGTGATAACTTCGTTATCCTTACCGACCATAAGAACCTCGAGTATTTCATGACGCGCCAACAGCTCTCGGAAGGCAGGCACGTTGGGCTGAATATCTCTCGCGTTTTAACTTCCAGCTCCAGTACCGTCCGGGACGGGAAGCAGTGGTGCCAGACGCGCTCTCGCCGCGAACAGGACCGACCAAACGAAGCGGATCACGAAGCACGAGATATGCAGCTTATTCCAGAAGCAGCCCTACGTACCTACGTCGGAGTAACGTCGACTCAAGCGGAGAAGGCGAAGAAGAACACACGGTTTTCCACGACCCAGAGCTACAACAATTATGGCAGCAAACGGCAAACCAGGATCCAGTCTTTACAAGCGTTTATAACGCGGTACGAAACGGATCTCGGTCCTCGACCCCAAGCTTAAGCTGAAGGTACAAGTCGCCGAGTGCTTTATTGATCCTCGGGGGCACCTACGACTACGTGGCCGCTTATGGGTGCCAGGCGCACCGATCACGACAGAAGCAGCAGCCAAGGCAGCACCGCTAGAGCAGGAGTCGCTAAACGAATTACGGGGCTCCTTAATCCAGAAGGTTCATGACTCCCATGTAGTAGGCCACCCGGGACGGAAGGGACGATAGAAGCCGTATCCAGGGACTTCTACTGGCCGCTAATGCAACAGCATATCCGACGTTTCTTGCGTAACTGCGATGTCTGCGGCCGTACGAAGATATGGCGCGAGCATAAAGGGTCTACTTAGACCGCTACCCGTACCGGACCGCTTCTTCCGCCAGATACAGATGGACTTTATTACGGACCTCCCTTGCGAACGGTAACCGCTGCCTCTGGGTTATCAAGGACCGGCTAAGTAAGGAAGTTATACTCGAACCGATGCCAACGATGGAAGCGGAAGCATGTGCAGAGCGTTTTCTATGGTGCTTCGCCCGCTACCACTGGTGGCCCGACGCTATAACGAGCGATAGGGGCTCGAATGGGTAGGCCGCTTTTGAGGCACATGTGCAAGTTACTGGGGATCGACCAGCAGCTAAGCACGGCGTACCACCCCCAAACCGACGGAGGCCCTGAGAGGATGAACCAAGAAGTACAGGCATACCTCCGCGCCGTGATTAACCAGAACCAGAACGACTGGGATAAGTGGGTTCCCGCGGCTCAGATGGCGTTAAACGGTCGGGTCAATACCTCTATAGGGATGTCCCCATTCTTCGCTATACACGGCTATGAGCCGAAGTCACCAGTTCCCCTCGTTACGGAAGCATATGCGGAAGAGTATCCTCAGCATTCGCCAGAAACCAGGGCAAAGAAATTTGTTACCAAACTACAACAGATTACGGACCTCTGCCAAGCATCAATGGCGACAGCTACGCAGCAACAAGAACGCTTCGCTAACAGACGACGGAACGCGGCAGAACGCTTCGAAGTAGGCGATAAGGTTTGGCTTGACTTACGGAACTACGCGTCAGAGCGACCTAAGAAGAAGTTCGACTGGCTGCACGCTAAGTATACGATAAGCAAGGTACTCGACCCGTACACGGTTGAACTAGCAGACCTCCCGAGGGCTGCTATAATAGGTTCCACGTCGACCAACTCCGGAGAGCGGGGACGGACCCAATGCCTGGTCAGCAACGCACAGACGCTCAACCCCATCTATCCAAGTAGACGGGGAGGCTCACCAAGTAGTAGAGGAAATACTATGCGCTAGGTGGAAGAGAACCGGCCGCGGCCGTAGGCGGGAAGTCCTTGTACGCTGGCAAGGTTGGCAAGACCCGACCTGGACCTCTTTAGACAATATGCAACAGACAGCGGCCTTGGATAAGTACGAACAGAGATACGGCCCGGCTCTCGAAAACGATGGACCATACCAGCACCGACGAGTGGCAACGGAAGCACAGCCGGCCCAAATCCAGGGCAAGTCGAAGGAATACAACCACAGCTGCAGATACAGGGCAAGAGAATACGCGGACCACTACGGGCTAGGACTAATGGCGACGCCCCGTCGATAGTAACGGCACCAGACCCTATAGACGACGGCCCTACGATCGTTGTAGAGGACCAGGAACAGGAAAAGGGCACCAGCGCCAGAGAGGAGTAGGGGCTAATGTGGGCTACGCCCCGATGTGTAGATCTGGCATGGCCAGACTAGTCACGTGCGAGCGCCACGGACACGACTCCTAAAGGGAGCGATGTAGACACGTCTCCCCTTTACACTCTTTGTAGCTCAATTTACATCAATTACGCCCAGCACCTGTGCTAACAGTGCTGACCCCGTAACAGGCCCAGGCATAAAGAGTGGTATAGCTCTGTTGGATCGTTGACAAAGTGCGCTATGTCACGATACGTCGTTTCCCGCGCCTTGCGAATAGTCATGAAGGCACGGAAAAGAGACGCCGAATCGATCAAGTGAAGCGTCGAGATAAGCGGCTCGCCATCGCCTTGTTCCTCTCGACGGGCCTCCGGGAATTTTTCTGCGATTTCGTCATCTTCGTTGAATGGCATGGGGGCCTCGGCCGGCACGGGCTCCTCGTTGTGGTCAATTAGCTACTGTGGCTCTTGGCGGTAAACCAGCTGGCACCGATGCTGCCATGTATTGCTCTTGGTCGACGGGATGTGATGCATTTTGTGAATGTTGATGAAATTTGCAGGTATAGCGCCAGGCACAGACGCCATCCGAGTGGCGTGCTATCGGGGCTTTGTTGGGTCCCTGGCTAACATAAACGGTACTATGTTTGCCATTAGAGCTTCCCTAGCAGACGCCAGGATGCTACAAAGCCTACTATTCCCATTACATAGAGCCCTGTGCCGAGCCATACATGGAAGCCATGTGCCCGGTCAAGATCTAGATCTAGTAGAAACCGTCTTTTACGAGTTAATAGTTCTTATTAGTCCTTGGCGGCTCGCAAGTGACATAGGAGGCAGTTGACTAGCTATCAGGTGCTTACTGGAGAGATTACGTCCTAAGCCTATTCTTTTTTCTCCTAGGCTCTAGAGGCTGCCCTAGACACGATTGGCGAGCCAGATATCGCAGTGGAAGTCGAACCTCATCTAGCCTTGGGCTTGCCGGAGAGCTGGGCCTGTCTCTCTGCCAGTGAAATGATGAGACGAGGTGCTTGTCACGTTGCTGTGTCCTCCCTGAAGCCCAGGGTCAGTGAGAAATGGCTCGAGCATGTTCAGTCTGACGGCGCCGAGGTGTGCGTCGTTGCCTAGTACGTGGAATCCCCCTTCTAGATTCTGGTACATCTTTTCCAGCAACCATCATTCTTTTGTCCCTTATATTCCTGGACACTAATAGCCATCCTCGTAGTGATATCTTACGCGGGCGCACAAGACCGTATGCGACGCGATGCCTCTGGGAAGCGGAGACAGCCTTGGAAGAAGACATCGAGGTTGGCAAAGGCACCAAGCACAGACAACACTCCTCAACATAAGGTACCACCATGATGCTTCCTGGCGCCACGGGATACCTAGGGAAAACAATGCTGCGGGTATTGGCCAAGCACAGCGCGGTTTCCAAGATCCATTGCGTCGCTTTCCGCGGAAACGATTAATAGTCGGAAGCCTACCGGAGCGGGCGGCAATTGCGGAGGTAGATGGACCATACGAGCGACAGCCGATTGTCGTGTCCGATTCAAGCAGAAAAGATTTAACGTGTGAGAGGCATGTTGGACTTCTGTATTTGACTATCCATCTACTTGCTGCTTGAACGGTGAACATCTAATCAATCAAGCAAAAAGCCTCTATACAAAACTGAAAACTCAGGACGCGACTAGAATAGAATCATAGAATGACGGCGCCCCCCCTCGGCCTAGAAACAGACGCACAACATCGTCGTGGCCCAGCATGACGGCGACGTGCAGAGGAGTGCATCCAGTCACGTCTCGAACATGAAGACACTCTAGGCGACGATCTACTAGCAGCCGGGCCGCGTCATGTGCGCCCGCCATGACTGCAACATGAAGCGGCGTCCGGCCGAGGTTGTCTGGTAGGACTAGATCTGCTCCATAATCCAGCAGTGCGACGACGACGTCGACATGAAGCCCTGCGATGGCAATGTGCAGGGCGGATTGGCCGTGGTCGGTCAAAAGGTCAACGTCTGCAGGGCGTGTTTTCAGGAGCAACCGCACGATGCTGGCCTGGCCGTAGTATGCTGCTAGATGCAGTGCGTTGTAGCCCGAAAGCTTATCCAACTCGCCTAGCCAGAGTAGGTCTTTGAGATGCATTGTGTCTGATGTGTGGTCCGAAGGCTGATTGTTGTCGAATAAAACATTGCCCGCCGCATCATCTCGATGGACATCGTGATTGTCATCGTGGTCCTCGTCAGTGGGCCCAAGATTCGATCGAGGTGGGACCTGGTGCAGCGGATGCTGCTGTTGCTCTGGTAGAGGTAGGCTGAATGGAGTAGGTCCTTGAAGGGCGGTGGTGAGTTGATGACGAGGCTGGGTCTTTGACTTGGACGGCGGTTGCGACCATTCCAGCTGCTGCTGCTTCTCCTGCCGGGCTCGTGCTGGCGGCCGAGGGATGGTGTAGGGTTGAGTCCAGGTGACGCTGTCGTTGCTCTTCTTGTCGACGAGCTGCGACGAGTGACGCTTTCGCCTCTCGCCTACATGACAAGGGCACGCGTGGGTTAACATTTGCTCGTTCTGATACCAGGCCTGGGAGGGCAATGCAGACAGAGCCAGGACCTACGATGATTGCGCTGTGCTATTCTGTTTTGCATACGTCTCCGCTCTGCTGCGTCCATGTCATTGCGTGTAAGAGCCGAGACTCCAGAACAGGCATCCTCCGGCATCATACTTGACGTTTCGATCGACTCCCGAGTGCTCGTACGGCCATGGGGAAATGATGGAGAGGTGGGTGGCCTGTAGCGGCGAAACCAAGCACGTAGAACACAGGCTGAAAGGCGTGGTCAATTCCGAGTATGCCAGTGCCAATAACCGGGGCACGGCTAGGCCCGGCCGGCCCGGCTTGGCCCGGTCGGCCCGGTCGGTCCTGGTGCACCCCCGGCCGGGCATTAACTAGAACCAATAGCGTAAGCGCCCATATTATAACAGTCCCGGAGTAAAAGCCCCCGAGTAAAAGCCCCCCTCCTCCGAACACAACGGCCACGTAAACATCTCGTGCGGCCTGCCTTAATGAGGCTATCCACGAGGAAAAGAGAGCCAAGTTGTGAAGGCCCAAAGAGATGTGTTGATTGAAGCTGAAGAATACACCTGTACCAGCTGCACTATGCAAAAGGTTTGTAGGTAGGGAGATATACAGTAGAGACAGGGTACCTAGCAAAGACCTAGCAAAGAACAGCAGCCAATAATAAGCAAAGTACATACTCCGTAAAAGGGAAAGGGAAAGGAGGAGTACATACAGTCAGTACACGCTAAATAGGGGATACCGGACGTTGGTTAATTATTTATAGACTCTTGGCGGGATGGGCACAAGTGGGACACCCTTACCTGATCAGGGATGCCGCCAAGCCCGGCGGGGACAACGGCGTGTTCCAGACGAGTAATCAAACATACACTCCTGATTTTCAAACATACACTCCCGACCTAAGCCCCATTTGGAAGAAGACCCCGCCACCAAAATTTGGCGCGCGCTTTCCCAACGCCCTGGCTTGCCGTGACCATCGCCGCCGCCCACCCGCCCAGCCACCTGCCTTTTGGCCGCCATCTGCATTTTCGCAATCATCAACAATTGAAGCTATCACCACTTGACTCAACACAACAGCAACGCCGCCGCCGCCTACCGCAATAGTCACGTCTAGTCAATCGTCCCGATGAATTCGACCGAAAGCAATACCAACAGTAGCACCGAGGCTATCACGGAGATGTCTTTCGATACGTATGATGAGGCGCTTGAAACACTCAAAGCTACGCAAGAGCTCCTTGGCTACGTCGTAGTCGTTGCAAATAGCAAGAATACCGGCAAGCCTAGGCGCAAGGAAGCCAATATCCGCTGTGAATACAGTGGTCAGTATAGGCCCTGGGACGAGGCAGAGGGTATATACAAGACGTCATCCAAGAAGTCGGGATGTGACTTTCGCTGTTACATCCGCTTCTACCGACGTTGCAATGCATTCAAAGTCACCATCAAGCACGGCTCTCATAACCACGAACCTCTATTTGAGCCAATTGCTAACCCCATCGTCCGTCAACGAAGCCAACGCAAATTCGGCATCGAGCGTCTTCATAGCCTCGTCGAGGGCTTAGCAAGAACGTCAATAACAAGAGCAGGGATATCGTGGATGCTATCCGACAGGAATATCCTGAGCTCCTTATTACCGATTCTGATATACACTTCATCCAGCTGCAACTTCGTGCCTTCCGTTACGGCGCCTCTACATCTACACAAGCCTTCCTCGATGTACTCAAAGATGCTAAAGCAAAGGGGAAATCAGCTACTATGCAGTTGACCGTGGCCCTAATGGGAAGGTTTGGAGGTTTTTCTGGACATACGATGACTGTATTGCTGACTGGAAGCGTAACCCGAGCTCCTTATCATGGATAATACGTATAAGGTCAACCGCTTTAACATGCCGCTTCTACAGATCATTGGCACAACAGGGCTACACAAGAGCTTCAGTGTAGGCTTTGGCCTCACTGCCAAGGAAGACGAAGGCGCGTTCCAATGGATCCTCTCACAGTTGCGTGAGGCTGGTCGGCAGGCTGATATTCCGGACCCGGGCGTTGTGATTACCGACTTTGATACCGCCCTGAAGAACGCCCTTGACTCTATCTTCCCATCAACGCAACAACAAGTGTGCGTTTGGCATATGATGAAGAACGTGATCCTTCACATCAAGAAGAAGTGGGAAGGATCCCTCGATGGCACCGAGATTGGCGGAGATAGGCCAGAACAGGAGACTCGCCTCGCTGCAGCAGCCGCTCTCGACGACCCTATACAGGCAGATAATGCCATTGACGAGGACCGACCTATCGACCGTGCCACTGATTACCAGATTCAACATGCCTCACAACTGGCAGATCAGTGCGTTGAGCAACAAGATGATCGTGAAGATGACGATGGAAACCCAATACCCCCGGCTCCAAGGCGGACTTTTGAGCACACAGCTGACGGTATCCGTGATGCCTGGGTTTCAGTCTTTAGGGCTCGCACGGCTGAGGAGTGCAGAGATCAGTGGGATCTACTCTGTATAGAGTTTTCGGATCAGCCAGGTAACCCTAGCCCTAACTACCCTCCTACTCTAACCTTTTACTAAATAGCTCCTCTTATAGCTCTCGTTAATTACCTCCGTACAACCTACTGGCCATGGCGTGCCCAGTTTTCCACCTACGCTATCCAACAGTACCGAAATTATAACATTACGGTAACTTCCCGTGTGGAGAGCACACATCACGAGTTGAAGTCACGATTACGCAACCGCTTCATTGACCTCCATCAGCTACAAGAGCACATCAGAGGGCTCGTTACCCATCGGCAAAAGAAGCATCGCGAGAAGCTTCAATCCGAGTTTGCAAGAGCTAGAGTTGAATGGGCCAAGCAGACGATTATGAAGTCACTGCACCGAAAAATTGGCTGGCAGCCGATGAAACAGATCTTCAGGCAAGTTAGGCTAGCCGGGCTGAGCTTGCCGATAATCGAGGCATGCCTACGATTTGTACGGGTGCTTTCACGATGCAATGGGGGCTGCCCTGCCGGCATACAATCCGCGATTTGATCCAGGCTGACGCGGCCGCCCTTATACCATTGCATCTTATTGATAACCACTGGCGGGTTTACGGCGTGACTGTAAGTATCTTGCTCCAGCCATAAGTACTATACTAATTTACTAGCAGCCTGAACAACAGCAATATATCGATGCAGACCACGAAGCCGATCCTGACGTTGTCCAGCCTCGCCGGCGTGGAAACAGTAGACGCGGTATCCCCTCCACTAGAGGCATCTACGGGCCGGATCCTTAGTGCTTGGGAGCAAGAGGAGCATAGAGCCAACCCAGAGCTCGTATCACGGCCACCAGAGACGCAAAAGAAGAAGAGGAAGGGCACAGGCACCACTATCATGAACAAGAGGTCGAATACACTTGCTTCCGTGAGCAGCCGGGTTGACGATCTTGCCCAGCAGATCGGTGATTTCATCAAGTCACAAGCAGCAGCAACGCCGGTGCTGTTATCACAGGTGCCCTCACTTCCACAGGTGCCGCTGGTGTCACAGGGATACCAAACGACGATGCCCTCACTTCCACAGCCGGCGCCGCCGTCACAGGGATACTATGTGATGCCACCGCCTACACCAATTGTGCCTGTATACGTACAGGCGCCGGCGCCGTCACAGTGGCAAGAACCGCCTCCTCGTCACAGGCACATCACGACGGCTTCATGTGGGCACAGCCGCCGGCACAGTCTCACGAGACGGCTACGGAGCATTTCCAGCAGCTAGGGGATCAGAGGACACGGCACCATACAAAACTAGCAGGCAGGCCGGTCACAAATTCGTTCCTTACGTGCCTCGCCCTCCGCCGCGTCGGACGGATCCTTCCTCACAGTCACAGTCACAGTCACAGAGGTAGGCAAAGACCTTCCGCCATTATATGCATATTGTATATATATCGGAAGATCGATCGGGCCGGGCTTATTGATAGCTTCAATTGAATGACTCTAAGGGATGCATCTTCCGGCGTTGGTAATAATTGCAGATAGAATCCATATATGTCAGACAATAGTGTCCCACACCTCGCACGTGACAGCGGTTGATCTTTGTGGCATCAGTCAATTGATGAGAATTATCTAAAGAACAAAGGAAAGGAAAAGAATTGGATGCACACATTCGTGCAACAATATATACCCCGATCATTGCGGCGAAGCCGGCGCAGCAGTGGCAGTGATCGAGCATAAGGTTTCAGGAACTGACACGGGCGTGATATGCGACAATATATCTAGGCAGGCAGCCGCGGCAGCGGCGTTGGGAAAGCGCGCGCCAAATTTTGGTGGCGGGGTCTTCTTCCAAATGGGGCTTAGGTCGGGAGTGTATGTTTGAAAATCTGGAGTGTATGTTTGATTACTCGTTCCAGACCACACTCCGAAGTATTATATCGCGTCTTTACTCTTTAGTAGGCAACAAGTCCAAGACTCCCGACACGCACATCCCATCCTCGATTTCAGCCGCTCAAACTCAAATCTCTTAGGCAAACCTCGTGCGGTGAAGCATAATTGCAGCTACATGACATCATCAATAGACTTAACTCGACGACACTGTGAGGTATGCTAGCTTAAGTCACAGATCGAGTGAGTGTATACTGTGTAGACACGATCCGGACTTGTAAGCAACTAATAGTAACCTTTTCTCATATAAGTCGAGTTGAGTGGCCGTACTGGTCGGAATGACCTCCTCCGACTTGGGAGCTGGCGACGAATTGCTGTGACGAGGGGACTATGTCGAAGCTGCCCCTGCCCCGTCTTTGTGAATATTTTTGCTTCCAAAGCTACATGGCCACGGGATCTCTTATTTGGCTACGTAGCCTAGAGTTCCTTGTGGGTTTTGGTACCCTTATAACACCAAGCTCGATTTTTGTTTGAGAGTGATTGCCGCGCATGCTGTTTCAGCCGACTTGTGCCTCAGCCACGACACTAACTAGGCTGCCAGCGGCTGTAGCGGGTATTCATGCGTGAATTCCACCCCATACAGCAACTAAGAGTACTCTTAGTACTGTGTGTACCAAACAGCCTGTTCCCAATCTCCAAAATGCTTGAGGTCACAATTGTTTTGATCCGTGCACGCCGGAAACAATGTGTAACTTGGCGGAGAATACCCCCTAGTCGTTAGGCTGCATTATTAGCTGGTGTAATAATTATACTATCCTACTTAAAAGAAGGAGTTTATAGGTATAATTATATATATATATATATATATAGTAAAAGGGAGAATAGGTTTCCCTATTAATCTAGTAGCTTATAGTTACCTAGATCTATTAAGTAACTTCCTTAGTATTCTACTAATTAACTACCGTATTCGGTGCCTTTAGATATAGCGATAGTATTATCGCCGCTTCTAGGGATAAGGGGGCGCGCCTATTAGTGCGTATAGGCGTGAGCCTAACCTTTAATAGCTATATATTAGTCTATGGCCTACTAGGACCCTTGTTAGGTATTAAGACCCTCGTTGGGTCGTGATAGCCTATAGGTAGCCACGGGCGCCCACTTTTAAAGTCTAATGTTCACAATCTTAATGTGTGATCTGGTCACTGTGAGGCCCAAGAAAGATCATATCAAGCTCGACTGCAGCCTGTTCGCCAGTCCAGCGTGCCCAAACCTCCTTGCCGAGGTCGCAGGTGCAGAGCCCGAGGCATCCCTGGCGCCCCTGTTGGCCCCACGCTTGATCAGGATCCGCATAGCCTTGTCATGCCCCCCCGAGGCAGCCAGATGAAGAAGGGCCGTTTGCCCTTCGGAATCCACAGTGTTGAGGCATGCGCCACTGTTCAAGAATTGTTCAAGTTGTCGAACATTGCCGTTGCTGGCAGCCCCTAGATGCTTTCTATCCAGCTGAGTCTGCCAAAGTCAGATCCGTCCACATCACGACATAACGGGTATGGCCTGGTGTGGACCTGCCTTGACAAAGTCATCAGCTGGGTTTTCTGTATGGACGGTGAGTTAGGTGCAACTAGACGAAGGGGCTGTAGGAGTTGCTCAACCTGAGGTCTCAGTGTCATCTGGATCTATCGTCAAGTTAGAATTTGCCAAGCTTGGGCGGGGACACATACTAGCTAGCTGTACGACACGGTATGAATTGACGTACAAGAAGACGGCGGAGAAAGATAGCGTCTTATCGCACGAGGTGTAGAGCAGCAGTAAGCATGAAGATCAGGAAGTGGAAGAACTCTTGATTTAGCTATCTGGAGGGAAAAAGAGCAACAACTTTATAGATAATATAAAGGAGTGGCTGGGAGATGCTAGAAGCATCTGATCACATAGTGTAGGTGCCTATAACGTGTGCATAATGTTGATGGTTGGTGTGGCTGTTTGACATAGTATAGATGGTAGGGGTCGACCTGTTGGAGATATCCTGTGTGTGACACGTCTCAATGGGTCGATATCCGACACTGGCTGACCATGGTAGTAGTTGTTAATACCGCCATGGACGGTCTGCTGCCCGGCTTGAATGTGTGACGTGTTGTCCTTGTTGTTGAAGGTACTCGGTGTTGGCTCATGGTTGACCATATTGTGTCCAACAACCAACTGTTGTGGCCTGTAGATGCGAAAGCGGATCTTCTGGCAGTCCGGTTGTAGAGCAAATCCAGGTTTATGTAACAAAAAGTCAAGGTTGCTAAAAAAAAGGACGCAGTCCACGCGATGCGGTCGGCCTCATCAGCGAGACTCGGCTAGGCGGAAGTTATACAAACTGATTGGAGAATCTTCAGAGGGCGCCCCGGATGAGACGGCCACGGCTTACTCGTTAATTGCCCACCCACATGCTGACTACTATGACGCCTAAAACAATAAGAGATGGCTGAGCCGCGATATGCGACAGATGATGGTGATGGAAATAGCCCAATCGCAATGCTGCTCTCTGACAATAACATCAATCCATGCACAGGATGGAGAAGGGAAGGGTGCGCCACCGGGGTTTTCGGATTGTTCCGGCCAGACTTTCAGCTTTCGCCCGATTCAAAGCGCATCTAATTACCCGCGTTTGAAAACGGGGCGAACGAAGCAAAACGGCAAAACTAGCAAAACTTCAGACCCTCATGCACGTTCTGCTGACCAACCTGCTGCCCAATCTTGGTAACACTGGCGTTGTTCCAGGTGTTATTCATGGCGCACCCAGTTGGGTTCTGATTTGTCGTTAGCCGTCGTTGGCGCGAATGACAACCAGGCAACTCACAAGGGTCTTGTCAGACATTTGGCACCACACGGGTCAGAGATGGCATCAGGCAATTGATGAGAATTATCTAAAGAACAGGAAGTGAGTGAACGAACCGCAGCGAATTTTGCAGCTCTTTACACACAAATTGAAGGCTTGTTGCCTGCCTACGCATCAGCTGTTGCCTGGCAGGCAACAGCGGTTGCGTAGTAATATCGCCACTTCATCAGTAATCATCCTAGGCAGGCTTGATATGCGACAAGAAGCGGATGCACCATCCAGGGAGAAAGCTTCCGGCGCTGACAAGAGATGACAGCACCGTTATATGATGAGATTATCGTAGCTCTAGTATTTCATTCTCCATCTCGCCTCGCTGCCACGCATAAACTGCCTCACCGCGCATGAGTCCATCGATGTACGACTCGCCGACAAAAAGGGAATCCCCCCTCTGTTTCCGGATAATATAAGGCACTCCTCCCCCAAAGATAACAAAGACAAGGTCTTCCCGCCGGGTGGCCTGTGGTGCAATGCCCATACGCCCCCCTAAAGTAATAATAAAATTTCTGTTAAAGCAGAAATTGGTAGCCAGCGAGATATAGGACTCGGGATTGCCTCCTGTCGAAAGCTCCCGCAAGAGATCCATAATCTCCCCAATGTTGTTTTGAGGCATGAAACATAGCGGTATATGTTTATAGCTGCGCAAGTTATTAAAAAGGAACGCGGAGCCGTCGCTAAGAATTTGCTGCGCTGTATTCCCGCCGAGATGGTACTGCTCAGCTGTGGTAGCCTTAATCCAGGACGCTATCCAGTCCGTGAGGGTGTTTCTGTCTCTATTCCTTGGTAGAAACTGTAGCGCAATCTCCAAGAACTGTAGGAGAGAGTCCTCACAGCTCCTTCCGCACGAATTGAATGGAGTTGTCTTGTCGACGGTGTCAACCTTGATGCCTCTCAGCCGCAGAAGCGACTCATTTAAGGGCTCGACCAACTCTGCGAAACGTCCCAATGAAGCGTTATAGTGTTCAAGAAAGCACAAAGTCGTGGTCGCGTTTTCGTAGTTTGGATGAGACAGCCAGGAGAGGCTTTTGGCAGTATGCTTTTCTGTGACGGTGAAGTCGCACCAGTTTGGAACCCACGTCGGTAAAAAGTCAAGCTTATACTTGCGCTGAGCCCGGGATACGTCGCTAGAGATGCCGCTGGCGCGGGTAAGGATAGAGAGGGACTTGTATTCCCGGATGAAGAATAGAGCGACTCTTATGTATACTTGCTCAATGGTTAGGCCGTAGTCGGCACGCAATGCGTCAGGAACGCGCGATAAATCCTGATTCTCGGCGGCCAAACCGAGTAAGCCGTAGACCTTGTCCCTCTGGTCAGTGGCGTGACACTTGATAGATGTTGCAATGGATAACGCGTCTAGACGCCAGTGGCTGCGGGATCGCCGAATATTCGATATCGTATCGACGTTCTGTATCTGGCCAGGGATACAGGCTAGCCGCAGATATCCATTTCGTCGTAGCCAGGTCGATGCCCACCCTAGATGATCCCATGGGTACTTCAACCGTCCATGAATAATAATGGGATCTTTTGGCGATAGGGCCACCTCCTGGATGATCCACGTCCTCGTAAACCATGGTACTTCGAATAACCTCCTTAGGTGCTCCCATAATTTACTATCCCACCTTGGAAGGCCCAGGGCCTTATGACTGCGATCCGAATACATACGGAGGGGGATATCAGCTATAGTGCTAGCCCACGGGGTTTGAGTCTGGAAGATAGTGTGTATTTGATTAACTAGTTGCCACGCCGTCGAGCAAGAATTGGGGGTGGGGCCGAGCCAAATCAGAGTCCTGATGGCATGAGAATAGATTAACTTCATGAGCTGTACTTGGGTAGAACGCTCCGACATATCGTCTTGATTGATGCATATCTTGTCTATCCACAGCCACTTGACCGGTGCGGAATCCTCTTCAAACGACGAGCCTCGTAGTCGCCGAATGGCAGCATACAGATTCAGTCCTACGGACAGCACCCAGCCGTCCACCTCGAGCGGCCTAGTCCGTTTGCGCGAGCCCCAGGTGTAGCTGAGAGCGTAGTAGGCCGGCGCCTCACTGAGCTCGAACGTCTGAAGAGTGTTAAGTGGGCAATCGGGCGGGACGTTGAGGCCAAACAGCCGAATGTGGCCGGTAGCTAAAGGACGGTAGATGTACGGAGGCTTCATCGTTCTGAAAAAGGGGCGATGTCATGGACCATGTCGTATAAGCTGAACAGCCCGGCGCGAGAGAAATCCTGCCCGTTTTATCCATCTCATCTCGGGAGACGTCGACACGACATGTAGAGCCGCCACCTTGCTGTTGCCCGCATTGCAGCTCGGCGTGGCGGAGCGTAGTTGGTGTTCCCTTCGGACTTGGTCCGAGCTGACAGTCATTGGTTGGACCACCTTTTGCTCAATGCGAGGCGGCATCTCACAGCCACATTGGCGGGAAATCTGCCGGCCGCAGTCCCATGAGTAGAGTAAGTGACGAGTATTAAGTGACGAGTATTAAATGGCGGTAAGGCAACCCTAGGGGTCAGGGGGTGTAATGCATGCACAGAGCTGGTATACATACGCCCACCATGTTTGGAGGACCTCGAAGCAACCCGGAGGCCTCGCCAATAGGCCTTGAGACTCGATTGCACTAGGGTTCTGGCAAGGTCACTCGTACGGCCATGTTTATAGGTCTTGACGCTATGCCTTGTTAGCTACATGGGAAGATGCAGGCATTGATTCCCCCTACCAGCCTCTTGAGCGCTCTCGAGCGTTCTTGAGAAAGTCTGCCTTTGCAACCCCCGCTTTGCTCCTGGCTCTGCGTCTAGCTATAACAAGCCTCGACCGGTCCCTGGACGAGCCTGCTATGTGTCCATACGAGCTCTCCAAAGTCAAAAGAGGACCGCGACACACACCCTTTCGTTTGCCTCCCTGTTCCTAGAAAAAGGAGAGTATTGTTTAGCGTACACTTTGCTCAATCTCTTGTCCCCTGAAACGGGCTGTTGGGTAAATCCATGGCCTCCGCCCCTATCCCCGGTTTTGAAAGCGGAGAGCGCAGTGAAGGCCAAGGTAGCCCGCAGAGCCGGAGACTCGGGTTGAACCAAGTATATCCCAACGAAGAGGGCGATGCTTCCCACATACAAGACATAGAGTCAGTCGATGCACATGCCGGCTTTTTCAGACAAGTCTAACTGGGGAGAAGCATCGTTGCCATCCATGGCCTAGATACTCACTCCCCGAGAGCATGGGTAGCGTGGACTAGGGACCGTGATCCAACATCAGGACAAGTCCACTGGCTGCAGGATGAGCACATGCTGCCCGCTGTCATGCCACAAGCTCGCATCTTCACGTATGACTGGAACGCAAACTTTGACCGAGACGCGGCAACTCAAGGGTTGCTCGGCCATGCCGATGGGCTGCTGGAGAATCTGCACATGCGAAGATCCAAGGTAGGTTGTGCCGCCCGTCGTCCTCAGGCGCAGCCTTAACCGTGACACAGGACGGCAGCAATGATCGACCTATCATCTTCGTCGCTTCTTGCTTTGGCGGCCTCTTGCTCTGCAGGGTTGGTGTCCAGGCAAATCCTCAATGGTTGCAAGTGAACCAGGACTCACCAAGATCAGGCTCTTCACAGAGCATCAGCGAGTCATAGCCCGTACCAGCCTATCCTCAGAGCGACCGTCGGTGTGGCATTTCTAGGAACGCCCTTTCAGGGTAGCCATGACGGCTTCTTGACTGCTACCCAGCTACGCCTCAATGTCGCGGCGGCCTCTGGTGGCGAAACGGCCAGCGAATTACTCAAGTATCTCGACAAGCACGATGACCAGCGGAGACAGCTCGATGACGTCGTCCAGCAGTTCTGCGAAATGACCTCTAGTGACATGTTCAAGTTCCCTATTATATGCTTCTACGAGACCCACCGCACTGACTTCCGGATGGCTATACGAACCCTATCTTCCAGGGACCGCAGAGGGCTTGGCGAGTATCAGACTGGTGTCGTGAGCCAAGTCCATCAGTTCCTGACCAAAAAACTGCATCTACTGACTTTGGCAGCTTGTTCCGGAATATTCTGCCTGTCTCCAAGGCATACCGCGATCGGCTTTAGACGTCAGACATACCATGTTGAACAAGTTTGCCGATCCGAAGAGCCAGGCGTTCGAGACAGTGTCATATCACTTGAAAGGGTTTAAGGAAAAGGCGAACGTGACGCTGCAACAGAGAGGTTAGCAAAAACAGTTCTTTATGCAGTTGTAGTCCCTGCAACATGTCAATCAACGAGTTCGACCTTTCTCCTTTCTTCTGGCGTAATCGAAAGTAGCCATCTCCGTCCCCTATTAACTCGCGTCTCGGCAAGGATTCTTCTCGATATTCCCTCCGCCTTACCGCAAAGCAGCGCTACCCGAGCTCACATCAAACTTTGTCGGGCGAGACGCCGAGCTCGAAGCCATCCAAGAGAAGCTTGAAGTTGGCGCCGTCGTGGTGTTGACGGGCATGGCCGGAATCGGGTCAGTCTTCTCGGATGGCATCCGTCTGGCCAACCCAATCTAATGTGACAATTTGCCGGGTGGATTCAGAAAGTCTCAGACGGCACGCAAGCTCTGCAGCATATTCAAGAGCAAGCAGCCGGGACTAAAGGTCTTTTGGTTGAAGCTCGACAGTGTTGAGAGCTGCAACAGCTCGTTCCGTGACGTGGCGCGCGAGCTCAATATTTCCGGTGTAGAGCACGACCCCAAGATGGACATGAAGCCGTACGTGGCCGAATGGCTTGGCAGACGTGAGCATCGGGGCCATTGGCTGTTGGTGCTCGACAACGCAGTCGAAGAGGCCGCGTGTGAAGCCGCAGCCAAGCACATGCACGCCGACAACGGCCGCGTTCTTGTCACATCGCCATCCGACAAGCTGGGGAGGCTCATCCGCAAGGAGCCGCCGTACGAGGTCAAGATCGGGCCGCTCTCGTACGACGCCGCCGTAAGCCTCTTCCGAGCCGTGACGCCGCCGGATTTGGCCCTTGACGAGGCAGGCCTCGTTGGGCTGCTAGACGTCCTCCATCGGCACCCTCTGGCCATTGTGCAGGCGGGCGCGTATCTCAGTGATGACGTCGACGTGGCTACGTATATTAACGATATGCAAAAGGACGACTACAAGTTTGCCGAGTGGATCTCACACGCCTTTGTCGACGGCGATGGGCACGAGCTGAGGTCGCTGGGGAGCACGCTGGAGAAGCAGTTTGACCGCCTCTCGCGACAGGCCGGCTCGCCCGTCATCACGCTGCTCGCCCAGCTGGCCTGTCTCTATCCGCAAGAGATGCCCTTGGCGCTCCTCGTGGCCCCGCATGAGTCCCGCGACCAGTTCCGCTGGACGGAGGCGCTCAGGACGCTCCGGGCCCAGAGCCTCGTCGGCGGCGCCGGGGCCGACACCTTGACCATGCAGCGACCTGTTCAGCTCGTTGTCAAGAACTGGCTCCGCCGGCCTGGCAACGAGATGCACCGTGGCGGCGGCTTCGCGCGCGCGGCTAACATGATCGCAGCGGCCTTTCCGCACGGCGAGTTCGGGTACTGGGCTAAGTGTGAAGACGTGTATCCGCATGCGCAGGCGCTGCTTGCCTTTTGGAAGGACGACGTGAAAGCTGATGGTGATGCCGATGCCAATACCCGGAGACGGTTTGCCGACGTCCTGTTCAAAATGGCCTATTACGAGTGGCGTCAGGGACGTTATGACCTCGGCAGCGATCACGCAAAACTGGCCTACGAGATTCAGAGCTGTCAGGGGCGAGATGGAGACGACCCAGACGCGCTGAAGACCAAGGCGCTCCAGGGCAGGATCTTGCACCACCACGGTAAATATTACGAGGCGAGGGACATGTTTAAAAGCGTGATTCGAAGCCTCACAGGAATCAAGGGAGACCAGACGCTCAAGATCACCGAGGTCTCGTGGGACCTCGCTAAGACGCTGGTGCAGCTGCGGGACTTGAAGCGCGCGAAATCGCTCCTGAGAGACGTGCTGGAGCAGCGCAAGGCCATGCTGCGCAGGACCAATACGCGGGAAGACGACGACGCCGAGACGCTCACCATCAGGGACGATCTCGCGTGTGTACTATTAGACCTGGGGGACGCCAAGGCGGCAGAGCAAATGCTGCGCCATGTGCTGGAGCGGCGCCAGATCATGCTCGCAATCCCCGGCCGGGACTCGGACGGAGAGACGGAGACGCGAGAGGAGGATCCGGCCACGTTGACAACAATGGTGCACTTGTCCGAGGCGCTCGAGGAGCGAAGGGACTATACAGGCGCCGAGGCGCTGCTCCGGTCTGCGCTGCGCTCCTACGAGGCGCGGCTCAGCAAACAAGGGCGGAGCAGCGACCCAGACAGCCTCATCTGCATGAACAACCTGGGGGGCGTCCTGCGCCTGCAGGGTCAGGACGACGCCGCAGAGGCCATGTTCTCGCGCGTGCTCAAGGGCTATGATTCGGGGGTCGGGGCCGTAGACCTGGAACGAAGCGAGCAGCGCGTGTCGGCCCTGATCAACTATGCCGCCGTGCTGGAGGCGCGCGCCAAGACCGACACACTGCGCAGCCCGCTCGACGAAATGTCGCGCCTGGTGGCCTCTCTTGAGGACAAGGGCAGATTCGAGGACGCCGAGTTGCTCCAGATCCGCGTGCTAGAATTCCGTCTGCGGAACCTGGCCCGCGCGGACCCAAAGACGGCGGAGAGCTGGGAGCAGCTATACCGGCTGTCTAAAAGATACTGGACGAAGGGACAGAGGCTCAACGCGATCCGGCTGAGGTCAAAGTGGCATTTCCTTTGTCTGTCTGCCATCTTCTTGCAGTCTCGAGCAGAACAGGCAAGTACGAAAAAGGGGTAACGTCGTGGTTGGATATACGGAGACGCCCAAGGTTAGCTAGCTGGATTCTCTTCTTCTGCTTCGTTCCAATACAAGCTTGCTGCCTCGTGAGTCGTCGTTCGGCCGTCCAGTCGATACCGGAGACTGGGAAGCTGCGAACCATGGTTTCTGGCAGAGCCGACTTGCTCGGTTTCTCGCAAGCGCTGGCTCGACGACTTTGGGAGAATTTATTAGAGCAAGAATCAGTAAGCCTGCAGCAGGCCCGGCAATGTGGCAGAAGACGCTACATGACGAGACAACACAAAGTTCAGTCTGAACTGAGCAAGCACACTATGATCCAAGCCCAATGCACCGCCGGCCTTGCCTCTTCGGATCCCTCGGATGGACTGCTGAATCGTCGTGACGACAAAACAGGCTAGGAGGGATGAGAGGGCTTGGAAGAAGAGGCCTTCTCAGCGTCTTTCCGCGGAAGCGCGTTCAGGAACAATCGGACTAGCTACACGAGACGTTAGCAATACAAGGAGACAGGTTTGTAGGGTTGGGTTCAAACTCACCTGGACCGCATACCTGTGCGGGGCCTTTCTACCTTTCAAATCCGCAGCGTCGAGCATGTCTTCCAGTCTCCCCTGCGAGCAATACACCAAGTCTCGCGTCTCGCCCTTGCCCTCGATACTTTGAATATATCGAGCGGCTTTTTCATCATCACCGACCCTCGACAAAATGAATAGTACAGACCCCTTTTTAATTTGATTATCGTCAAGAAACTTGCGGCAGTCGCGTAAATGTCCTGGCAGAGTGTCTGGGTTCTCAGTAGTCTAGTCACCGTTAGTATGCTCAATGGCATTGATCTTCGCTCGTCGTCATCGTGCACTGGGCCACGTACTTCTCCGTCGGTAATCATGACTGCGATCAACGGTTTGCGGAATTCTCCCACTGCGAACTTGTCTTCGACCATAGGTTTCACAACCTTTTCCTTCAACTTGGTGCCTAGTTGTGAGCCGTCCCTCTTGACTTTGAAAACCTTGTCCACCTTTCCTTGCACGATTCCCACATCCTTTAAGCGGTCGAAATCACCACCATCATCATTTTCGTAGTTGAGGAAGCGAACGCTGATTCCGGAATCGTCCATGTCCATGGAAATGGCTATGCGAGTCACTTCTCGAAGAATGCGTTTCAGATATTGAATACGCTGACCACAATCATTATGCATCGACTTGCTGTCATCTACGGCCCCGTGATCCGTTTCAGCTTGCGTCAACTTCATTGTAGCAATCGAGGTTGTGGAACTCACCGCAGAGAATAACAATGTCATAGAGCATCAGCTTCGCAAGGTCTGCTCCCTCGTGGCCAGACAAGTTACAACTCTTGGAGATGCGAGGAACAATGGCCGCCGAGTTCCTCGCCACCTCCTTGATGCGCTTGTCGTTGGCAACGAGGACGCCTCCCAACTCGTCCTTGGCATACTTGCGGAGGGCGAGCACGTATTCGTCCCTAGTTTGAGGGGTTGGCTACTTGAAGCATGCTCAGCAACATACAGCGGCAAAAGAAGGGACACCTACCACTTCCAAGTCCCCAGGGTTGGTGAGAAGCTTTATGGCCTCGTCGTTGCCGCTCATGGCAGCCAGAAGGAGGGGACAGCGGCCTTTGTTGTCCCTCGCATCCTTGTGAGCCCCAGCAGCTAGCAACCACCGGATCACGCGGACGCGTCCCCTTTCTGCCGCCATGTGCAGCGGCGTCCGGCCGTCAATGTCTCTTGATATAAGTTCCAGCCCCTCGTCGATCAGCACTTGGACGGCATCAACGTTGCCACACTCGGCGGCGACGTGGAGGGCTGTCTGGCCCTGGTTGTCACGTTTGTCCTTCACGCCCTGACAGTTGTCGTCATCCACAAGCGCGGTGAGGATGTCAACGTTCCCCCGGATAGCTGCAGCATGCAGCGGCGTCTGCCCTCTTGCATCGGCGATGTCGATGTCGGCCTCGACCTTGAGTAGCTTCTGGACAACTCCGAGGCTACGCGTCACTGCGACGTGCAAGGGAGTTCTGCCCTCGGAGTCTTGAACATTGCACACATCTTCTTCAAGAAATAGAAGATCCGCGGCGTGCACGTTGTTCTCGCGAGCTGCCCGGTGAAGAAGAGTCTCGCCTCCATGTTCGGCGTCGGGAGCTCTCCCATCTGCGCCATTGGCCACAAGCACTCTAAAGGCATCTTGATGGCCATGTTCTGCCGCGACGTACAGTGGCGTCCGACGCTCACCATCTCGAGCCTCCTTGTCGAAGCCGATTTCACAGAGGATTCCGACGGCGATAGAGTGACCCTCACGAGCTGCCCGGTGGAGTATTTGTTTCTTGTCGTCCGGTGATTTCTTGTCTGCCTTGTCGCTAAACAGAAGAGCTGCAATCTGGCGCTGATCGCACTTGGCGGCGAACAAAAGCGGAGTCTGTCCATGCCTGTCCTCCAATCCCATGTTTGCGCCGGCCTCGATGAGGAATCTCGTGGCCGTCACGCTGCCATCATAGGCCGCTTGGTGAAGGAGAGTTCTTCCGGTTTTCTCCTCTTGTGCGTCCTTTTCGGCACCTTTCTCGCGAAGCATGTTGAAAGTGTCGCGCTGGCCTGCCTGTGCTGCCACATACAATGGCGTGCGTCCACTGTTGTCTCGTGCCTCCTTGTTCGCATCGAGTTCGACGAGAATGCGGGCCGCTTCTGTGTCTCCGATGCTGGCCATCTGGTGGAGGAGAGTCTGGCCATACTTTTTGGCCTCCATGTTGGCTCCGGCGTTCTTGAGGAGCTTGGCGACCCCTGGGTGGTGGTTGGCGGCAGCATAAAAGAGGGCGGGCTGCGAGTCACTGTCCGTCATATCCCAGGTTTGATCGGCTCTGTCGACTGTGCCCAGGAGAAGCTTCACAGCCTGCTCCCGTCCCGCAATGGACGCCAGGTGCAACGGCGTTTGTCCCTTGGAATCGCGTGATTTGGGGCACGAGCTCCTACCCAGTAGAAGCTGAATGACATCGCCGTGTCCTTTGCTTGCAGCGAGGTGAAGTGGAATACGTTTATCCTCATTGAGAACATCAACGCTCATTCCTTTATCGACAAGTATCCGCACGATGCCGAGCCTGCCATTGTCAGCAGCCTTGTGCAATGCAGTGTTTCCCTCTCCATCTTTGGCATCCCGTCGGCCGTGACTTATAGTGCCGTCGAGTATTTGTGCAACAACATTATCATGTCCGTCTCTTGCAGCGATCTGCAGAAGGCACTTCTTGTCCGTGCATTTATCCGAAGGAAGTCGATCTGTCACCATCTGTCTGGGAGTCAGTTCTCGGTCTGGTCTGTTGCAAATGAGCGAGTTGACTTCGTCTCGTACTGTACCTTGTATTCCACAGCTGTTGACTGAGCTGTTGTATGGACGTGGTTGGGACGAATTTGACGTGGTTTCGTTTAATACGGGGCGGGCGTCTGATGACAGGAAACCGCTTCTTCCTGAGGCTTGGCCAATCTAGACGTTATATTTTAAACCCGACACTTGATGCTGTTGGCTGGAGATTGGACGGGCGTTGGACATGGATGTGATATTCTTGCACGATGCCTTGCCTGCAGCGTGAATTGTCAGAAAGCTGTACCTTGCCATCGTCTTCACGGTGCAACTCGTCACCCCCCTTCTTCAAACAACAGTTCGGTAGTGTGATGTTGCATGCATTGAAGCTGAAAATGCTGAGGCTCGGCTGCATTACATTGTCTCTGTAGGCGCATTTTGAACCACCCTTGAAAAGATCTAGACTCAGCCCGTCATCTTGTAAGTTCCATACATGCACTGCCCTCGTCATCTAACTCCACGGGCGCCACCAACGAGGCCTGTAGTACAATCTGCAAGACCGGCCATTGTATCCTTCGGCACCTCTGACATTCTTCACGCCGCTGTCAGTGTACATGCGTTGCAGGACCCTTTCGCCGCCGTCTACAATGCAGACCTCGCCTTGTGCATTGGTGTACTCGATGGCGTAGCTTCCAGCATCAGACGGGGCGGCACGAATGCCCTTTTTGTCTTCGTCGCCATTTGTGAAGGCAACCTGCATCTCTGCAAGTAAAAGGCTCATTAGTGGTTGGATATTTTCAAGAGGCGGTGATGAGTCGCTTACCGGTCCATGTGCCGTTGTCTAGAGTAACGGCATGGATCGACTTGTCATGATGAGCATAAAAAAGGTGAATTTGTTCCTCCAGAGACAGGGCGAAGATGCTGGCATTTTTTGATGCTCGTATTGGCGGGAACTCGGGACAAAAGTGCCAGGTTCCGTCCTGATGGGAACAGACAGACTTGATCTGGGCTGAATCGTCTTGGAAGAAGACGTAGACGACACCCCCTTGTGCAACAGCTGCCGCTATGTCCGAGGTTGGGCTCGCGACCGCCCCAAGCTTAGCCAGACTCCCAGGAAGCCATTTGCGACCATTAAAGGCAAAGTTCTGCACATGTTTCTTGTCGTCCAAACAGTATACTGCTTCCTGGACGTGCCGTCGTTAGCATCCATCTGCAAGCCGGGAGCAAGGCCAGCTATGGCTTACCGCCTTGCCCAAGACGTACGACGCATGAGTCCCTGATAAGGCCGAGCCAATCCGACGAGGAGGGCTCAGCTTCCCGTCATCAATTCTTTCCACGAGAACCGTTTCTTCATGCCGGCAAACATAGTAGATGATGTTCCCGTCATCAAAGTCTGTTACAACGTTCTGCGGGACGCGGGTTCCAGAATCCATGATGAGCTGCTCGACGTCCTTGATACAATCTGTCGCGAGAGGAGGGTCTGAGATGAGATTTTGGTGAAGACGAGAAGGCGAGACATTCGGGAGAGTCTCACTTTGTCCAGCGACCACCCCCGAGCCTTGAGACAGGGATGTTTTCAACCTTTTCTACTTCATACACAAGCTGAGCGAGAAGTGAGCCTTGGGCGAGGCAACTTCGGGGTTCTTTATATTAAATTTACGTATAGATATGTCGGTCCTTCGGTAAGTGGAAGGAGGCTTGTTGTCTGGCCATGGGCACGGGCATAGACCCCATGGACAAATATGTACAACACGCAATACATTGGCTGCCTCTCGAATCCTCAATGGATTGCCTTGTCAGATATCATCTTGGCGTCTTGTCTTATGTGCAGTGGCTGTGGATTGGGGGCGGTGCGAACCAGATTACAGCCTGCATACATGCACAGCGGAATACAAAAGGTCTCTCATCGATGGACAGGCTGAGAAGAAGGCTACAAGGTACGCGTGGTCGTGGAGAAGCACGAACGCTTGATAACAAACACACCCGTCGGTTTGAATCGCCACTTCCAGACGTCTAGCTCCAGTCCTCCCATAAATCAGCCCTTGGTAAGAGACTGGTCGACATACAAGGACCAAATCTGCAACCATGAGCGCAGACGATGGTAGCAAAAAGCTCAAGCGCCTAACCGACAAGTTCATCGAACAGGGAGTAAAGATCAGGCTCTATTGCGGCAACGACAGTCTCTATCTTCAGCTGGATGGGGGGGATTTGCCGTTAGATCCTGTCCTCCAGAACAGGGCGTTCGATCTAGCCGCCAGGGACATCTCAGACCGTGTGACAACCGAGTTTTTCAAAGAGCTGGTCGAGCTCCTCAAATCAGTCAATGAAGTCGAAGTTGATGAGCACAACCAAACCCCCGTTGTTGACAATAGCAGCGGGGCCGACAATTCTGTCAGAATGCCCTAGCTTCCAGTGTTACTAGTGGCCAAACAATCTAACCTCTTTTTACCAAAAAAAAGCCTCCTACTTTAAGTCAAGTCCAGGCTCACTTGCAGCAATTCATTGCCAAAAACCTGGGCCCCTTCAACCTCAAATCAGGCGAGCTCGAGAAGATCGCCGAACAAGTAGCAAAGAAGGGTGCAAAGATCCAGCAAGATTTCGACTTGACCAGGGACGAAATCAACTCGCTTGCCGTGATTTCTTTGTATGACATCTTTTTCCTCTGTGGTGAGTGCCTGCTATCGTTGACATCCTGGCGGTTATACTGTAAGGCGCACACACACAACGAAACAGAGAGTGAAGAACGGGGGCCAGTAATGCAATTGATTGATCTCTGACGAGCTCCTTCAGGGGCTATGCGACCCTACTTTCATAACCACGAGATGCCTCCCAGCCCCGGGCCTTTCTCTGGAAAAGTCACTCCAGCCAGTAGTTGGAATCAACCAGCCATCTACCGTGGTCAAGCACTTTAGGCGCGTGACATATACGCACTGACCTGACCAATTCTTTCCAGATGATAGCGGTTCGATGAAGATAGGCAACCGAATCCCGGCGCTGGTCAGGTCGCTTCAGAGCATCGCCGCGTGGGCCACCCTGCTGGAGCCCAGTGGAGTCTCGGTGCGCTTCCTGAACTTCACCGGAGACATGAACAACGAGTTCGACAACCTTCGAAACGAGAAGATGATAGCAGACAAGGTGTACAATATTCCGCACGGCCGTCTTACAAGGCTCGGAACCGTGTTAAAAGAAAAGATATTGCAGCACAAGACCGTGGAAAACCTAACTAAGCCTCTAATCGTCGTCATTATCACCGATGGTGAGGTGAGGCTTCCAACGTCTTCCTCTACCGCAGCCCTGCCTCCAGGAACCGCCACTAACTCGCCACGCAGCCCAAGGGAGAGGATAAAAACTGCCTATGGAACAACATCGTCGAGTGCAAGCAAGAGTTGGGAAAGGGGGGGAAAGAAGCAGGCATGGTCTTCATTATCTTCCGGGTTGGCAATAGCAATGACGCACGAGTCTTCCTTAACGACGCGAAAGACGACGCGAAACTAGACGGTTTGGTATACCGTAGCGACGAGCCGATTGACGGTGTTCTCCGGAACCTTGTCCCTGCACTTGACCATGTGCGCAGCGAGACTGGCGAGGAATACAAGGAATACAAGAGATATGTGAGTCATAAAGACTCCGGAATCCTTACCTTTAATGCTTGATTTCTAGATGGCTAATAACTATTCTTCTCCCCAAAGCTGCTTAGGGAATTCATCAGCGCAATGATGGGACAGACAAAGCACGACTAGCTAAAGGTTTCAGGCAAGTCTTGGCTGAAGATGCCCCAGGTCCAGAGGCTTGTGAGATAGTTCCCAGTCTTGACAGAATAATGCTCGCTCTGGTTTCACGTGGAACCGAAAAAGTGGCGAAAAACGGCTGTAATCCAGCGCTGAAGATATCGTCACATGCCCCTCCCTTCAAATATCCCCCGCTAGAACAAGGAGCCACATCCTTGGGGGTTTGCCCTCGATGATTCTTCGCTTCTCAATTAGCTCCTCTATCAAGCAAGAACCGAATCATCCCAGTTCTTTTTTGCTTCTCCGCTTGATGTAAAGGAGTGGCCCCATGGAGTCCTTTAGCATTGATGTTGGCCTTGTACTCCAATAAGACTGTGGCCACCTTTTCATGTCCTCGGGCAGCTGCCCGATGCAGCGGCGTCATGTTGTCAAAATCACGGGTATCTGGTGAGAGCCCGTTCTGAAGCAGAAGACGTACAACCGTGCCGTGGCCATTCATCGTAGCTTTGTGGATGGCCGTCTCGCCCATAGACTTGATTCTCTCGAAAGCCGGGGCTGTGCCGACAGAGGCATCACAAAGCAAAAATCTGACCACCTCGATTTTCCCCCCTTCACATGCCGTTTCGAGAGCAGACATTGAATTGGGAGGTCGTTCTGCTGGATCGACGCCGAGTCGAACTAGCCGTCGCACACTTTCGACATGTCCTTCTTGGGCCGCATTGAGCAGCCTGTCATGCTGATCGGCTTCGTATCTCGCCCAGGGAATGACGTGACCATTGCGAGCTGCCAGCTCTTTCGGGGACTCTCCGTCCACATTCGCCGTGTTCCAGGCCGCCCCGGCTTCTCGGAGCAGCCTGAGCATTGCCCTGTTTCCATACTCTGCAGCCTTGGATACCGTGGAGGTCTTGCACCGGCAACGGATGTTGGGGTCGGCATCGTTCTGGAGCAGACTCTTTACTGTCTCTAGCTGTTGATGCAAAACAGCCATGTAAAGCGGCGTCCTGCCGAACTTGTCGGTTGCGTTGAGGGGAAAACGCTTCCCAAGCAAGAAACGAACGGCCTCTAGTCGACCACATTTAGCAGCGTAATGCAGAGGAGTCATTCCGCTCTCTTCTTCGACGAGGGCGATCATGTCGTTGCAGCTGTTGATGACGGCCACAAGAGCAGGGTCGTTGCCCTCTTCGATGGCTTGCTTCCAACTCATCTGGAGGCCTATTACTCGACTATGAGTGGCTTTCGAGTGAAGGTCCGAGTCCGATGGGGAAGCATTCACGGGCGACGGTGCACTTCTGACCCTGGCCATTGACCTCCCGCGGCCTTGATTCCAGCTGCGTGTCCAATGCTGATTGGTGTTGCCAAAGCTGGCGTAGCTTGGGGGCTCGTGTTTGACGGGCCGATCAAGTTCTGAATACCGCTCCTCAGCTTCCACCCTTGGCCGCCCAAGACCGCCTTCCCCGCGCCTGTGCTCAAGCGTGGCCTTGGATGCGACTTGCTTTCCTTGCTCACATACGCGGAAGCCTTCAAGATGCCCATGGACCCAACAGGCGAGCCCTCAAAGTGGGTTTGCCGCCTGAAGTCACACTTCCGTGCGTGGGAGCCTTACTCGTCCGTCGTCTTTGCGTTTGGGACTCACTCGTGTTTAGCTGATGCCGGCTCGACAGTCTCTGGCACGGGGTTTCTGGTCAATATGCCTTTGACTCGGAAATACTGCATCATGACAGCCGGTCACAACATCACGCGCCCAGGAGAGGGGAGAGCAAACAGCGTCGACGTAATTTTCCCCAATGGTTTGAAGCTCACCGCCAAGGCCGCTGAGCTGTTCGTCTCCAACGTCTACGACACGAGTCCGACGCTAAGTCACCAACATGACAGCTCCTACAGCGACTACGCTCTCATTGTGAAGAATGTAGACTGGGAAGAGGCTGACGAGGCCACACGCATGCAAGGATGCTCACTAAGCATTCTGCCAACTCGAAATACGCCGCCACATACGAGGGGCACTGTTTACGGCTACAGCAAAGGAAATGAGCTACAGACCAAGACGACTTCTCTGTTCACGAGCGGATTCCAACCCCGATACCTCGAGTACACGATGGAGACCCAGGAAGGAGTCAGTGGAGGGCCCATTTTCGTGAGCAGCGGCAATGGTGACGTGGCCATTGGTATCCAGTAATGTCCCCGGCACAGACTTTGGACAACACAGTTCCCAGGAGTCGCTAGCTAACATTGGCTCTCTTGAAGCAACTACAACGGCCGAGCAACCCGTATCACGCTTCCGGTCATGTTGGAAATGCTCAGCTGGATCAGCGACTACAGTATTGACCGGACATTCGAGGACCTCGATAGGCGGACAGTTTATCTTCAGAGCACCGGTGGCTTATCTCCCAACATCATAGCACGTCCTGGACTCGGCCCAAACGCATTCTTTAAACTCGTTCCAGTATATATCGCCAAGGAGAACTTTGAAGCCCAAGATCCCGTTTCTAAGCACGAATTTGTTTTGTTGTCCCAGAATACACCTGTCAAAGCCGACGAGTACTACTTCGTTACCGTCGTAGAGGGACAGGGAGACAGGCCTTACCGGGTTTGTCTGAGGGAGGGCAGAACACCGCAAAGGGAAAACACTCTATCCATCTGGACCACAGGCAATGCCCAAACACTAGCTCTAGCAGGCAATTCGTCTGCAATGCTTTCGATTGCGCCTGTTGAGCGCGAAGGATGCGAATGCGGTTGTATCACGCAGGATGACCTGGTTGAGATTGTCGATTTAGACCCTACGAATTTTGTCATGGCGACACCATAGCAGACATCTCAATAATAGATAAAGAGTACCCGTTGTCTCACGAAGAAAGTCAGCAGAAAGGGCATATGATGTAGAAATGGGTAGTTGTGTATTTTTCGTGTCTCCGTTCCTTTTTTTCTGCCCTAAGTCCAAGCCCCTATTTAAGGTATTAGATGAGCTGGGTTGAACGAGAAGCCAGCCCAACACGGTTCGTTAACCGTGACGATTGAGCCCACACTGCGTCAGAAGCGAGACAGGACAGCCGATAACTTTGCAAGAGCAACGTGCCGCCTCATGAAAGATGCGATCAAGTGAGCAACCGCTACGGGGCTGATTGATGTATATATTCTCCTGCGCCGAAATTATCGAACCTATGGCTACGACTCTCCTGATGACCGTTCTTTCCCTACTCCTGTTGCTGAGCTTGTAAATGTTTAGTACTCTAAAGCTGGAAAGCCCGTGCTGGACCCTCTGTTAGAAAAGAGCTTATCCCCCCCTGTGAGGAAGACTCTGTTGGATTTCCGTTGCCCGAAAGACGCGAGGGAGGGACAAGCTATGGCGGCAAAAATTGGCAAGTAGGAGAAGGGGTTTCTATCACCATTTACAGAACTCTACCGTCCTGCGAGGTAAATTTAGCTATAGCACCGTGGGTTTCAGTATAGCACTCGAGCTGGAGCGGATGTGCTAAAGACTGGCAAAATGTCCCAAAGCCGGCGATAGAAGTGTCATCCGTGCCACGGCAACGGATACTAATAGTTGACTTGTCAACAATCCGTGGATGAACCTGCTGTGACTGTTGTTGCTTCTATGTGGTTGGTGGCCCGTAGCTTAATATTAAGTATTTAAATTCCATGCACCAGTACGGGGCTCTTGGTGGCGGGGCAACATAGAATGCTCTTGAGGGCATTCCTAAATAGCTGGCAGCAGGCATTGCTGTCAGGCTGTCTGATGGAGCAGGAAAGGCAGTAGCAGGAAGGGAGTTCGGAAACGGCGCCCCTCACGGTTCCTGCTAGACTCAGCCACTCTAGGTACCCTCTAATAAATAGAGCAGCTACTGTAAGGCAACACTCGCAGGCAACTATGAGTTCTATAGATTAAGCAAATAGAGCAAGCTTAAGAACTTAGTATTGTAACTCGCCAGAATATCGAAGGAAGTAGATCCTAGAGTGTTCCCGCTATCTTCTAAATAAAGTAGGAGTGTTCCCGCTCTTTTAGGGTTTCCTAGAGCACTAATATATACGCCACTTCATTCTAAGCTTCATTCTTCAAGGCTCCTTTCCGCAACCTGCAATCGATTTACGTCTTTCTATGACCCGTTCTATGGGAAAAGGTTATCCCTAAATCTAGAGCCCGCCCCTATCGACCAATAGAATTAATATATTGCGTCGTTTTAGAAGGCTTTCGTGCCTCTCTAGTCTGCCCTACTACTTAGAGCAGCCCGCTCGTAAATGCGGCGCATTTTTTAACTAAGCCTCTTCGTCTCTATCATCGACTGGCAGCCCTTCTAGAGCAATATTATATTTGTTCACCGCGCCAAGCTAGCCAGAGTCGCGGTTCTACGTTAGCCACTACTCACATCGTTAGTTCTATGCTAGATCTGGAGCATTTATCCCCTTCATTCAACCGTCGTTGACAGCGGTCCTCGCTAATCGCTTGGTTATTAAACTAACCCTCCATGAAGAACATTTTAGCAAGTACTAGCCCTCATAGAGTATAGTCTCCGAGTAGTAGATCGAGCTCTCCTCCCTTCTACAGTCCCCGGAAATTCATCTACAAAGGTCCCATGCTTCTTAGTCGTCTTACGTAGGTAATTAAGAACAATAGTGGTTAGCTTATATGAATATTAACCCTCTAATTGCGTTATGGCAGCCAGAAAGTGCGATATATCGCGCATAGAAACTAGTGTTAAGTGGATATAACTTGAGAGTGTTTTTGCCTCCCTAGTTTCGAAGGACGACCTGATAGGTCCCAACGGCAAACGAAAACGCCTAGTTCAAACACCTCCCCGCCTCCGTCTCGGGCTGATTAGCGGGCTCTTTGTTGAGTTCGTTCCCTTTGTCCGATCGATTAATCGCTTGCATCAAGATGTGTGACTCGGCGCCGAACCCTAGCAACGAAAAGCAGAGAGATTCCTACGTAGTATCCAGCCGCCGATTAAAAATCATGCATGTTCTTCTACGCCGTGACAGAAGTCGGAGGCACTATGCAAGAGTCGCTCAGCCTGTGCTAGAAATGTCTGATGTTCGGTTCCGAGCCGAAGAAAACTGTCTCGATCTAATGCCTGAATTCCTGGTGTTTGCAACACCGGCATGGCTCTTAACAGGCATGACTCTTTATATCCTCTAATAAGTCCATCCCTTTTTGTTAGTGCATCTGGATTCCCGCCAACAGCTCCCGTCGTACCCCGAGCTTAGCTCTCTATCGCCGCGCCGATCGACGCGACTGTTACGCACCCCAGGACCTAGACCACAATCGTCCAGAGGTATGTGGCAGGAGGTTCACAGGCATTCTAAAACTGCAGGATTGCGATTTAGTAACCGGTGGAAGTTGTGTCATACTATAGAACAGCTTGGAGCTGTATGTGCTACAACTTCGCCCCGCCTGTTTCCCAACTGGTTGCCGAATAAGTGGAACTTGGCCACACACGAAGATGGATGGTCGCTAACTCGCTATGCCGCGAACCACTGGCCCAGGCCACCTTTCATGCGTAGCCGTAGGGCACGTAAAACCAATTCTCTCTGGATTACTCCGTACTCTGTCTTACAATTCTTTTCCCAACCTGGTAGGAAATCTCAGTGGAAACCGACTTATAAATAGGCAGTATTCCCCCTCGTTTCAGCCGCTCATAAAGTACAATAGTTATTCAATCGTTGCCAAAGCGCTCGTGTCAAAGCCGCCATCGAAATATCGAAAATGGCGTACTCGGGAAAATGCTTTGCAGTAACAGGTGGCGCCTCGGGAATAGGCCTTGCCACAGTCAAGCTGCTTTGGTCTCGCGGGGCTACCGTCTGTATATCGGACGTAAACGAGACGGGCCTGAAAAAGCTAGAACATGATCTGCAGGCCACCTCAGTCAGCGAGTCACAGAGCTTTTCAACCGCCACAGTTGACGTTAGAATTCCCGACCAAGTTGATGCGTGGATTGCTGGTATTGTCGCGCAATATGGCAAACTTGATGGCGCAGCAAACGTGGCCGGCGCGCCTGATGCCGGTGGCCTTTTGGCGGAGAAGTCGGACGACGACTTCGACTTCAGCATTGGCTTGAACCTGAGAGGTGTTTTCAACTGCATGCGAGCCGAACTCAAAAGCATGGGCAGGGGCGCCAGCATCGTCAATGTCAGCTCCGCCGTCATCTGTAGGAGTGTGCCTGGCTATAGCCTTTACTCGGCTGCCAAGAGTGGTGTGAATGCGTTGACCAAGTGCGCGGCCAAGGAATACGGTCCGGTGGGCGTCAGGGTGAACTCGGTGTGCCCAGGAATAACCCGCACTCCAATACTCGACGTGGCAAAATTGAGGCCAGTTGTCCAGCCTCAGATCGACGCTACAGCGCTGGGACGATGGGCTGAACCCGAAGAGATGGCACGTACCATTGCATTCTTGCTCAGTGATGAGGCCAGTTTCCAGTCAGGCTCTGTCGTCCTTGTTGATGGGGGTTTCTGTTGTTAGTTATCTCAAGATGGTGCTTGTGCCGAGGAGACAAAGTCTCGAGCAGAATAGTCAGCCGAGTTTCCGTTGGCGATGCTATGCTTGCCATTCACTCATAGAGCAATAAAATGCTTGCCGTAGACAAGTTCCTACAGGGATTCCACGCGTTGGTGCAGTGGGCAAGAAACGGCAACACAGTCCCTCACTGCATATTCAGCCCGAATGAGCCCGTGATTTGGCATGGCAGACTTTGAATGGAGTTGTTGCTAGTTACCAAGTAGAAGCTCGGGTTTAGCACGTATTAGTTAGCTACCTAGGTACGAACATAGAGCTATTTTTGTGCGATATTGGTGCCAAAGCTCGAAGCCAAAACAACCAAACGGCAAGGACCACTAGAAGGAAGGCAAAATGCCACCATACAAGTGAGAGGTCACTATTTTACAAAGGCCACTACAAAGAGCACTACAAAGAGCGCTGCAAAAGAGCGCTGCAAACGAGCGGCGCAAACGAGCGGCTATAAAGGTAGGCATGGCTTATAGACGCGCTCGTCCATGTTGCATCTTTGAGGCCGCAGAGAAGACCCCAATCCTCTTTGCGCAGCTCAAACGCAACAGCAAACGCCAGCCCCAAACCGACTTTCATCTCACCCATTCACCATGGCGAGGCCGCAGACTCGAAGGCGCCAGTGCGCAGACTCTCCTCCCGCAAAAAGAGCACGCCAGGGCAACTTCTCGCCTGCATTCTGGGATAACTTGTCCAAGATTTGGCTCACACGGCGTGCCTTGAGAGAACTCGACCGTCGGAACAGCACGCGTCCTCGTCCAGAATTGACAACGCCCGAGGTGCGCCCTATAAACCTCGCTCGTCTCGCGAGACACGGCGGCCCAGATTTTTGCCATCTTCGAGGGGTAGGACGGACAGCTCGTTGCGGCGGCCAGCGACTAACTGCGTAACAGTATCCTGAACCGGAAGCCGCCATGAGCTTGTGGCAATGGACCCAGCCGACGAGCGGTCCCCCCCGGGCCAGAAGGACATCGCTATACGACGCTGATTTCGAACAGCATCTCGCCGACCACAACATCTACACCCCATTCTACGACTTCTCCGATGGCCGTTCACCCCTCAAACCAGCCAATCTAGAAGAAACTCTCCTGCTGCTCACGAATCATCGACCATCGCTTTCACTGTCACGGTTTACAGAGTCCGACTTTGTCGACTTTCAACGCAAGGACAATGCGACGTCGGAAAGCACCATCATACGCAACGTAATCCCAATCATTACCGGCAACGCCGACATTCCGAACGAGAGCAACCTCCCATTCACCAACCTCGAGTCACTAACGGACGAAGACACTGCCAAAGCAGTACCCGACTTCTTCGACGGAGCTCGACCTGGTGATATCGACACGAGAGTTAGAGAGGATCTGAATAACCTGATTCGGCCGACAAAGCATGCGCTCGTTCCCGTTGTACCAAACTTCTTCCTCGAGGTCAAGCCTCTGACTGGGAGGGCAGACGTGGCCCGGAAGCAAGCGTGTTACGATGGAGCACACGGAGCCAGGGCCATGCACGCCCTGCAAAATTACGGAGAGACTGAGCCGACATACGACGGAAAGGCCTACGCCTACAGCGCGATTTACCATGCCGGCATCAGCATTCTTCAACTCTTCGCGCACCATGTCGTGGAGCCGACTACAGCCGGGGGATATCCAGAGTACCGCATGGCTCAACTAAGGTCATTTAGTATGGCGGATACCCGTGAGACCTTTGTCCAAGGAGCCGCCGTATTTAGGAACGCTAGAGACTTGGCTAAACGACATCGGGATGGCTTCATCCAGTCTGCAAACGCTAGAGCAGCTCGGGCGACGGCAATGGTTGGAGAGGAGCGCCAAGAGATATCAGCCTCTCACCAAGCGCACGGATTTCCTCATCGCCCCGACGACAGTGCCTGGCAAAATTCCCATGACGCGCTCCAGCAACACATTGCCGACGGTAGCGACCAGGCTTCTCAAGGAGACGCTGAGCCGGTCACCGAGGACGATTCGCAGAACCCGAGCCAGGAATAGGCCGTCGTGGACGGCGATGGATGACCCGTCAATGAGCCTTGCGTCCAGCCGGGATCACGTCCCCGGACACCCAGCAGATGCGCTATAAGGGTTCCAGGCAATCGCTCAGTCCGTCGGACGGTTCCAGGAGGAGTCATTCGTCCAAGCCTCGGAACCGAACGCAGCCCCCAGTCGGGACGGGCGTTGGGAGCGAGCGACGAAGCCAACAAAGGCCGTCGACACCGGTAGGAGGTGGGACTCGTCGGTGCGACTAGATGGATGGATGGATGGATGTCGAGCTTGTTTTTGTTTGGCTGATAGTGATAGCCTAATACCTTTGTCTTGTTCGAGACTCCGTCTGTCTTATGCCGAGCATTGCGACATGTGTAGTGAGATTATTGCGTCGCCCGCCAGGTGGGCACATCCACCGAGGCACACCGCCCACAGGCACACCACCCACCACCCATCACCCACCACCCATCACCCACTCTCTCTTCATCTCTCTTCGCGGGGCGCCCAAAAATGGGCCCTTACTTCCACCACGGCATCTCGTCCTCGCCGCGCCGGTCGCAATGCCGGTACCGTCTCCCTCGTCCCACGGCTCTGGTCGCCAGCTGCTCACTGACGCGTCTAGTTGATCGTCGTCACCGGCCTCCCCACGTCGGGCAAGACGACGCGCGCCAAGCAGCTGCACGACTACCTCGCCGCGCGCATCGACGACGCCAAGCAGCGCCTGCACCTCGTCTCGGACGACTCCCTCTCCATCTCGCGGGCCGTCTACGACCTCTCGCCCGACAAGGTGCCCGCCCACACGCGCTCGGCCAATGCGTCGGAAAAGGACGCCCGCGCCGCCGTCTATGGCGCCGTGAAGCGCGTGCTGTCGGACCGCGACTTTGTCATCCTCGACGGGCCCAACTACATCAAGGGCTGGCGCTACCAGCTGCACTGCGAGGCCAAGGCGGTGCGCACCCCGAGCTGCATCCTGCAGATTGGCTGCTCTCCCGAGACCGCCCGCCGCGTCAACCAGGAGCGCCTGCGCGACTGCCCCGACGAAGCCTACGAGCCCGCCAACTGGGACAATCTCGTCTTCCGCTACGAGGAGCCCAACCCCATGGCCCGCTGGGACAGCCCCCTCTTCACCCTCATCTGGGACGACGACGCGGCGCAGACGCGCAAGACCTTTGACGCCCTGTGGGAGGCCCTCGCCGGCGACGGGCGACCAGCCGTGCGCCCCAACCAGGCCACGGCCCCGCGCGGCCGCGACGCCGGCGGCGACTACCTGTACGTCCTCGACCGCGAGACGCAGGACATTGTCAGGCGCATCCTCCGTCACCAGGCCGACGCCGCCGACACCGCCGAGGTCAAGGTGCCGCGGAGCGGGGGCCAGGAGGAGCTGGTCGTCGAGCTGCCGCCGGGCAAGACGCTGGGCCTGCCGCAGCTGCAGAGGCTCAGGCGGGCCTTTGTCGGGCTCAACAGGGGGGGCATCGGGCTGGAGTCTGTGGGCAACATGACCTCGGACGGGCTGCGGGAGATGTTTGTGCGCTATCTCAACGATGCGTTTGAAAAGGACGAGTAGCGCCAGAGATGCTGCGTTGACACGAGGGAGAAGAAGTGCTACGGGTAACTCCCAGTACTCGGAAGACCTGGTCTTGCAGCTCGGGCAGGCGATGAAGGATTACATGCCACCGGGATCCAAAGGCTTGAACTATTGTATTGTCACGAAGGCACGTACTCCGTACAAGGAGGTGCTTCTTGCCAGGACACAAAGCCACCATGCATCAGACTCGGATGCTCACAACACTGGAGCTACGCTGGAGCTACGCTGGAGCTAGTCAGCACGGCACGCACAAACGAAGCAAGACACGAACAAAGGATAATTACAGTAGGGTACAGAACAAGGACACAACAAAGCTGCAGTGATTACCTTATTAGGTACAGTATGTACATACTTGACGTTTACCGCGTTGCCTGGACAGTTACAACATGTACAACGCCTGTAAGAGTGGGGCTCGCCATTCTGCTAATGCAGGTGGGCCAGACAGAGTGCGCGTCTGATGGCTGCCTGCTCGCTGTACTCCGTAACGGAGAGACAGTGCCAGAACATTATGTAAGTTTGCCAGTGATCGCGTCAGCCATAGTGGAAAGCCAAAGAAGCTTCCAGCGCTGGTTTTGGCGCCCCCAGGCCCCAGGTGGCCGCCCAGTGGCTGCTTGCGGGGACCACCGGAGCTCTCCAGCAGCTGCATCATACATGTTCCGCTCCGCCCGGCCCAGCTGGTAGTATCATTCATTGGTCCAGTCGGCACCTCCGCCGTCCTCAACTCATCACCGGCCTCGTCAGTCACGACGCATCAAGCTCAACTTCTTCTCCCCATCCCATCTCCATCCCCCCTTCCCAGCGCCGCACAAAAACCTTGCCGCTCTCCCTCTCCCTCTTTATCTCGGCTGGCTTCCGTTTTCCCCCCAGAGGAATCGCAGCCAGCGCCTCTCTCGAGCTGCCCTTTTTTACCCGCTGTTTATCGGCCACGTTTGCAACCTTTGGACCCGAATAGCAGCTCGCCAAAGCAGCCCACGACGAGATGGCTCCCCAGCCCGATGACCACAAGACCAAGGTCAACTTGACGTACGTTTCGGGTGCTCCCCGCCCACGCGACGCTGCTTCATTGCAGTCGGAGAGATGCTGACCTGGCCACAGCGACCCCTCTGGTGCAGAGATCAAGAATGTTCGTTTCCCGACCCGACGCCTTGTGCTTCGCCGCTAACAATCGCCCAGGAGGACGACACCGCGACCGCGATTCTCAAGAAGAAGAAGAAGCCCAACCAGCTCATGTAGGTTAAATTCCGCCTCGACGAGTCCTCTTCTAATCGCCCCCAGGGTTACCGATGCCGTCAACGATGACAACAGCATCATCGCCCTGTCAGAGGCCACCATGGACAACCTCCAGCTCTTCCGAGGCGACACCGTCCTCGTCCGCGGCAAGAAGAGAAAGGACACGGTTCTCATCGTCCTCGCCGACGAGAGCCTCGACGACGGTAGCGCCAGGATCAACCGCGTCGTTCGCCACAACCTCCGCGTCAAGCACGGCGATATGATCACCATCCACCCCTGCCCAGACATTAAATACGTGAGTTTCTACTCTCCCGATTCTGCACAAGCATGGTACTGACGCTGCACAGGCCAAGAGAATCGCCGTTCTGCCCATTGCCGACACCATCGAGGGCCTCACTGGCTCCCTGTTTGACGTCTTCCTCTCCCCCTACTTCCTCGAGGCTTACCGGCCGGTTCGCCAAGGTGATCTCTTCCTCGTCCGTGGTGGCATGCGGCAAGTCGAGTTCAAGGTGGTCGACGTCGACCCCCCCGAGTACGGCATCGTCGCCCAAGACACCGTCATCCACTGCGAGGGTGAGCCCATCCAGCGTGACGAGGAGGAGAACAACCTGAACGAGGTCGGATACGACGACATTGGTGGCTGCCGCAAGCAGATGGCTCAGATCCGTGAAATGGTAGAGCTTCCTCTGCGCCACCCCCAGCTCTTCAAGTCCATTGGAATCAAGCCTCCCCGCGGCGTCTTGCTTTACGGCCCACCCGGTACCGGCAAGACCCTGATGGCCAGGGCTGTTGCCAACGAGACAGGCGCCTTCTTCTTCCTCATCAACGGCCCCGAAATCATGTCCAAGATGGCTGGTGAGTCCGAGTCGAATCTGCGCAAGGCGTTTGAGGAGGCCGAGAAAAACTCCCCCGCCATCATCTTCATCGACGAGATCGACTCCATCGCGCCCAAGCGAGAAAAGACAAACGGCGAGGTCGAGAGGCGTGTCGTCTCTCAGCTCCTGACGCTCATGGACGGGATGAAGGCCCGCTCCAACGTTGTCGTCATGGCCGCCACGAACCGGCCCAACTCCATCGACCCGGCCCTGCGACGATTCGGCCGTTTCGACCGTGAGGTGGATATTGGCATCCCCGACCCGACCGGCAGACTCGAGATTCTCCAGATCCACACCAAGAACATGAAGCTTGGTGACGACGTGGACCTGGAGCAGATTGCCGCCGAGACCCACGGCTACGTAGGTTCCGATGTTGCCGCTCTGTGCTCCGAGGCTGCCATGCAGCAGATCCGTGAGAAGATGGACCTCATCGACCTCGACGAAGACACCATCGACGCCGAGGTCCTCGACTCCCTGGGCGTCACCATGGAAAACTTCCGCTTCGCCCTTGGCGTTTCCAACCCATCCGCCCTGCGCGAGGTCGCCGTTGTCGAGGTGCCCAACGTTCGCTGGGAGGACATTGGTGGCCTCGAGGGCGTCAAGCAGGACCTCAGAGAGAGCGTCCAGTACCCCGTCGATCACCCCGAAATGTTCCTCAAGTTTGGCCTCTCCCCTTCGCGGGGTGTCCTGTTTTATGGTCCTCCTGGTACCGGTAAAACCATGTTGGCCAAGGCCGTCGCCAACGAGTGCGCCGCCAACTTCATCTCGGTCAAGGGTCCGGAACTGCTCAGCATGTGGTTCGGCGAGTCGGAAAGCAACATTCGCGACATTTTCGACAAGGCTCGCGCAGCTGCTCCTTGCGTCGTCTTCCTCGACGAGCTCGACTCCATTGCCAAGGCTCGTGGCGGTTCCGTTGGCGATGCCGGTGGTGCTTCGGACCGTGTCGTCAACCAGCTCCTGACTGGTAAGCAAGATCTCCCATGATTACTCCCATGATTCCTGGCATCTGACTGACTGTTTCAGAAATGGATGGCATGACCTCAAAGAAGAACGTCTTCGTCATCGGCGCCACCAACAGACCCGAGCAGCTCGACCCCGCCCTGTGCCGTCCTGGTCGCCTGGACTCGCTCATCTACGTGCCTCTGCCCGACGAGCCCGGCCGCCTGGGCATTCTCAAGGCCCAGCTGCGCAAGACGCCTGTGGCTTCCGACGTTGACCTGGGCTTCATTGCCAGCAAGACGCACGGCTTCTCTGGTGCCGATCTTGGCTTCATCACGCAGCGCGCCGTCAAGATTGCCATCAAAGAGGCAATCACGTCCGACATTGAACGCACCAAGGCCCGCGAGGCAGCTGGCGACGACACGGCCATGGACGAGGACGTCGAAGACCCCGTGCCCGAGCTGACCAAGGCTCATTTCGAGGAGGCCATGCAGATGGCCCGCAAATCGGTGACGGACGTTGAGATTCGTCGCTACGAGGCTTTTGCCCAGCAGATGAAAAACGCCGGCCCCGGTGCCTTCTTTAAATTCCCCGAGGCCGGAGCCGACGGTCAATCTGGCGGCGGCGCCGGTAACGGGTTTGGTGATGCCGGCAACGACGATGATCTCTACGACTAGGCGAGTGCCAAGCCCTACGGCGCGACGCTGCTGGTCCATGTATTCTAGGTCCCTTCGTTCGTACATCTGCATCGCTGGCCGCACGGCTCGTGGAAAGGATCCATCTTTACCCCTAACGCTTTGCTGTGTCTGCTATGCTTTGGACTCGGGAGTTGGTAGAAACGGTAGACTGGGCGGCAGGAAGAATGATTGGGGCAGAACCCGACACGCCAGACGTCTGCCGCTCGGCACGCCACGGCTGTCCGTCGATGGACCGTGTCGGGGGGCTCTGATAAACCAAGCTTGTTGGTAATTGACGGTTCCGGGCCCAGGCGAGGGGGGGGACAGGTGATCCTTGGAGGCTTGATAGACACAATTTGACTGCTGCACTGAAAGGAATGGCGACATGTGAACAGTTGTAGGACGAGTGATGGACATGACATGAAGAGCGTTCTCTCCACCCGTGGCATATTTGGAGAGCGCACATCTTACGAAGCCTTCAGCTTGGCCCTTTCCTTTGCGCAAGGCGTAGGTATGGGGGGTGATTGGTTGATTGTCATTACTTTATACAAGCTTTGGTAGTTCATGTCCATGTTGTTCTGGGGCACTCGAGACGTGGACTGCAGCCGCACCCCGGCGTCTCGCTCCCAGTGCCTCGTGCGAGCCCCCCGGCTCACGAGTGAAATGCCCCGACGAGCCCAGATCCAGATCCTGCGGCTGGCTGCTCCCACACCGCCCCCGTGTTGCGTCGTGCCACACGTTTCTCCCCCCCTCTCCTTCGCCCCTTGGCCTTATCCTCGCTCCGTCACCAGGCTTCATATTCCCTCTCCCGTCCGGAGCCCCTTGAATCGAAAATATATCCCCGTTTCTGGAGTCAAAACTCGAGGCCTTCGACACGGCGTCATGCCTCCTCCCGAGTGCCGACGGGGCGCCGACAGCCGGGTGATTCCACCGGGCAGCGGCAGCCGGATTCAAGAGCCATCGCCAATCTCGCAGACGGCCTCGAGGCTCTCCCTGGTAACGCGGAGGGCCTCCTCGACGACGGACTCGGGCAGGGCGAGGCCGGGCGACTCGGAGGCGCCGTTAAGCTTCTTGCTGTCGCCATTGGGCGTCTTGCTGCCGCCGCCGCCGTTCTTGTTGGAGGAGGAGGAGGGAGAGTCGGCGCGGACGTCGTCGAGGACGCGGCGGAGGAGGGCCGAGTAGGTGGTGGCCTCGCCGGAGCGCAGGAGGGAGAGGGCGTGGGAGTGGATGGTGGTGGGCCAGTTGGAGGAGTCGGAGTTGAGGGCGTGAAGGAGCGCTTCGTGGATTCTAGGATGGGGGAGAGAGGAAAAGATCAGTCAGTTCAAGGAACACAAAGGTGGCCTTGCATCTCTCCGGCTTCAAGGGGGATGATGCGCAGCGGCGGAGCGCAACATGGCGGGACAGGCATGAGCCGAGTGAAGCAAAGGGAGATGGGGGCAGAAGCGGAAAAGGTAGTGAGGCGCAATGGCAAAGAAGACGCACTTTGTGATGTGGCCGTCACGCAGCAGGACCGTATTGATCTGCGACCGCATGTCCGGGTCGAGCGTGGCAGGGGTATAGTTTGCAGCCGACGCGGGCACCTTGACCGGCGTCGACGGTTTCTGAGCCATGATGGCGAGGCTCTGGCGCCGAGGAGGGCGGGGCCAGAACGGCCGCGTAATCAGCTCAGCCTCGTCGTCGTCAACGGGGGAGGGAGAGGCCCGCGAAACAACAGCCTGTCCGCCGGTGGGAGGGGGGGGTTCGTTCGTCAGAGTCGAGGCGCCCCGTCGCCGGCGTTGTTTGCTAGCGAGACCGTCCGGCAGCGTCGCAAAGCAGACTTGGTGTCGAGAGACGCGACTGATTGCAGGCTGCGAGAAGAAAGAAAGAATCTCGTCAGCACATGTCTCGTCCTTTGCTGTTGGCTGCTTCGACCGAGCTTCGCGTCACCCGCCCTTGATTGAAGAGAAAGACAAGAAAAGGGCGAGAGAGAAGCCACCCCAGTAAAGTACTTACCCCCAGCGACCAATTCGAAACTTGCCTTTCAGCAACGACAAGGCCAGAGAAGGGGAAACGACAACGAGGAGGGCAAGGAAGGGGGAGGGAGGGGAGAGAAAGGGTGAAGAGAAAGGGAAGCCCTGAGCGATGCCAATGCCGAGGAGCCAGTTGCGGCCCGGGGAGGATGGGGATGCCCGGCACGGATGCAACTCTGTGAAGCTTGCCCTTGGGGAAGACGTCGGGACGAGGGCGAGGCTGACGTTGGCAGCTGGAATTCGCCCGGGGGCTGCGGGCGACGGCAAGGCTGAGAGAGGGCGTGTCCTGAAGTTGGGCGCCGTGGATCGGAAAGAGCGCTGATTGGGCGGCTTCTGTCGGGCACGTCACGTAAATCTCACCTACCCTGGAGCGCCATCGAGATTCCATCTCGTGCCTCGTCCCGGCCGACGACGACGCACCACCATCCACCAACGCAGCGCGCTCCCGTCGCCGAAATCCCGAGCCCCCGGGCCGTGCCGCGCACCAGCTCCGGCGTCGGCCCCAACCGCGCGCCCGAGCCTGTGCATGTGTGTATGCGTTGGCATGATCCTGACCTCCTCACCGACATGTCACTCGTGGTCGCTTCCACGGCGCGCGGCAGCCCGACGTCCAGCCCCCAGGATGCCCTCGACCTGGCAACCCCCCCGGAGAGCCACCCAACCGACATGCCTTACTGTTCTGAGCATTGTTAGGCCCGTGGAGCGTGCGCACACTGCCATGCATACGATACTTTTTCAGCAACGTAAGCTCCTCCTGGGCGGTGAAAGACGCGGGCAAAACACACGCACGCGCCAGAACCGACAAAAAGCAAACCGAAAAAGCACTTCTCCCGACGTCGATCCCAGCTCCACGCCTTCTCATCCTGCTTCCACCCCGCGTCGTGATGTTGACCGCTCTGCCATGCAGCCGCACCGTCACCGAGCTCGGTTGCGAATCCCCTTCGAGGCCTGAGCGGGGTGGACGCATACACATGATATACAACAGGGGGTGGTTGTTAGGTCTGGCATGCGCCAAGTAAACTGGCATCTTGCTTATCCTCTCCCGAGGTCCGTGTCTTCGTAGGTACTCGATATGAGAATCTAGACTCTTGTTGGTGTGAATAACGGACTATCGTCCTCCAACAGAAGAAGCAACAAAGAATAATTGTTCCAGGATAAAAGAGGCCCTTGCCGCCCTGCAGGGACCCGGGAGTCGTGGGATACCCGGACTAGGACGCTTGCTCCCTTATCGTTCGTCGCAGTTTGATGTCCTTGAAGAGGGCTTGAACTCTGCAGCCGGCAACACCACCCGCTGTACGCGAGTGCTCACGCGCAATGGGAGCAACACACTCATTTGGGTTTGTGAGGTGGCACCTCCGAGGCGCCGCTGCTGGCCATGACGTGCACCTTGGGCCTCGTCCAGGGACATTTGGTATGCCGTCGTCCTCAGTTGGCAAGGCGGCGCTGGCCTGTCTCTACCCGACCACCGAGAGCGCCAGTCCGCATATGCCACGAGCCAGCCTTACCCAAGTTCATCCTGGACGATACGTGGCCGTCGCCGACGCCATCATTTGTCTGCCAGCCCACCTGCTCCTGCGCGTGACGTCTATGCCAGCCTCTCCATGCACGCTTCTCGTCGCCTCCTCCAAGCTGGACATGGGACCCATCTCCTCGGGCCCGAACCCCGGAGCCCCGAAGCTTGTCTGAGCGGGAGACCCAATGTATGTAGCCGTACCAAATCGGGCTTGAAAGGGGGGGAGAGCGTGCAGGGCCAATCCTAGTCAGATGCCTCATGAGAAACGTACGAACAAGAGGCTGGTGAATGATTGTCCTGTCCACCGGTCAAACTCGCAACTCCAACTCACGAGCTTCGCATAGATAAGAGACAAGAGACGACTCGCCCTGGGGAGCCAGCCATCAGATGGTATTCAGCTGCGACTGGCGAGACGGGCCAACAGACAAGCCCACGTCTGAGGGGCAGCGGGCGATCCCAATGGGCCTCGCACTGCACCCCTGAGGCGTCAGCGAACAGTCCAAAGTCGCGTGCCGAGCCTCAGTGTTTCCAAGGGCTTTCAAACGTCGGCCTCGGGCCATGCAAGGCTGCGCCTCTCAAGTCCGGGAGGCTTCACTTGCACGACGCCCAAAGGGAACAGTATCGTGGCTGCAGCCGGTGTGCTCCCGGCCTGGCCAAGATTTCCCAGATCGCCGTGTAACTCGGCGGCAGCCCTTGGACGAAACGCAGCTGCCCGTAGACTCGTCCATTGTCAGGCCACGCGGGCGCCGCGAGCCCTCTATACATGCATTCGCTCCTAAGTTTCCGAGGCCCGGACAAGACGTGTAAGCACATTGTTCCAGCCGGTGCGGCTTGGGCCAGCCTCGAGCCGCGAGGGCGCGTCTGTCATCGGCTCGTCCCCGGAAGCACGGGGCTGAGCAGGTAAGAAGCATCCACCGTGCAGTCGACCAGCCACTTGGATGTGGGATTGCCCTCTATTGACTGCCGGAGCCGATGCTCCCGCCGGCGAAGGCGTCCCAGCATCACGAGTGGGGCTCGACGCAGGGCGCCTGGATACTGACCTTGACTATTTGGCCGCTAACAACGGATCAAGATGGTACGATGGGCTTTCAACTTGGGATGCCCGAGCTGAAGACCGAGGGCCGCCGGCTGAACAGACAGGCCAGCTCGGAAGGACTCAGCCAGCGGAGCACCACTCGCGTATCACGTCAACAGGTTCGACGTCTTGTCCAGAAGGGCTATGCTACACCGCGTGTCATCGGCGTGAGCCTGTCACCCAAGGAGCACTGAACTGGTAGGAGCAACCGTCCATTGTCAGCAAAACCACGGGCCAAGCTGCCGATTCAACGAAGGACAATGGCCTTCAAATAGCATAGCTGCCGCCCCCTTGCTCACACACATACATGCAGTAATCATATGTGCTGCACGCACTTGCACAGCACTGCACAGCATGTTGGCAAGGTGGAGTCGGAGAGCCCTGGCCCAGCAAGAAGTCACCAATTACGCTGAAAGGCGTAGATTGGGACGGGCCAGCATGTCTTGTTGGCCTTCCGTGCATCGCCGTGACTCGGCTTGCGGCGCCCGCAATGGTCACCGACCGACGCAGGTGCAGGGCGGTGACATAGAGGGCGCAACAGAGGCAGGAGGGGAGGCAAGGAGTGCCCTAGTGAGGAGCTGAAGCATCCAGGCATGCAGCACGTGGGATCTGAGACCGCAATCGTGGCTGGAGTCGGTGGGCTTATTGTTACAACCTGCAGGAAACACGCCGGAAACCCAATTGGAGCGATCCAGCCTGGCCTGCCAGACAGCGTGGGAACTCGTCGATGGACCACCAGCAGCGTTGCCGCTCGATGCCATGGTGAGCGATTGAGCAATGAGGAACAGGAAGGCCGCCTGGAGACCGTGGCAAGAAAGGAGGGTGTCGACTGCCACGGCTACACAGAAAGGGCATAGCCGTGAGGGGACTACTCGAGGCCTTGCCCGGCCGCGCATCCGGTGACGCGAGAGCCAGGTATGCCAAAGAAGAAAGGCCCGAGGGCGGCACGAAACCTGGAAGTGAGGCGTTCAAAGGTGGGGAACGGGATCCGGAAGGGAGTGCCGTCAGGACCGGGGCGGTCCAAGGACAATGATATCCGCATTGTTGGCACATTATCCCTCAACAGATAGGGTGAGCCGCCCATGACGGCGCACTGGCTGTCCAGGCAAGGCGTCGGGCGGCGTCGGGCCCCTCGGGTTCCCTTTGAGCGAGGCAATTCGCACGGAGTTGTGTCTGCGTGGTGTGTTGCAGCATCGAACAAAAGGGCGCCTGTTGCTTTTTGCCAGGTTATTATTTGTAAGACCCCTGCAGAGTAACGGTGACCCCTGCCGGCCGAGACACTGATAAGTAGGTAGCGAGCAGAGACGCCAACGGTCATCCGAAATCCAGGTTGCTGGACGCTGCAGAAGGTCGTACAGAAACTCCGGCAGTCTTTGGCTGTGGCACCTGAAGCCCCGGCTACAATACACGATGCTGCGGCGTACAGGGTGACACGCCGACATGGTTTGTCTCGGAGATGAGGCCCCTGGGGCCGGCGATGTTTGTTCCACGGCAAGCAATCGACTGCAAAGCATGCGGAGCGTGGATGCCGGGAGAGCTTCGCCGGGCCACAGCCAGACATGACGTCGATGCTGATGTTTCTCCGATACCTCAAGGGCGAGTCTCGCATCCGCCTTTGCCAATGCCACGGGGGCCAGTCGTAGCGTATAAGGACTGTAAGACAGCTGGGCTGTGTCGTGCGAAAACCACCGGGGAAAGGGGATGAGCGTGCCTCGTCTCGACTGCAAACTTTGGGCTCCAAGCCTGTGGCTGCCCTGGCCGGCAACGCCCGGCCGAATACCCGCGTAGGGCCGGCGAGGGCGAAGAGGGAGGTGAGAAGTGAGGGCGACGTGCGGGAGCGATGCCGAGCTAGCAATGCTCGACGGACGACGGTGCGCTGATGCCGTGGTGCTTGTACTTGGTGCCCTTGGGCGTGCTGCGTGTGTGTGGCCGGGGCTGCTGTACTTTGACAGGCGGTGAAGAGACGGCGGCGAAGGAGGGAGGATTTGGCGGCGAGGACGACGAGGGGAGGATTGGGGGGGCGGTGCTTGCTGAGGGAGTCGTCGGATTGCTGCACGAGGTACAGCACGAGGTACAGCACGGGGTACAGCACGGGGTACAGCACAGGGTAGTTACAGCACGGGGTACTTGGTGCTTGGTAAATTGGCATGGCCAGATTGCCGGATAACGGCCCGTGGGCGCACCTTCCTTAGGCAAAAAGAGAGGTCTATCGTCAGCTTATTCACGAGGCAGAGCGTGTTGACAACTAAGGCAGGCAGGTAGGGTTCCAGGTTGTTGCCGGCGACAGACAGAACAGACGCTGTAGCACCAAAAGCAACAAATGCCGTCGACAGGTCGTTGATTTTTACTTTTGGAGACGGCGAGGAGGAAATGCACCACGGGAAACTGTCGAGGCTCAAGGCCATGTTGTCTCTTCTCTCGCTGTGGCGTTTCCGGGGAAGAACAAGGTGCATGCAGAAGACTGCTGGACTGCTGGACTGCTGGACTGCTGCATGGCCCATCAAGCAAAGCTACCACCACCGGACCACGTCCAATGGAAGGCGCCTCTAGCAGGACCGACGAGACGTGTCTTGGCAGGCAGGGTACAGTACATTGAAATGCCCGGAGGACACTTTTCAGTCTCCAACTGACTACGCAGCAGGTGTCGTGGAAGCCGGCCGGTGTCTAATAATAGCAGCCATGAAACTTCCAACTCGTCCCAAGTGTCTTGGAGCAGGGAGCGCTTCAGTACGTGCCGAGTGCTTGGATTCCTCCGTGCTTTTGGCCACGCCCCAACATCATCCAAGCTGCACCTGCTGGCTGCACCTGCTGCACCTGCTGTACTGTAGTCGTTGAAAGTCGCCGGGCCCAATTGTGGCCTGTCCCGCAACTTGCCGGCGTCACGATGACGAGCCTAGCTCTCAGGGAGCCACCATTCAAATGAGACGATGAGTTTGCGAGTTGGAGGTCCTCCCTCCATGCCCCTGGGACGACGCAACATGCAACATGCAACATGCAACATGCACTATTCCGGCGTCCACCCCACGCTTATTAAACTGCATACGGACCAACCTGACTGACATGCACGTCTTGCAGAGCACCTGCAAACGCGCCAACAGCCTGATGCACTCGCTCGCTACGGGCTTGATACACAAGTATGCACGAGATCGGGTAGTTTGTCTGTTGGACAGTTTGCCATGCCGAACGTTGTCGGTCTCGATCTCGTCTCGTTGCTTGTACATACAGCATGTCCCGAGTACAGACATTGGTGGGGGGGCATCTGCAACCCCTGCACAGCCCACAGTCATCGACCACCCCCCCTCCTCCCGGTTGGCCGGGGGTCCCGGCACACGCACCAACTGTGGCTGTTGAGTGGCCCCCGAGGCAACCGTGCTGCAGGGTTGGCCCAGACTCTTGGGTCGCCGTGGTACAAACTGTGAGCAAACACAGGGGACGAGATTCGAGATCTCGCTCGACTTGGCGTGGTACCCTTGCATGCTGTCTCTTGTCGCTGTGCGGAGCAGCAGGCGCTGCTCTGTACTCGGGCATGCGCGGAGGGAACATTGGTGTACTTGCACCCCGGCCTCGGACGACGGTCCGGCGGCGGCCGGCTTAGTTATGCCTTTTCGGGGCAATCCCAGGCGTGGTCTATCGACGGGGCTACCTAATTACCTGGGTAGGCCTGCATCTGGAGTGCGGCTTTGCAGGTTGTGCGGAGTACGGAGTGCGGAGTACGTACAGAACAGACAGTGCCTAGGTACCTAGGTAGATACCTAGGATCCATGTACCACCACCCGATGGGCCCCCTTACCCGCCCTACACATGCGCATGCAAATGAAGGTGACGACGGCCTTTGCTGCCAACCGCCAGCTCGCCAACCCCATCTCCCTCCTTTCTTGCTCTTACTGTACAGAACAGGCAATTACACGCCGACGTTAGTAATCTCGCCGCATCAAACGGCCTCTCTGCTTTCTGGTTGGCCAACAAAGCAGCCCTCGTAGCCAATGCCGGGGCGCCGTTTGTCAGCTGCCTCGCAAGCCAGTATCGAGTGCCCGTGAGTGGGGCGCAGATCTCTACTCGTAGCCAATGCCGAGGCGCCGTTTGTCAGCTACTTGGCAAGCAAGTAGCGAGGGCACGTGAGTGGGGCGCAGATTTGACGTGCAACTGCACAAGTTGACAAGCATCAAGACGTCTGGCATGCTGCTCGTCGTCGTCGTCGCCGATCGCGGGCTGTCTTGTACCTGAAAATCGGACTTGCAAGGTCGGCGTCTCGTCCAAAGGCGAAGCTGGGCCTACATGGCGGGCCAGAGCCAAACGCCACAGTGGTTGATGGGATGGAGTATTTAGAAGTCGGCTCCTCCCCTCCCACCATTCATTCGCCCCCCCCACGATTCCGGTTCGTCGTTAGAGCCCACTTCCTATCCGCCTCTATCTTTGGCCTCGGCCTCTGTCTTGCCGGGCGCGATCCCTTGTCGTGCCTCGTCTCCCTTGGAGGTTGGTCGTAAGTGGCAACCCGGCGAGTCTCCGCCCCACCACCATCTCTCCACTATCTATAGATGAGATGGTTTTCGTCGCCTCGTGCCCGCTAAGCCGGCCGTGTTGACCTTGTCTGTCTGTAGCTGTCTCAGTGCACGCTCGCATCAGCCGCCGGCACGAGGCCTCTGCTTTATTTCTCGGTGAATCGTGACACAGGCACGCGCGCGCTTGCTCGCACTACCTGCGCACTACTCCGTACGTTTGTTCGCACTACAAAATAAAGAAGAGTACGCACGCACGCACGCACGCACGACGCAAAAGACAAGAGACACACACCCGCCTACGCACACTCCCTCTTTGTCACGAGGAAGCACCCTCTGCCACGGCGCCGGCAACGACACCACCACACACATCCCCCACTGCCGTCGACGAGCAGCAAATCTCCCCCTACGTACCCACTCGGCCCCCGTATCTGCTGTCTGGCCTGTGAGCCTCGCGGGCGGTACTTTGAGACGCAGCAAACACGACTGCTGCGTCCAAGATCGATACATCCTTCGTACAGTCGTGCAAGTGTGTCGTGGCCTTGCCGGGCACCCTTGATCGGGTATCTGCGTAGCCATCGAGCAGCTGCCCGGTACGTCCCATCTCTTCTGCTACTCCGTCCAAGGGTGCCGCCGCTGTCGTCGCCACTCGCTGGGCCGAGTCAGCTGCTCGCTAGGAGGCGCGCCCATCCCACCTCCCACCACCGCCACCTGCGCTAACCGAAGGCCTGCAATTAATTAGTGGTACGGAGCACCTACTTGAACACTCGTTGCCCCGTGCAAGTGCCGCAAGAGCCGTGCCCTGCCGCCGCTGCATTCTCAATTCTCGCTGCCGGAGAGCGGCCGGTACTGACAATTACTGGACCGCCAGCACTACTACTATAGCAGTACTTCTCTCCCTACTTAGCAGCTACTTGCACCCATTCATTCATTGCCCAGCGGCCCAGAAGCAGGCCCCTCCACCCGCAACAGCGCTGCACACACACAACGACAGCAGCTTAGTACTGTACCGCTGGTACTGATCCTTGCAACTGGGTGCTGGCAGTGGACGCACTGCACTGTCAGGTACTACTGCCTACTTCAGCAGGTACTTGGACCGGGGACAAGGGGGAGGGGTGTGTGGTGTCGAGGTACCTGGCCGGTACCTGACCTGCGACCCAAAAAAAAAGGCCTGGCCTTTACTCGGACTCGACGTTGACCCAGGACTCCAGCCCGAGTTCCTAAACTCCAACTTGGCATCCTCACATCTCGTCTGCTGCCTCTGCGACAGCTCGTCCCGGGGCGCATCTCTCTCGCTCTCTCGCTCCCGCCCTCCCTCCGCCGCCCGCGCGCCGCCACCACCCGTCTCTGCCAGTTGCCACGAGCAGGGCAATGGTTCACTCCGGGTGACTGCCCAGACCAGTCTCTCTGTAGGTGCTCGCAGTCATCGATTCCCTCGTCTTCCTCACTGCCGCCGACTCATCATGGGCGCCTCCTGCATTCGTCTGTGATGCTGTCGTTTCACGCAACTGCTTCACCGGCTTTTGTAGTTTGTCCCGCTTCCCTCCGCCACCCCCGACTCCCCGTCTCCCTGCGCCCCCCTCGCGCCCTTGGCCGTTGCTTCCGCTGTCTTTTCGTCATCGCCGCTTCCCGGTCCGCTACCTCTTGGTCTCTGACTCTCCTCGCTGACTCTCATCATCTGTCTTGCAGTCCGCCATGGTGGCCGTCGACGAGAAACCGCCCCTTCCACGACATGGCTCCGACCATGGCCGCCCCGACTCGGTCGATCTGATACTCCGCAAGACTCAGTACCTGTACGCCCTGGTCTTGCTCGTCACCTTTATCGCCGGTGCGGCTTGGTACAGCGTGTACAATGCCAAGAAGGCCGAGGATCATGCCCAACCAGTTGTCAAGGGCCCCGGCGGAAAACCCCTGCCCGTAACCAAGCGCAAGAAGCGTGACGATGGCGAGCGTAAAATCGGGCCTCGTTTCGGCCGAACTGCGAAAAACGTCTTTCGATACCTCGCCTGCGTCGTCTTCCTGACCTACATCGCCAGCAGCGTCTCCATGTTCCGCCATGCCTTTTGGTACGAGAACCCGTATAAGTGGTCAAAGGAAGGGCTCCCCTGGGCTGGGGAATGGACTGTGGTACGTATTCAGCCACTCATGCGAGATCCAGGCCGTGGCGTCGTCTCGATGCCCTCTCTGCCTCGTGGTCGAGCCATCGTGTCCTCAAACAGTGCTCACCGATGTAATCTAGGTTCATGTCACGGGATCCACCTTCTTCTACCTCTACATCGTCTTCTCGCTCTTCGACTGGCGCAAAGGTCCCAACATTGTCCATCTGGCAGTGTGGATTCTCGGGCTCGCAGGCGAGATTGTTTTGTGCACGGCCACGTTTGTCGCCGCCGCCAATTGCCACTTTGCGCGCTCGACTCGAATCCAAGATGCCCCGGAAGCAGGCCGCTGCGTCGATTACTGGACGAGGATTGACCTGATCCTGTACTTTGTGAGAGCCCTGCACCTCCTGGCGCTCATTTCGCTCTTTTTCGTCGCCTGGGTTTGCAAAGTCCGTCGCACACACGACCCCGTCGAGGACGGGCACGCTTCCGAGTCGACGCCCCTGCTTAATGGGTCCGGCCACCTCAGCTACGAATCGCAAACCAGCCAAGCACACGACGGTCATGCTCCGGCCCAGACGGAGCGCCGGCGCCGGCAATCGACATCGAACCCCAGCAACCCCAAGCCGACGGGCAAAGGCGCCCCCGGTAGAGACGAGCCGGCAGCCTTTTACCGTCCCAGCAAGCTCCCCCAGAGGACCTGGTGGGAGTATCTCAGGGGATACTCGCTGTTCTTTCCTTACCTGTGGCCTAAGGATACCCTGGTTCTGCAGGTGCATGCTCTGATTTGCTTCGGGCTGGTCATCTTGCAGAGACTGGTCAACGTGGCAGTCCCGTACCAAATTGGGCGTGTCGTCAACAGCCTCGAGGACGCAATCAAGGACGTCCAGCAAGGTGGATCCCTGACAATGGACAAATTTCCTCTCAAGGCCTTTGCCCTGCTCGGGGCACTCTGGATTCTTCAGGGGCAGTCTGGGCTGCTGGGATCCTTGAGGTCTCTACTTTGGATCCCCGTTTCGCAGTATTCCTATCGAGGCTTGACGACTGCTTCCTTTAACCACGTCCACTCGCTCAGCCTTGATTTCCACCTGTCGAAGCGCACTGGTGAGGTCCTCTCGGCCCTCAACAAGGGGTCTGCCATCAACCAGTTCCTCGAGCAGGTCACCTTTCAAGTCGTCCCGATGCTATTTGACCTGTTCCTGTCCATATCCGTCTTTTACTACCAGTACGGGCCCCTGTACGCTGAGATCAATCTGGTGGACACGTGCTGGTATCTGTACATGACCATCAAAATGGCGTCGACGAGGGCAGATCAGAGGCGCGAGATGACCAACGCCGACCGCGAAGAAGAGGCCGTCAAGAATGATTCCATTTCCAGCTATGAGACGGTCAAGTATTTCAACGCGGAAGAATACGAGTCAAGCCGATACCGAGACAGGGTGGCGGCCTTCCAGTCGGCCGAGGCCAAGGTACAGATGGGCATGGTCATGATGAACATTTGCCAGACTCTGGTATTCAACCTGGGCAGGATTGTCGTGGCTGTCGTCTGTGGATGGCAGGTCGCGGTGGGCATGCGAAGGACGGGTGACTGGTTCACGATGGTGTCCTACTTGACGCAGCTGCAGGGCCCGCTCAACTTCTTCGGCACATTTTATCGAACTGTCCAGCAGGCCATGATCTCGGGCGAGCGACTCTTGGAACTCTTCAAGATCCAGCCCACGGTGGTCGATACGCCTCACGCGGTTCCGCTCGAAGGGTTCAGCGGCCGCATCCGGTGGAACAACGTCAGCTTCGCCTACGATCGGCGCAAGCCGGCCCTGCGCAACATCAGCTTCGAGTGCGCGCCGGGCACCACGACGGCCTTCGTCGGCGAGTCGGGCGGCGGCAAGTCCACGCTGTTTCGTCACATGTTTCGCTACTATGACTGCGACGAGGGCAGCATCGAGCTTGACGGCAAGAATGTTAAGGATCTCACCATCAGCTCTGTGCGGAGCCACATTGGCGTTGTTCCCCAGGACACGAGCCTCTTCAACGAGTCGTTGATGTACAACCTCAAGTACGCCAATCCCAAGGCCACCGACGAGGAAGTGTACCAGGCGTGCGCCGCGGCAAGCATCCACGATCGGATCATGACGTTCCCGGACAAGTACGAGACTCAGGTCGGGGAGAGGGGCTTGCGGCTCAGCGGCGGCGAGAAACAGCGCGTCGCGATTGCCCGCACCATACTCAAGGACCCTCGAATCATCATGCTGGATGAGGCCACGTCGGCTCTGGACACACACACCGAGCAGGAGATACAAGACAACGTGTGGAAGATTGGCAAGGGGCGCACCTTGCTCGTCATTGCGTAAGTCGAAGCCCGCTTTGCGCGCTCGCGGAGGCGCTGTGCTAACGCCGACTCTAGGCATCGTCTGTCCACCATCACACACGCGGACCAGATCATCGTCCTGCACGCCGGGGAGGTTGTGGAAAAGGGCACGCACGACGAGCTTCTCGACGCCCGGGGACGCTACGCTTCCATGTGGGAGAAGCAAATACGGGCGGAGAGGGCCCTGGATAAAGCAAGAGAGGCTACTATCAAAGCGACAAAGGCAATGAAACGGGCTAACATGGGGGCCAAGAACGGCACGGCTGAAGAGCACACGGACGACTACCACACCCTGGGGTCCTCGGGCACCCTGTCGGACAATGACACGGCAAAGAGCAAAGGAGAAGAAGACTGCTCTTCTTCGTCGTCGCCCTCGTCGGCTTCCTCGGACGTCGAGTCTGCACACGAAGACGAACGCTTAGCCGAACAGCGATCGAACACCGAAGCAGCCGGTGCAGACGACCGTTCCGGAGTACGTCGATAGAGTGGCCTGCTCTTTTTGCTATGGTCGAGCAGCATTGCAAGTCTCTGCGCCTCGCATGCGGGGCGGATGATGAGTGCACTCTCGATGGAGCTATGGCGTGCAGCTCGGCCATCCATGGCTGGTGAAGTCTCGGAATGACTGCATCCAAGGACCCCATCGCTTGCCGTTTTAGTAACTCGCTTCATCTTACACCTCTCGACTGACCGATGGCGGGTCAAGTCCCTCTTTTCCCTTGTCTCTTTTCATCTCAAAAGAACGCCTTCAAAGTCCAAGACGGCTTTGGCGATGGATCTCATGAAGACAGCATCGGAACGGCGTTTGGGCGCATCTCACCCTCATTATCGTCGAGCGTCGGATGGATGGTCTCGATCGCCTTCTCTAGGACCGACATCTTGTTTGGAACACGACAGAAGACCAAACCAGGAGTGAGCGACGGAGACATCTCAGCCATTTGCACCTCGACAGTGCTGGCTGGAGGCGAACGCTGCATGGTCTATGCTCCTGGTTCAACTTGACGGCCCCTGTTCTGGTTTCCCTTGAGAGTCGAATACGGATCGAAACTCTTCCTGGTGACTGGACTAGGACGCCGCGATTGGACAGGAACTGCATATCGCTCATTTAATGCGTGTTTGACGGGTTTGGCAGCCCACTGTAATGTCTTTTTTAATCCCCACCCTCGGATTTTCCTTTCCTGAGCTTTAACTTCTTCCGTCGGCCTCGAGGGTCGGGGTATCGGCCTGGAAGAGGCAACTCATCAGCGACAAAGCGGCGAGTAATGATGAGAAATGACGGCAAAAATTCTCACCCTCACCTCACGGCGGTTTCATATTACTCTAGGTGGCTTGGCAGACTGGTGGGAAATACAATAATTCGCACGCGCAACGCACACGCATGCATTTACCAAAAGACGACGGGGCAAGCAACGGCACGGTGGCACGAAGCGGAGTCAGGCGGAGCATCAACCCCCATCTTTGGTATTCGGGGTATCTACGGCGTCTGGATGGGACTTTGAGGTCTTCAGCAACGGGGAAGTAAGTAGACGTTGGACGCTCGGAAGCGATTGGGCCCCGAGGCTTTTAGGTCTCGCACACATAGAGAACGGGAACCAGTGGGTTCTAGAGGCAGTTGGGAATGAAGGCGATTGCGGTTTGGGAGCAACCAGGAGATGAATGAAACGGTCTCGTCATGTGGCACAACGCGAAAGAGAAGAATTATCATCAAAAAGAGCTTATTATATTGTTGCAGAGACGTCCCGCGGGGACGCGGGCCTATGCGTATTGATACAGAGAAGCGCCAGAAAAGACGACAAGCCCAAGCCTGGGCATGTCGAGTTCATCCCCCCTCTTCTCCCACCGATCTACCGCCCTGGCGGGCCCGAGGATGCATGTGGCGGCTCTACCACGAGGTGACGAAGGGACGAGGAAATAAAAAAGACCATACTCAAGAATGCGGCACCGCGGTTTAAAGTCAACGCCGAATTTCCATGCTAGCCCACGGCGCCGGTTGGACTCTGCCAAGTCAAAACAAAACAAAACATAACATGAAGAGGACGCGAAGGGGGGAGGGGAAGGAAGGGGGGTGGCCCCCCGGGAGGTGGGGTAATGGGACCCGAGCAGGCCGTGCTGCTGCTCATCGAGGCCGTCGGCTTTTATTCTCAAACCATCCAGGTGGTCCTTTTTTCTCGTTTGCACCGTCTTCGTCGTCGTGGTGCCCGGGCCCGCGGTCTAGCATTGCTGGACGCGTGCGTGGGCGGGTGGCTGGTGATGAACAGGAACAACCCCGAAATGTTGGTTGGTCCAGGAAAGCAATTCCCAGCAGCCTTTGCTTGTCATTTCACGTGACCGTTGATCATCCTCTACCCGGGCAAGCCGTTGGGGATGGCCTTGCCGTTGACCTCGAGCGTGGGGACGCGGTCCTTGGCGGCGGCCACAGGCTTACCCCTCTTGTCGCCCGGGTCGGCGTGCTCGGGCTCGTCCTCATCCTCGGAGCGGTCGTCGTCGGCGGCGCGATGCAGGACAAAACGCCAGGCGATGCGGACAATGTAGAAGAGCCAGAAGAGGTTGAGGGCCTGGAGGGAGGCGAGCAGGGCCGTGGTGATGTACTGGCTGATCCAGCACTTATACTGCTGCAGCTCCCAGTCGACCTCGAAGGGGCCGACGGTGCGGAACTCGGTGAAGAGGGACCAGATGATCTTGAGGTTGACGATGTGGCGCAGGTAGATCCAGACGCACATGAAGAGGAAGAAGTAGGGGCCGACAAAGGGGTGGTCGATGTAGTTGAGCACCTTTGAGGTGGCGAGGAAGAAGTCGCTGATGTCGTGCGTGGTGTAGACGGCGATGCCCATGTAGGTGAAGTGGAAGCGGTAGCTCAGGCCGATGAGGGCGAGGCTGACAATGTGGTGGCCGACGAGCTCCTTGAAGTCCTTGCGCGGCTTCTCCATGCCGAGGACGAGGACAATGGCCTGCTGCGCCCAGTAGGCGGCCTGGAAGAGGTAGTAGAACTTGACGACGGCCTCGTGCGTGCGGTGCGGAAAGTCCTCGTACATGCCGCGCGTGTTGAAGTACCAGACGGGGGTGCGGCTCATGACGTACATGCCCGCGGGGCCCAGCACGACGAAGTAGAGGGCCGTGTACATCTGCTCCATGAAGCGGGCCTGCTTGGCCCTGCCGAGCCCCGTATGGCGGGCGAGGGGCCGCAGCAGCTCCTGCATGATGAACTCGCGCGTGAAGGACAGGACGACGGTGTAGAAGGCGACAAAGGCAATGTCCCAGGGCCCCTTGCCGTACTGGACCGGCCGCGACAGGTCGTGGTGCGGCAGGCGGTACGAGAGGAAGATCCAGCGGTGGAGGGGGTTGGCCTCGGTCGGGTTGAGGGCGTAGCCCGAGGCGAAGACGAGGAGGATGCAGGCGGGCAGGACAAAGGTGTGCTTGATCATGAGCTGGCGGACGCGCGAGGCGAGGCCGCGCGCGCGCCGGCGCTTGGACAGGCGCTTGGCGCCCAAAGCGCCGCCGCCATGATGGGCCGGCGAGGCCGAGGGCTCGCCGGCGAGGCCGAGGCTGGCGCTGCTCGAGGCCAGGGCGGGGGCGCCCGTGTCGCCGGCGCGGATGTCGCCGCCGAGGCCGCTGCTTTTCCGCCGCCGGCGCAGCGCGCTGTCGGCGTCGGCGAGGTGTAGCTGGTCGGGCGAGGTGTTGAGGAGCGGAAACGGCTCGGCCATGGTTTCTGCTGCGCGGCTCAGGCCGACGTCGAGCCCGTCCGACACGCACACAGGCTCCGAGTCGGCGAGATGCGATGGCGCGAGCGGGATCTGTTCCTCTGTATCTGACGGACAAGGCGTGACCGGTCGTTGGTGGATCGTGTGGTATCGCGTCGCGGGGAGAGGTCGAAGGGGGCAGCAAAGGCGCTCTCTTTGACAGCGAGAGAGAGAGAGAGTCGTCGCCGCAAGTCGTCGTCGCAAGTCGTCGCGGCAGGATTGACGAGCAGACGCTGAGACAGGCCGACTTTTTTCTCTCCTTGCCGAGGCGCCCGTCGTGCGCGCGTCAATCGGGGGACAGGAGGCGAGCCAGGAAGAGAGTCGAAGCAGAGCGACTCTGATTGGTCCCGAACGGCTAGTCGTCGTCCGGACTCTCGTTGCTGCGGCGGTCAGAGAGGGAGGGCGAGGGAGAGACTTCTGGCAGCGATGGGCAACCGAGTTACATACTGATACAACCATACAGTAAGCACCCGCTCCCCCCTCCCCCCTCCGAGAGAGAGCAAATTTACCTCGCACGCGTGCAACCAACAGTCAGGGCCAATCGATGTCTTGCTTGGCGCGGCCGCTTTTAATTTAAACAGCAAAAGCCAAGCCCTGCACCAGGGAAGTTGCTGCCGACTTATGTAAAAGACCTTCCCTGCGCATTACATAAGCCGTCCTCTTGCCCGAATCCACAGGCTGAAGCAAGTCCAGTACGTAGGTACCTACAGAGGATACTGACTAGCATAAATAGATAGGTACCTACCCAGTAAGTTCCTTTCCGTGCACAGGTAGGTACCTGGGTCGGTACCAGAGGGGCCACGCACCGGAGTTTACAAGGCCTCCATCGCCCGGCCTTCCCCGGGTCCCCCGTCCAACGCTCGGGCGCTCCGCAGACCGCGAGGGCCGTGGCCGCGGATATTGCTGGAGACCGCCTCCACTCTTTCGACTGCCCACCACCCTCAAGCCCTGCCGCGTCTACAAGCTCTAAAGAGGAATAACCTCGTCTTGGCCCGACAAGCCCCCTCATGTGTCTCGCCGGTAGCTTGTGTCATTTCCATTCTCATGGACAACTAGATATTATCGTAGAGAAACGTCTGTCATACATCATCCCGCTCTCAACAGCCCAAGCCCTTCCGGCGAGGCGCCAAGCAGGCATTCGGTGTGTTCCACGTCTCCAAAAATAAAAATATGCCCATATGTTCACACCTGTATGTGGCCACTGGGTGAAAATCGACGCTCCAGAGATATGTCCCGGCATAGAGCCCAACGCCTCGCTCACAAATGCAGACAGAAATCAAGACAGACGACAAGCGTCATGTCATTCTTGACGTGGGATCGCCGCAGGGCCTCGCGACGGTCCCCTAGGCTCATCCTCCGACTCTCGCCTCTCCGACTCTACCGAAGCAGTCTCGGCCGTCGAACCGTCGTACAGCGATGAGTCGTCGCCTTCAAACGTCAGCACACGTCGCCGCACTCCTGGCCAGAGCGGGGGGTTCGTCGCTGCCGGCAGCAGCGCTTCGTTTCCACCAGAAGCCGCCGACGTCGAGCTCTCCAGTCTCCCGAGACGCGCCATCTCCTCCGACGCCTCCCGTCTCCAGGAGCTTCTGTTGCTCTCGTCCTCTTCTCGGCTCCAGCTGCCCACTTCCTCCCCTTCCTCTAGCACTTGCTGCAGCGCCGCGCCCCGCCGCGGAGGGGCGGGAATGACTGTGACCGGGAGGCTGTCCGTGTCTGTCGTCGGCCGTAGTTTCTCGCGAAGCTTTTCTGCCTGGTTCGCGGCGAATAGCTCAAATCTCGATCGGACATCCCATCGTCCGGCCGCATCCCGGCTCGTCGTCGGCTCGGCAATGTCCCTCGTCGCCTGCTTGCGCACCTCTGCCAGCGGCTCGTCGATTTCCCCGCGAGGGTGAGGACTTGTACTTAGAGTCAACGTGCGCCACTGGCTCGGGCGCACTACCTCCGGCGACGCGCTCGCTTCCAGATCCGTTGACCTTCTCGGCAAGGACTGTGCGGCGATTCCGTTCTGGGTCGCGGTCGGCGGGGCTTGGTATGCAAGCCTGGTGTCATCGCTTGCGGACACGCCATGGAGCGTGCCAGTTTGCCGACCAAGCTCCACGACACTGTGCTCAGGCGGCAATGGGTCGGGTGTCCTCGACGTCGCGTCCGATGTGGCTTGATACCGGACCGCATAGACTGTGCTCGCCGCGCTGGGCGTGTCGGTTCGGCTCACGGGGGTTGCTGCCGGCGCAGGCCGAGCGGGCCACAAGGGTGGGAGCAGGATATCGCCCATGGTCCGCGGCGCCTGCTGCTGTTGCTGCTGACGCGTCTCATGCGCATCACGGGCCTGCCCTCGCTGCCTGCCGGTGATAGCTGAAACGCCAGGCCATACATTGCCACGTAGCAGGCCTTGATCGCGGTGGGGGCCGTTGCCGCTGTCGGCGCCGCCGCCGCCGTGGCCTCCGTCGTCCTTGCGGGTTTTCCGGCTGCGGAGCCAGGGGAACTCGGAGGCGTTGACCTCGAGAGTCTCGTCCCCGTCAAACACCTCTCTGCCGAGGATGCCGTCCTTCTTCTCCTCGCGCTCCAGCGCCTCGATCCGCTCCACCCACTCCCACACGATGACGCTGGCGGCGGCGGCGCCAACCCAGCGCACGTAGTCACCCCACCCGGTAAATTCGGGCTTGGATATGTCCATTATGAAGAAGACGACGGGGACGAGAATGGCGGTGAGGGATATGACGGCAAGGAAGGGCATGTTCTTCATTAGGGGGTGGTAAAAAGCATACCGCTTCTTCATGAGCGAGTAGTATATCACCCATGCGGCGTAGAGGACGCCGAGCAACAGCTGAAAAAGGTAACTGAGTGCGGGGATCGGATGGTCGAAGCTGCCGCCGCCCATTGGATTCGGGTACGAGCCCTTCTCACGGTCTTTGAAACTGTTGATGGCGCTGAAGATGAGATCGAGGGTTATGAGGGCAAATGCCGCCCACTTGATGATGACCTTTTCTCGGTGGCGGGGGAAGAGCCGAATCAAGGTCTGGGCCTGGGCGAGCCACAAGAAGGTATTCGAGATTAAGCGGATGACCCTAAGCTCTATGCTGCCCATGACGGCGCTCTGTAAAACGCCGGCGTTCTGGGCACCCCATTGGTACTGGCGCTGGGCAACCTTGAAGGTGTCGTGGGTGGCTATGGTCAGGGAGACGGCCACGGTGAGGGCAGCCACCTTTTGCAGCCACGGGCGGCCGCCGATGCTCTCGCCTCCTGAGGAGCTGTGTGTAAAGCCGCGGCGTCGGCCGAGGTAGACGACGCCGCCGTCGAGGAAGGATCTCGGGGTGATGAAAAGCATGATGAGAAGCATGTAGGCGGTGACGGTGGTGGCGGCCAGGGCGTAGCATATGGGAAAGGTGGAGGCGTAGAAGGGATCGCGGAAGTCGGAGAAGCGGGTGTCGGATGAGTCGCCCATGTTGGGCTTCGCGTCGCCGGCGCCCTCGGAGGCGACGAGGGCCATGGCGTTGAGGGGTTTGGCCGTGGGGCACGGCACCTCGTAAACGACGGCTTGGGCGAGGGTGACGGAGGGCGGGGCGTTGGCCATGGTAAGAAGACCCGAAGCCGGCACCACGGTCGTCGTGCATAGCGTCGGCGCGGCCGTTATGGTCGTCATGCCTAACGTCAGGATCTCCATGGCTGGGCCTGGGCCCGGACGGCCGCCTCTCGCCGGAGGGGGGCCAGCCTCGGGGAGGCAGCAAGGGCGAAGGCTAGGGAAGAGGGGGGTCCTAGGAAGCGGAGGCCATGAAAAGACGACGAGGAAGCGGTTCGGTCGCGGGCGGGTGAGGAATTACGAATTGGAGGCCAAGGGCTCAGGGGCCACCAGTTAACTGTATGGCGGGGCGCGTGGAGCGCGGGTTCGGCTGGTGGTCTGGCGACGAAGGCAAAGGCGAGGCAAGACCGGCAAGAGAGCAATGGCGCGCGCGCGCAGGGCTCGCGTCGCAGGGGACGAGGCTATCGAAGAGAAGGCTACGCGTGCGTGTGTTGTGCGTTGTTGTGAGGGTGTGGGGAGGGGTCCCCCCGTAGGCTGAGAGGCTGGGCGCCCAGAGATCTTGGCTCCGGGGCGTGAGTGGGCGCTGGCTTCTCTCCCCCCTGCGGCCGCAGAAGCTTGGTGTCGACGCTGGCAAGGCAACGGAGCGATGAAATGACGGCGACGAAAACAGTCGTGTGTCGTGCACGATGTGTTGGTTCAGAGCGGCGAGGCGGGACGATGATGGAGAGGCAGGAGAAGCGGGTGGCCGGAGGGGGGAATCCGGGACGGGAACACACAGTGGGTGAGTGGTGAGTGGTGAGTGGTGAGTGGTACAGTACGGAGTACTTGCTGACATGACAGTCAGACAAGCCAGCGCCGGCCCACGTAATCTGTCGCATCGAGGGAGACTTGGAGCACAGTGCAATTAGAAGCCGGATGCCAGGGAGGATGCTAGTCCCAGGCGCCAGTACGTACTGTGTATGCTTCAGGAATGCACAGTACCCACTCCGTACTCCGTACCAGCGAGGCATTGATTTATTACCGCCGTGACACCAGAATGCGGAGTGAGCCAAGCACGGCACTCGGTCGGGCAAAGGAGTGCCGAAGGCCTCATCCTTCCTGCCCTGGGCACTGTGCTAATTACAGGAGGGGGGGGGGGCAGGTCGTGCCTCATGCCACGCCTCAGGTGGCCCTCGGACACAGTGGCTACAGTGCTGATACAGTGCTTATGCGCCCCAGCGGCGGACGGCACTGTCGCATTGGGAAAATACGTGGCGCCCCAAGGTGGACGGTGGCAAGTCGCCATGGCTCGGGGCGGCATTGGAACGCAGGGCCTCTTGGCTCACATCTATAGGCAGGGGCAAAGTGCTTGCTGTGCTGTACGCCGTGAGACCGGAGCGTAAGAATGTGACGATGATGCTGGTGTAGAGAGTGAGCGCTGCGAGTACTCAGAGTGCAAGGGTGGATGCAATACAGTACAGCGCTCGCGCTCTCCCGCCCGCCCTCGCATCTTCCTCCCTCGCGGTCAAGCATTTCTGGCAGCGCGCGGGAGGCTTGGCAAAGCTTGTCGTCGCCGTCTGTTGCGTGACGCATGTTGTCTTTTCCAAGGCTGTCTGTCTGTCTTTTCACCGCTCGTGATACAGTGAGAGCTGTCTCGTCTCAGACGCCCTGCGCCCTACAGTGCATTACAGTGCAGGGAAGCGGCCCCCATAGGCGTTACAGTGCGTGAGCAGTGCTGCTGCTATTGTAGTTGGACCCCTCCCTGATTCCCACATCAAACATTCCACATCATAATGCCTTTTACAGAAACCTTTCGACAGCCGGCAACTGTCCTCTATCCTCTACAAAGTCAAACGCCTAGAGTCCAGTTGTTCCACACCGGCGACCTACCAAGGCGGTGCGCACCCTTCCTGGCTGGCTGCGACATTCGTCCTGCGCGTTAGACTCACCGGATGTGACAGCTGACGCACTCTCTTCCTCGCCCATTCCACTCCCACCCCCGTGGCGGAGCACAGCATCCAAGAGGAAACGTCGACAACACACACAGTCTTTCTTCTAGTTGTCAACCAGAACCGAACCTGCCTGTTTACCTAATCCATCCAAAGACCCGGCGCTCGCTCACCAATCAATCCTCAGTCCAGCAGCCTCATCAAGCTCACCCCGTCCCACACGGGCAGCATCACCACCTCGAGCCTCGGCTCCGCCGCGCACCGGTCGTTGAAGCGCCGCAGGCTCTCGAGCTCGCGCTGCTTCAGCTCCTCCGACGTCCAGTACGACGTCGTCAGCCCCGGCGCCGGGATGTGGCCCCACCGCAGCACGTTGTCCGCCACGATGGGCGCCCGGGCCGTAGCAGCCGCCGCGCCGCCCCCGGCTGCGACCCGTCCAGCAGCTGCTCCATGTAGCCCCCGTACCCGGGCTTGTCGGCGTCGAGGAACACGGCGTCGTAGGGCGTGTCCGAGGCGAGCTTCGGGAGGCTGTGTGCGGAAGCATGTTAGCAGGTCCAGGTCCCATGGGGCCAGACCCTCTCCCGAATCCGAACAGGCACGTACGTCTCCGAGGCGTCGCCCACGATCGTCTCAATGTTGTTGATGCCGTTGGCCGCAAACGCCTCGCCCGCCTCGCGCGCAAACTCGGGCGAAATCTCCAGGCCCGTGACGAGGCCATCGGGCCCGACGGCGTGGGACCACACCATGGCCGAGTAGCCGACAAAGACGCCGACATCGATGACTAGATGGGACGTGTCAGGACAGTCTGCCGTGCCTCGAGCCATGTCTCACTCCGGTCTCATACACACACGCGCTGTCACGGACGCGTGTGTATCCCACCATCACCCCAAGGCAAACCGACCTCGCTTGACCCCAAACGCCCTGGCCAGGAAGATGTGCAGCTGCGACTGTTGGTTGCTGCTCATCATCAGCGAGTCGTCGCGCCGCGCCCACACGCTCGCGTGGTAGTCGGTGATGTGCCGCGGCAGCGCCAGCGAGTGCGCCTCGCAGTAGTTGGACGACTTTTCCGCCAGCTCCGCCGTCGCGTATATCGTCGAGATGCTTGTGTGCTTCATGCTGGTCCGTGGCTTCAATCTTGAGTAATGCTCTTTGTTCCTGCTCGGGGAAGGGGAGGGGATGCAAGAGGCAGACGGAGACTTTCTCTTACGCATGTTCACATGCATCGTCTAGCAGGGCAGTGTCACTTTATACTTGGGGGGACACGCCTATCCATGCACTTTGAGCGCGTAAACTCGGCCGAAAGAGGGGGCGCGGGCTGAAACGGATATCCCGGACAATCACGCAAGCTGTCCTGGACAGGAACGCCCTTATCGTTGCTGTCCTGGTGCCTTTCTCGCTTCTCTCTCTTCCTCTCACACTGTTTGTCGCTCTCCCGCTCACTCACAATGTTGCTCTCTCTCACACTCACAACGTTTGTCTCTCCCCCTCTCCCCCAATGTTTATAAACATCCCACTCTCCTCTCTCAGCGTTTATACACATCTCTCTCTCCTCTCTCAATGTTTTGTCTCTCGGCCTGTCCGCCACGCCCATCCCATTCGTGGTGAATCGATAGCTCGCGGCCCATGGTCAGCATCACCTGCATGCAACAGCGGCAAATGCGACCACACAGCTTACATCACACATGCAACGCCCCGAGTCTTCCGCTGGACAGATCAGTGCAATATGGCGGTTCAGATATCTCTGCGTGAACCAGGCTCGCTTGATTCCCACTTGATGCAAACATCTCATCGTCACGCCTCCCCTGATCTGTCTCAAGTATCTGTCCATCCATCTTGCTCTGTCCATCTCAACAATGCAATCGAATGAGCTGCAAAACAGCGGCCGAAAAGCCTCGCTGCAATGTCGACCAGAGGCCTCCCGTTTGCGGCTGGTCTCATCGTCGTCATTGTCCCTGTCATACAGCCTCTCGGACGGACACGAGTTGAGCCGAGACCACGCCCGTTTCTCTCACCGGCCACCCTCACAGACTTGGTGCTCTTCGCTGACGTCCTTCTCTCGCTCTCGCCTTGTCTCGCGCTACCCTTTCCTCGGGCCGCAAAGAGACGTACGCCATCTACCACAAAGCATCGCCATGCACCCATAGTAATACCCTTGAGAATCCCTGAATAAGCCCGGCACCCTGGGGACTTGGCACGCCTGGCGACGTTGGCTGGTCGCCCCCTCGTCATCCCTCATCGCCCATCGGCCCTTCATCTCTACCTGCCGAGTTCGGACTCGGGCATTCGTATGTAAGAGTAAGAGAGGGCTCTCCGCAGCAGTTCTCCCCTTTCCAAAGCCGGTAGCCGACTCCCGATGATCAACCTCACAGCGTCGCATCCAGATGACACCGATACCCGACAATGTCAACCGAAGCGGGAAAGTTCCCGGCATCGTATTGATCGCCGGGCGGAAGTGACCCTGCAGAAATGTAGGGTCGATGCGGCCAGGCCTCGTTGTCTTCTTCCTTTGCTGAGTTGCCGCGGCTCGCGACACCGACCTGCAACCAGCCTTTGGGACTTTTGAGCTGGGCCCCATGCAGGCGTCCGAGAAGCAGGCCAGGTCAGAAGAAAGAGCCAAAAGGGGCTTGAATTGCCGGTCCCGTCAGTCGGCAGGATAGTTTGATGCCTCGCCCCCGTGTCTCGAGGCCATGTCCAGCGCCCTGTCGCTTCATCGCGGCTCAAACGCTGGAGATATATACCGTTGGCTAGGTCCTGCAGGGGCCACCTAAGGCACACCCCTTAGTTGGGCGGAAAATAGCCGGACGCGCCTAAAAGGTCCGGACGCCCGTTATTACTAGTTATTGGGTCTTTGCATTGAAGAAAGAGGTGTAGATTGCGCTGTCCTGCCTAAAAGACGGAGTCCGTGGGTGTGACTATATATATATATAAAGTATGGGGGTAGGTTTCCTATTAATCCGGCAGCTTATAGTTACGGATCCGTCTAGTAACTTCCTTAGCATCCCTTAGGTCGACTACCGTATTCGATGCCTCCGGATACGGCGATAGTATCGTCTCTGCTTATAGGGATAAGGGGCGCGCCTATTAGTGCGTATAGGCGTAAGCCTAACCTTTAATAGCTATATATTAGTCTATAGCCTACTAAGACCCTTCTAAGGTCTTTAGGACCCTCGTTAAGTTATAATAATATATAATACTCTTTTAAGCGAGCTTTTTAAATAAACTGTATTATTAATAAGGTCTATGCCTTAAGAGCTAGACTTAAGTACTTTTCTAAGTAAAAAGGTATACTTAATAAGCTACTAGTAAGTCTAAGAGTTATAGCTAAAGGAAAGGCACTTATAGTACTATATATATATAGTATATTCCTTATAAGCCTTAACTTAAAGCTATAGACCTACTATATAAAGGCCCTTTTTTTAGTATTTAGCCTTTATAGCCTTTAAAAGGACTATAAAGATTATAGATCCTACCTTCTAGGTTAGGCCTAGGGTGCTAGCTACCTAGGCTGCCCTAGGATATCGATCCCGCTAAAGTTCTTAGCCTTTATAGTAAAGATATTAAGGATAGGGTCTCTAAGAGGTTAGGGACGCTCTAAGCTACTAGCTTAGTCTAGCTAGTAAGAAGGTTAGCTAATTTAATAGGTAGCCCCAAAGTATAGAGACTAATTTTCCGCTACTTTAAAAGCTTCTTTACTATATAAGTATTAAAAGGTATAAGCAATAAGCGTAGGATCGGGTAATCGATAACGTAAGCGGAAGGATCGGTCGAAGGAGTATAGGGTAGGATTTCGTCCGGAATTTATAACGAGTATATAAGGGGCTAAATAATATATTAAAAGAATACCGTTGTAAAAGATACTTATAAACTTACTTATCCTATCTACTACTCCTAGGGAAATCCTTTGTCTTTTATAGACCATTGCTCGCCTACTAGTAGACTAATTAGTTAGCTTTCTAGTATATTCTATAGTGCTTAAAAAGCTCTATCTATAGTATGTCTTCCTAACTTAGTAGGTGGTCTAATTATAACGTAATAGTTAACGTAAGACTATAGGTTCTAGTATAAGTAGTAGATTTAACTAGAATATTCTATGCCCTACCTATTCTCGTATCGCGGATATCTTCGGAACCGCTAGGCTAAAATAGGTAATAGGGTATCCGTTCTGCTCGTAATTAACTTATATATAAAATGCATATTTTTATTTATTAGGATAGGCTTATCTTAACCCGCTTTTCCTAAAGGAAGGTATAGATATCTAGTAGAGGTCTTTTATCTTTAAGGGTTATTCCCTTAGACTATATTATAGAGCCCCTTACTACTAGCTTATTCTATAGAGCCTCCCTATACCTATTATTTCTTTATAATAGAAAAGTAGGAATATAAGGGTATATTCTTATAATAAGGGGCCTTTATTATTATAATTATATTACCTTTATTTTTAAAGTAATAGAGCTTATATAGCTAGTTTCTTTATAGCTTTATTAAGCTTATTATAAAGAGTAATAAGGCTAATAGTTAGTATTAGTAATCCTTTTTTTAGCTTTAAAATAAGCTAGAAGTTCTCTTTTATATTCTTCTTTACTAAGGCCTTAGCTAGGGCCTAAGCTAGGGCCTTAAGCGCTTTCTTTATAGCGACCTTAGCCTATAAGCTAGCTTTAAGGCTTCCTTAAATAGGCTTAGGCCGCTAAGTAGCCTTAGGCTATTATAGGAGCTATAATAAGGGCTATTAATAGTCCTAGGTTATAGTTACCTTTTTAAGCCTTTTTATAAGGGTCTTATAAAAGAGTTTAATTTTTTAAGCTTCCTTAAGGGCCTAGAAGGCCTACTAAAAAGCCCTAGGCCTAGTCCTAAGAAAGAGGTACTAAGGCTAAGGCTAGGTTATTACTATTATAAGTATTAAAGTATAGGTTAAATAAGTATAGGCTAATAAGGCTATTAAAAGTAGCTTTTTTTACCTTTTTACTTACTTAAGAGGCTAGTTAAGCTAAAAGTAGCTAGCTTAAGGTAGGGCGAAGCTAGGCCTAAAGAGGCTAGTCTTAAGTATATTAAGCTAGGTATTTTCTTTTATCTTAATATCTTCTTAGTCTTAGTTTTAAGTTTTAAGCCTTTCTTTTAAGGTCTTTAAAAAGCATTAGCCTTTTAAAGCTTTTCTTAAGTAAGCCCTAGCTTTTAAGGTACTTATTTTAGCCTTTAAGTTAAAAGAGGGAAGGTTAAAGGGACCCGCTTTAAGCTTAAGCTAGGGTCCTAGGTTAGGTCTAGGCTAAGTCTTATTAATAAAGGTATATACCCTTAGTTAATAAAGGTAAGAAGGAGGTTTTTACTTATATAAAGGAAAACCGTACTTAATTTATAATCTTTAATAGTATATTATATACCCGCTTATAGCTATATAAAGCTATACTTAAGAGGGTATAATAAGCTATTTAAAGGGTTTTATTATAAAGTAAGTAAAGGTATATATATAAGTACTATTTATAGGATAATATTAATAAGCTATATAAAGCTCTTTTATATATAGCTAGCCTATATATATATATAGGATCTAGCCCTTTATATATAACTATATAGCTTAGGCTATAGCCTAAGCCTATAACTTATAATAGTTAAAGACTTTTATATAATACCCTTCCTTTAAAATAGCGCGGCGCCCTTATTACGGCTTCTATATAGTTAAGCCTTAGGCCCTTTATACCGCTAGCTTTGCCTTACTCTCTTTTATTAATCGTGCTAGCGCTACTAGGCTTATTATCCCTATGCTTATTAACTTAAGTAGCCGGTACCTAACTTTATACTTACTAGCTAGCCGGCCGCTTAAATAAGAGCGCACTTTATTATACGCGCTATTAAGCGGCTAGCGGCCGGCCTAGATATATATAAGCCTTAGGTTGCCCGTTCCCTTAGCCTTAGGCAGCTTCCTTTACTAAGGGGTATATAAAGTAGTATCTCCCCTTTTTTCTTTCCTTCCTTTTCCTCTTTCTTTAACTATAGTAATAGCTATAATAAGTAAGTTCTACTTTACTTAAGGTATAAGTTTATTCTTAGCTATATAGGCCGCCCTATTAATAAGTACTTATAGTAATAGCTATAATTATAATAATAGCCTTAATAATAATAA